AATGGTTGACCGTGGTTGGTTATTTCTTTGTTGTACGCTTGCCTGGAAAGAGATTACACCATCGGGATCTTTCAACATGATGATAATAATATTCATTACAATGATAGTGAAGATGATGATATTAATCAAGGCATAAAATGGTATTGATGTTGTAGGAGATGACTTTGATGATGATAGTGATGATAAAATTATATTGATTTTGTTGTTGATGATGTTCACGACGATGATGATGATGATGATATTGATCACGATAATGATGATGATATTAATAATGATGATGATATTGATGATGATGATATTGATGATGATTTTGACGATATTGATGATGATTTTGACGATAATGATTATGATATTAATGACGATGATCATATTGATGATGATGTAGACGATAATGAAAATGATTATCAGTGATTATGATGGAGAAGATAACGACTTACTTGTAATAGTCAACGAAGCTGATCTGCTGTCCAGTGTGAAACATGAAGGTAGAGTTTGGATTTTTGTCCCACTCAATATCATCAATTCTGTACGTCTTATTATTATACCTTAATCATAAACGATCAATTATTTAACGAATCGTTAAGCAGTATCTATACTACACTGTTAACATGCTGAAATCATACAGATATTCACCTCGTCAACACAATCGTTCCAACCAACAGCTTTGTGGCGACATCTTGAAAGTTGTTTTTATTTGTTGCGTAAATTTCGTGCCTGTCACAACAGTAAAAAATAGGCACGCTAAACGTACATGCATTTACAAGGGGACTAGGATCCTTTAAATGTTTTCAAATTATATTCCCAGAATGCAGAGAACATAGAGGGGTATAGAGGATCAAAATATACACTCTTAGAAAAATCACTTACAAATATTCCAAGACATTATCTGTTCTCAACAAGCGATGAGAAACGTCAGCAAGCAACATTAAACCACCTTGAAAAGAATAAACTTTTAGTTCTAATGCAATGATAAACATTCAACTTCGTAAACAAACCTCTGACTCTCTGAGGTGATTGAGCGAAGACTATCGCACGGTTAGGTCGGCTGGGTTTTGTTAAACCGTATCTGTGTTGATAAACACAAGTCAATATACCAACCTTCGTAATGTGAAATCGCAGTAATATAACCAGGCCATAGTTCCAGTTTGTGCTGAGGGATCTGAGCCGGTCGTGTTGGATCGTAATAATATCGTCCAACTTGCTGCATTTGTAAAGATCTCATTACTCTGTCGAGTTTAAATAGGGCATTATGAAATTAGCGTCAATTAAACACACGGGAATTAACAAGAAAGGCGGGTTGCTGATAACCAGCGCATACTTACTTTTTGAATATGATATTGTAAAGTTGGACGCATTGATCTGGTTCTAAAAATTTCACTAATTGAACTGACAGCGTAATCTGGGCTCCATCTGTGGGCCGCGTCGACTGTAAGACTGTCGGCTAAGAAGAGAAAGAAGAATATGGTTGGGAGAATTTGCGAAGAAGACAAGCCTCTCTCACACTTCTGACCACACCCACCCCCTCCCTCTCGGCCCCATTCCTCTCGCGCCGGATACACAACCTTCACACGCGTAACCCCCCCTCCCCTTACCTGTTGTGGTAGTTTATGAGGCAGGAACAACTGAATGCCATCAAAAGCTCTCGTCTCGCCAAGAAAATCAGAATGATCATAGAGCAGCCTGTATCTCATGCCTCTGCTGTCAATTTCAGGACTGGAAAAAACAAGAAAGAAACTAAAAAACTTTTAAGATGTGACCGTGGGTCTCCCCTCTCAAGGTAGGGCAAAGCCCTGGCTTGTTTGACTTCCGGTAGGAGGGAGAGTGTGTGTGTGTAATAAGCCTTTAAAACATTTTTACCTGTAGGAGACACAATACTGATACACGCCTCCAGTCTTACATCTGATTGGAATATTGTTCACAGCCAAAGGTACTCTAAAAACACCATAAAACAGAATCATTCTGAATGTCATCTGCCACATTTTTCAACCAAAGTTACACGACATATGTGCAGTAAATACAACAGAGCAATGGTAACAAAATCACGTACGGTGTCCCAGAAGTTCCCTTTTCGCCAGTTTGCCTAAACAACGAGAGATGAAATATTTTAAAGTTTTGAATCCAAAAATGATTGATGGGTTCAATCTGTTTCTTACGTGTTTGGCGCTTTCTCTCTCAAAGACATCTGTTGTAGAGCCTGTGTTGGTGGACCACCGGTCTATAGAGACAAAAAATTGAGCAAGATATCAGAGACACATTATCCACATCTGCCTTAGTACACAATATTTCTCAAATTTTGCAGATCTACTTATTCCACATTTGTTAGACACGTGAGACGTTAAATCTCAAAATACTCATGCTCCAGGTGGAGCATCAACCATTCACTAGAGATCAGTGATAATGAAAAGCTAGCACCAGTCTACTTTGGGTTCACTGATCTATATTGGAACAATGAAGTTTACATATTGCATTTATTAGATAAAATACTGACCTGAGATGCAGGGGACGGTTGTTGTTGAGGTACAGGAGAGGGTTGTTGGTGTTGCTGAGGTACAGGAGAGGGTCGTGGTGGTTGATCAGGTGATTGTTGGTATGGAAATGATTGTTGTTGTGATGCTTGAGCACCTGGTGATTGCTGAGCTCCAGGGAAGGGACCACCTTTTGTAAAATAATACAATATTCTAATGCCCTATTTGGTGACTATGAAAATAGAGTAAAATGGATTTCAGGTTATTGGCAGCTGAATATGTGTCACACAAATAACACACTGACATAATAGATCAAAATAATGACAGCTTCAGTTTATTGTGCTTTGATTTTGCAAGCAGAAAAATTGAATCAGATCATTGCTATAACGCTACTGACACAGAGTGTTAGCTTGCAATATAGGAACAATTATCTACACTCATTCACATATACTAAAAGTAGAATATATCATTTTTAAAAGTTACGAGTGCAAAAAACAAGCCTTGACAAAAATAATCCACAAGAGAGTCAAGATACAAAATTTATAAATCGTAAACAAAAGTCTTCACCTACCTCTTCCAAACGATTGTGGTTGTCCTGTCTGCTGCATCCTAGGGGTGGGCCCTGGTCCTTGGGGAGCTCCCCTTGGTCCAAAGTTGTCTTGAGGTGGTCCACCTCTACCCAGTGACTGTTGCATTGGAGGGCCAACCCCTCGTCCCCTGGGCTGTGGGCCACGTTGAGGAATGGGTGCCATGCCACGTCCACCTTGGGGTTGTGGAACTCTTTGTTGAAATTGTCCTCTGGGTTGGAATTGGCCTTGCTGAGGAGGACCCTGCTGCCTGATGGGAGGTGGGTACTGACCCCGTGGTGGCTGTTGTTGCATTCCGCCTCTGGGTGGAAATTGTCCCTGTTGAGGGGCCGGTCCACGTTGGGGATATTGACCTTGCTGTACGGGCATTTGTTGGCGTTGCCCTTGAAACTGACCTCTTGGTGGAAACTGACCGCGAGGAGGGAACTGTCCTTGTTGGGGACGGGGACCTTGCTGGAACTGTCCTGGGGGTGGATTCATTCCACGTCCACCAAACTGTTGCCTTTGTCCTTGCTGACCATACTGTTGGTTGGGTCCCATGGGTCGCTGCCCAGGTCCCATCTGGCCAACCCCACCTTCAGGACCGACAGGCCGCTGTGGTTGCTGATGGTAAGGTTGGCCTGATGGATACGGTTGACCATAGTGTTGCTGTTGCCCTTGAGGTGGGGGGCCGGGTGGGTACTGTTGTTGACCAGGAGGTTGCCCTTGCCCCATCTGTGATGGAGAAGCAAAATATTTAAATACGTTTGTTAATATGAAAACAACAATTGACTGTAACATTACCTGGGATGGCGGAGGTTGTCCCACATTCTGGGGCTTTCTGGCTGGTAATTCCAACGCCTAAAAAAACATTTTACCAAATCTTTATAAAAGGATCTTAGTCATACATTCATACACAAATATTATGATAGCATTTCAGCACAGCTTGCACATATGCTATGGATTGAGAAAACGCCTAGTGCACGAAAATAAACTTTAAAGTTTCAACCAAGACTGATTATTTAAATTAGACAATGAATAATACTGAAATTGCGTTTAAAATCCAATTTCAACCGAACAGAGCAATGAAACACCGATATTTCAAGCAGGAATTTGATGTGGTTGTTTTAACACTAACGGAATAAGGAAATTGGCTGATGTGCTTCAGGCATACAAAGAAAACACGAGGGAACTCATGGAATATCATCAACATTTACTGTAATATTTCATCTTATAAATCGTTATCAATTCACAATGAAATGGCCCGAGATACATTCAAGGACTGGCGATTGCTACTTACGTGAAATACACCGTTAAAAAGAGACAAGGGGAAATAAAAAATACACAAAAGAGCTTTGCGAATCACAACACAACCAAAGGACACTCGCACACTATACGCACACTGTCCCAAAATGATAATCTTTTTTTAACCATACCTGCAAAAGTTGAGATCCACGACCCCCTCTTCCTGCCATCGATTAAAAGAGCAACGTTTTTAAAACAAAATCAAGCTGTACAAGATATTCTAAAGTGAGTAAAAAGCCATGTTTTTCATCAATAAAACAAACACTTTCTCTGCGTGTGTAGAGAGCAGTTATAATCACTCTGTAATCTGATACTTAGCGCGAAATATAAAATGCCGCCTTGTAAAATTCAGGTGTATTGCGGGCAAATCAAACTTGTGCAGTATATTTTCAATTTTCCTGGCAAAAATCGCTTTTCTTTCCTAAATAATAAAATACCGTACCCTTATCCTGAACGTTAGTGATGATGCATCAACGAAAAATTATATTTTTGTAATTCCTACGCATTTGCAGCAAAGGTATTTTTGGATTTAAATTTCCAACATGGCGGGTCATATTATCGGATTATACTTTCGGCCTTACGACAGGGGAACGGAAATACGTCGAAATCCACCCGACTACGGTACGAACGCATACAATGACGTCATATATGTTGACAAATGTAGTCCAGTGTTTATATTTGAAAGTCGTTGTCTTCTTCAAAGTTTAATTTCTTTTTTAAATCATTCTATTTTAAATGCCACCACCAAAGATTGATAAATCACATGGTTTCATGCAATCTATAGTGAAAAATCAAGTTTTACGAGACGAATACGACAAAGAACAGAAGCTTTTGACGAGTGAAAAGAGAAATGAAGAATGTTTGAAAAATGACAGATTAATAGCATCTCCTGTTGTCGAGACGGAGACGAAGCGAAATCGTACGCAAAGAAGAGAAGCAAAACAGTTATACGTGCCACCTCATTTAAAAAAACGAGGCGTCGAGGAACTACGTTAGTTTGAGTATTGATATTGCTTTGCATGAATAGTTTAAATGGATGGTATTTAATCACAAATGTTCTTGGAATAATTGTGACTTGAGCTCATCAAATAAGAGATCAAAAACTATCAAAACTGTGCAGGAAACATGAAGACATAGTTGTGGTACAAAGAACATACAGTAGACTCACTCAAATTGGAACTATTTTAACTTTGGGTCCCAAGGCACATCACCTACCATTGTCCACCATCACTTTGGCCATTCAATGATATCTTAATAAGCTTTATGGCCAATCATCACACTGAACTGGCTTGTGCCACATTACTATATCTAGTCAACAGCATAAAAATTGGCTACACATAAAACTGAATATCACTACTGTATGTCCAATAATATTGTGACAATATTACAACCCTCCTGGAATTTAACTTCTAGAAAAATGGTTGAATTTTACATGCTGGTTATGTGGTCCAAAACTAGTGGTAAACTCTGACTTTTTTTGTATTATTTTGCTAGAAGAAACAAAAACGAAAGAAGCAACTCCTGAGGTTAAACAGGAATTAAAGAGGGTGAAAAAGGGCATATCACGAAAAGATGAAGAATCAAGAATCTTGTTTAAGTTTGAATATGAAGGAGATAATGGTGAAGTGAGGTCAATCCTTGTGAAAGAGGTAAGGTGGTGTAAATAAGGGATAGTGAGGAGTTTCATTGATTGTGATGGATACATAGTGTTGATAGATGATACATTAGGATGATAGGTGATAGATGGTGATGTGAATGATACATTGGGATGATAGATAGTGATGAATGAAGTACTATTGTTGTTTCTTTCTAGGATGACAATGCCGAAGATCTGGCAGAGACGTTTGGTAATCAGCTTGGGCTAACAAAGACACTTAGAAAGGCTCTACAACTCAGACTAGAAATGGAAATTAAAAGTTGTTATAGTTAATGAAACTAAATATAAATAATAAGAGCAAGGCTGTTACTGATAGACAGCTTGTTAGCTATTGTAAAATGGATTGATATATTGTACGATAATGAAAAAAAACTATGCATATGGAGTTTAGTTTTGCATGTGATATACTAGCCAGCAAATAAACAGATGGACTTTCAAAACAGCAATGCTTCTTGGAGCAAATGTGCTCATTTTGAAAGCGATTCTTTCTGTACTGAAAAGGAATATGTACTCTGTAATTGCCAAATTTTATCGAAATAGTTTCAACAAGTGTTTTAATAAATACTGTTAGTACTGCTGCTTAAATATTAGATAATTGTCAGTCATGCATATGCATCTCTCATACATTTTGAGAACATTAAGTAGGCCATCATCCTAACATATTATTTGCAAAACTTGGTTATCATTAAATACTGACATCACAGTAGGTTATTTTACAATGTGAAAATTTAAAAATTACACTATTCATTTGCAATTATGTACATTTAAAATCTGATACTAAAATTATGTACATTGAATATTAAAATTGCATAATTGGACTTCATTTCCGATTCATTAATTATTAGCTATAAATAAGTTCCTACCATCATGTGTTTTTAACCAGATAAGAAGCTGGCACATAACCCTGTTTTCCCCTGGCTTCAACTAACCACCATTCAGGGCTACCAGAAACGTCATGGTGTTCTATCACTCTAACAAGTTCACCAGTAACCACATCCAATTCATTTGGACCATCAGATTTAAAATCATACTTCACAAGATGGTCAACAACTGAAGGTTTCAGCACACCACCATTTCTGGTTTGTCCAGCATTTAGTACCATACTGGATTGTCCAGATTTTGCTACCATACCACCTTGCCCAGTATTTTTTGTCATATTTTCACGTTTTGTAACAATGCTAATGTTTTGGCAAGGTGCCAGAAAGCTTGATGGTACAAAACCTATTTTACCATTGTGCTCACATTTCCACCATTCATTATGACCAAATGCATCATGGTATTGTGTCACTCTGACAATGTCATTCTTATTCACAGAAAGTTCAGTCGGTGCTTCTGCAGTAAACTCGTATTTTACAATATAGTTTGAACTTCTAGACGGGCTTCCCTAAAAACGTACAAAAGAGTTATGTATTCCTCTGTAGTCTGTAAAATAAGCTGTCGTGGTTTGTGTCTGAACTACCTGAGAAAGATATCTCAAACGTGGCGATCTAGTGTAGGTAGTATCAGTCTACAATTAGCTGTTGTGGTTGTGTCTGAACTACCTGAGAAAGATATCTCAAACGTGGTGGTCTAGTGTAGGTAGTATTCTACAATTAGCTGTTGTGGTTTGTGTCTGAACTACCTGAGAAAGATATCTCAAACGTGGTGGTCCAGTGTAGGTAGTATTCTACAATAAGCTGTCGTAGTTTGTGTCTGAACTACCTGAGAAAGATATCTCAAACGTGGTGGTCCAGTGTAGGTAGTATTCTACAATAAACTGTCGTGGTTTGTGTCTGAACTACCTGAGAAAGATATCTCAAACGTGGTGGTCCAGTGTAGGTAGTATTCTACAATAAGGTGTCGTGGTTTGTGTCTGAACTACCTGAGAAACATATCTCAAACGTGGTGGTCTAGTGTAGGTAGTATACTACAATTAGCTGTTGTGGTTTGTGTCTGAACTACGTGAAAAGAGAAAGTTCACTCACCTCCAGATCAAGGTCAACTCTTTTTCTTACGAGTAAACTTCTATCAGCAGCACTGACTGTACGCGATCTCACCACACCCCCACTCCTGCTCCCAGCCACACCCCCACTTGCATCAGATGGAGGCACGGGTGCCTTCCTTTTACTTTCACTCGCGCTTCGTGTCAAGCTCCTTGGATTGAGGAGCTTATTGTCCACTGACTGATTTGATCGCGACGTTTTCTATAAATGGTAGAAATAAAGTTAGTTTAGTTTAGGTTTCCTCCTGTAGTAACACTGTATCAATAAGAGATGATCCTTACTGGGCCTCTAGGAAGAACAGTTTACGGAACTGATAGAGCTATCCAGTATGAATAAAGTTAGTTTAGTTTAGGTTTCCTGCTGTTGTAACACTGGATCAATAAGAGATGATCCTTACTGGACCTCTCGGAAAAACAGTTTAGAACTGAAACCATTAGTTTACCTACCGGGCTAAGATTAGGACGAGCGGCACCAGGCAATGTGAGAGATTTCTTTGATGTAAACGCCAGCTGAAAAACTTCGTGCGAAGCGATTTTACTTTGCGAGAAATCAGAGATGATATCCATATTAACAGCATTCACCACGGAAAGCTGAAAGAATTGGAATGGATAAAATTGACAAAACTATCTGCGAGCGCTTCCATTTTCCCTAAATGAATACCCTGCTTCAATTGGCACTTCGCTTTTTATATAATAACCAGCCACTTGAGTACTGCCATTTATTACCTAATCATGCATATATCTAGCTCACCTGCACTGAAGGACTGAATTGATCCAGTGCCTCTACAAAGAAATTCTTGTGCACACAGGCAAAATTAGTGATGCATGTTTGAAGGAATTTCAGTGACTTTGTATTCAATACAGGCAGTTCATCAAGAAGCTGGGTGTTCAAAGCTTCGTAAGTTTTCTTTGCAAAATCAAGTTCATCTTTTGCCTGAAAAAGATATGAAATAAAACGAGAATATACAACATTCAAATTATACTAACTCGGGATATTAACAATGAAACTATATCACCAAGAACGAACCAAATTTTTTTGGCGGATAAAAATGCACTTTGGCTCAAGTTAAAATGAGATTAGGTCGACCTTAAACACATTTATTGCTATAATAACTTGGTTTTAAGCTAAACATTTGCAGATGATAGTGTAAACGTTTAGTTACAGGAGATGACCTAAATTTGAAATGACTTATCGGCGATTGTAAAAAATGATAATAACACTGTGCGATTTGTGCGCACATGGCCATGCGCAGTACGTCAAGGTACAAACCATTACCTGTCTCCATTTCTCTTGATCTTTTATTTTCTCCACTTTATTTGACAAACTATCGTAATCCAAACATTTATCATGTCTTTTCTGTATCAATCTATGAGGTCCTTGGAATAAATTGATGAGCGTAGTCAACGGTGATAACACCTCCCCATCCAGAACATGTTTCTAGCAAAACAGAGAGGTCAGTGTTAGAATATCATTAGAGTTCGAGGACGGTGGTCTGCACGTGATAAGAGATTTGGATTCTCCTTGAGAATAACGGTTTATCTATCGCTAACCAGTATAATTATTTAGAGCTTATGCCAAAGCAGTTTATACCAATTGGTTCACGAGGTGCTCCCCGATATATCTCTCTGCATCGGTGTATCCCTGTATATCCTTTGCTGTCCCATCGTCCTTGCAAAAATCAGTGATGTTTTCACAGCTCTGAACTTGACTCGAGTGTACATCCTAAACAAACATTACAGGGTAGAAAGAAATATAACAGACAGAGCTGAACTGTAACGAGAGGGGGTAAAATGTGAATGGCTCGAAGATCTGAACTAGTACATGTAGATGTCTGTTGCTATATTCCTAAATTCTCTGTAGCTAAATTGCACAATACAAACCTCAAACAGCTCCAGGTACTGGGTGATGTTCTTTATTAGGTTTTTGGCTGTTTTTTCAATCTGATAAAATAATCTTTCATTTTCGTTGAATTTCTCATCCACTGTCTAAACAATCACGCAGAGAAATAAATGGTGAGATCCAAGCTCGCACGAAATGATATGTTTTCTTAGGTAGTTCAGACACAAATACAACCGCAGGTTCTTGTAGTTTACCTGAGAGACAAGTCCAGTAAACTGGGTTATTCTTTGATTGAATCTTGACGACTTTTTCAGCAAAGAATGCCAGGTGAACTTTTGGAATTTCGTCGACAATCCCGACTCCTCTGCTTTCTGATATTTTTGCACTGAAAATAAGATAAATAAGAGATGGCTTTTACTGGATTCATCCTGATGGAAGATACCAAATCATATCATCATCACACTCACCTAATTCCTTTCTTCTCTTAAATTCATTCACATCATTGGCTGCAACTGTCATAACTTCGATAGCTTCAATTAACCCTGGCTTGTCTGGATGATCGTCAGGAGTATTCTAGAATATAGAAACATTTTTTAATACCAGCAACAGGATGCGAACTAAAATGGCGGGAAAGGACTGGGACTATTTGTCAAATAAAAATCCAATTCTTGGTTGAAACAACTCAATATCTCTTGAAATGTAGTTTATTTTGGTCTCAAATTTATGTCAGAGTTATAGTTCTTATGTTTGAAAATAATTACAAAATTTCGACTGGTTTTATAAAGAATAACAAAAGATATAAATAATAATGGATAATTTAAATCTGCTGCAGAATGGATTTCTATTCTGACAACTCTACTGAGAGCGCTGATTGGCTAGAAATATGAGCTTGGACACCTGGATGGATATGTTGCGTAATACAATGTTTTTACACACTACATTTAAACTACTGGGGACGGTTGTTCGAAAGGCGTTTAGCTTAAACGGTGGATAAGCCAAATTTCAAAAACACTCTCATAGATGTTGTGAATGATTGAGCCTGCATCTTGTGCCATAAATACGTACTTCCATTGAAAATTAAACTATTTACATGGAAATATTTCAGCTCAGTTGTTCCATAAATAGATAATTTGGTTTTCCATTTCGAACTTATCCACCGTTTAAGCTAAACGCCTTTCGAACAACCGGCCCCAGTTGAGGAAATTTTACCTTCAAAAGTTCATTCAAAAGTAGAGGATACTTCAATATACGTTGCACGGGTTTTATGAGAAATGACGACAAATCCCAACAATTTGAGAACTCCCTTTAAAAGAATACAAATGTTTTCTATCGCGCTACATACTAGATTTTTAAGACATGATAAATGATATTATGAGTTATCACTTTACCTGATAGATTCCAGACATTTTTGGATATATTGTCGAGTTTCCTCGTTGTTAGAACACTGTAGGTACGGAGAGGAAATAAATTAGCACTGATCGTATCAGACGTTGACAGGTTCAGAAGATTAAGCGTAAAAACAACTAAATTACATCCAGTTAGTGTTATATCGCATAACCAGCTACATTCAAATGAATGTATTCACCTTTTCAAGAAAAGCGATAGCTTCATCGTGATTTCTGCAATATTTCCCATAAACCATCGTCATCTCTTCGGAGAAATCGACAAAGCATTTTCCTGAAGAAAAAAAGTTTTAAGAGATCGTATGTATCTACTAAATGTTACTGTTTGAAACAGAACACGGACAAAATGGATGCTTCACAAACCAACGATCTGTTCGTTGATGTCAATATCGTCAGTAGCACTCTCAAGTCTTTCTAGTAGTCTGCTTGATAAGTCCGCGACGTCTTCCATATTACCAAACAATAAATCACAGTCGATTGCTTCGACCTGGTTGAGAAAAGGACAGTTGTAGTTGGATATACGTGTAAAATTATGCAAGACTGTCACCGTCATTATCATCATCATCACGATAATCATTATCATCACCATCACTGTTACTATGATCAACATCATCACGATAATCACATTATCAGCATTATCACTGTCATCAATGATCAACATCACAATCAATTGATTTGACATAAAACTACCTTCCATTCAATGAGGTTCATCATGAAGTTTTTCAAACAAAGATTGAGATCGCGACCAAATGATTTCTCGGTTGCCAATATTTCGTCAATGATTTTCTTACGATGTGTCACATCCTTTTCTGGAAATTCTTTCGTAACTTCTCCTTTAAGCTGACTCACAAGATCTACGGCAAAACGTCACAAAGTCGAGTTAGTCTGGTGTTTACTGCATTACAATGAATGCTTTACATTCAATCTTCATCACTGCAGAACTGCCAGTCTACTGTTGCTATTAATACTAGCCTGACTAGTCCAGTACTTACTGCTTTGCAATGTTTTATTCAGTGTTTCACTTTCAACCTTTCTCGATGTCAATTGATCATTGCAGTACCGCCAGTCTGACTGAGTGTTGACTGTTGCTACTAATACTAGCCTGACTAGTCTAGTACTTACTGCTTTGCAATGTTTTATTCAGTGTTTCACCTTCAACCTTCCTCGATGTCAGTTGATCATCGCAGTACTGCTAGTCTAACTGAGTGCTGACTGTTGCTACTAATACTAGCCTGACTACTCTGGTACTTACTGCTTTGCAATGTTTTATTCAGTGTTTCACTTTCAACCTTCCTCAATGTCAGTTTATAATTGCTGTACTGCTAGTCTAACTGAGTGTTGACTGTTGCAACTAATACTAGCCTGACTAGTCTAGTACTTCCTGCTTTGCAATGTTTTATTCAGTGTTTCACTTTCAACCTTCCTCAATGTCAGTTGATCATTGCAGTACTGTTAGTCTAACTGAGTGCTGACTGTTGCAACTAATACTAGCCTGACTAGTCTAGTACTGACAACAATCTCACGTTCTTACAGTGAAAGTGGTCTTCACACTCACCCAGCAGAGAGTCTAACTCCGACTTCAAATTCTTAATCGCTTTGTCGCAAAACGAGATGTTGTCCTGGAGTTCATCTCGTTCCTCGTCTTCCTCACAACCTGACAGGAGCGACTCCAAGTTCATCTTGGTGTCCGTATTCTCCTAAATAATAGAAATATGTTGAAGAACCTGTCACAAGAATTGATGACTGTTTGAATCAGAGAAGCAGAAAACGACCAACATACCTTAATGCTTTCCCGCAATTGCTCAATTTTCAAATCGATTTCCTCTTGTGATGAGTATCCATCCAGAAGCTTCATAAGCCGTTTCTTTTGATCTATTAAAACACAAAATTCCTTCATATCAAGGTCTGTTTATACGATCCAATTTTGTTGGATCCAATTCACTTCTGATGGATGTTTTACAGTCTGTTGACTTGCAAAGTATATTTCACCTGAGGTTTAAAAATGAATATTCTTTACCTTCAATTTTCTTCAACTGTTTTCTCAAATCTTCAATTTTTCTTTGGGTGATTCCCTTCTTTGCTTCCAGCTCCTCTCGTCTCGAGGTATCTTTGTTTACAGTCTCAATCAGAACAGCCACGCCTGACAATATTTGGTTTTCTTTCTGTAATTCATTCTTCAATTTCGTTATTTGCTCGTCCAGTTGTTCAATAATTGGGAAACCTTGGTTCGAACCACCTTAATGCGGAAATAAAGATTTTGAAATGGCTTACATGCATGCATGAAGGATCAGATGATGTCCTCACACCACACCACACCACACCACACCACACCACACCACACCACACCACACCACACCACACCACACCACACCACACCACACCATACTATACCAGCATATCATAACTGTATCATATTACCATACCAGTCTGTACCACACCATACTATCCCACCCTACTAGATACATAAACCATACCTTGTTCTGTCAAGGGCTTCCTGGTTCGTTTAGCAGGCACTGGTTTTTGTGTCTTTCCTGACTCTCGTAGCTCATTCAAAGACGGAGAATTCTGCCGTGAACTACTCTTCTCAAATGCATCCGCCTGTTCCATCAATTTACTTGAAAGAGCGTCAGGCGTGGATGAACGTGAACGCGAGACATCCACTCTTGGTGGGGGAAGGGGACGCCCTCGACTTTGTTCAGGGGAGAGCGGTTTCGTTAGATCTTCCTCTAAGGACCTGTCCAGTAAGGTTTTGTAAGACATACGTGGTGACTCCCTTGGACTCTTGTTTCTCGATATGGGCGTGGGCTTGGGCTGGGTTTTGGCGGGACGTGAGCTAGTTGTTGAGTCATCTTCAAATTTCACCCAATTGTTCTCTGGAATTTAGAAGAAAAAACAACTTTACTACAATAGTTTGTGTCTAAACGACGTGGTGGTGGCCAGTGTACAGTATATAGGTGGTATTCTACAATAAGCTGTCGTGGTTTGTGTCTGAACTACCTGAGAAAGATATCTCAAACGTGGTGGTCCAGTGTAGGTAGTATTCTACAATAAGCTGTCGTGGTTTGTGTCTGAAACTGAGAAGAGAAAGAAAGTATTCTACAATAAGTCCGTGGTTTGTGTCTGAACTACCTGAGAAAGATATCTCAAACGTTGTGGTCTAGTGTGGGTAGTATTCTACAATAAGCTGTCGTGGTTTGTGTCTGAACTACCTGAGGAAGATATATCTACCTGAAATCTTCACCAAACTGTATCAAACACGTACCATTTGGTTTCACAAAACCAGAATGTTTCCCCGTAGGTGTGACAGGTTTAGGTGGCAAGACAGGTTTAACTGGCAATGAAACAGGTTTAACTGGCAATGAAACAGGTTTTGCTGGTTTCTTCAAGAAATCTGGTTTGGGCGCTATGAGTGGTTTAGAAGCAAGTGGTTTATTCTGATCTGTCCTGGGAGTCCTTGGTTTAACTTGAAAAGATGAAACAAAATTTTCTTCAGATTCAAATGTATTTCCGTCATTTTTCAATGTGCGTGGTTCCGCGTTTTGCTCGCTCATCTTTCCATTTGAGTTTTCTCTATCAGTGATAACACTTTTAGAAATACTTGTTTCAAATTCTGAACTTAAGTTCAATCCATCTAGTTGCGCGTGCAGTTCGAGAAACACTGCCGGACAAACGCCAGTATTTTCATCCTTTCTTGCTAAGACCCACTCATCATCATAAATTTGCTCTATCAAAACTAAATCCCCAACCTCAAGGCACAGGTCACCGTCGATACAGCTTTCATAGCTATAAATAGCCTTGGCTTGGTCCCCAGTCGTAAACGGCGAGCTCATGAATTCCTCTTTCACAGGGGGTGACACCTCTCCACTTCCAACTCCCCCTCCAGATCTAGAAACTTCTTCAAAGTTCTGAGGTAGCTCCTGCTTGATTTGAACAAAGGAGGAGGGGAAGATGCCCACCTGGTCATGACACTCCCCCTCAATCCACTCAGCGCTCACCCAACGGTGAAGGAACACCACCTCACCCTCTCTAAACGACAGCTCTGACGATGTCTCGCCAACAAACGGATAGACTGCTACAGCATATGGCACATTAATCCCATCATCCCCCCCACTTGAAAAATGGCCCCCAGGCAACTTCTTATCAAGGGACAGGTCTTGCCCTCGGGGCAATTGCTGTTCGTTAGTAGAGGGCTGTGTTACGGTTACTGCTTGACCCCCCGGTAAAGGTACTAAAACTTCCACAAAAGATTTTGGGAAAATTCCTGTGATTCCATCACAAGTTCCTTCAAACCATTCTGCGTCAAATTCCTTTGTCAAGGCAATTACTTGACCAGACGAAAAGCTGAGCTCCAATTCAGTTAAGGCTTTGAAATCAAACAGTGCTTTTGCATGTGCAGTTGAATTTGTAATGTGCTCTTGAGGTGGGGTTTGTTGATTGTTTATTTGCGGTTTTGGCTCAGTCACATTCTTAACATTCACAGCAAGATCAACTTGTTGTGGTGCAGGGGAATCATCCAAACCCTCAACCATGTGTATGGGGAAGAGCCCAACTTCACCTTCAATACTCCCACGGCACCAATGCTCATCAACATGGCTCAAAAATGTCAATTTATCTCCTCTGAAAAATGTGAGCATCCCATCTTCACCGCTAATATAAGTATCATTTGCAACAACAGTCTTCCCAGATGTTGCTGTACTTTGGGAAGCAGAGGTAGATCCCAGGTTGACACCAGCTGCTGAAGATGTTGTTAAGGGCTCAACAAAGTTTGCTGGAAAAAGACCAGAATTTCCTTCATGCTCACCCTTAATCCAGTTCTCATTAATCAAGTTTAGAACTTGAATGACGTCTCCGGCGTTAAAGTTAAGATCCCCAGTTTCACAAGAATGGTAGTCGTACAATGCCCTTACAAAGGATTTGGCCATCGATACTTCTGGATAAAATACAAATCATTCATGTACATTTCATTAAGATTGTGGGACTGAACAAGTGCATATGCTCCACTTATCTACCCAAATCAGACAGGGCTAAATCAAAATCTTATGAGGCTTGCAGCATATTACAGAAACCTGGCATTTACAATCAGATTTGCATATATTTTTATTGCATATCCTAATTATAACTTGATTATGTCTAGCACTTAAACACGACTCAATGCTTGCCATTAAATAGCAATACAGGGGACTTTGACAACCCTGTTAACATAATGTAGATTGTTCAACAGACACAAATTCCTGAGGGATGCAATGATGCATGTTGATTGACAGTTGATTCACGAACCTTTCAAGCAATAACCTGAGAATGGAATCAGATAATAAGATAGTGCTAATACTTATACTCTGTCTAATGGCAGATAATTTTTATTGCAGAGCAAAGTACTGCCAGTTAACAGGTGCTAGCAGAGTAATACTAAAACAAATTGCTAACTGCTGCGGACACAATGTGACATAATGCATCGTTGCACTTTATTAACTCTAAAAAAAAATGCTTGACAGAATTTTACCAATGATTTCATTGATTTGTCAAGATTCAAGTGTTAAGAAAAACGCCTACCACCACGTGAATACATCTTTGAAATAATTCTAAATCCTTAGAAATGAAAATGAAATGATACTTTCGTAAAACCATAAACACTTCCGTGTACTTTATATAAAATTATTTGAATAAATATTTTTTTTCATAGCGGAAATTATTACATGTTTACAACTAGAGCAGACATCCTTTCGAATCAAAATAAAAAATATTCTTTATGTACTTGCCGTCCGTGCCTTCCCACTCTTAAATACCATGAAATTTCTGGAAGCTTTAACAAGTATTCTTTATGAAATTGTTTATAATCAGAAGACACTTGTGAAATATTTCAACATCGTCGAAACGGCAGATTATGACAAGAGACAAACAAATACTAATCATTAATACACCATAACCGTCGGCATTTTCCACATATTTTCGCACAAGAATATGAAAATTGCGGTGTAGTTTACTAACCTTTAAAATAGACATAATCTTTCGCCAATCGACTACAATATAAATACAAAAGATAGAAATTTAAACATCGTAAACACGTATTTTATGTATTTTTGATTTGTGGTTAGATAATTTTCGACATTTTACGTCCATCTTGTGAATACTTCATATAAGGAAGACGTCCAGCCATAGATGGATGATCATCATGGATCCTTGCTTGTTAACCTGGGTTCCTGGGGAATGAGAGTTTTCCTGTTCACTAAATTCCAATAAAATTCCACATCTGCCACTTCATGCATTACCACTGCAAGTGATTCTTAAACAAACGTCTAGTGATAGTCATCTAGTGCACACATACTTTATCAGTCTTCTCCTTACCAAACTAAAAAACTCTTTATGAATGTTTATTTATTGACTTAGAACAGCTTTAGATTGGCAATTTTAACCGCTACAGTTATTTCTATAGCTTCAATTACATCTTATGTTATAAGAATTTTAACATACTCATGATACGATTCGAAGGTATCTCTAGAAAAAGTCGCTCGGCTATTTTTTATAAAAAATTGCCCATGATGTCTCAAAACAGAGCGGTAATTACAGTATATTGGCTCATATAGTTTACAGTCAATTATTACACACTTAATAGGATTGCTTTCAAATGGGTAATTGTATATATATTCTCATCTTGTGCGAAAGCTAACTATCTTGCATGTTTTGGAGTGCTTGACAGACTCCGATATGGTTCATTTTTCTCCTCGCTCGATCGTTTTCTAAAGCGGGGAATAAGTTGTTTGAGAATGGTAAGATACCATTTGGTATGGTATGTTGTGGTAAGGAGTACTGTGGTATGGTAACGTGTGGTATGGTATGGTAACGTGTGGTATGGTATGGTATGGTATGGCATGGTATGGTATGGTAACGTATGGTATGGTAACGTGTGGTATTGGTATGGTATGGTATGGTATGGCATGGTATGGTATGGTAACGTGTGGTATGGTATGGTATGGTATGGCATGGTATGGTATGGTATGGTATGGTATGGTATGGTATGGTATGGTATGGTATGGTATGGTATGGTATGGCATAGCATAGCAAAGTCATATGATTACAGATGTACTATGGTACGAGGATTTGGATACAAGCGTTGGTGCCCAACTGGTCTTACCTCTTCTTAATATGGTTGTTATTTCTTTTGTTTTCTTCTCTGACTTCACTGTCTGAAGTCTCACTGTCACTGGAACATGACGAAGAAGAGGATGACGAGCAGCTGCTGGACGAGTCGGACTGGACCCCAGTATCATCATCAGTAATCCTCCTGTCTGCTATCTCAATAAGTTCAGGACGCTCTTTCTGAAAAAAAGATTCAATCAACTCTATCAGTTCTAAACTGTTCTTCCTGAGGTCCAGTAAGGATCATCTCTTATTGATCCAGTGTTACTACAGGAGGAAACCTAAACTAACTTTATTTATACTGGATAGCTCTATCAGTTAAAAATTATCACCAGACTGGTTCTATTACTACTGTACCTGCAATCTGCGATACCACTGCCTGGACAGCTTTGGTCGTCCTCTAAAACAGAAGTTTCGATTCAAAAAACAATATCGATAGATGAAAAATGTAAACAAAGTACTTTTGTAGCAATACCTGACAGTTTTCGGCCAAACAATATGGAAGTTAGTTGGACTACAAAAGTTTTGAGTAACGGCAACCGTAGTATCCAAGTTTAATACGACATGCCACCACCCAGCAGGGACGAAGACAGTTTCACCAGGACATTGTAGAAGTTCCAGCTGGGAAAACGAAAAAAACATAATGAATTACAACATTTAACTTTAGTCTGAAGTGAATAAAGTTAGTTTAGTTTAGGTTTCCTCCTGTAGTAACACTGGATCAATAAGAGATGATCCTTACTGGACCTCTACGAAGAACAGCTTAGAACTGATAGAGCTATCCAGTATAAATAAAGTTAGTTTAGCTTAGGTTTCCTCCTGTAGTAACACTGGATCAATAAGAGATAATCCTTACTGGACCTCTAGGAAGAACAGTTTAGAATTGATAGAGCTATCCAGTATAAACAAAGTTAGTTTAGTTTAGGTTGGACCTGTATTATGTCCGGAACAATGAGAAGCAAACTGTAGTAACACTGGATCAATAATAAGAGATAATCGTTACTGGAAGCACAAAAAACTCTACCCTTACCGGTGCATACTCCTGAGGCCAAGATGGATCTTTGATCTTTGGGTACATTTTATGAAACCACGTAATGGCTTCCCCTTTCTGATTTCCTCCCTCTACGGTAGTTAATTTCACAACCTCCCTCGGAGTATGAGTGGGGAACAAGACCCAGCGCTTGTGTCCAGAGATAAGGCTGTTCCAAGCACTTGTACCAAGTGGGTCGATGTGTATACCAGTACCAGACCGTGCTGGTCCTAATACAAACCATCTGAAGAAACAGAAATGAGTCGCTCTGTTACATACACACGAAGCAATTTGAATTTTGCTGCAATTTGCAAGATAGTTTGGCATTACAGAGTGATGTTTAGGTCTAAAGTGTATCATGTTTAGGACATTTTGAGCATGAAAAGTTATTTTAAATAGTGATATCGGAACGTGTTTATTGTTTTCCTGATGTTGCAAAAGAATTTAAACGGTAGCTAGAGTCAATCAGACAAGAATTCAGACAAACAGATTCCTATTCGTCTTCTAGTTTCCTACCTATACGGAGGTCTTTTTGACTCGCGACAATATCGGAATAAATCATCGGCAAAATACTCCGGAACTTCGTAATCTTCCAACAACCGTCTTCGTTTGTGATGCTGTAAAATTTACAGAGCAAAGGTACTCGTCTCTCGATAGAAGAAGCTCTTAAATCGAGAGCTTAAAAAGTTCTCCAGCATGTTTTTTGACCGACTAATAAGCTTATTTTGTCTGTAATTTACAAGGAGCAATATGCAGAGAGTTTATGACTGTGACTGATAAAAAATATGTTTATGACCTCATTTGACAAAGGCATTTAGGTTTTAGTAGGGTTAATACGCTGAATTATTTTAAGAAGAAAACTGCTTTCTATACTGATACCTAATTTTTAGCTCATGTTTACAGGAAAGTATTACGGACCAAACCCATTTTGTAATTTGAATCCCTATATTTTCATTATAAACTTGTTTAATATTGTTACCAATGCAACCAAATATCAATATGAGATTAAGTAATCTTATCATCTTGTCTGGGTTAAAAGAGAATGCTTTTACAAAAAATATTGAATGCAAAAGAAAAAAATATGTAAATATTGATATAATTTTGATGTTATACCTCGCCATATGAGCTATCAAAAATGTACAAAGGACTGTCATCCACTGTGGTTTTAATATATTGCATGTAGTATTTTAGTTTCATCTTCACAGAGTAACCATCATCATCTTCACCAACTTTAAATTTCTGATTTCGATATTTTTTAACCAGCCTCTGTGAATAAACAAATACAATTATGTGACTTTTCAAATTTATAATATACTCAGATCATTCCATTACACTGTACACTTTATTAACAAGTATATATTTCAGCATGAACTAAACTAACATACACTTGATCGAAAAATTGTATTTAGCTTTCTGTGCAGTCAAAAATGAATGTGAGTTAGTTAAGTTTAGGTTTCCTTTCCAGGAATAAGGTTCAATTATCTGACCTCTAGAGTCCATCTTCTCATGGCAGGCCACGAATCTAAGCAATGTGTGATAACAACAGGTTTCAGTGGCCTTTCAAACTTTTCAATAAACTCTTCATGAGATATCTTATTGCAGTTTATTCTTGGAACATTATCTGTAAAGCTGTCAAGGCTGAGGTCAAATGTATCATTAAACTTGTACTTGGTCCATCCATCCACCTTCAGCTCTGGAAAAACAAAATATGTAAAATATTTCACCAAGCATCCACAATGCTCTCCACAATTTGTTCTGATTGTATTGATTGGCTGTACCTGCCTACCTGGGTTACATTCCAGTCCTATTTTGAATTGTAAACTTAGGGCAACTATCATGTTCGCCTGAACTCTCCAATCCAGAAGTGTCTGACATCCGAATGCGAAAAGTATGTTGCCCAAGTTCATAGAAATTAGTATTTCACACTTTTTTGATCACATAATACTCACTTTATGAAAATCACCAACTTTGCGATGATATATTTTTGATATTTTTTAAAACTTTTTGCAACCAAACTTTGCAATTTTACCTAATCTGGGATGATTTTTTCAGCTGTAAAGCCCGGTACCGAGAAATTAAACTTAGCTTAAAAGGGACATGGTCCATAATTTCTGCAGATACTTGGCTTAAAAAACTTTATGTGAAGCAGCTATTATGTGAATGCAAGTAGCACGCATGAGGAGCTATTGATCTTGGGCACACATATCAGTATGAATCCCAATGAAGTATTCACAAGATCTTACTACGCATTGATAGATGATGAAAAGAACACACATGGTTTTACCTTTTTACAAGTGAAAGTACCGTAATAAAAAAATCTACCATTAAAAGTCTACCATTAATGCATTAATATTATTCTTACCGGGCCTGGCACTTGCTTTTGCCTTCTTGATGCGCGATTTTGACTTCGAGCTGATCTGAAAATCCCTCATATTGAAATGATCACACGAATAAACTAATCATGTACTAGGAATTTCCTCAGGCAAATGAAAGACTGTCAAGTGCGTCTATGTTTAAATTCTTTATTGCGTTCATGAATTAATCACATTTGTTTAAGCTGCTGAACATCGATTCCTCTTTCAAAAGCCACGCTAATCCTTTTGATTCGTTTTCTCGTTAAGCTTTACAAATTATTTTAAAGACAAACTTTCATGACCAATACATTCGGAACGAGCCATGCTTCTTTCCATGTTTTGTGAGTTACCCGCAGTACTTCATGTCTCAATAAACAAAACCGTATGGACTGACAGGTGATTTAGGTACCGTTACCCATAGAGATTATAAATAACACGTTTTATTTATAATCTCTATGCCGTTACCACCCTCCCCCCTCCGGCGCTTAACTTTGGGCCCTTGATTTTCTGATGCCTGGAGGAAGTTATTAGTTATATTCAGTTCTGTCAGACGAATTTTTTTCTAAGCTATTGTACTTACAAGACAAATCCGTAGGACAAAACTGAACATATGAATAAACACGCGTGAGTGGAGGTAAAATTTGACTATAACAATTTAGAGCATTCTATTCAGAAGGTCCCAGTTTTCAGTTCAATGCCCAGTTCACAAGATTTACCCAGATTTACCTGCATGTCCGAGGTGCGAATAAATGAGTCGAAGCGCACTGTATTTCGCTAATTAGCATAAACGGCACAATAGGCAGCTCTGACGTGACATGCCCATGACGTTAGATGCCGCATTTTTTAAACCAATATTTGCTTTGACTTCTGGAATATCAGAATATCTTTTTCAAATGCCATTAACGTTTGCAATTAAGTTCCGTGCGTCGTTCGTCTGTCTTTGCTCAAAGATAAGATAACTAAAACAACACAATATATTATTGCCATTATTGACGTTGTTCAAATCGACTTTCCGCTTCCGCTGGTTAATGGTTGCAGATATCCAGTCTCTTCTCATTAAACGAAATGTTTGGTTTCCGCATTCGAATGGCGTCCATGTAGCTAGTCATAGTAGGCAAAGAGATGTAATGATGCTTGGGTTTACACAAAGAAATAAGTACGACCGTGGCAGGAGTGCCGAATACCTCCTTTGAAGTGACTGAATTTATCAGTATAAGGGTTGTTTTTCACTGTCGCGTTTTTTGTACGTACATACACGCACGTAAACGTTTAAATTCATTTAAATGATACTTATGAAATCAACGATTGAATATAGATGCATAGGGTTGAATTCCGTTGATGATTTACTTTGTTTTTTCTGGCATAAAGTTAACCATGCATACAACATGTTACTTAGAAGGTTTTAAGCTTTTACGTGCGTGTACGTACGTGTAAAAAACGCGACAGTAGAAAGCAGCCCTAAATAAACACCGCGTCACAAGCTCGCTTTTGCGAAGAGTACAGGAAAGTAAAAATATTCCGAAACATTCACTTCCCAGTTTCACTTTTTCATGCGTCATATTATGTGGTTGTACATGAAAAACATTTAATTATCACAATTAACCGCACAATGAAGATAAAAGCAAATTAGCAAATTAAATGCATAGTTATATTTCCTTTAACATAGCGGAAGACTTGCAGTATCAATAAAAAGTATGCGCATAATTGATGTCGTATTGTTTTTATTGGCAAATTATGCCCTCACTTACAAACACATAAGGAATGATTATACTATTAGATATACATTATGTACTTTATATTATAACCATGCACTCGATAGCCAATATTATAGAACGATCAGCAAACAGTACTGGCAAATATTGTTCGACTAGTTTTCAAACAAACTACTGGAGTTGAAGACTAAAATGTAATGTAAATTCTCTTAAAAACTCTATACCATGGAATTGTTTCAACCATTTTTCAGAGAGCTAAAGCGTCGACAACAACGGTAACTTGATAATATTTTTCAACTAACTCATAAATGTTTTGTACCGAAATATATAGTTTCGTACGTTATTATAGTCATATCCACAATAATAACTCTACCGTCCACAATATTAATCCCACAAAAAGTACATCTTAAATGATCAAATCATTTCTACATATACATGTGGTATATATTGCACGCGAGACACTAATATCAAATATATCATATACATCACTACATGCTTCTGTGCCGTTTGCATTACAGATTGTTCCGAGCTGTAATTAGAACTACCCAATCTTATAATCCCAGAAATGTTACGTCAAAGATAATTTGCGCAGTGAAGGCAAATCAGAATAACTGCAAACCAGCTTAACACAAACCTACAACTCCCATTACTTCCTTCTGGATGACTCGTTGTTGAACCAAACAGAACATTTGCACTCCTTATCCTTTCAGATAAGTCCGATTTCCTTGCGAACTTTCTACTACCTTGAGACTGTTTCGATGACTTTCCCCCCGATTTTTTACCAGTGCGCAAAATTGCGCTGCATCTGCTGCGCGATTTATTCCCCGATTCATTCAGTTGGCCGTTTCGTCGAAGCTTCCGAACAACTTTGCGGAAAATCGATTTCTTGAAGGGGATCGTCCCAACTTGACTATTTATCTCCGCAACAAAATAACGTCCGCGACGTTTGCGCAGAAACGCGATGTATACACCATTTTGTACAGCACGCGAATTGACGCAATGTCCAGGAACATACCCAAAGCCTGAAACATAAACATAATTTGCGCGCAGCTTTCCCTTGAGCACGCAAAGAACTCGAAATCGTGCGTGGTAAGGACCAGATGGTGAAAAGGTGGTGGCGTTTGTCTGGCGTGACAAATGCGGGCTTCGCGTCACCTCACCAACCATTACCAGATCTGCACGAATCGCACGGACGCTTACATCTTTGGCCTGCCAGTATCGAGGCGGAGAGCACCCATCAGCTACGCAATATAACGCCAATACATTCAGGACTACGGTAATTTCGCGTAACCAGCCTAATCCCATGATTCCCATCTCTAACAGGAGGCAATTTATCAACGCAATGTAAACGTACCACCGAGCAGGGCCATTTATCTACACTCTGACACGCGCGAGCCGCGATGATAAGTTAAAATTATGGTGGAGACGAAGCGTCTGTAGCAGAACACGTTATCAGTGCGGACAATGACCGTAGAGGGTCGTTGACAACGCTAGTTTCCTAAGCGTCCAAATGTCTGAACAAGTTTTCACTGTTCTGTTTGTCCGTCTTACGACTGAGATCTGTTTTTAAACCACGCGCTGAAGGGGTTGCTTTTAGACGCAATACGCACAGCTTGTAAAGTTTTTATCTATGCTGGACTCGAATGAAAGCTTGTTCATCCAAAAGCGATTGTCTGGCCACAAATTGCTTGAACAAATATTTACTTACGGCTTCGGTAATGTCGCGTCTATCTGGGAAACCAATCGAAGGAAAATTGAAAAGATGATTTTGGCTCAGAGCCAAGGTCTTGTAGCGGTTAAAATTCAAGGATAGTGTATGATGCGCGAGATACGAAACTCTTCGTGTCAGCCGATACTGATTAATTAAAAATATCCCTAATTAGTTGGTTAATTTGTTAATTGTTTAATTAGAACTTTGTTGTTACCATTTTAAACAAAATCACACAAATTTTCACGAGACATTTACTACTGAGACAAATTCATACATATCATTATATTTCAGATTATCTATAGTTAGCTTTAGAATTCTTTCATTCTTGTTTGATCTTTGACCGCAGTAGCGTTAGACTGAAATCGAAAATGAAATATAATTTACGTGTTGCTTGTTATATAATATTAACAAATGTTTTGGAGAATTATTCAGTTAGGTTAATGAAATTTTATCACGAGTGTATAAAGTTTTAAGTTATTAATTTGATTATGGGTTTATTTAATTTCTGTTTAATTCAATAACAACTAGTAATTAGCCTTTCTCACGATGACGAATATGCCGCCATTTTTGGGGTATTTTTTTCAAAAACAGTGAGCGTAAGACTTGGTAACGGCGACTATTTTTAATTTTAGGCTGAATTTATTCTTCAAATGGTCTGTTTATTCTAAAAAAGTTGTTTTTGATGTTTAAACATAATTTTTAAACCCATTTCAGGAAATTGAAAGTACCCCAAAACGTCATCGTGAGAAAGGCTAATTGGATGACATCAGGGTAATTTTACCCAAAGAAAATGATAAAAACGTCCGCTTACAGGTGCCGACAAGATGGCATGTAAAACGTGCCAAAGAGACTCGGGAAGATCTTGAGAGGGTTATTGAACGTTTTGATTGAAAATTGTGGGATTTTTATAACAACAAAAGCAAGATGCCATGGCGAACAGTAAAATTTGAAAACAATACGAGACATTCTGATCACTGGATCATGACTGTTTGACATGGAAGAAAATGATAATTTGGACATAATTAAAAGGTTTTTGAACCGTTTATTAACTGCCAGTTCAACTGAGCTTTCATAACACAATACATTCATAGATGAGCTTACCTTATAAGTCATCAACACTGCGTCTCTTGGTTTTTGCTTTCACATCGACACTGAATAGTTTCGAGTCTCTGCCACCAGCATTCTGTGCTTTACAAATATACCTCCCAGCGTCTGAGAGTTCAACCACCTTAATATACAACTCCATTCCTATCAATTTTCCGTCCAGAGCGAGCAGTGGCGTTCGCAAGACCCTGTTGCTTGAAGCTGTGGAAATTCGTAGAAAGAAAACTGATTTCAATATTTTTACATCACGGGAATTGGTTGTTTGGACTCAGGTAATTCGAATGGAAGGGATGTTGTAGTGCTTAGTTTGACTACAGCGTCTAGCACTAATATCTGGATTGCTGTAGAATTTATCTTTCTTTAATTTCTATTAATTAATAATACGAAGAGAATCGTTCTATAGCCTGTAACTGTTTCATTGCTAGTCAGTTTAAAGGAAAGTATTCACGCCGTATGTGTCACTCGAACAGCACAGGACAGATTAAAGATCACGATCATGAACTCTGGGATCACGTTAGTAAACGCTCGCGTAGTTGTGTTTAGTGCGGTGTATTGCAACATTCTTCCTCTACCTACCCAGTGGATTTCCTACTCGATCAAGTGTTACCGTAGGGGCTGGATCGCCATCTACGAAACATTCCAGGGTCAATTCTTCTCCAACGTAAGCTGTTATGCTTGAACTAGGAAAAGTCTCTGAAACCTTCGCCGGTGCTGAAGAAACAGAAAGCATGCGGATAGCATTAATTAACATAGTCCAAAGCTCTTTCCACGGCTTCACCCAGGTAAAAAGCTAGTCTTACTCTCGAAAAAGACCGTAAAACCGCTTCAGGTCTGTTCGTACGATCCAATTTCGTCCGATCCAATTCACTTGTACAGTTGTACCACATGAAATGTTGTCTGTTATTGATAAAGCAGTACTGCACCGGCTTTAGTTGATTTGCCACCCCATATGCATTCAACTCAACAGACTATAAACCATCCATCAGAAGTGAATTGGATCCGACAAAATGGTTCGTGTGAACAAACTTTTAGACAGGTCACATTTGATGAGGTCTCCTGAGGTGGTAAATTTATAACAAAACGTATTTCATACCTGCGCAACTGGCCAGAGTTTGGCTGCCAGACGAGGACGTAGTCATTCCTTGTGGACAAGGCGTACAAGAGGTCGAATGAGAATGTTGTTGATATGTACCAACAGGACAAGGCTCGCAAGGTGATGATTCATCATCTAGACCATTCGATGAGAATGTGCCAGGTTTGCATTTGGCTGAAATAGAAGAGAAACTCGAATGGTAGGGTTAGTAGTACTGCCAGTTTACTAAGTAGTGAATTCACAGAATATTTGCTGTATTGTTCATGATTACGAGCCTTACCTATGCAGTCAAATTTCTGGATCGAACCAGTCTGCAGCGTTAGACTTCCTTTCGGACAGGACTGGCAACTGACAACACCCTCTTGGTCGTTGTAGGAGTTTAGAGGACATGGTTTGCATTTATTGTCTGAAGAACTGTGGAAATGACCCGTTCCACAGGGATCTGGATAAAGAGGGAAAGATTATGCATCAAGGAGGATCTTTTACACAATAATCTATCGCAGTTTGTGTTTAAACTGCCCCTTGTCTAATGTTCGTTTCCCGATAATATTCCCAAATATATCGACCGGATTACAGTCTGCATACCAGCAGGAGTTATGCTATCATATAAAACAAAAAATGGGACTCACAGCATTTATTCTTTGCAAGAATGTATCCCAAGTCGCAATATCCATCATCATCCGTGGGTTTCGTTACTAAAGGAAATATTTTTTATATTATTCTTTTACTAGATTACCCTACCTATCAGGTCTAAATTTATTTCCCTAGAGATACAGCAGAAGCACTTTGCTATAAGGAGGAATTAATCTTACCCACACAATCAGGAACCTTCGTAAATGTGGTCCACACTCTGTTTTGATACAACTTGAAGTTTCCTTCGCGACAAATGAAGAACGCGCGATCAGGTAAAGAAGGGTCAGCACTGAAACCAGGATCGCACACCAATCGTACGTAACGTGAATTTCCACTGATTTTTCCATTCTTTGGTGGCACAAGAGAAACGCAGGTAAGAGCTGCAATGATAGAAATCAATGCTGAAACAGTGAAAAAAACCTCGTCATTAAAACGTCTTTCTTATTGACTGAGATTCAGATCTGAACATGCGATTTGACAACGAATGCAAAAGCGTATAAAGTCTGGAAATCTTAGGTTGTTCTATGGAGTTAAACGCCCAATATTTTTTACTAAAATCAACAGAAATACGTTTTAGTTGTTTATTAGATGATTTCACACCGCATTATTTGAGTGATCTTAAAAACTTTAACAATAGCTTTTAGGCCCTGTCTACACGATGCCGGAAGAATTTGAAAACGCAAAAATATTTATCCGTTAAAATATTTTTCCGCGTCCACACGTAAACACAAAAACGGCCTGAAAACGCTAAAGTTATTTGATCCCGCAATACACCTGCATGTTTTCCACCCGTGTGTCACAGGTTGGATGTCGAATTCAAAGCAAGAGTCTACCAAATCCAAAGTAAAAAACAAGAATGAGGCCTTTGTTTGGACAGACGACAAGCCCGAACTCATAAATATTGTTGTTGAGTATCTATTAAATGCGTGTCGTGAATAAGAAATTGTGTATAACCATACTCCGACATTTTGGACATGTTTCTCTCGTAAAATACTTCTGCAAATGCTACAAGAATTGCCGAAGATTTTACTCACGATGAAAATAACCTAAATAAGACTTATTTGAGGCTAATATAGTAATATAAAGTCGAACATAAGCCACCAGACTTGAAACAAGCCTAATTAACATGGAAACGACTTGATACGTGACGTCATCGTTTTCAAATTTATCCGGCAAAGCTGTCCACACGTATCCGCTCAGCCGTCGTTTTCAAATTCTTCCACTCTGGAGAGTGTTTTCAGACTCTTCCGTTTTCAGTGGGCGAAAACGCCGGATACGTGTGGACGATACGCGTAACCGTAAGAATATTCTTGCGTTTTCAAATTCTTCCGGCATCGTGTGGACGGGGCCTTAATGCATCTTACTTCAGAAATTTAATGCTTATAAATAACACAAAATCATTTTACTTCCTAACAGACTATTAGTCTCCCTAGTATTAGCTGATGAAAAATTTGTAAAGGCACGCATGGCCGCCCCTTATGAACGGTAGCCACAAATGAAAACAACTTACGTTTGATAGTTACAGTAAACGAGCAGTTTGCAGAGTTACCAGCGGCGTCGAAAACAAAGTATGATACTTTTGTAGTTGTGCCTCGTCTGAATTGAGATCCTGATGTTTTTGTCTGTAGTTTATTCGTTACGGCAACATTATCGCTGAAAGTTGGTTCGGTCCACGAGACTGAGAACAGGCCATTGTCTGTTGTATGGGATACACTCGCTGGACAGTTGGTTATGATTGGTGGTGTTGTATCTGTCGGAGGAACGATAAAAGATTGGTTAATATTTGATACCACACAACAATACTCCATAATATAGACCCCACACCATACGTAATAATAAAACCCCACTTACTCCTATATGTATACTAACCACCCAAACCCTTATCACACCGAAACTCACCTTTAACAAACACTTGGTAGTTACAAGACTTCACAGAACCTTCTAAGTTACTGGCTGTCCATGTTACCAACGTTTTTCCTGCAGGGAATTCGTATGCGCTGTTTAAGTATCCAGGATGAACAACTAGTTTCTCCATGTTTGAGTTGGGCAGTCTCCATTGTTCGCCCAAGGCAATCGTGCTTCTGTCAGCTGGTAAATCTATCTCCACGTAATGTGGACAAACGATCCAAGGATTTTTGTAAACTGAAACATCAAAGAAACAGTGTTAATAAACAAGATAATTCTGTGGAAACCAGTTAGCTATATCAGTTCTAAACTGTTCTTCCTAGAGATCGAGTAAAGATCATCTCTTATTGATCGAGTGTTTCTACAGAAGGAAACCTAAACTAAACAAACTTTATTTATGCTAGATAGATGGGCTATTATTATGACACTTTAAGCATTAAAACATATTTTACCTCTTTCACAGGTAGATTCCATAGCCTCGCTCCATGATTGGTCAGCTTGACAACTCTTGTACCTAGGTCCCCTCAACGCGTAACCACTGTTACAATAGAACACGCATCGCTGGCCAAATTCGCTACCACTTGGATTGCTGGCGCATGATGCGGGGAAAACGCCTCCATTTACAGGCGCTTGAACCTTGGGGCAGAGCAATGCTGCATACAGAAGAAAAGGCACAATAACTCTTTCTGGTGAATATTACTTGACTTACCCAACCAACTCCATTCAGTTTATTCTATCTGAACCTTTTACTTCAGGAGAGAATCTAAGTTGTACCTGACCTGGACAAACCCTTTGTAAGTAATTTAGCTTGTAGATACACCACGTAAGTATTTAATACTGCAAACTTTCGATCTGTTAACCCGGGTCCTCATCAGTGCAACATGAAACCTTTTTTAAGCAAGAGTTGCGCTCTTTTTATGACTTACGTTTACAGTATGGTGATCGTCCATCAAATGTACCATCAATTTGACAAGTTCTGTCTGTTTGGCCTCCAGTGAGTTGGTAGCCCAGTTGACATGTGTAGGAGCATTTTGTGTCGCGTCTAATGTTCGCTCTCTTGTTATCGCAAATATCCGGTGTCAGGGTTGCGCGGAAAGGTTTGATCAGCGCAGGACAGAGTTTTTCTAGAAAGAAGAAACGAGAGTATGAGAAGGTGGTGATGGTGATGATCATGGTTGTGATGGTGATGATGGTTGTTATGACGGTGGTTATGATGATGATGACGGTGGTTATGATAGTGATGATAGTGGTTGTGATGGTGATGATCATGGTTGTGATGGTGATGATCATGGTTGTGATGGTGATGATCATGGTTGTGATGGTGATGATCATGGTTGTGATGGTGATGATCATGGTTGTGATGGTGATGATCATGGTTGTGATGGTGATGATCATGGTTGTGATGGTGATGATGGTTGTTATGACGGTTTTATGATGGTGATGATGGTGGTTATGATAGTGATGATAGTGGTTGTGATGGTGGTTATGATTGTTATGATGGTGGTAACGATGGTGATGATGGTGATTATAATGAAAGTGATTAATGGTGGTAATGATAGTGATGATGGTGGTTATGATGATAGTGATTATGATTGTGATTATGATGGTGATAATGATGGTTATGATGGTGGTTATGATGGTGGTTATGATGGTTATGAGGGTGATTATGATGGTGATAATGATGGTTATGATGGTGATTATGATGGTGATAATGATGGTTATGATGGTGATTATGATGGTGATAATGATGGTTATGATGGTGATTATGATGGTGATAATGATGGTTATGATGGTGATTATGATGGTGATAATGATGGTTATGATGGTGATTATGATGGTGATAATGATGGTTATGATGATGGTTATGATGGTGGTTATGATGGTTATGAGGGTGATTATGATGGTGATAATGATGGTTATGATGGTGATTATGATGGTGATAATGATGGTTATGATGGTGATTATGATGGTGATAATGATGGTTATGATGGTGATTATGATGGTGATAATGATGGTTATGATGATGGTTATGATGGTGGTTATGATGGTGGTTATGATGGTGGTAATAGTGATAATGGTTATTATGATGGTGATGAACATGGTTATGATGCTCTGGTAGTGATGATTATAGTGATAACGGTGATGATGATGATCACGGAAAATAAGAATGTTTCAATATGGAACGAACCTTCACAACTCTGAAGATCAGCCTTCAGTTTATATCCATCTCTGCAACTACACCAATAACCTCCAGCGTAATTATGACAGTTGTGTTGACAATCTCCATTGTCTGTCTGGCATTCATCAATGTCTAAAACCCAATTTGACTCGTGATACTAACTGTGTTTTGTTGCTTCCCCCACCCCAGGTAAAAACCGTTACAATAAGACTTATGACTGAGGAACTTCAATATTACGTATGCATACCTTTGCAACCATTTTTATCGTTTTCAAGCTCGAAGCCCTTGCGACAATCGCAGTTAAAGCTGCCAACGGTGTTCTTACAGACTTGCTCGCATCCAGCATTGTTGAGACCGCATTCATTGTAGTCTGAAAATTGATGTGAAATATGTGAACCTGATCGTCAACCTTTAAGACATTGCATTGGCTGATCGATGTATGTATGAGTGGAGCAATTTTTTATATTCATCAAAATTTCTTTTCATTTAGATTGTACCTTCGCATTGAGTTTCTGAGTTTTCTTTCAAAGAGAATCCTGATTTACAATCGCACAATCTTCCTCCAGGAATATTTATACACTTCTGTTGACATCCGCCATTGTTAACCAGACATTCGTCAACATCTAAAAAAAAGTTTTTTAAATACCATCAAGATAACACAATCCACACAAGAATAGCTCAAGAGTTACATGCAATTTCGAAATCAGTTGTTTTCCCTGGTTTCCCCCCCCCCCCCCATCAACAGATATACTTCTAAATCTTCATGAACCATTTCGTTCGCCTCGTTTATACGAAGAGAAATCATAAAAAGAAGTAGCTTTGCGTTTCTAAGTTCGGTAAATCATCCGTTAAGGTCTGGACGCAGCCAATGCTCCTTACCAATGCAAGTCGTTCTATCATAGGCCAGCTTATACCCAACTCCACAAGCACATTGGACCTTTCTACCACAACTGTTGTAGCAAATCTGATCACAACCACCATTGTTGAGCAAACATTGATCGCCGTAGCCACCTGGAAAAAAAGCAAATTTTGAATGTAACCACAAGAGGGAATCTACCCTAAACCAAATAACTAGGTCTTGGTGATCTATCACATTTACTCTGAATACGTATATCATGGAGTTCCAAGACGTTAAAGTTGGCTCACCTAATCTTGAATACACCATGACCTCGCACATGGTAAGAATGCCTGTGCCAAACATCTGGACACGAACGTACTGTCCTGGTAACGGAGGCTTGCATTGGACACGCACAGCCTCGTTATCGCGCGCCTGTCCAACACGATCGTGGCACGTGGGGTTGTTTCTGTAGTCGTGTTTATCGTTGCCAATACGGACTTCGAAATTCTTCAAACGGTTGCCATATTGAGCACGATTCAGAATCGTTACATCTGAAACAGACAATGTTTAGGCGCTACAGTTTGGCTCAACAGGCAATGCCATAAGTCAGGGTTTAAGTAAAGACTAAAGCGTGGTTGAGATTTATCGAGTTTACGACTCGGAGGTGAAGATACCAAATACAAGATGTTTTCGTTCGTTACTGAGCTAGTATTATGGCTGTTAATGAGGTTAATGACACTCGGTATCTATACTTCGATTGTTTGGAAGTGCCATTCTTTCTCAAAAAATATTAAAATCTAAGATTCAACAAACCAGTGACAACATATTCTTTCAGTAAATCTACTCGCCACCAGGGATTGCTCTCATCGTTTGTGTGAGTACAACTTTTCAATGAGTAGGCCGTACTGAAGGTGCCATCAACCGCTCGACTTGAAAAGCCATTGTGTGCGGTGCTCGATTGTTCCGTTGGTTTGTGTTCAGCCAAGTCTAAAGGAATAATGAAGAAATAAGTCAAAGTGCCAACGAGGATGCAGTATTAGTTAAAACACATTCTTACTTGAGCTCCATTTTGAACAAACTGTAGCCAGCGATTCGTCCCAGACTTCAAATCTTTGGTCAAGACGAGCTTGTTCGAAGTACGTGCATTGTCTGAGTTCGATATGGTTGTCAACTGGAAAAACAAGTTTTTTGAAGAGTCACCTTAAAATGTTAAACTATTTGTTAAACCATTTGTAACATTGGTTAGTTGTTACTACAGAAGGAAACCTAAACTAAACTAACTTTATTTATACTGGATAGCTCTATCAGTTCTAAACTGTTCTTCCTAGAAGTCCAGTAAGGATCATCTCTTATTGATCCAGTGTTACTACAGGAGGAAACCTAAACTAAACTAACTTTATTTATACTGCATCTGTGTGCATGGATAGGTCTATCAGTTCTGAACGCTTCTGGACTTAGAGGTCCAGTTAATCAGTTGCATCCAAGCTTAGTTACAATCGTTTGAAAGTGTACATCCTGTAGGTATCATGCGCATGCTTACTTGGAATCCACGTGAAGATATATCTCTCCCTGTTATTCGCCTCGTTATTTTCACATTTGCTGCGCAACACCAAGCGATTGCCATCACTTGGAACATCCCTCTGAAAAAATATATCAGAGTTTAACCGGAAGAAAGTCAAACTGAAACAGAAAGCTTAATTGTTTGTATCGTGTTGAAAATAAATATAAACTGTTTACCTCGTCCCGAGGCTGGACGCATTTTCCGCTGCTAAGATGTTTGAGAGAGCCACCTTTAGTGAATCCAAACTTATGTCCTTGACAATCGCCATAGAGACCTAATTCCACGCCATCTGATACCTGATCACGAACTGGTTTCACACACATCCCAGAGGTGTGCCATAGATAACTATCTTGTATCATGAACGCAGCCCTTGTAAAAATTAATATAATAACCATCATTACATGGTCACCATAACTAGCATCATCAATATATCACCATCACTACCATCATCAATACATCACCATAACTACCATCATCGATATATCACCATATCTACCATCATCAAACGACAATGGGCGAAAAACGAAATACTCCGAAAAACGGAATACTCGACCATGGTCGATTAACCCGGTTTAATATATTATACAACAGTATCTTTACCAAGGAATTTAAGAGGAAATGCTAGTATTCATTTTGGCAAATTTCGTGAAATTTGTGAAATTTTGACGGATGCATTTGCATTATCAGTCTAGATCCCCCCTTGCATTATTACCATAATCATTCAACTAACGCAACTGTGAACTTACTTCGCTATATTACAAGTTGGATACATGACAAGTCTGGTGCCTTCTGGAATGTTATTTCCCCCGCTGTTTGGATGAATACACTTGTATGAAGTTGTCTGGACAAGAGATCCTGGCCCAAAGATCGATGTCTCACCTATGAAGATGATTTCGCGATCATTAAGGCAAATCTGCATTAAAATACGAAAAAGCATGATCAGATTTCTTACCTGTAGACCAGCACAAATCAGTTCGTCTTCGTTTGATGGTTCTCACTTCCAAATCACATTCCATACGTTGGTTGTCAGTCTTGGTATCACAAGTTGTCTGTTGCAAAACTGAGCCAGCCGTATCGCCGCTTGTATCCACACACAACTTCGAGTGGGCATTCTAAAATATACACACACAGCCGGCTGTTACTACAAGAAAAAATCTAACCGAAACTTATTTCATGTGGAAACCACTGTCCTTTCTGAGTTTTTTTTCCGGAGGTCCGTTACGAGAGGAAAGGGCGGCGAGCTTAGATTTGGTAGGTCTTTTACTCACCACAAGCAATCCCTTAAGATTGTACGAGAATTTCTGTCGTTCATCCATGTCATTACAAGCAGTTAGACGTAGTATAGCACCGTTGGTCTTGGAAGGTGCATAAAGACATGCGCCAGATCTTGATTCATCATCCGTGCCTGACTGAGTGTTTTCAATCATGAATTGTTCTGAAAACAAACACTTTTTTCCAGAAACGAAGTTGTATACAACAAAACGAGAACAAGCACAATGTGATTCACATATGATCTAAGATAATGTAAACCAATGTAATTCAGCCTTAACTGCAATATTGGTATTTTAAATATACATACATATACATACAAAAATAAAAAAATCTAAGGTTGCTCGTGTGCTTCCTGAATAGTTAATACCATTGTTTAGAACAATCTATGCCTTGCTTTTCTGCCTAATCTGCTATAAGCCCTAGCTCGGAACGTTTAGCACATTTGAAGCCGTATCAAGGCTTAGTAAATCCTAATCTATGCCTCTTCATCATTACCTACCAGACAACTCAAAGTCAGAGAACGGATTAGGATCATCGTAAACCCGCTCATCCGTATCCGACTTCGATCTTGGATTAGCCTTATTCTTGAAATCGTCAACGCCTTTAGAGGAGGTTTCTTTTATTGCAGCAGAAGGATTCTTAAGATTCAGGTTCAAACGAAGATTGAGACGTTTGCCAAATATCGTGAAATCGACAGCAGCTGCGAAGTTAACTCTTCCGCCTACGGTGTTGTCAATACCAAATTCAAATTGTATGCTAGAAAAAAAGTTGAATTATGTGACTTTGTGTGTTTACTGTACTGTACTGGGTGTGATTGACTGCATCGTGGTTGACTGCATTGGGGTGTGGTAAAGAGTACTGGGTGTGGTAAAGAGTACTGGGTGTGGTAAAGAGTACTGGGTGTGGTAAAGAGTACTGGGTGTGGTAAGGAGTACTGGGGGTGGTAAAGAGTACTGGATTGGGGTGTGGCAAGTCTGGACAAGATAAAGTGGGTAAGCTGGAAGCCTGGAACCCAACCTTTACCAACCTGTGAATTCTGAACAGTTGTGTAAGAACGAATTGAATGGCAGCACTGATCCAACCACACGCCGCCTCGGCCGCCTTCAAAGCAACAACAGCAATATCCAAAACATGGCATAAACCTTTCCCAATGAACTCCACGGCACGACAAGATCCTTCGCACAACACTGACACAGCTGAAGTGAAATTTCAAAAAGTTAGATTTCAAAACCGAGACCGTATTGGAGGGAATGATGAAGAAAATCTGGCACTAGACAGCACAAATGCACAATCAGTTCCACAATGCTCTCTCTCTGTAAACCAAGTGTGTTAGTTTAACCTTACACGACCGTGATTATCCACAGACATACCTTGGCATCCTCCACCAACAATACCCTCACAAATGATTTTACTGATAAAACGACGTCTTCGGATGTGCTCTTCAAACAGTTGATTTCTCATTCTTTCAATGTCACGCTTCTTCTTCCAGCCTCTGAAAACTTTCTTGAAAAATCGTCCAACCTGTTAATGAAAATAGCATTTTTATAATAAAAACTCCAAAATAATTTCAAGACTAACCTAGTTGATGTATAAAACAGTTCATTCTTCTCGTTATTAAGACACTACGAACTTCGCCAAGCAACGGTTAGCATTACATTTACAGTTATATTAGCTTACAGGAGCAAGTGCTTTTCCGATTGTTTTCGCTGTGTTTTTGACCCAATTTCCTAAAGATCACAAAAACACGATAGCATCAAACGTTACCATGGCCGTACCTTCTTGTAATATCAACCACTTCTAGAGCAAGGAATACATCTTATGTCCTTACCTACAGCATTAATCGCTCCTCCAATCCATTTTCCAGCCTTATCCAAGAATCCTTTGCAATCGTTTTCCGCTTTCTTACATTTCAAGTCGCGACAACGATCGCATTTCAAAGACATCTTTCTCTTGCATTCCTCTTTCTTTCTTTTCACATGATCCTGAGCGCTTCTTAATTTCTTCTGCGCCGCGTCAAACGCTCCTTTCACCGCTGAAGCAGCCTCATCTAACGCCTGCGGATAATATCGATTACATATCGATTACCTAATCAGACTTATCTCTTGATAAACGATTGATATTCCATGATGATGCATTGAGAAACGTGTTTATGGGAATGATTTTAAAAGAGTAGAGTGTACTATTGACGACCCATTTAAACTATCTTTAACTGCTGTCAGCTACCATTTTCGGGGCCGCAGTAATTGGGTTTTCCTATTGCGGTAACCCTTTTTTCTTTCTTGTCTTTTTTGTAACCGTTAAGTTTGTCTGTCCGTTGTTTGTCTAAGTAGTTTATTTACTTATGTAATTTTTGTATCTTCTTTTAATTGGCAAAGTTAATAAATTAAGTTTACAACAACAACCGCGCATACCTTGTTTAATCCAGAAAGATCTACTGTTACTTTAGCATAGAATTTGAGTAGCGAGAAATCTTGTGCGTAGTTGGCGGCGACATAAACCTCAGCCTTGATGAGATTCAGGAAGCTTCCTCGAACGAGAAGCTGGAATTCTGTCATCGTTAGATTCATGTTGGCATAGACGGAGATACCAAGGATGCTGACGAAACCTTCGAAACGACTCTGCCATGGAAAAAGAGATGAAGAGTTACAAGTGGTGGTCTAGTGTAGGTAGTATACTACAATAAGCTGTCGTGGTTTGTGTCTGGACTACCTGAGAAAGATATCTCAAACGTGGTGGTCCAGTGTAGGTAGTATTCTACAATAAGCTGTCGTGGTTTGTGTCTGAACTACCTGAGAAAAATATCTCAAACGTGGTGGTTCAGTGTAGGTAGTATTCTACAATAAGTTGTTGTGGTTTGTGTCTGAACTACCTGAAACAGATATCTCAAACGTGGTGGTCCAGTGTAGGTAGTATTCTACAATAAGTTGTCGTGGTTTAGGTCTGAACTACCTAAGAAAGATATCTCAAACGTGGTGGTCCAGTGTAGGTTGTATTCTACTTATCTACAAACCGACGGTGTAATATCAGTGAACTTACGTTGAGATAGAAGGGTTGTCTTCTATATTCCAGGAAGAAGAAGGGTCCCAAATGTTTCTTAGCTGGACTTCGTACGAATGTGAGTAAACCTTGCCAATCAATTGGGTCGAATTTGAGATCAGCCAATATGTACTATCGGGAGAGAACATCCGGTTAACATAATTATAAACCAAAACTTCATTTATACTGAATAGCTCTATCAGTTCTAAACATCTTTTATTGATCCAGCGTGACTACTGACATACCTATTTCAACCTCTACCCAATAAACTAAGTAGACAATTCGCCTCAAACTTGACAGATAAAAAAATTCGATGTTAACTTACATCTTCACTGAATATAACCTTGGCATCGATAGTGTAACCCAAAATTTGAACTGCACCATCGAACATCACGCCTTTGGTAATACTTGGTCCCTTGAAAAATGTCAGGTCGATTGCCTCGGTCGCGTATGAAAACTGTAGATGCAAGAATGGAAATCATTTAATAAAGAATTGTATTGTTGTGTTGGACAATAGTATGCTTGCACAATGAACGATATTTCATGTAAATGTAGAAAAAGATTAGGAGACAAAACGTTGGGTGGACTGTAGATACGAGTGTGGAATAAACAAGTTGTTTTTTTAAGCGTTCTTCTTGAACTGGGGCTTCTCAGACGAACGAGCTTTGCTAGGCGTACGTAACAGTGCAATTATTAATAATTGATGACCAAACTATTCAAAACAATGGCTTAAGGCTACAATTAAACAGTAAAGGGAGCGGTTGTAAGAAAGCTGGATGTCAGAAGAAATTATGAAATGACTTACAGTCACTCCACGCGGGAATCCAGTGTCTTCAATTGGAGGAGGAAGCTTCAAATTTGGAGCAGCCAGTCGGAATATTTTCCCTAATGTGATGGCGGCAATCTTGAAATAGACGAACTGAGGAACGCCGATACCAAAGTATGCTTGTGCATAAAAGCAGTGACCCTAAATCATCCAAAGAATAACTGTTTACTTAAATTGTTTTTTATCTTTAGTATTTCTCATAATGAGTGATATTTCACACATTTCCTTGTATAAACAAGACCGTGAAACAACTCACATCGTTTGAGAAGTCAGCAGGGGTCCAGCAATCTACTCCAAGTTGAACCTTTCCTCCGAAATATCCTCCAGTGGGATACGGGGAACCAATCACCCATTTGATACTGCGAGAAATTTGAACACGAATACGTTTATTAGACAGTTTACCGAGTTCTCATCATTCAGTTCGCAGCACGATTCATATTTATTTTAATTCACAATTTGCATTTCTCCAGAAAAGGAGATTTTGCATATACTTCTTTTGGTTGAATTTAACTGAACTTAAAGGTTAGTAAATCTTTCTCTTGCTTTATTCTATGTTTCGAGCCACTGAATTTGAGTTATTGCAACAGAGTTAGTAATCTCTCTTACCCGAGGACAATTTCGCCAATGGCCAGCCATTTGAGGCCAAACGCCTGTCTCCACAGGCCAGACATGTATAACGCACCCCCGATAGTATTCTTCGTTATCTCATACTCAATAATACCGCCGACGTGAATGGCAGGAGCTGGATTTTTTATTCCATCACGGTCGACTACAATGCCTTTGTTGACGGGAATCTTAACTTCCACCTGGAAACCGAGCTTGAAAATGTGCGAAGAGCCATTCTTCTTTGCCTGGATGAAAAACACTTTTGGTCAATACCGCCATATTTGTAGATTCATGGCTCATACGTATAAACAAAAGGGTCAGTTATAACAGTCAATTCTGGCAAAAGGGCACGTTCGGTTTGTTTGCGTCTCTCTGTTATATACTGAGAACAAACAAGGGATTACTACCTGAATAGCCCAAGGTTTTTAGAGTATTTAACAGTTCAAATAATTTTGCTAATAGCAATTTTCAGACACGCTTTCGTACTGAAGTTGTAGCAAACAAACTATTTAATATTTCGATATGCTTAACTGTATTTTCCTATTTTCATGCACACCTTTTTGGCTGCGCATTTAAACAGCGTGTAATAGCTTTATGCTTCAGGGGCTGGTTGTATCAAGCCCGTTTAGGCTAAACAGTGGATAAGTCAATATTAAATAACACTCTTACATCTGTCTTGAGTGAGTCAACTTGAATATTATGCACTGAATATGTAGTTGTAAACAGTAACTTTGTATTAAGATAAAAAGCACTTAGTTTGCTTCTTGAATAAAACGATAGACTTGCTTTCTATTTTGGACTTATCCACCGTTTAAGCTAAACGGACATGATACACAGACCGGCCCCAGAATAATGCTATAGCTGAAATTATGATGTTTCTGAAATCAAAGTATAACTCCACGACCATCTCCACTCACCTCAACATACAGCTGCACTTTTGAGAAGCTTATGTCATCTGTCAAACGAATATCCCTGAAACCTGCGGTGACTTTTAAACTGTCTTTCTGAATATGGCCAGTCAAGAAGAACGCAATATCTGGACCCAAGAGGTCTTTGCATCCCGTGCAGAAGCCGTTTCCTTTGCAATCTTTAGGCAGGGAGACACGAGCGGCAATGAAGAGATCTTTTGGTATGGCATTTGATATCAGGCTGTGGAGAGGTTGCTTGGCGTAGTTCGTTTCCGGAGTCACCTTGATCACGCCTTGGGCTGCAGGACAGTAGCTTACACCAATCTTCGGGGAAAGGATTTTGATGAGAGAATGAAAAAAGATCAAGATGGAGAAAGGAGGAATACATGAGGATAGGGAAGGTGACATAAGGAAGGAAAGGGTGAAAAGGAAGGGAAGGTGAAACAAAAGGGAGCGGAAGGGATAAGGAAAGAAGGGAGGGTGGGTGAGACGCGAGATAAGAAGAGAGAGGTTGAAATATGAGAGGGAGGGTGAAATATGAGAGGGAGGGTGAAATATGATAGAGAGAGGATGAATAAGGTGGAGAGGGTGACATATGAGAGGGAGGGTGAAATATGATAGAGAGATGATGAATAAGGTGGGGAGAGGGCGACATATGAGAGGGAGGGTGAAATGAGAGAAAGGGAGGAATAGAGTAGAGCGGGAGGTAGGAATGATTTAGACTACATTTGATAAATATAATTCGACTCACTTGAAGATCGATGCCTAGAACATCCAGGAACGATATTTCTTGTCCGGACAATCGTTTTGATAACGCCCCGAACGATTCACCGTCGAAAGAGAAACCAATAGCGAAGATTCTGTGGGCTTTATTAGGGTTTGTCAAGATTTCGACGTGAACTGGGACTCCGAAGACATCGACGGAGCCAGTCACTCGGAATGTGCTGAGCTTTTTCATGTTGTAAGCGTACGATGCACGTTGCAGTTTTAAACCCAGTATACCTGCAGTCCTAAATAACGAAAAAGTTCATGAATTATTGTGAATCTCCATGATTCAAAGTGGAGGTGACTTACTTCATAGCGCTCTGAACTTGCATAGGATATTGGAACACAGGGAAGCCAGCTACGTCTGAGAATTTGTCCACTTCGAGGGATTCCGCATGACCAGATGCTTCTAATTGCCCAGATATCCGCGTGACAACGCTATAAAATGGAGCGTTCTCGACACGCGTCAGGAAACCCTTCGCTTGGAATGAATTTTTTATCCCCTCGGTATAGAAGGTAAACCTGCACGAGAACGGAAAGAATGAATCATAAAAGTTGAAGGGAAAACCACTTGAGTTTGGGAATGCAACTTAGCAATCCAAAGAACTGAACTACAATATAGCCTTTACTTCGCTCTCATACGACTAGAAAAAACTAAACTAAACTCCAATCGTAGTAACTCTGGGTGTTCTTAATGTTCTTTTAGAGATTCAGAAAAAAATTATTCCATATTTTTGTAGAGCTGCTAGTTAATGTGAGAACAAAAACTGAACTAATTTTGTTTGTACTTCAATAACTCTATCGGTCATATCAATCCAAGTTTGGAAGTTCTATCAGTTCTAAGCTGTTCTTCCTTGAGGTCCAGTCTCTGATGTCCAGTAGAGATAATCTCTTATATTGATTTAGTGTTACTACAGAAGGAAACCTAAACTAAAATAACTCTATCAGTTCTAAACTGTTCTTCCTAGAGGTCTAGTAAGGATCATCTCTTATTGATCTGGTGTTACTACAGGAGGAAACCTAAACTAAACTAACTTTATTTATACTGGATAGCTCTATCAGTTCTAAACTGTTCTTCCTAGAGGCCCAGTAAGGATCATCCCTTATTGATCCAGTGTTACTACAGGAGGAAAACTAAACTAAACTAACCTGAGTGAGTAACTTCGTTCTAAACTCGATTTCATTAATTACTCACATGACATTGACTAGGGTGAAGTCAGTTACTGGTGTATATTCACCAGCGACGTGGCACGCAAACTCTATATTCTTTGCAGCCAACGTCTTGTCCACAGTTATTGCAATTCCGGGGACGTTTTCGGTTTCCGCTGGGCGGTCAAATGCTGGCAGTAATTCCGCGTTTCTATAGCTTTTAACTTTTCCGACTACTTTGCTGATTGGTAGTGGATCTTGGGGTTCGAAACAGTACTGGTAAAAAAATGATTACTATGATTGATTGATTGTAGTGGCGATGGTGGCGGTGAAGATGATGATGGTAATGGTGAGGATGATGGTGAGGATGATGATGATTGCAATGATGAAGATAATGGTAATGATGATGATGATTGTAATGGTGAGGATGATGATGATTGTAATGATGAGATGATGTAATGGTGATGATGAGATGATGTAATGAATGATGATGATGATTGGTAATGGAGGATGATGATGATTGTAATGATGAAGATTAATGGTAATGGTGATGAATGATGGTGATTGTAATGATGAGATGATGGTAATGATGAATTTGTAATGATGATGATGATTGTGATGGCATCATGGTTGAAATGAGGAGGCTGATGGTAATGATGATGATTGTAATGGTGAGAATGATGCGATGATAGCCAAAAAAACAACAACTCTTCCTCAAACCTTGGTATTGTCACCATCGGCTTTCATCGCAAAGAAGCCACTTCTTAAGATATCAGCGAAGTCTTTGAAATCATCATTTAAAATCTTTGACGGTAGAAGATTACCAAACGAACCAAGCACTGCGTACATCTTTGTCGTCTCGCACTCCAGTCCAATGTACGATTCATAGCGTTCAGTCACAGCTTCGTCGGGTAGAACTTTACTTGGATCTGAGAAAAATAAAGAGAACAGAATAAGGGTATATACCAGCAGCTCACGTGCTTAACTCAATGCAAACTTACCAGCGCAATTATCAGCAGGTGAAGGGCATTGTTGTATTTCCGTTGCCATTCCTTGACAGTCATCGCCATTGTTCAAAGGAGCTGGATTATCGCACCGTCTCGTTCTGTTTTGACGGCCCATATAACAATATCGAAGCTCGCTGCAAGGCGTGAACGAACTCCACTGGCCCCATCCACCAGAACGATCGCCTAGCCAAAACACAACTTGCTTTAAATGGACATCTGTTTTACTGCACGTATTACCTGAAATCTGGGTTGTGAAATAACAAAGAGATATTGATGTTGATAAACCCACCTGGACAATCTCTGTCCTTGCAAGGCTGCATTTGATATGCATCACCATCACAGTTTCTCCCGTTGTGTGCTGGGAAGGGCGAGTTACATTGACGACTCCGAGCTTGAAAACCGCGATTACAAGACTGGGAGCATGGGGACCATTCTGTCCACGGACTAAATCCGCCGTCGACTGAAAAAGACCAAATTGCAACTCATGAATGATCAATCTATAATCGTTCATTTCAACATGATTTAGCGTGGATTTTTAAAGAGCTTATTATGCCGAAAAACATTAGTTTTCTTCCGTGATAAATATCCAGTCTTCCTCTTTCTTTCAAGCCGTTTAGGCCAGTCTAAATCCCTGTACGTTTCTACGCTGTGTTGGATTACGCCCCACGCATACCTGGACATGGTTCAAAACAACTTAGTACTTCTTCGGTCGCGTTTCCATTACATGGTTTGCCGCCATTCTGGGGAGGTGGGGAATCACAACGTCTTGTTCTTTTGATCATAACTCCAGGGGATAGACCACAGGGTTTGGGACAGTCCGTCCAGTGTGACCATGGCCCCCACTCCCCGTCCTGGGGGCCAGCTTTAAAATAAAGAGGTTTGCAATGTTAGTGAACATCATTATACTATACCATACACCATGTACCATTTCTATCTTATCAAAACTATAGTTCACCTTGAATTATACACAGAGTAACTTACTTTCACAAGGCCAGATACATTCTAGTTTGGTAACTTACTTTCACAAGGCCAGATACATTCTAGTTTGGTTTCGACAGTGTTTCCATGACAACCAGAACCTCCTCCTCTGGGCTTAGGATTATCACAACGTCTGGTTCTGTTGACCACAGAGCCACCACAGATGTTCTCACAAATACTCCACTGACCCCATTCTGACCAACCACCACTTACTATAAGTAAATGGCACATAAAGATACCTCAGTCAAGTAAAAGTGCAAAAGTGCATTCATTCTCCTACAGCACGATCTCAATGGCACAAACACCACGACAATTAGACCATACCTGGGCAATCTACACTCTCGGCACTGGGCCCAACGCAGTATGCCCCGTTTTCGTCGTTCTTAGGGTTCGTACATGTCCTTGTTCTGACCTTTTGATCACCAGCACACTGTCCTGGGGCACAACCACTCCATCCTGACCATGAAGACCACCCTCCGTCTGTAAAAATAAGTAAATTTCCCAACAAAGTCCCAACTTAGATGAGCATTGAAAGTCGACGAGGGAGAGAAGGGGACACCCTCCTCCTCCAGTCAGAATCTCGCCCGACCGGTGCGAGGTAATGTCCGGACAAACAACACTTGTTCCCGTTTCGTAAAGGCATTGATATGGAATTTCTAAACTATAACGAAATTGTACCTAAGGGAAGTGAAATTTGACTAGCTACGCTTGGCTGACTGTTAAGTCTTACAACTTACACCCACACAAAAATATTTACTAGTTGAAACAAAATCCTTCGCGCAAAAGATATCGCTAAATATGTCTCTGGAATAGTAATATCTAATTCAAGCATCAGATCATAGCGAAAATGAAAAGTAATTTGATTCATCATACCTCTGCCATGAACAGATTTCGAATATAAAACTAAAAATATCAAAAACACATAAAATCGTCCCATTTTTTTTAAACTGAGACCATAAGGCGATGAAAAAACTTGCAATTTTCAGAAAAGCGTTTATCCTGTATGAGACCCACCTCGGCCGAGTGGTCAAAGATAAAATAAACGTTGGAAAGGAGGTGAAACTATTACGAAACCTATTATCTTTTTATTTGATTTTTATTAACTCTTATTGCTCAGCTGTCATGAACTATAGCAGCTATGTTTGTTAAGAATTACACAATAATTATTGTTTGTAATCGATTAATACATAAAACTATCCCAAAATAAAGCAATCTACTAAAAGTTCACGAGTTATTTGTTCTACGTTAAACTGTTTTATGTCATCGTATCCGCGCGCGTTCTTCCTAAAATCCTACCCCCAAAAAGCGTCTCAAAAAAAGGTGACAGCTTGGAGATTTGCCCAGATATTTTCCTTCGCAATTACGAAAATAAAAGTCGCAATGTTCAGTTTATGTAAACAGTATTATATTCATTTAATGGTTTAGTTATCGTGGAAGCAATATAGTAATTTTCAAATGCAAACAGTATTGGCCCACGAAATTAGTTCAATTATTGTCTAGCGAATCAGCTTTTGAACTGATGACTGCTAAATTCAGCCAATATAGACGAGTCTGTTTCGAATTTCTAGGAGGCTGGACCAAGTTGGTTCAATTGAAAAATGGGCCATTTTTGCGGCACCACAGTCAGTCACCAGACAGACTACTCTCTAGTCTCTAGTCCTTATTGCGTTCATTTCATAGAAATGACAAAATTGAGAATTCTAATATAACCGATTTAAACGGTGAGGCATATTCTGCTAAAAGGAACTCCATAAAATAACTGAATCGGAAGGACTTTTTCAATTGTCAAATTTGAAAACTGTGTATAACCCTGTTATATTACACAGACATGTATAAACCTTGATAATATTGGTTTATTCCTAACTATTTAACTCTAGTTTATCTTTCGACTCCCTTGACTTGTCACTCCTGCATTTACCATTGAGATCAGTTATTCTGAGCACCTTTCCACGCCCATGCCACGCCCACAATCACGACTCGCTCCCAGGTCCGTTGAAAACCTCGGAATCCAATATGGCCGCCGAATCTGAAGTTCAAATTAAAGGTTTGAAAAGACCTTTGGTTGAAGATTATAGCGACGAGGAGGAGGAAGAAGAATATGTACATAAAGGTTATAAACTGCGCTTTTAGGCTGACGTCCTAACTTGCTGTAAAATCTTAAAAATTGGACGAAATGACCAGGCTACACTGCATGGGTCACTCACTGTCACTGTAGCACATGTGTACCATTCAATTATGACCAGCAGTATGTGAGGCTACGTTAAGCAAAATACTTTATGACGATATGCAGTCAAATCTGATGCAGTCATGCATATTTTAATAAAACTAGCACTGGTCTCTAAACGAGAACTGATATGGTCTGAAAATGTTGCTGTATTTTTAATGAATTAGCAGGAATATCCATAGGTCACGTTTTTCATAAATTGGGGAACAAAGTGAACCAATGATGAACTCTATCTGCCTCTATGTTTGACTTACAATTGCTGGCCTCAAATGGCTAGCCCCTCTCCAAAGCAGACCAGTTCTATGTCTGTAGGAAGCCCTAGGAGATAACCCATTCAATGGTCACATACTGCATGTTCACCTCAATGGTCACATACTGCATGTTCACCTCAATGGTCACATACTGCATGTTCACCTCATAACTTCTGCTGTCACGGCTCATATTAAATTCCTCTTGACAAATAACATTGTCCGTCAATTACACAAAAATACAGTAAATATCAAGAAAATAGCTCTGTATATGTTTTGGCAAACGCAAGCAGAAATTCACAGCTTAGATCTTAAATTTCAGATGAATATGTGAATAAAAGTCGACAATGTCCCTACCTGGACACAATCAACAGGTAGACATATAAAGTATACACTATATCATCACCTCAAATACCTATACAGTAGGGGTGAACTAAATCCTAACAATTTTGTTAAAAATTTATATATACCTTCATTTTTAAAGGCAGTTTCTTGATTTTGACTTTGAGAAACTCTGTTCTATATCATTGTCTCATACAAATGTCTACGCTTGTCTTGTCTGTGGTAAATACTTTCAAGGTACGGATACGCTTTGCTGCATTCTTGCTAAAGTAACACAACTCTTTCTTTACATCATCTGTTAATTTGCATTACCATTAATTCTTCTCAGGTCGTGGTAAACACTCTCATGCGTATACCCACAGCGTTCAAGTCAGTCACCACGTGTTTCTTAACTTACATACATTGAAGGTAAGGGAGTGGAAGTATGGTTGTATTAGGAAGGACAACAGTCATTATTTCAGAGTATTCATTTCTTTAAATTACAGTTCTATTGCCTACCTGACAATTATGAAGTTATCGACTCCTCATTGGACGACATAAAGGTACCATATCTTGTTACTTCAAACACTTCTTAGACAATCGGTTGAGACTACATGAACGGTATCATTTTTTTCTTAAGTATGTTCTCAATCCAACATTTCAAAAGTCAGAAGTAGATCAACTGGACAAAACAAACAAACTATCAAGAGCATTTGATGGGACAACCTATCGTCCAGGTATTAAAAAGCTAAACTAAACTAACTTTATTTATACTGGATAGCTCTATCAGTTCTAAACTGTTCTTCCTAGAGATACATTAAGGATCATCTCTTATTGATCCAGTGTTTTCAATTCTCAATGTTTAAATTTATTTTAGGTGTGGTAGGACTAAACAATATCAAAGAAAACGACTACCTCAATGTGGTTTTACAGGTGGATTTCAATTTTTCTCTTGTTCAAAATTTCATCCCAAATCAAAACTAACTTCTCCATTTTAACCAGGCGATGTCATTCGTTCCCACGATCCGAGACTTCTTTTTGCATGAAGAGAACTACAAAGACATTAAAATGCCTTCTGGAGACATTTCTCTCATATTGGGTAATATATGACACTACCTTTGTAATATCCAAGACATCACAAAGTAATGTAGGGGCATTTCTCTTTAGCACAAAGATTTGGTGAATTGCTGCGAAAGTTATGGAACCCGAGAAATTTTAAAGCCCATGTCAGTCCACACGAAATGCTTCAGGTATGTACATTTTGCTCCAGTAGAAGAGGGATTGTGATGGGTCATTGTTTCACCTACATGCAATATGAGTAGGAACAGTCTGTTCTGCAGTAACACTGTCTTTGTTGTAAATGCCAGCCAAAGCAAGCATCTCATCAAGTTAACCAAAACATTTAATTTTCAAACTTTTATTTTTAAAGGCTGTTGTTTTGTGCAGCAAAAAGAAATTTCAGTTTACAGAGCAAGGTATATGATATAGGACTACAGTTCTGTAGCACTAAATGGCACACATAATGCATGCAGAAAAGTGGCAGGAGATTTAGTCTTGTGCAAATTGTACCATATTCTTTCTGAAGGTGATCCAGTAGAGTTTCTCTCCTGGTTCCTGAATGCTCTTCATTCCATTCTGAGGCGAGGCACCAAAAGTGGTAAATCAAGTGAGTGGCTTCGGTCTTGCTGAACTGGTGCTAAAATGTGGTGCATTTACTTAAAATCCTGTATTTTAACACCATTTTAGGCAACATAAAAAAGATATTCCAAGGCAAAATGAGGATAACTAGTAGAAAACTGCCCCCAACTGAGGTAAGAAAGAATCCAGGGACAGACTTTGTGTGAGCTAAAATTTATCCTTGGCTAAGGGGTAACCAAGGAGCCACACCTGCTCCTCAGAGGATACCCACGTAGATTCTGTTCAATAGTTTATTTCATCTTTTGACCAAAGGACGATGAGGCTGCAAAGAAAGACGTGCAAAATCCTGATTCTGATGAATACAAGGAGAGCGTAACAGAAAGTCCATTTTGGTATCTGTCCCTTGACACACCAGCGGCACCATTGTTTAAGGTAATTGTACTTCTTTATCAAGTTAGGTCATTTCCCTTTCAACTGCAGGTAGGCATAGCTAATTAGCTATTGCCAAGTTATCTCATTCACTCTGTGAAAGTTCTTACCCAATGTGAAATGCTAAGAGATCTCTCCTGGGGATATCTGACTTCTTACATCAGTATGTTTGTTTTAGGATGAAATGCAACAGAATATTATCCCACAGGTAAGGCAGAGATACAGTTCTTGCTCCACATGAAACCATGTTTGACGTTGGATAAAAACATCTGGAATCTTTAGACAATTCAATAAACAACACTTCTTCGTACAGGTTTCCATCTTTGCATTGCTGAGTAAGTTTGATGGCATCACAGAGAAGGTAAAAAAAGTCATCACAGAAATCACAACCGAATCATTCTGAACAGGTTACTGCAACAATGTTCAATTATTTTAGGAATACAAAACATACAAAGAAACATTTGTAAAGAAATTTCAACTGACAAAATTACCACCGTATCTTATCATCGTCGTAAAGGTAATTACTCACTGAAGTTAAATTTTACTGAGAATGGTGAGTTTCGTGATATTGATGGTACATGGTGGTATCATGGTGAGTTTGATGATAGTGCTTGGTGGTATTATGGTGATATTGATGGTACATGGTGGTATTATGGTGATATTGATGGTACATGGTGGTATTATGGTGATATTGATGGTACATGGTGGTATTATGGTGATATTGATGGTACATGGTGGTATTATGGTGATATTGATGGTACATGGTGGTATTATGGTGATATTGATGGTACATGGTGGTATTATGCTGACATGTAGTTCTAACAGGGTACATACAAATCTACTTTTATATAGAGATTTACCAAGAATATATTCTTTGTTGAGAAGAATCCCACTGTAGTGAACTTTCCAGTGAAGTGAGTCTCAGTTTTGACCATACTACATATAGTCAGCACACATATGGTGTGATGTGTATAGTATATAAACCTCTATTTAAAATATACTCATTGTAGGGATGTTGACATGGCTGAATATTTAGCACCAGAATGTTTAAAAGATAACCCAGATACGTCCTATGATCTTATTGCTAACATCTGCTATGAAGGACAGACAGGTTTGGAGTCAAGTCATCATTTTTTTCAAATTTTTGCTCAAGAGTTGTCATCATTAGGAAAAACACAGTCAATTGATTCAAATGTTTCTTGAACTTCCAGAGGCGGAGGGAAAAATTAGTAAAAATTATCGAGTACATGTGTTTCACAAGGTTGGTGGATTGGAAAGGACCCCAAAATTGTTTTATAAAATGTTCACATACAATGAATCCTTCAGAGGTAAACATTTACAAATGTCTTTTTTCTCCTTATTCAGGGTGCTAGTCAGTGGTATGAACTACAAGATTTACATGTCAAGGAAATATTGCCCCAAATGATTACTCTGTCAGACTCCTATATTCAGGTTAGTTACATTCCAAGGGCCAGTTCTACACTGTCAAAGTCATGAAAACTTGACATAGAGCTGTCATTAGAAATGCATTTGACTATCTTTGCTTGATGACTAATTCTTCTGTTTAGATCTATGAATTACAGAAGAGTTGATAGTGGCTTCTGATATGTTGAACTGCTTTATTTAACACTAGCTAAACAAACATACCAAATAATAAAAGGTATAACTTTCATGTAATTTGTGTCTTGTGAATAAATATTTCATTTTCAAAATGGGACTTGCTTTAATTCATTATTTTCAAGTTGTTAAAAATCCCTAAATTTCAAAGGTCATTACTATTCTCTTGATGCAAGTAATAGACTAATTAAAATAAATTAATTTGCCAACCAGCTTCTTTCAATGAAATAGTTGAAAAGCTACCACACTCTAATCCTACCTAAGATGATCAAGTTTGCTATAGCACAGATATTCTGTGAACCAATGAGCACCTGGTCCCAGTATCTGACGCCTCTAATACCCCAATATTTTGTGTCAAACTCAACAAACACAGTCACTATAACTAACATCCATGCAATCAGACGAGAGAAATACGCCACTTGTAATCCACCATAGAGCATAATACCACAGAGAATAAATAAAATGGTTAAACAAATAGTTACTGGTTTTCCTAAAGGAAGATGCGAGATATGCACAGCTTTGTCAGCAGGACTTGCCCATAAAAGATAACCATTAAAGATGGCATAAAAGGCTTGCATCTGGCGGCCAAGTTGAAGCAATGATGGTCGTAGATTTGACATGTTCCTTCCTTCAACAAGTCCTCCAGCAACCAAAAGATACCCACCAGCTAAAGCAATGTTTCTTGCAAATACCTTAATCTAAAATTGACAGACATTTGCAGGTGAAAAAATTATTCTGTTTTCATAAGTTGATAGATTGATGGCAAAAAAATTCATTTTTAACCATACATATTGATAACATACCATTATCCACTGTGAGAAACGTGGTCGAATGAGTGACATTGCAGCGAAATATCCGGTATGAACGGCTGCAGCAAAGCCCGCAGCTCTTCGTGTAGCATCGACTGTCATTCCCCCGCCACAAACAAAGTATATCATAGCATGAACATAGGTTGGTTCAAGCATCGTCTCTATCCACGTGTCGGGCTGTCTCATCCTTTCTTGACCAGCTTGTAAAAGCAACGTTAAAATGCACACGTACGGGAACCGCGTTAAAACAAAGCCTGCGATAAGATCTAAGACGTACAAAACCTTTTCCAGAGCACCCATTTTTTTACAATTCGATTATATGAAAAAATCACTGTTTTAAATGTCTCTCCATCGGGACTGCAAATTGTCTGCCATCTTGAAATTCCTCGTCTTTTCCAGACGCGTCAAAAATATCGCCAGCAGACGCCAGTGAACTCTATACAACTGGAACGATAACTATTCAGCTTGAAACCAAAATAGTTTTTCTGAGTTTTGAAACGAAATACTTGACGCCAGACGTTGGGCTGTGTGTCAAATTAAAGCTTTTGAAGAGTTATATTTGGTGTAGAAATTTCAAGACTTAAACTACAAAGGAAATATTTAAAAAAACAAAAAAACAATTACCAACCGGCAAAAAACCGGGAAATTTTGAAATATTTTTTCGATAAACCCCTTTAAGCTAAAGTCTCGAAATTTCTACACGAAATATAACTTTTTAATAGCTTTAATTTCATATACGGCTCAATATTTGGCGTCAAGTATTTCAGCTCAAAACTCAGAAAAAGTAAAGAGCACTGGCTTCAATTCTCCCCTCAGAGTTATCGTTCCAGTTTGTTTACAGTTCAATGGCAGACGCTCTGCGTGAACTGCAAAATTTGAATATCTTTGCGAAAAAAATTCAAACAAAATAATCTCCACTAATTGTTTTCTTGTGCAATTGTTGACAAAAAAAAGCAAACAAGTCACGCAAAGCGCTAACGCTTTCGTATTAAAGGTTTACTTATTTATAACATGAAAATTATCAGCTGAAGTTCGACCTCGGAGTTCAACACGATAAAGGTTTGATGTTTATGTTTCCCTTTTTGAAGCTGATTGTATAGACGAAGTAGCCTTGTGCTTTTCGAGAAGCGAAATCCCTTAGCAACCGGGATATTTGACAAGTGTTATTACAAAGTAAAACATGTTAAAATGAAAGTATTGCTGTTTATTAAATAAAAAATCTACAGAAATTTTAACCCTAAATAAATATCTAAAGGAAACCCTATTGTCAGTAAGGGAGGTAGTATTTTGTTAAACCAAAAATATATTTATGATATTCTGTGATAGATATAATTGAGCTTTTTGTTGATGTACTGCTCAATATGTCTGAATTTGATGCTTTCAGGAACATATCGATTTGTCCGTGTCAGCATGGCTGAGATCCCTCGGCCGGATCCTCCTGTGGTTGGCAAAGTCACCCACAACAGTATAGAGCTGTATTGGGATGTTAACGAGACTGACGAGGAGAAGCCGACCAATGGGAAGATTCGTTACTGCATGCAAGAGGAAGAGATCAGAATGAAAGATACGGGTTTTGGAAATGTTTACAGCGGTTACGCCAGAAATCATGTGTTTGAAGGTCTCGAACCTCAGACCCAATATAGGTACAAAACAGAAGATTTGCTGTCGTTTAAACTGCAAGAAAACATCCAACACATTGAACATAATTTAGGTGTCACACTAGACAATGTTAGATCAGACTTGACCTAACTTGGGTCAAGCTCCAGGATTGGATTCTCACATGACGACATAATAAACATTGATAATTCCAGGTACAGGTTACGAAGAAGCAACGCTCTGGGGGATAGTCCTTGGAGTGTCATCATTACAGTTAACACAACACGCAAACCAAAAACAAGTGAGGATCTCATCAAGGCAGTCAATCACAAAGACTTAGCTAAAGTAGATGCCATATTACAAGGTAGAGATCTAGTATAATCTGCATTAATAATAAAGTTATTTAATAATTTTAGCTTGCAACATGGTAAGGTATTCTTTAGAACTGCTCCCAATTAATCACCTAGTCCTGCAATTGATGTTTTTTATGTCATGTCAAATCCAGAGCTAGTTCATTGTTCTGAGATATTTGATGGTGTAATTTGTTTAACATGTCATATTTTAGAACTTAACCAAATGGCAGTGGACTCTCCAGACAAATATGGCTTGTCACCATTAATGATAGCAGGTAGGCGATAGATTAGATATCGGAATTTATAATGGTAGTAATGGTAGTAATTTTGATATTGGTGGAGGTGATGCTGGTATACTAGTGATGGTGATAATGATGGTACCTAGAGATTGTAATGTATTAGTGTTGTTGATATCTGCATGGGATACTTTATTGGGGTATTGGTGATGTCGATGGTGATGCTAACTGGTTTTAGTGTGGTAAATAACTTTTGAGGGTGGTATTGGTGATGATGGTATTGTAAATATGATTCTGGTGCTGGTGATATGTGGTATTGGTGGTACTATTAACACTGGTATTGGTTATATTAATGGTTATGGTGAATAACATGATTAAGATAAAGTTATATTACATACTGTGTTCATCATTGACTTCAGCCCAGCAAGGATCTCTTGAAATAGTGGAGAAACTACTGAGTTACGGAGCTGATGGAAGATTTCAGAACAGCAGTGGCAAGGATTCCTTGATGCTTGCTTGTTTTGCTGGTAAGTTCCTCTGAGGTCTGAACAGCTTGGAAAAAATCACTGGACCACAACAAAAACATCATTATAACAAGATGTGTCAGGCCAGAAGAATTAATTCTGCCATTATAACGAGTTCATATTATGGTTGATCTCTACCAGGTCAACTGCAGGTGGCCAAAATGTTGGTTCAACACGGAGCAACCTTGGAAAACCAAGATCATTCTGGTTCGACAGCACTTCACTGGGCCGTCGATGGTGGCAACATTGAGGTCGTGCGTTGGCTCATTAATAAAGGATGTCAGGTCGACGTTAAAGATTACACTACAGGTCCGTCGATAATATTTATGCCTTTAAAAACAGATATGGACTGTCCTACAATGTTATTGACTAATCGTTGACTGACCAGAACATTGGTGGGCATGTAAAATGGCAGTGTTTTTGTACTCTTAAGATATCTATCTTTTTGCTTAGATCTTGAAACTTTTTTTTCAGGATGGACGCCCCTGATGAGGCTTGCAATGCTGCGAGGAAATATTCACATAGCACGTTTGTTGATTCACCACGGGGCGAATATATCCAGCATGGATAAAGACGGCAAATCAGTGCTTATGATGGCCGCTCTAAACGGTGACCTGGACCTAGTGAAATTACTGATATACAAAGGTGCTGATTTCACCTTGCGCAGCGTTCATGGTAAAACTGCTCTCGATTTTGCGCGTGCGTTTGATCGAGAGCAAGTGTTGGAGTATTTGGACGAGTTATGGCAGGATTACAAGGAGAAGGAGAGACGGAAACAGGCGAATAACTGGCAGAACGATGAGAAATATGCAGAGACAGTGAACCTGCTTAAGACTGCAAGAAGCATGGCTAGTGCAGTCGATGTCACTGAATGAAATACTGTTTCGCGAATTTTTGTAAAATTTGTACATTTATACTAAAAGAAAATATACAGTTTGATCCTAGATTTGTGTGCCGTGTTTTCTTTTTGGAATGCTGTCTTCGTTTTGGGAAAATTTTTCGCACACAAAAACAGATGAGATTGATTCTGGTGAATTTGATTCATCATCCGATAGAAACTGCAAGGAAATGAATTGAAAATTTAGGCAATTAATAATCCAAAAAGCCTATTTAGAACATAGAAAGCTGAAGGCATGTGTCGTTCAAAGACAGCATGATTTATTGAATAAATGTTTTTGAAACCTGATAAAGCATTAAGCAAAGATTTTGATTTCCAAGAAGAACACCTGCTGTCTTTACGGGTCTGTTATCATGAATATATGAATATATGCCCCCCCCCTCCCAATTATCGTCCCCCGTACGGCACTGCGCGTCGCCTAGGCAGTGAATGTGTATTCAAACGTTTCGTCACTAAACAAAAACCTAGCTTTACAAATGGTACGGCCTGAAATTCACGGATGGAATGGAGGTTTTAACAATTACAGGAAAGATAACGTTAGTCACACTCTACTTGGTGCAATGTACACTTCTCATCTTGTTTCTTGAGAAACATATGGACGAGTTTGCGTTCTTGTTTATTCTAGCGTTTGTTTTCGTAATTTTCCTTATATACGTCTTCTTTAAAGATGGAGAATACGTCAAAAGCGACAAGGATGTTTATGAAATTTTGTTAATTTGGAGTGTATACATTGCGTCCTATGTTGCCTGCGTTGCAATCATTTTCCTCAAAATTGCGGACAATCTCACTAAACAAGATACCCTTGGTCCCAATGTGCTAAAATCCACCCTCTGTATCACCCCAGCGATGTTGATCCTTTCCCTGCAACTTGCGATTGACTCGAAGTACCGTGAGAAAGCTCTTTCCATCTCTTTACTCGCCGCGTTGGACATCTTCGACGGTATTGAAATGTTGGAAGTCTTTCTGATGCAAAATGTAGGATATTTTGATTTGAACAGCAACACCGAGAGATCCATCATCGCCTTCGTCTGTATATGTTTCCTGCTAACACCCCTCGGCTTGGCTCGTCATAAATTTGGTGACGATAATGATGTAGTTAAAGAGAAAAAAAGAATAACCATTATTTTTGTTTTTCTTCAAGTATGTTGCACGAATCTTTCATTTCTGGTCATCCGAGCTGTCATTTGGGGCGTTCATGGCCACGAATCTGCCGTATTTATTGCAAAGAATGCTGTGGCTTTGGTGATGGGCGTACTAGAGCTTGGAATAACGATGCAGGAAGCCAGGAACTGTTAAACGAGCGACGCAACAGTTGAATAAAATAAACTGTTGATTGCTTTCGCATCCTTTATACCTGTCCGTAAATACGCACTCGCAAACTAAACACACGCACAATATAAACAAGATAATCTTAATCTTAATATTGTAAAGACTAAAGTAGTCAGCAAGATTGCCTGTCTCTGTTTGCCAAGCAATTCACAAAATCACAAACATTATGTAAAAAGGATATGTTAAAAATAAAAATTTCCTAAAATTCACAGAATCATATTCACAAATTCACTGCTCCTTTGACCTTGAATATCGCTTTATTACTACTGCCTCACACTAGTTGCTAATATCAAGCGACAACAATGATCTAATTTTATTAAGAGTAGTATACTAAATGCTGTTGCCATGCAGCAAGCAAGCTCGTGTCCGATTACATGAATGGTATTGTTGGCTCTCAAATATCTAGACATGCAATGTCTTATCTATATATTACGTATACGTAAATGTCTTAAATGTCTTATCTATACGTAATGATATCTAAGTTAATAATATCGTTTCTTTTGTCCCCGTTAAAAATTTTCGGTGGTTCCTTGGGCTTTTTTTTTCATACTTTAATCCCGCATTTGCACATTCCCGTAAGGATAACAAACTCGACAGCGCCAACGACCAAAGCAACGGCATTTTTTGCAATGAAAATGGCGGCTTCGTATTTATGCCAAATAACAGAACGTAACACAAGGAACGGGAGATTGGTGCCGATTATTTCCAACGGGCCAAGGAACTTCGACGTCTCTTTCCTCTCTTTTACCTCGCCATTTCCCACGAACTTATTTCGCAATAAACCAAGCGGTGATAGGATAAAACAGAAGCAGGCAAAGAAAACGATACATATTTCCAAAGCTTTGCCTAATTCAAAGTTTCCTTCCTTTTGCATGAGAAATATTTCCAGCATTTCAATGCCATCAAAGATATTTAAAGCGGCGAACACAGACAACGACAACACAGGCTTGCGATAGGATGGACTGATCGTTAGTTGTAGAAGAAGAACAAGTAGTGCTGGTGTGATGCACAGTGTTCCAATAAGTGCATTGATGCCAAGACCATCGTCTTTGGTCAGATCCTTCGCGACCGTACCAAAGATCGTAGCGACTGTAATGATGTACGCAATAATATAGAGTCCCCAGCTTAACCAAACGTCCCAAATTTTAACGTCGTCTGAGAATACGAACTCATTGTGTTTGTAAAATGACCAACCAATATACAGAATTGCCGGTACAAACAAGAGAAACCAAGCCACGTATGAAGTGTTCTCACAATGTATCACCAAAATCGAAATGAAAAGGCCAACTTGTGACAAATATAACAAGCCGAATGCAACCCACCCTAGACCAATCAAGCAAGGTGATCTCTCGACCGTCTTCTCACGGCCATCTTCTGTGAATTCTGTCGCCATCTTCTGTGTGTTTACCTGCTTTTAACGTATTCGACTTGGAATCGGTTTGATTTTATGAGAGACGAATGCAAGAGCTCTCGTTTTTAAACGACAAATCTCAATAGCTGCATGTATGTAGAACAATGTGAAAACTGATCCGAGAAAAATGCGACGTCAATGCCTCGTATCAGTGATATTATGACGTTCACAACTCACGAATAAAGTGCTCAGTCATAGTCGTATACGTCACGCATGATGAACGATGTCAAATAGTTCAATTCTCGGCATACCAGACGTATTTTCATGGCTTCTGCTCGTGGGCTACCATATTAATTCAATTTCCTTCATACAATTTTCAAAAATGTGATAGTGAGCAGCGAGTTACGATAAAACTATGATTACAGTAGGAAAACACAAACAAATCCAAGATTTGTAGAAAAAAAAGGAAACCAATACCAACGCATACGAATTAGCGAAATCCTTGTATATACTTACTTTCTGACTTTATGTCTTTATCCATTATCCATCTCTACAGAATAGGTTTAAAAATACTAGATGTTAAAATATGGAATAAATGTGAATCACGTGAATCATCTTGTTTAAAAATCTTTAAAAAAAGTCAGCAGCAAAATTGTTCGTTTCAAATAACCAGGAACATATAATTTATGAGATTCAAAATACTTTTATAATACTTGATCTATGTTGCATTTTAAATCTCTGAGGCTTGATGATTTTCTGCCTTTAAGAGGAAGCTAATTTATCTATTTCACCTAAACAGAGCGAGGGTTATTTTGAGAGAATATAATAACTTTCTTTTGAGTATGGTATTTGTTGATGTCCACATTCAAAAGTCACGTTCACTTCGGAGGGAAAGAAAACAATTCGTGGGACACAAGGAGGGAAATTTCCTTCACCTGATCTATTAAAAAGTGCCTGAGAGATATTTAAATAATCCCTTGGAGTTTAAAACCATTCGTAAACACTTTTGACATAGGATTATGTAACCGTACACTGTAAAATTCACCTAATGATCGCCTGCACGTATGCTAAAAAGTACTCAAAAGTTCAAAACGTCAAACGAAAACATTTATTTATAAATTCGTAGATAGCTGCATATTTGAGGCCAAACAACACACACTAGTTCTTTGTTTCCTTTGTCTTTGCCTTTTATTTTCTTTGTTTTCTTGATAGTACTAATGATAATTTGGCCTCAAATATTTGCATATCTACTACCAACTCTGTAATATTTAATCGTTGCTATTGCAGACGGTACAAAGCTTATCCTGGGACAATCACGCTTTATATAATGGGAGAGACATCACTGTGTTTATTATTTACGGGATGGTTGACGTTGATCCATTTGTACCTCATACAAGTTGTGCTTCTCATAGTGTTCTTGGGTAAACACGAACATTCGGAATACGGCGTGTTTTTCCTCGGATATTTGCCAACTGTATTCTTAACTGGTTCTTTTATAAGTCGTAATGGGCCATTAAAATACGCCGATGAAGACAAGGAAATACGATATGTTTGGTTTATTTGGGGACTATACATTGTCCCTTTCGTCGTGACGGTAGCTACTATCTTTGCCACGGTCGCGAAAGATCTAACCGAAGAAAATCACAACGCACTTATTGGAACACTGTGCATTACACCAGGACTACTGGTTCTTCTTCCACAGTTGACAATCAGTCCGTTTTTTCGCAAGCCTGTGTTGTCGTTGTCTGTGTTTGGTGCTTTGGATATCTTCGATGGTATCCAAATGCTGCAAATATTTCTGATGCAAAAGGAAGGGAACTTTGATTTAGATGTGCATCTTGAAAGAAGCATTGTCGTCTTCGCCTGCTTCTGTTTCTTGCTCACACCGCTTAGTTTACTGCGAAATGAGTTCAAGCCAAATGGCGATGTGGAAGAGAGGAAATCATTGTCTATCATCGTTGGTCTATTTGAGATATTTGCCATCAATCTCCCGTGTTTGGTTTTACGTGCCGTCGTTTGGAATAAATACCAAGCCGCCATTTTCCTCACAAAGAACGTCATTGCTCTCATCGTCGGCGCCGTCCATTTTCTAGTCCTGATAGGAATGTGCAAATGTGGAGAGTGAAGAGCTCAGTGACACTGTAAATTACGATAAAACTATATCATAATAGACATAGTAGTAGAACGGAGACAAGTCAATCGCGAGCTCGTAGGAAAATAAGGACTGAAACCAACACTTACACATACGAATTAGCAAAATACAGCACGGGTAGAGAAAATATATGTTCGCTGTTTTCTCACTGTAACTTGTTAAGGGCAGATAAAGATTATATATAATTACAAACATGCCTGACATTCAGTATTCGCTTATGGACAAAATCTTCCAGTCATCACACCTACCAGCAGAGAAGGGGCGAGAAGGGGGTTAAGCAACGAATTACCAGCTTACTGAAAGATGTCGATAGATAAAAAAACCGCTGGTTGCGGTCTAAATGCCTCAAATTTTAGAACTTTTCTCGCACTCAACATGCAGACCGGACCAAAATATTGCGGCGAGTTCCGCATAGCCTCTTGACATACATGATCAACATCGCTCACAGGAACACAACATCATCTTTTCCGGTAAATTTTAAATGGTCTTTTTCAATAACCAATTCCGTCTAAAGGGGACGAAATGATTACAATAATCTAAAGGCCAATAATATACTTTTAAGTGATTTTCACACCCGACACAATTCAGTTTTACTATATGCATGGTTATATTTCAATCACATAGAATATTTATATAAAACGACTTGGTCTAAAACAAGACGGTGCTTCAAATATAATCGGTGCTTCAAATTTAAAGAACAAGGATGATAATACAATTATTACAAACTCGACATCTACCATACAACAATGTCAATGTTATATACATGCAATGGTTGCAACCAAACTACCAAATACTAATATGATAAACTGTTCAACCTAATTCAAGCCTGTCCAAGTTACCCACAAGTGCAGCATTTACAAGCGATACCTAAATCCACGATTCCGACAACTAACGACATTGTATTCTTGGCGATAAAAATGGATGCTTCGTAACCACAATCGGCCCACACGTATATTCGCAGGCCTAAAAACACTGCGTTGGTCAAAAGGATCTCGATGTAACCAAAACATACAGCCATCGTATTTGTCCTTTCTTCAACAGTGTCATCTTTAAATTTGTAACGTACCATGACATCAAGCGAAGTGACTATAAAACTTGCACAAGCAAAACTAATCATCACCTTCTCAACGGAGCTATCTAGTTCAAAATCCTTTATTTCGTTTTGCATGAGGACGATTTCCAGCATCTCGATGCCGTCAAAAAGATCCAAAGCTGCGAAGATGGACAACTTCAGGACTCCTTTGCGATAGGATGGACTGATGGCCAGTTGTAACACAAGGACAAGCAACGCTGGGGCAATAGACAACATTGCTTTTAAGAAATTTGGACCATATGTTTCGGACTTGTCCAACTTGCGAGCCACCTGGAAGAATATCAACCCGACAGAGATCGTGTAAAGTACAATATATATAAACCAGAATCCCCAGACGCACCAAATTTCATCCTTTTCCTCATCCGGCTCAGCGTAGCCTTTTTTGCGTAATACCATGAAGACAGCCAAGGCAAACAGAAGATAGATTACGATGCCAATCCAATACAAATTGCCGTTGGTAGTAGTGTGCTCTTCTAAGAACTTCATAAAGAAACACGCTTGTACAATGTACATCGCAAAAGCCGCAAACCATCCAAACAGTACAAGACAATCAGATCTTTCAGCCATAATGAATGAACATACAACTTTTGTAACTAACGAAAATGTTGTATCTAACCTCGCCGTATAACTGTATCTAATAACGGTTTTTAGAGTGATGTTAGTTTTGAACGTCAGTCACATATATATATATTTGCCGGTTTCGGGAAAACCCCTTACGAGAGAATGTTATTTTCGAAACACAGCTGTGTTTTCATTGAATTTATATCTTGTCATGCTCAAATTATTAACGTAGAGTGGAGAATAACAGGTAAGGGTTAAAATATATTTATAAAAAGGGTAGTAGCTTCATGATGAGTGCATTGCTGAAACTCGATGTTAATAACTCAATCGAATCAGATCGATGATGGCCAAATATTTATTGTTATGGCAACTATACGTACATACCACCTGTTATTTTTTTAGGAACATTAAGCATGAATATCGGCAAATCGTCCAGTCATCACATCTACCAGCGGAAAAGAGGGCGAGGTAACTACCCCCGGGGGGGGGGAAAGAGGTCTGGCTCATCTGCTGTCCTTAGAGCGCAATTAAAGTAAGGAGGTAGTTAAGCAACGAGCTACCAGCTTACTGAAAGATGTCAATAGATAAAAAAAACCGTTTGTTGCGGTCTAAATGCCTCAAATTTTAGAACTTCTCGCACTCAACAGACCGGACAAAAATATTGCCGCGAGTTCAGCATAGCCTCTCGACATGCATGGTCAACATCGCTCACTGGAACACAACACCATCTTTTCTGGTAAATTTTAAATGGTCTTTTTCAAAAACCAATTCCGTCTAAATGGGACGAAATGATTAAAATAATTTTAAGTGATTTTCACACCCGGCACAATTCAGTTTTACTACTATGGTTATATTTCAATCACAAAAAATATTTATATAAAACGACTTAGTCTGAAACAAGACGGTGCTTCAAATATAATCGGTGCTTCAAATTTAAAAAACAAGGATGATAATACAATGATTACAAACTCGACATCTACCATACAACAATGTCAATGCTTATATTGCTATATACATGCAACGGTTGCAACCAAACTACCAAATACTAATATGATAAGCTGTTCGACCTAACTCAAGCCTGTCCAAATTACCCACAAGTGCAGCATTCACAAGCGATACAGAAATTCACGATTCCAACAACTAACGACACTATATTCTTGGCGATAAAGATGGCTGTTTCGTAATCACAATCGACCCACACGTATATTCGCAGGCCTAAAAACACTGCGTTGATGAATAAGATCTCGATGAAACCAAAAAATAAAACCCACCCATTTTCTTTTTCTTCAACAGTGCCATCTTTAAATTCGTAACAGGCCAAGCGAAGCGAAGTGACTATAAAACTCGCACAAGCAAAACCAATGATCACCTTCTTAACGGAGCTATCTAGTTCAAAATCCTCTATTTCGTTTTGCATAAGGACGATTTCCAGCATCTCGATGCCGTCAAAAAGATCCAAAGCTGCGAAGATGGACAACGTCAGGACTCCTTTGCGATAGGACGGACAGATGACCAGCTGTAACACAAGGACAAGCAACGCTGGAGCAATACACAATATGGCTTTTAAGAAATTCGGACCATATGTTTCGAACCTGTCCAATTTATCTGCCACCTTGCCAAAGATTATCGCAACGGATATCATGTAAAGCAAAATATACACGAGCCAGAATCCCCAGACGTACCTAACCCCTTCGTCGTCTTCGGCGTAGCCTTTTGTTTTGCGTAATACCATGAAGACAATCAAGGCAAACAGAAGATAGATTCCGACGCCAATCCAATACAAATTGCTGTTGGTAGTAGTGTGCACTTCTAAAAATTTCATAAGGATGCACGCTTGTACTATGTAGATCGCAAAAGCCACAAACCATCCTAGGGGCACCAGACATTTTGATCTTTCAGCCATAATTTCTGGCGTGGTTATAACTAAAACTCATGCAAAACCTTTATCAACGGTGCTGCAAGGAAACCGGTCACTACCGGTTTTTGCAGCCAGTTTGGTTTGCCCCTTGCAAGGAAATTTTCGTTTTTCAGGAAATACCGGCTGTCTGATATGAAGTGTGGCGTTCTGATTGGGCTTTACATTTATGTTACTCCGATTACGAGACAAAAATAGAGAGCTTGATTAGCTATATCGATTACAATCATTAGAACATTAACTTCTATATCGGGCTTTTCAGCTTTCAGACAGGGAAGATGTTTGCATCACCATTAATGTTGATTTAACACAATTTTGAACATGCATCGTATACAAATAAAACATATATAATCATGCATATAATGTCAAATATTAATTCCCCCCTCAAAAAAATAGAATATAGAATAAATGTGGATCATGTGAGTGATCCAGTTTAACACGGTCTGTGACAAGAATTTGCTACCAATAATATCCGTCTGCTTTTGTTCTTCTTCTTGAATACTAAGCAGAGTCAGAGAACATACAAAATATTTTTGAAACCTGATCCTATGCCCATGGATTAACAGAAATCCGGCTTCCAAGAAAAAATACCTTTTAAAATACCAGGAATGACTAGTAAAACGACACCGGTCAAAACGGTATTCAAGAATTTCTTCTCGAGAAATGTCGTCGTGTTGTAGTTGGCCGTGCGCTTTAGCGGTCACAGGATGGATAACGTTACTCTTACTGTACTGGCTGCAAGTTAGTCTTCTTGTCTCGTTTCTAGTGGTTCATCTTAACGACTGTGATTATGTGGCGTGGTTTCTATGGTTCACACCGGCATTTTTCTTCATATTTTATTTTTTTTATATCAACAAAGGATGTTGCGCACAAGAGAACAAAAAAATTCGTGGAGTTTGGATCATTTGGAATACGTACATTGTGGCTTATACCCTCACAGTTGCGATGATTTTCTGCAGATTTGCGGACAAGCTTACTAAACAAGATACGCTTGGCGTCAATGCATTAAAATCCACGCTTTGCATCACACCGGCGATGCTGATCCTTTTCCTGCAGCTTGCGATCGACCCGATGTACCGTGAAGCCGTTTTATCCATCTCTATATTCGCTTCGTTGGATATTTTCGACGGTATTGAAATGTTGGAGACCTTTCTGATGCAAAATGAAGGATATTTTGATTTGAACGGCCACACTGAGAGATCCATCATCGCCTTCGCTTGTATATGTTTCCTGCTAACATCCTTCGGTTTGGCTCGTCATAAATTTGGTAATGATAATAACGGTAACGGTGAAGTTAAAGAGAAAACAAGAGCAGCTATCGTATTTGTTTTTCTTGAAGTATGTTGCACGAATCTTTCATTTCTTGTCATCCGAGCTGTCATTTGGGGAGTTCATGGCCACGAATCTGCCGTATTTATTGCAAAGAATGCTGTGGCTTTTGTGATGGGGGTACTAGAGTTTGGAATACTCATGAAAACACAGCGAAATAAATAAAACGTACTTTTGTATATAGGATCTATATCTAATGAGATGTACACATCTTAGCTTGTGTATACAGTATACGTATACATTAGTAGTAAAGTTGATTTATAGAAGAGTGTAAACCCGTAGTATAATCATCCAAATGTCAGTTTATAATCATTATTATTATATAAATATAGGTAATAAAGTTGTTCATGTTTTGGCTGTAGACTTTTCATCGAGGCTTGGGGGATTTTATAGGAGTGTGTGGAGATGTGGCAGTCAAACGATTTCAGCAAAATTTACCCGATTCACAAATGCAAGCGGTTCTCAAATTCATTTGTTTCCACGGTTCGGACCGTGAAAACGAAGCCTTGGGGGGGGAGGGTAGTAATATTAAGAGTATGCATGCGTGTGGAGGGGGGAGGAGCGACGCCCATGGTTCTGGGAATGAATGATGGTGTAGGAAGGGGAGAGTCTCCATGGCTATAACACGGCTTTGGATTAAACTAATATTACACATCGTATTGCCATGCAGTGGAACGTATCTCATTATGTACTTTGTCATTGCCCTATATTAATACACCTTTCAATTTCCTCTTCTCCGTCGTTTTACTAACCATGATCGTTTTATTTACAATTGTGAAGGTCTATTGTGAATCATCGCGACCAAACAGTGTAAAATGTTTATTTTTATTTTGTTTAAAATCACCAGTGCTGTTGAAAAGTGTTATAGAAAGCAAATATTTATGAATCTTTTAAACCTTGCCAAACAAGTATTGGATAATACATTATATATATATACGTCTGGGGCCGGTTGTATCAAGCCCGTTTAGCTTAAACGGTGGATAAGCTCAAAATAGAAAGCAAGTCTATCGTTTTATTCAACAAGCGAACTAAATGTTTTTTAACCTTAATACAAAGATACTGTTTACAACTACATATTCAGTGGATAATATTCAAGTTCACTCATTCAAGAGAGATGTAAGAGTGTTATTTAATTTTGACTTATCCACCGTTTAAGCTAAACGGGCTTGATACAACCGACCCCTGGAGTCTGGACCGTTAAATGAACGTTTATAAAAAGTGTGCGACTTCTAGTGCAGATACACTCCATGCAGTCTCGCTAGAGTGTATTTCGATTCAGTCTAGAAAATATGAGATAGTATTTCAGTATCTCTGAAAGATCTGTCAAGTCTAGTAGAGCGAGTCATGATCGAAGCTCTTCTTTGCCATTGAAGCATGATTAATTAAAATTACATATTAAAGTTCATTTGCCCCCGCCTAACTGGATTTGTGGCTATAACTCCGCATTTGCAGTATCCAGACAGAATAAGGTATTCGACAGCGCCAACGACCAAAGCAACGGTATTTTTTGCGATGAAAATGGCGGCTTCGTATTTATGCCAAATGACAGCACGTAACACCAGGAACGGAAGATTGGTGCCGATTATTTCCAACGGACCAAGGATCATCGACGTCTCTTTCCTCTCTTTTACCTCGCCATTTCCCACAAACTTATTTCGCAATAAACCAAGTGGTGATAGAATAAAACAGAAACAGGCGAAGACGACAATGCTTCTTTCAATATCCACGTTCAAATCAAAGTTCCCTTCCTTTTGCATGAGAAATATTTCAAGCATTTCGATGCCATCAAAGATATTTAAAGCGGCGAACACAGACAACGACAACACAGGCTTGCGATAGGATGGACAGATCGTTAGTTGCAGAAGAAGAACAAGTAGTCCTGGTGTGATGCACAGTGTTCCAATGAGTGCATTGATGCCAAGATCGTCATCTTTGGTCAGATCTTTCGCGACTTTACCAAATATCATACCGACAGTAACGACGTAAGCAACAATATATAGTCCCCAAATAAACCAAACCTGACAAATCTCCTCGTCTTCGTACGAGTATTCCGACCTCCTTTGAAAACCGAAAAAGATTAACAGTAAAGCCGGTACAAATAATAAAAACCATAACGAGTATAAACCGTTTTCTAGATGAATTGCCAAAATCAAAGTAAATAAGATAACTTGACCGCAATACAGAATGTAAAACACAAGCCATCCAAGACCAACTAAACAATCCGATCTTTCCACATTTGGACGCTTTTTTTCAGTTCCAACCACCATCGTCACAGCTGGGTTTGTGCGACTTTGAAATATCTTAAGTTACGAGTTCATGAGCATATAAAGTCTGTGGTTAAAGTTCAGTTTGTTTATATATATAATAATATCTTTGGGAAATCCCATTTTTAAAACTATTAGGGATTTTCCCCTCTTCCAAGAATTGGGATGAACATAACTCATGGATGTCTTTACAGGCTTGACCGGTTTGCGCGGGTTGGAGAATGTTCTAGCTATTTTAATAACAGCCGTTTTAGGTTACCTTGATTAACACTAGCGGATACTACGCTCCCATTGCAGAGTCAACTGGCACTTTTCACTCCTTTTTGGAGTTGTATCAACACATAAAATTGACAATGCAAGACATTCTTTCTCACAGAGTACGTATATATATATATATATAGGCTATACAGAGACCTATATAATAAGATTACCATTAAGTGCTTATAGGCCCTTAAAAATGTGGACATATATGGTCATGCTGAGTAAAATACAAATCCTTGATCTTGTTTAAACTTTAAAATGCCATAACCTGAATCTAAACATTACACAAAGAGTATATTTTCTATTGAAAGTCATTTAAAGGGATGCTAACTAAACTCCACTTTGCAATAAAGAGTGCAGTTCTGTAGTTATATTTTCAGTCTCTCCAACGGCGATAATTCGTCTCGTTTTTACTGTAAATTTACTTGTTATTAGCTGTGGTTGTAGAAACTCGCTATACTAAGAGAAGAGGCAAATGTTATTTGTTAGTGAAAACCGTTTTATCGACATTGCCCTTGATAAAAAGCGGTATCATTATTTAATAACAGTGACGACATTAGCAACGATACACCTGGACCACCATTCATAAATATTGCGCGATCTTCATCGGCGTACTTCAATTTTCAATCTCGTAGACAATCAATAGCATTGTAACCAGCAAGTATAGCACAATACAAGTACTGATTGCTTCCTTATTGTGATGTTTCCCATCTGAGATCGTCAAGTTCATAGCTTGTAACAGATAAAGAGACAATGTCATGCCCCAGCCAATCCTGAAAATCCACAAAGATCTCGATTGTTCTGGCATTCTCGCGTGCAGAAGTTTTGCCGTTATCTATAAAGGATGCTTTGTCGCGAAATTACCGATTTTAAAACAAGTGCGGGTATTCCCCAGGTATTTGTGGGTATGTCCCATGGCCTTGGAGACAGTTTATATTATGATCCACATGAAAACAAGCCAGTGTATGCATGCTAGTACGAACAAACTGCCAGAGTAGTGTTATTTACTAATTTCAATATTTCAAGTTCATTGCACGCTTCGTTTAATCTCGTGGGAAAGCGACATCATGCAGCTAACCAGACCCTCAAGGTAATGTTATACACGAAACAACTTTCAACATCAACTTGCAACGCAGCAATAAGCAAAATCTAAACAACAATGTTGTGGGGAATAAAAACAGTTCATAAACTTTCCAGTTGTTTTCAAAACAATTTCTGTGTTACAAATTAGCTCATATATATCATATAAATCATATATCATCATATCCGACACGTAAACCTTCTTCAAAACATTGTTGCGTTGCGAGTTGATGTTGAAAGTTGTTTCGTGGAATATTATCTTTAGAAACAATGAAATTAGTTGAGCGTGTCTAAGTTTGTAGCTATAAAGGTATCGAATTACATCAAAATTGAACGTTCCAGAAATTGTACAACTGATGTAACGGTAATTGACTGGGCAGTTGCCTGACTCGTCAATGTCTGTTTTCCACAGAATCAGGAAGTAAGTTGCTAAATAATTGGTTTAAACTTCATAAGCAATGTTTGTTTAAAATCTTCATTATTTATAATTATTTCCAATAAAGGCATTATCTTCTACAGAATTATAAAGATCCATCAAAAAAGTCCTTTCAAAATCGAGGTCTGGACTCTGGACTCTGGACTCTACAGCTAATCAATTCAAAATAGCCAGTCTCAAAACTGTCTCATTCCCCCCATTGAATGTATTTTTTAAGGATGCAAAACTCCACAAGGCCAACGACCAAGGATACGATATTCTTTGCAATAAAGACGGAAGCTTCGTACTTATATTTTCCCCAAACGACACTTCGCAAAACTAGAAATGGGAGATTGGTGCCGATTATTTCTATAGGACCAAGAATCATTGAAGTTTTCTCCCTTTCTTTGATGTTTCCAAAACCGTCGAACTTATTACGAACTAAGCCAAGAGGAGACAAGAAAAAACTAATACAAGCAAAGGCGACGATGGACTTTTCCGTGGCAGTATTTAGAGTGAAGTATCCTTCGTTTTGCATCAAGACGATTTCTAACATTTCAATTCCGTCGAAGATATTCAACGCAGCGAATATGGAGAGGGTTAAGACAGGCTTTCGATAGGATGGACATATTGTAAGTTGCAACAGGAGAATTAATAGAGCTGGAGTGATACAAAGGGTCGCTTTCAATGCATTGATCCCAAGAGTATCGTCCTTGGTGAGTTTTCCTGCGACATTACAAAATATCATTGCAACGGTAACGACGTAAGCAACAATATACGTGGCCCAAATCGCCCACACACAAAATATTTCGCGATCGTCGCCTGTGTATTTTGAGTTCCAATTTCGTATGAAAAAGGCAGCTAAAGGCACTAGAACCAAAGAGAATAGTATAATACAAGCAACAAACGCTCCTTTATCGTGGTGTTTTGCCACTATGATCGTAAAGATGATGGTCTGTGTTAAGTAGAGCGCCAATGTAAAAAACCAACCAATTTGGACAATCCAGCGTGATCTCGTCTGATCAGACATTCGTACTCTCAACAATTGAAAGATGGTATTCAACACACCGCTGATATACAAGAGAAAAACGTCTCGAAATTAAGGAGTGATATAACTGTATTCTAAGTGATGCACGATGGTGTAAGTCGAGTAGCTATTTCGCCACGTGTTCCTGGAAATGCTCGTGCATATTCTTGGAAACAGATAACACGAAAATGGAAGCGGAACAATGTAAAAAGATAACGCATTAACATGCATAAGAGATAAACATTCCTGACGTTTGTCATGACAACTGGAACTATGCGTACTTGGACAAGGCAGTGATCAGAAAGAATCTTAGGTCCCTGACGACAGAATACTCACAATCAAAATGCTGAATTTCTATTAAAATATTGTATTCAATATTCAGTTTATGAAACTTCGGTTAATAATCTAAATTCTTCATATACTGCCCGTTAAACGGAAATGTAAATATGACCTGCATATTCGGTTACACAAACTATAGACATACAAACAGTGTATTGATACTATAATCCTCCCCATGGGGTAGGCGACAAACGGGTAGTGCAACAAAGGGGTAACAAAGATATCTTAGGAGTATGTAATGAGGGATAGGAGTATGTAATGAGGGATAGTAGTAAGTAATGAGGGATAATATTACCTTGCACACATTTAAAATAGATTTTGAGCACTACTATAGTATTAAATCGTAACTTTTTAATATGCAAGATTAAATATTTATGATAATGTTACATGATGAAGATTGTACGTTCATTCTTGGCGTTATAAAAAATAAAGGCTCCTTAACTTCGGAAGCCGTGACATTTGACTATCGAGTCAGACATGACTATCAAGATATAGTCAATGATGTTCTGTAATAGAACGTTCGTATTCTGACAAACCCTCTTCGGGTCATTCACAAGTACAACATCTACAAGCGACAAAGAACTCTACAAAGCCTACGACTAACGACACAACGTTCTTAGCAATAAATATAGACGCTTCGTAACCACAGTCAACCCAGATATAAACTCGCAGGACCAAAAACGGAATGTTGGTGAACAGAATCACAAACAATGCCATACAAACAGCCTTTCGATTACTCTTCTCTTCAACAGTACTTTCGCCATCGAATTTATTGATGGTCAGGCCAAGAGAGGTGATGAGAAAGCTCAGACATGCGAAGGTAATGATCCATTTTTCAACGGATTCGTCGAGGTTGAATTCCTCCCATTCGTTTTGCATGAGGACGATTTCCAGCATCTCGATGCCATCAAAAAGATCCAAAGCTGCGAAGACGGACAGCGCCAGGACTCCTTTGCGATAGGACGGGCTGATGACCAGTTGTAACACAAGGACCAGCAACGCTGGAGCAATACACAAAGTGATTTTCAAGCAGTTCGGACCATAGGTCTGCGATTTGTCAAGCTTGTGAGCTACTTCCCCGAAAATCAAGCCGACGGAGATGATGTAGATGATGATATAGACGACCCAGAAGAACCACACGTTCCAAATCTCATCGGGTTCTTGTGCGTAACCTTTAGTACAGCATAACGTCACGAAAACGATCAAGGCAAACAGAAGGTAGACTCCGACGCCGATCCAATAAAGATGGCTGTTCGTCGTAGTGTGTTCAACTAGGAACTTCATAAGGACACAGGCTTGTGTGATGTACAATCCCAGAGCCACCAGCCATCCAAGCAGCAACAGACACTCAGATCTTTGAGGCATACTTGATGGATTATACCGTGGAAAATGTTTAAAAAAACACAATTTCAAAGTTGCTTCTTAACGGTTTTTGATGAAGTTTTGGTTTCAAAATCGCAAAGGCGTATTTATAACCCATCTTTGGGAAAGCCCCTAACGGGAAATACCCGGCAAATTCACGTATGGGGGTTTTCCACAATTACGACATTGACACACGAAATATTTATGCTATGGAGACAACAATGGTAATATAAACAAATCTTCCATTCATAAACTCAATCGCACAGTCATGACGTTAAACGCCGACGCGAATTTTTAAATTTTCACCGACTCGCATTTCGATCAACTTTCTCAATTCACATCTTTTAGACTAAAAGTTTTAGTTATCGAGAAACGTTGAAACATTTCAAGTTTCTTTGCCCTCAATTCTTCAAAAAAAATTTTTTCATAGATAAAGTTTTTAATTTCCTGTTGAATTCCGAACTGAAGTGGTTGTGTTCAGCGAAAGTTCTAGCATTTCTTCACAACTCACTGATTAGTCAACCAAATCCATTTGAACTTGCATTGCTAGTCATTTAAAATAACAGTGCAAACTTCCGCCATCTTGGCTTCACTATTTAGTGTTTCAGCGCCGCGGAAATTTCTCGAACTTTGTCGCACTAAAAGCACGAGACCTTCCAGAACACGTAAACTAAAAATAACTATAAACAGCCACATAATAAAAGACTACGACACTAAATGGTTGCTGTGAATAGTTATATGTAGTATTAGCTTTATAAAATATTTCATGCAATAGTTTTTCAAATATATTTTAAGTTAACTTTGCCAATTGAGCAAATTATTCTAGTTTAGACTTCATATCACTGTTTATTTCTGAGCTGTTCTGAAGCTGCTGATCTGCCTTGGCAAATGATCCTGAAGACTGGACCTTCACTTCCTGAACGAATGTCAAACAGATAAACTGAACACTTTTACCGTCATTTTCGACTTGACCTTGTTCGGTTCGCGATGGAATTGTCAGCCTGTTTTGCCCGATACGAAGTGCGGGCTGGCTTACGAGGGTTGGACTCCTGGCGAACCTTAAACCAGATGAGGAAACAATGTCAGATAGGACCTTTATCTGTTGGCTCTACAATCACACTTTTAATAGCACCCTACCCTACCCCCCACCGTATCCACTAACCCCCACCCCTCTGCATTTACTCACAGGCGATGTAATGTTCCATGTCCTTGGCTTGGGTCCCCTGTGTGAAAACAATAAAACAAATGAAACAGGAACGACAGAAACAATTTCTTTTAAAACATTTCTCAGCACACTCACGGTTGGGTAGGTGAAGGCAAACACAGTATTTCCGATTTGTCTTCAGTTCGAGTTTTGGTCTTCAATCCTGCAATGAATAAAAAGAATCTCAAAACCCACCGGTAGAGTGACGAGCCTGACGATTTACCTCCGCTTTGCATGCATCAACTAATCATAACTATTAATTTCTTTCAAATTGATTGTTTTCAGTTGATAAAAACCGTTTTCAGGTGATAAACACCAGAGTGGGAAGCAGTGGTGAGGCAAAATTTTCACCACCACGATATTTATTTCGTACACCTAAGTCATATGCACTATCACGAACACCGTAATATTAGTAAAGCCGGACTAAATCGTAAAGATGGCTAGGCTTCTAATATCAAAACACCAGCATGCTATCAGAGCGGGGTGTACATCGTTGACTTGCCTTTACTATTTCTCGGGATATCAACTGGAATGAGGTTGACAATTGGCGACAACGGAGTGGCGAGGAAAGATATTCTCGAAATATTTGTTTTATCACCTACGAAACGAGATAAAATTATCAGTGAAGACTTCCCACAGAACGACTAGTAAGAAGACAAACAACAAAAACGAACCTTCAGGAGTGCTTGCGACCCGATTTACACGTCGTGTAGTAAATGATTTCATCGCGCTAATCTAAGATGTAAAAATATTCGTAGTTGATGAATACGATGAGTTATAAACCCTTGCTAGAAGTCTAGCAAATGATACTCTGTTGTTCCAGTCATGCTGTACAGTTACCTTGTTCTGTATTTGGTAAACCAGCGAGAGAAACAAACAAGGCAAATGCACAGAGCAAGAATCATGTCGTTTGAGTAAAAAGGAAGACATAAACAGCAACATGAACCCAATACCTTGACGTCAGCTTCTGGTTCCGCGTGACCGTTCTCCGTAGATGCGTCCAGGCGAGTCTTGGGAGTCTCCCCAGCCTCTTTTCTTGATTTCTGCGCGGTTCTGACCACTGTCTGTGGAGTGCCAGCCGAACCAAGCCTCGAGCGAGCTGCTGTTATATTCTTGGCCGACTCAATCGCCTTCCTAGCCGAGTTCATCAGAGCAGTTGTTGCCAGAGATTGACGTCGCCCCGCTGACTTTGGTGTGGAGGGGGCGTTAACTGGAGCGCTGTCTAAACGAAACATCGGTCAAGGTTAACTTCACAAGAACTTTTTGTGTGCTTTTCTGATATTGTTTACACGAACGACTTAGGGCAAGAGGGAAGCCTTGATTGGGGTCAACTGAGCGCCTCGTTCTCAAGTTAAAAACATCTGCAGTTATCCTGGTACAGCGGTCAACCTACCAGAAGCTGAAGGAACAACTGAGCCACCAGGGGTTCGGAGTTGTGGTGTAACAAAATCCTCCTTTCTTGTCGGAGAACCAACTGCATTAAGAGATGAGTTTCTTTGTGGCGGTGCGGCCTGAATACGAACGTGGAAAAACAAATATCACTTTTGTAAGACAAGCTCGTATAAGTGCAGAATGACGCAAAACGGAGCAATTTCATTGGTCCTTAGTTTTGGCGGGAAAATTGAATTTTAGTTTTTTGACATATTTCATATTACTCTTAGATACTTTGTTTTGTAAAACGGAATTACAAAGTATTCCCATGCCTCGCTCAGTTAGAGCAATCGCAGTGACCCCATTTGCATATGTTGTACGTTTAGTTGTTGGACCAACACACGCAATAAAACCCAAAGAAGCTGATGTCGTGATAACCACTTAAATAAATACATACATTGGCAGGCGATGAACTCCTTGCTCTTTCTCGTTGTTGCTTTTCCAATGCTTTCTGTTCTTCTTCAAACTTTCTTAAATCAAATTCGATCTCGTTTGCCAACTGTCTGTCAGCCGACAAAACATCTATCAGCAAAGAATAAAACCATTTGTTGTTGTTGTTGTTGTTGGTATTAGGCTTGGAGAGACTTGACATTACAGAGACATTTTTGAGCCATGGTCCGTAACGTTTTCAGCCTTGGTCCTTCAGGACCTTCACCGAAATTCGAGCGAATATTAGTAAAAATTTGAGAGCAAAAATACCTTGAACTTCCGTTCGATAATCCTTCATAATCTCTTTAAGACATAGCATCAAATCTTTCAGTAGTGGAGACCTCTGCTTCTCAAGCTGTGTCAAAGTATACGAGTTATTGGGAGAAATTTTGTAGCATTTTATAATTGTCTTTTACCGCATGCAAGAAGCAGAATATTCTCTGAAATATGGCAGAGTTTTCCCTCGTTTGCTTAGGTATTCTAAGACAAATTGATTGTGCAAGCAAAAGGACAAAGCTTCGGTAAGAAAACTTGCATTACAATCTATTCTTTCACAATCAAAAAACGTACCAAGTTCTTCAGTTCGATGATAATTGGGACAATATTTTCAATCATATTTTTCTTCAAAACCTAAAAGTCACAACCATATATTGAAAGAACAGAAGTTACAACCTAAAGAAGATCAACTTACAGAACCCATAGAGAGTGTATATTGCATAAATAAAGTTAGTTTAGTTTTTAAGATGTTGAATTAACCTGGGTCAGAAACTTCGTTCTAGCGGTTGCCATGGCAGCCCCAGCTTCATCTCCTTCGTCAGCAAATTCCTCCGCGGCGTGAACTTGCGTGGAAGACAACTTGATATTCTGAGAGATAAAGATTCTAACTTCAACCAAAAGACGCTTGTGGTAGAATACTACTCAAACTGGACCACCACGTTTGAGATATCTTTCTCAGGTAGTTCAGACACAAACCACGACAGCTTATTGCAGAATACTACCTACACTGGACCACCACGTTTGAGATATCTTTCTCAGGTAGTTCAGACACAAACCACGACAGCTTATTGCAGAATACTACCAACACTGGACCACCACGGTCGGGATATCTTTCTCAGATAATTCAGACACAAACCACGACAGCTTATTGTAGAATACTACCTAAACTGGACCACCACTTTTGAGATATCTTTCTCAGGTAGTTCAGACACAAACCACAACAGCTTATTTTAAAATACTCCTACACTGGACCACTTTTGAGATATCATTTTCAGGGAGAAATGAAGAATACACCAAACTAGACTACCAGGCTTGAGGTTTTCGAGGTATGTACTATGTAGCACATCCACCTACCTTTGAACACAATATAGCCAAAGCATCTTTTAAAATCGGTTTCGAATCTTCACTCAGTTCAATAATTCCATCAGTAAAACACCCAAGAACCTAAACAAGTTAAACACATTAAAATAATTGAAATACTTACCTCATCGGTCGGTTGGCACAATCACAAAAGCTGGTGAAAGTCTCACCTCTTGACAAAGCTTTCCAGTCAAGTTAAACCGTTGTTCATCAGTCGTGTGGTCGAGAAGAAACTTGTAGATGGTCATTCGTTTGCTATAGCAAAATCAATACACTCGACTCACAAAGGGGCGCCTCAAAAGCAAGGCAGGGGCAAACCCCCCCTGGTACAGTAACCCCCCCCTGGTACAGTAACCCCCCCTGGTACAGTAACTCCCCCCCTGGTACAGTAACTCCCCCCCTGGTACAGTAACTCCCCCCCTGGTAACTCCCCCCCCTGGTACAGTAACTCCCCCCCCTGGTACAGTAACTCCCCCCCTGGTACAGTACCTCGCTTTCGCCTCGCCTTTCAACGAGAATAACTCTCTTTCCTTTTTAGTTTGATGAAATTGATTGTAGACTGAAATAAAGATTATAAATCACAGCTCGTGATCATTGCTCTCCGCAAAAATGGTGGCTATTTAATTAAACTACGATTGAGACAGCTTTATGTTTAAAAGAGGAATGGAAATCCTCCAAACCTTTATGGCGATCGAAGCAGTTGAAATGGAAAATGCTTTCGATGAAGTGTTGATGAAACATGCCTGGGTGACGGGAAAGCAACAAGTGAACCAGACAAAAATCGGCTAAAAATGAAAATAAACATTTTGTTAAAAACGAAGTGTCGAATATCTGTCGACGATGAAGTAAGCTGTGTGAATCTTACCAAACTTTCTTATCTCAATATCTTCATCAACTAAGGCGGTAATAAAGCGAAAGAACAACGAACCCTTCCATTTTACATAATCTTCCTGTAAATATAATCGCATTAATAGAACTAATTTAGCCATTATATATAAATAGAGTTAGTTTAATTTAGGATTCCTCCTGTATTAACACTGTAGTCGAAGTGATTTAGCTATACAGTAATGTTTAGAACGGATTGGAACAGTTTAGTTCAAGTATTTCTTGCTAATAGTCAAAGTTATTCTTTGTGTAAAGCTACAAAACATCGTACCTGAAGCAAATGCGTGAGCAAAATTAAAGTTTGTTTCCGTATCAGCGGTTCGTTGTCTCTCAGTCCTCTCGCGATATTTGGAATGTAACGATCAACAAGATTTGTATATCTGAAGAAACAAAAAGAGAAGTTAACAGGTGTGTAACAGCCACGCTTTGCCAACTATTGTACCTTAGCTATCTTACCTAACACACAGATCACACAACACAACAGTAATGTTGTTCCTAACAGCTGGGTCTTCAGAAGCCTCTAATTCTTTGGTCAGAGCTGCGATGCAGTCTTTGGCCAACGTTTCATTTTGCAGGCACAGTTTACCTAAGTTTATTCAGAAGTTGGTGAATGTGGTGATGAAAATGATAATGAAGATGGTGAATATGGTGATGAAGATGGTGATGAAGATGGTGATGAAGATGGTGAATATAGTGATGAAGATGGTGAATTAGTGTCCACACAGTGATAGCAAAAGTAAACTTATATAATCACAATAACAAACTCACCTAGAGTAATGAAAGCGTGTGCTTTTACGGTTGGTGTGAGTGATACAGAACACCTTTGCAAAGAAACTGGAGCAGTATTGGCCGAAGCTAAAAGAGCATGGTAACCACGATAAGAAGACTACTAGTCGCCATTATGCAGAAACCAATATGACACATAATCTCAAACAAAGACTTGCCGATAACATCACCTACCTTTTTCCTGAGATGGCGTAATGATCATTGACTGAACAAGCAAATACAGTCGTTTGTTCGTATTCCCTGGACACAACTAGGCGACAAAAAGATTAGTTGTACACTAGTGGAATCCAAAAACCACGAGCGTGGTGGATCCTCTCAATGCAAAGTTGTTAAAAACAAAGCCTCACCAAAGCAACTTCTCCAATAGTAAACAAGTGTTTCACTATTGCCTCTTCATCGACTTGGTCACCTGTTGGTAAAAAAACAACAAGAAGTTATCCTGAAATGAAATGTATTTTCAATAATACTTTAGCGATCGATCTTAAACTAAAATGCCAGATTCTGTTTCACTATGCATAATGTTTAATGTAATTTTATAGTAATATGTAATGTAAACGCGCAGGATCAAATATTTTGATTCAAAATAGTTTACCCGAGTCTGGATTGAAGACGACACTCGAGAGGTAGGATTCAGATGTCTTAAGCAAGTCGCCACACCATTTGTCTATTTGTTTCTAAAAATGGAAATACAGTTGATAAAACAAATGAATCAAACGATGAAATAGAGCACCAACCTAAAGTTATTGAACTGTCATAAGAAAACTTACATCGCCTTCGGAAAGAGACTCGCAGAGCTAAACAAACGACAGATAATAATGATGCAGACATCTTTCGTATACATGTTAAAAGTTTGAACTGTTAAAAAGAATCTGGAAGAAAGTACAGTGTATGTACCTTGAAAAGAGCGTTCATATTGGCAACAATCACATCAGGAGAACATTTGAACGTTGCTAACTGCTCTTGTAACTTGACTGAACGAATAAAAATCTAGTTAAACCACAATACAAAAGAACAGACCAGTATTGTTAAAAAAGAATTGTTAGTCCACCTGTTAGATTTTCTTTGACATTAACTGGAATATCGCCAGCAACATTTTTGATCACTTTGAGAACACGGCATAACAGCTCTTCGTTACCTGACCATAGAAAAGAAAAAAACCCCACTAAACTAAACTAACTTTATTTATACTGGATAACTCTATCAGTTCTAAACTGTTCTTCCTAGAGGTCTAGTAAGGATCATCTCTTATTGATCGACATGACCGGATTAAATCAGTGTGCAAAGCAATTGTAGTTAACCTCGCAGGGTCACCTTACAAATAACTATACTTACCCTGAGACGTATATTCATTGAAGCATTCAATGATTTTTTTATGATCCAGCTTTGGTTTGAAGGCAGAGATCTCGGACAGAAGTAACCAAGCAGCCGAAGCGTTAGTGCTTCCAGTATGACTTAAGATAGCTTTCACTTTAGCTGGCGTAAACTTTCCTTGCTTTGCCCAGTGATAGCAAACTTTCTGGAAATAATGCCTGAAGTGAAAAGGTAAGAGTTGAAAGTTGGTATCATCCTTATCATGGTACCACAAACACCATTAATTACAGCATTCGTCACCATTACCATCATGAGAGCATACCTCATCTCTTGTCCTGATATACCAGCTATCAATTTCAATAAATTCCACGTCAATACTTGATCACAGTTTTGGGAGCCTCTTTCCTGAACAATATTCTGCAAAATGATCTCTTCCAATATACTCAAGCATTTCTCCTGTGCTGTGGTTTCCCGGTCCATCACAAGAGGCAATATTGCGTCCAGCCAAACCCTACACAGGCAAACAAAAACTTGCAGGTAATAAGAGGTGAGACAAGTTTCCTGGTCATGGTTACCGTGGGAGACTGTAACCGAAGCAGAGCATACGACAATCTTGTTAATGTTTACTAACCCATGTAACAGCTCTGATTCAGGGTTCTCTGTCAACAGCGCGGTCATGGAAACCATGGCTTGTTTACGGACTGACAGAGCTGGGTCCATCGTTCTGTCATGAAGCGTTTCCAAATCCTGAAAGTATAGTGTTAATTCTAAGGTAGAAAATGTGCAGTTTGTGCGTAGGTTTCTATATGAAACACACAAATTCGTTGTGAGAACTACAGGCTGTCGTGCGTGGCTGTAATCACCTGTTTACACAATGCGTCACTATTCATTCTTATGATGCTTTCAAGAACCTAATAAAATAAACAAATATTTGCACACAACATTGGTTAAATATTCGGCTTCATTACTTATTTACCTACCATTGTAATGCATAGTTACATACCTGTATAGCAGCCTTGCGAACCAAGACCTTTCCATCTGAAACCCTTCGTCTGATCATCTCCGACACGTTAAAATCTTAAAAGGTCAAAATATCAGTTCTAAACTCATGTTCTTCCTAGAGGTCCAGTAAGGATCATCTCTTATTGATCCAGTGTTACTACAAGAGGAATCCTAAACTAAACTAACTTTATTTATACTGGATAGCTCTGTCAGTTCTAAACTTTTCTTCCTAGAGGTCCAGTAAGGATCATCTCTTATTGATCCAGTGTTACTACAAGAGGAAATCTGAACAAACTTAATTTTTCTGCATAGTTTGATTAACCCAAGAAACCGGATTCTTACCCTCCTGCACAGCCAACCCAGACGATGAATGTTCCTCCATACTTCCGTTGGTTAGTGTCATTGTTAGAAGTTTTTTCACAGCGGCAGTGATGGCGTCATTTTCCGAGCAAATACACTGCGCCAGATGGCAGAGAGCTTTGGCTCGTACGCTAAGATTAAACAGTTTGACAATGATGTATTTTGATAAATACATTGAATATATTCGCAGAATTCAGGCTATATTATTTAAAGTCACCCGATACGCGATTTTGAAGATGAAATATTTTCCACGACACGAAACTTGTAACTATACTTATAGACTGCGCTCAACTCATTACGTTTTGGGAAGAGGTTTTTCAGAAAATAAAGATCTGATGTTGAAGCAGTAAAATGTACCATCAGATATCGACTTACGTTGGAGCCCTGTCAGAACATCTTGCTACAACAAGTCGCAGTAATTCCAAATGAGAAAATCTTGCCCGACTTTCGCCATTCCCATCTGAATAAAAACATTTTACGACATTGCATTATTTCAAGCGTGATTTTGCGACGCCATGTGGTAAAAAAATACCATTACATTGTTTAGAAGAACTTTGTTTTGAAAACCTAAATATCCAGTCTGCAGAGTTACATATGAACTAGCTCAGGCGGAAGAAATAAACTACTCGTAAAAACCTGTAGAATCCGTGAGCAATTTTAGAATCAAATCCAGAGCAAAAACCCGATAACCAATCTGGAAAAAATTAAAGCATTTTCAAAGAACTGTTATTAGCTAGATCCAGCCTGGAAATAGGGAGACTAATTCTTATCAAACCTTAGAGTTTTTCGAGTATTTGGTAATCCATGACAGAATATCAGTTAGGCTGTCATTAGGAAAGCTTTGTAGGATGGCAGTTATAGCCTGAAAAATAAAGATTTGATAGACGAGTTAGAGGCTTTATAGAGCGTAGATTTAAAAGTCGGTTCTGCAAGAATCACATAATGTAGATGAAGAAGACATATTTCAGTGACATGTCAATTCATAAAATTTTTGACCTCGAATAAACATGCAATCTGGTTGGCCAGTATTATTAAACAAAACTCAGGAGTGTATTTCAGCCAAAGTTAAAACCATTTGCCATATCCATAAATGATGTTGTTACCTTAAATTCTGTCATCTATAAACAATGAAAGGTGACGAAAAAGTACAGAAATCATAGTAGTATAGATGATTAATACCTTGCCTACAGAGTTCCTGAATTCTGCCTGATCTGGAACCTTCATACACAAATGTTGCACCAGAACTCTTACGGCGGGCAAAGCGAGTTCCTCGTACTTGTGAACCGTGTGACTTGGATAAAAATACAATATTAAATACTTCGTTAGTTTGGTCTTACGACCAAGCTCCTCGCCTACTCCCTGCTTTATATATAAGTTTTGAACAAAGGTCGAACGCTAGCAACACAGTACAAACGTGTTTCATGGAACAAAGCTTTAAAATTCAGACTGGAGACTTACCGTACAAAGTCAATGGCGTTGTCGCGAACAATTTGTTTCTCTTGAGAGATTGTCGCACCAGACGTTGAAGACGCGTTTTTGTACGTCGACATGATGTTTAAAATAAGATGACGGAAAATCTGTTGAACGAAAGAAAGTGCTCAATTTATAAGGGACAGATCATCAGTTTGGACGGATTATCTGTCTAGACGAATAATCAGTCTGGAATGATAATCAGTCTGGATGGATTATCAGTCTGGATGGATCATCAGTCTGGATGGATCATCTGTCTAGACAGATAATCAGTCTGGATGGATCGTCAGTCTGGATAATCTGTCTAGACAGATAATCAGTCTGGATGGATTGTCAGTCTGGATGGATCGTCTGTCTAGACGGATAATCAGTCTGGATGGATCATCTGTCTAGACGGATAATCAGCCGGATGGATCATCAGTCTGGATGGATAATCTGTCGAAGATTAACCAGGAGAGGAACTACACAGGTTAAAGTATCTCACCATACCTGACGTAAATTCTGACCAACATCTCCTTGCAAGGGTAAGGCAATCACTTCAAGAGCCTGAAATTTAATATATTAACTGTTACAAAGTATCGAAAAATGAAAACTTAACAAGTTCTGAATGAAAACTGACCTTGTAAACAAGTTCATTGAGCGAGTTCTTTAAAATTGATCTTGAGCTGAAAGAATATTGGTTAAAAACTAAAATGTAATTCTACACTTGAAGAAATATTTTATTGTATTGTAGATAAACGAATTGAATTGAATAAAGGCAATTAACAGATTGCAAAGCCTTGAGATTGTTTCGACTGCCTTACTTTGTCTGAATATTCTCAAATAGTTCGACAACAGAAGGTTCTATTCTGGTGAGGTCAACAAGTAAAGAAACAACATGATCCATTGTGTCTTTTGAATCCTTTAATGATTTTGACTGAAGATATCTTGTCAAATCCTGAGATGAAATTACCAGACAGAAGTGAACATGTTCTTTGATTAAAAGAACTCAATATTTTATGGTCTACTGTATCTCTAGGCATGGCCGTACATGCTGTTACATTACAGACTAGGGTATAGATAGAGTTTGATAATATGTACAACATTCTGGGGAGAACCTTATTGTACTAGATAACCGCATTCAACACACTTACCCTAATGAGTTTAATCATACTATCTCTAATCTCCAAAGTGATTTTTTCTTTATCAAAAAATCTTGAACCACAATCACTGTCTTCACTATCATCATCTTCAGAATCATCCTCGCTTGTTGTTTCATTTGCACTCCTCTGACCTGCAATGAAAAACTCAAATATACCAAAACATTCCAACAGCAAGATTCTGGAAACACCATTAACAAGCTACTGGTGGAGCTAATCTCAAGATTTAGCCTCGTTAGACTGTCATAATTACAATTACCATTGACACGCCTGGCTTTTCTTTGTCGGCCAGCAACTTGGTTCGTTTTCTTTGCATGCTTTCGTTTGCCTTTTGGATTGCCTGTATCAAAACATAGAAAATTAAAACAACAACTTTCTGTGGTAGGAGTTGATCGATTTTGGATGTTAAGAGTTGTTCAATTTATTTAAAATACTTCCCTAACCTTTTGCTGGCCAGCATTGTAAAATATCCACAGTTTTTTGAAATAATAAAGGATGGAAAATCTTGTAGGCACCGCTGCCTAAAAGTTAACAAAGTACAAACAATACAAATATAAGTAAATTTCAAACTGGAGTCTGTGGTGATGCTTGAGGATTGGTAATATCTTTAAAATGGTAATATATATAGCATGGTTAGAAAGAAAATGGAGGATAAAGTAAACACCTTCAAGGAATTTTAAGTTTTAGACATAAACCCTGCAGCTACTGTGAAATGCCACACCAACCTATGAGCAGTTACCTGAAATTTGATTGATTAAGATGTATATATTCGAGGCTATGACAGAGGATGCCATTTTATAGCTGACAGAAGAACTCTGCAATGAGACAAAGATGAAATACATACAATTGCTGATCAAAATTCATCATCATTTCCAAGTATATCTTCATGGGTGAAATGTCTGCTGACTTGGGTACCATATTGGTGGTACAGTGGTTAGACCCGCAAGAAACTATGGGACAATCTCTTAACACACCATACCTTGTTACACGAACAAAGAAATGCATACAACAGGGCAACCAAGGAATGATGAGACATCCCATTTTCAACCAAAACTGCCCAAAACCCTGAAGAAAAAAACAAGATTTCTGAACTACAATTTAAACAGAATGGCTTCATCAGTTCCTGGACTCATTTACAATGTCTGATCGCGTCAATCGCATTCGCGTCGACACGTTTTAAAGGGACAGTCGGTCGGGGATGATCCATCAGTGTATTACAAAATGGATGGAAAAAGATTTTCTTTTCCATTGGACATGATAGAAGAGGAAGATCTGATTGTCTCAAAGGTGATACAAGAACCGGATCGAAACAAATCAGATCGAAACCTTTATAAATTGTTCTCTCCAGAGGAAAGTGTAGATAGAATGGATGGTACGTTTTTGGTAGAATCAAACTCGTCTTTCTCACAATCCCTGCATCTCGTAACGCCTATTTGCAAATGTACACGTTTACATTTACAAGCATTTGTACACAACATTTAAAAACACTGAAACAAACACCGATGCACCTAAACACTCACGAACGAACCTAATGGTTGACTATCCGCTTCACATGTCGACCATTCTTCGACGAGTTTCAGTAAGGATTTTAACTCGTTAAAATAGTACTTCTTGCGCTCTAAATGCTCTGCTAAAACCTCAGGCATTTCGATAAATTCACAGAAATCCGTCTCCCACACTTCGTCAACCCAAGACTTCGGGATTTCCGATAAACTGAGCTGCGAAAGAGCTTCAACTGTCGCCTCGGAAAGGGCAGCCATTTTGAAGAATTGTAGCAAAGAAGATAAACAAACTTTTCCCGCCTTTTTTCAATCTGTCTTCCACCGGTGAACTCTATGTGAACTGGAACGATAACTCGGTCGATTTCATCGGTTTGAGTATAAAAATGGTTCAAAAACCTTGACCAGCGGTCACCAGCCGACACTGACAATTAAGAAAAGCAAAAAAAATAATTCCCAATTATCAAAAAACAAGACCTCCTGGCCCTGACATCCTCAAGGCGGTGTTACACTATGCAACTTTCCTTGCAATTTGCAATGCAATTCTAATTTTGAGGGATGTTAATTTGTAAAGAGTGTTATGCGAAATGCTAACAAATCCTGGGTACGAGGTTGAGAAATCGTAAGCAGATCGTAAGAAATGTTCGTATTTGTCAATTTAGATGCCTCAGGAGTAGAATTGCATTGCAAGTTGCAAGGAAATATATGAGTCATAAAAGACGCGATTGAAACCATTAATCAACTTAATTATTCATTAACTTGTACCATTACTTGTACCGATAATTAACCCCGCGCATTGTTAATTAATGACGTAAATAATAGAGCTAGTTAAGTCAACTTTAAAACTTCGAGTTCAAAAACTTCTTTATCCAATATGCTGGAACGAATAAAAAATTTAGAAATTTTAGAAAAGCCTGAAGTTAGCTTCAAACGGCAACTGCTACAAAATCCGTTTCATCCTTTTGAAAAAACTGATGAAAATCGTAAGTAGCATTATTTTATTTATATAAAGAAGCTCTGTAACACTTGAACACCTCTTTCACTACAGGAGGAAGCCTAAACTAAACCAATTCTTGAATCCTAAAATAGCTAGCTTGTGTCAAAACAGAAGTCGGTCCGATTTCTGTTGCGCGGTCAAAGATGCCTTTTTTTGGCGAACAAAAAGTGAGCCCATCTCATGCGATTTCTTTTTCAGATTTTGATTTAATGTTATGTGACCAAAGGTTTTACTTTGGAGTGGTGTTTACTTTCGCAGTAATCCTGTTCAGCATCGTATCAGTCGTACTCAACGGGCCAGGGGTGAGTTCAACATTATAATCATCTGGATAATCTGTTCTCGCCGCTCAGAAAGGTTGTCGAAATAGTAAAGTCTATTCTGCAGTATTTAACAAATTGTATCTTATGTTATTCTTTATGAAACCAGTCGAAATTCTGCGAGAATGTTAGTTATAAGAACTGTAGCTTTGACATGAATTTAAGACAAAATAAAGTAATCAAATGTGTTTCAACAACGAAATTGTTCGAGAAGTCCTTCATTCAGATCACCTGGATTGTTTAGAAACCGTCTCATTTTTTTCCTCACAGGAATACCTCGTAATATCGTTATTGGTGTCCATTTTATGCGTGACATTGGCATGGGAGAATCGCGGTCACCGAAGATGTGTTCTGGATTCGTCCAATAAACAGTACTCCTTTTACGAAAACGGTCAATTGACTTACGCCGGGGCATTTAATAATGTTTATATCAGATTGAAAGAACAGAAATACGGTACGATGCTTCATACATATTGCTCAGGGGCGGACTGACTATGATTTGGATCCTCAGACAAGATGGGGATTCAGGCCTCCGCTATTTCCTTTATGGGCCCCAAGACTGCCCTTGAGTATTGCCCGAATGCCGCGTTGTGCCGGCCCCCATCCTGTTGGCGAATGTCTGCTCGCTAGAAAAATGTTTTTGTTTCTTTGTTTCTCCACTTCAAAAAAACTTGGCCAGGAAACAATGCCTCCATTTCCTGTTTTCTCCAACGTCTTTCGCATCAAACCTCCCTGCTGTTGACATGATTATTGTATCTTGATTAATTTACGGGATCTAGGCTCAGGAAGCGTGTACTACTACGTTGTGTTCAATGGCTATCACATGCACGAGCAGAAAATCACATCCTACACAACAAACAGGAAGGTACGTCTTCGAAGGGAGAATTGAGAGCACAATAATGTCGAGTGTTATATATTGTTTTCATTTTCTTAAAAAGATTCTTACACTATGCTCTATCTTCCAGAGACTTCGCAGTCTGGCAAGAAAGTTAGCCGCTTCCTTGAACCTCAACTATTTCGATTCAAGAATATACTCGAAAGATCATATCCTTTCCTATCTATACCAAGTGATCCCGCGCCCATATTTTAGCCAATCAGCGCCCAGGGTTGTTCATATTTTAGCCAATCAGCGCTTAGGAAATACAATTAGCGCATAAGCGTTGTAAACGGTTTATTCAAACGTTCTTCTAATCTTCTCATTGACACACAATTTCCTTAACCCACGCTCACATATCGTACGTCACCCGCGTCCGCTGGCAGACGTGTCAGCGTCCACATCGATAGGAGGCAAGGACATCGCCACCACACTCGTTTGATTCCGACTAGAAGCACACTTCACGCCTATATTAATTATATCATTTTTTATCCTTATTTTTTGTCTTACGTTTTTCTTCGAGATCTTTTATTTTATTTCCCAATTTTTTCTCCAAGTTTCCCCTCTTCGCCGCTGCCTTATTAGAGATTGGTTTTGGGAGACCTGTGGCAGAGCGCGCGTGTTCTTTGGCAGCCTGAGAACAACCGTGTATTTCCGGAAAATGATGTCTTATGCAATATACATTTAGGCAAAACCGGCACTTTTGCCCTACGGTTAAAATACTCTCTTTACATTCCTTTAGTGCACATTGCGAGTCCTTCCGTTTAAACTCTGACAAAAGTTCGTCCAAATCATCTGGTTTTTCCCAATCTTCACTACTTTTCTCGATTCCCGTATTTTCCCTTTTCTCGTCCTTTTTGGCATTGCCGCCTTTTTTGCCCTTCTTTTTACTGCAGACATTTTACCCACTGATCCCGATATGTTACATGTCTTCAGCGGCCGTTGGGTTTCTCGTAGGCACCTGGCTTCATGTAAGCTCATGTTTGACGATGGTATTCTCTTTAGGCAAAATACACAAATGCTCGTGTTGTCATTCGGTTGAATCTCGGTTTCTTCCGCTCTGCATTCGGGCTGTTTCGTCAATATTTCGTCATCATTGATATCTAGACGATGTTATATAACCAAGTTGAACTCTTGTTGGATGAATAAATAAATACATTACAGAACAATGCTTTGCCTTTCATACTTACCATTAATTGATGGTGGTTTCTTAGCGACAGCGATGAACCGCTCTGTACCAGTCCCCTTGCTCACGTGCTCAAGCCCAGACTCTTCCGCGATACGATGGACTGTAAAACGCTCGTAAGAGTTTAAATTGGCGGGAAACTCGAGTTGGGATCTCTTTGGATCAATTAGGAACTCTTTGATTTGCTGCTCAAGTTTTTTCGCATTATCCTCATCTGTACGTTTTTGTTCTCTGCTATCCAACGAGGTGTCCCCCGTTGTATACTTCTGTCCAACCTTCGTTACAGTCAATTTTCGGTTTAGACATTTGGAAATTTTTTAGTTTTTCTGGCCGCGAAACGTTGCATTTCGCTTTGTTTTGCTTCGAATTTTTCGTCTTAGATTTCTCATCCTTTGCCTGTTTCATGCTGTCTTTTTTTACTGCGAAAAAAAATATAAAATAATTAGTATAAAATAATAGTATAACCTACCCTGGATATTCCTTACTTAACTAAGATTTTTGATAATGGAGACCCAAAAGGGGAAGACACTGAATTGAGATGAAACTAAGATTAATTGAAAACATATTCCACACCTGAACGTTGAGTCGTTTCCCCGCTTATACAAGACCTGTATTGTTCAGCTGACCATACCTCACCGTGGGCGTTAATATAGTCAAAGCGAGCGCGAAGAAACTGATCGTGACTAACTGTAGTTGAATCGCCGACAATCGTTAAATGTCGACGTGCTCTCGTAACCGCTACGTTCATTCGTCGGTTCTCGGCCAAGAACCCAATTTCACCTAAACGTTAGAATAACATTGAACTAAAAAACCCCTACTTAACCCCACTGAATATTGCATTTAACCCCAGGCTTTCACATCCCTGTGAAGTAGCTGGAGAAATGCACAGAGAATGCTTTTTTTCCATTGCTTTTTTCGTTGCTTTGCCAGTGATCTGGGATTTCTTTCCATACACATTCTTACCTTTCGTATTTGACCGAACCATTGAAATTACAACAGCTTCTTTCTCGCGTCCCTGAAAACCATCCACGGATTTGATCTCAAGTGCTGGGTACTTGGTGGATAAACGAGACCTTAGAAGTTCTACCTGGATCATATAGGATAACACGAGATAAAGTGGGGATAAAATAGGATAGGGCAGGATAAATTGAGATCAAACAGAAACTGTATCCTAACGCTATACTGTGATATCCTTGCCTGGAGGTTGTAGGGCGTTATGACTCCTATGTCTTGTTGCTTCACACCGCTGTCCACCAGACCGCTGACATGCGCGGCCACGACATCAGCCTCGCCTTCGTTACCTTTAGATTCCTCGTCTTGCGACCGCAGTTCGTACAGATCACATCCAGCGGTATCAATCATCAACAAAGGCAATGACGTTAGTTCGGTATCGTTCACCTCCGGTATGTGACATAATAAATGTTGCGCCACGGACACATCGGCCAGCAGTTTCCCGTCATAAAGCCTGTCCGATGACCACTTCATTATGGCTTTGTTCATTCTACAAACAAACAAATGGATGCAATTTTACGGACAAACCAATTGCAACTGTCGGATAGGCAAACCTTTACAATCCGTTAGTAAAATAGAAATAACACCCAATGTACCTACCTGTACTGTGTTGTCAACATATGAACAACTTTATCACCAAACATCTCTATGATTCTTTCCATCAAAGTCTGTTCCAGTCCTCGCCGGGCAGCGTCACGTGACATTATAGTTGGCGGCAGCTGCTTATGATCTCCAGCGAGAATGCATCTGAAGTGTGAAGATTGTTGTTAGGCAGGTTAACGAAGCATGGTACGTCATCATTACCATGGCAACAACACACCTCGGTGCCCATAGCAACGGTATCCAACACGCTGCCTCCAAAGACTGAGCAGCCTCGTCAATCACAACCAAATCGAAATGATCTCTTGGAAGATGTTTCAATGGTCCGTCGTCAGAGGCCGAGACATTCGTCGATAGTATAACTTGAGCATTGTGGAGGATGTGTTTTAAGGCTTTCTCCTCGCGTTCTCTCAGCTCTTTACGCAGTGTCTTCAGCTCTGTCCGCAGACGAGATCGCTCGCCAGAGTTTCTACTGCCTTGAAGATTACGCTAAATAAATAGGCATACGCTTTGACACCATAATTTTTGTCGAAGAAGTTTTTGGAACTCTCAATCAATTTAATCCTGTTAAAAGTTGTCTTCATTCATCCCACCTACCATTGCAGTATCGATATCTCGTCTAACATCCTTCACGATTGCTGTGTCGTGAGACGAATCCAAAATGGCAGCCAAAGAGTGACTGTGAATCTTCTCCATCAAGCGAGCTGGATGACCCAAACGCACAGCCTTTAATGCAAACAAGAAAATGTATTACCACAGAAAGTCATCTCTACCTCTTTCTTACTTTCTTACGTGCCATTTCTCACGATTGGTCAGTCAGCAAGTACTGTAAAGTGATCACCCCCCTGGCTCAATTCCAGGGGGTGGTGTCTACAAAAAAATCTGGTTAAAAAACAAGAAGTAAAAGTCTTACTTTAATTTTATATTTAATCAGTCTTTCCAAAATATTATCAACAGCAATGTTCGATGGAGCACAAGCCAGTATCTAAAATTCAATCAAATTTCAAATCTGACATAAATTTCAGCATTGGAGTGTCAGAAATGACACTGCAATAGAAATTACCTTCCAACCAAAATTCTTCACAGCTTGAACAATGACCTCAACAATTGTGGTTGTTTTTCCTGTGCCAGGAGGACCATGCACAACCCCCACATGCCGACTTGACAGGGCAAACCTCACCGCATCCTGCTGGCTTTCATTGAGATTCCCATTAAAAAAATCTTTCTGTTTTTGCATCAAGTCATCTGGTCTTTGCTGTAAGCTTGACAGGTTTAGGGGTTCTGACAGTGGCATTGCACCAAAAAGTACGGAGATCAAATGGGATGAACAATACGAGGAAGGTGTGTTTTGAAGCGTCTCCAGGGCTCTGCAATAGAAAGTGTTCTTAAATTATGAATACCTGTTTGGAAATACCATTCCATAACAAACAATACCAAACATACCATACCATATATTACACCATCATACCATACCATATATTTTACCATACCATATCATACCAAACCATATATTATACTAATTACACCATACCATACCTCACCATACACCATAGCATCACAGAAATAAACCCAAATTAAATATAACAAACCGTTTCATCCGTTTAAAGGTGACATCATTAGCTAAACGAGTGATTCTCATTAATCTATCCTCCTCAATTGCCTGCGAATCAAAAGCTTCCTCAAATGCAATGACAATTGATGTCTCGGACACTCGAGTAACAATCCCTGATGATAATTCTGCAACATTATTGTCTTCAGAGGAATAGGACAAACCAACAATGTCACCTTAATGAGGAATAGTTCATTAAACTTCACTTTCCAATCAATAGCTGTGGGCATCTCCTACTGATCCAGTATTCTTAACCTAAACTAAACCGACTTTATTAGTTTATTTATTGTGGACTGTTCTTCCTAGAGGTTCAGCAAGGATCATCTCTTATTGATCCAGTGTTACTACAGGAGGAAACCTAATCTAAACTAACTTTATTTATACTGGATAGCTCTATCATTTCTAAACTGTTCTTCCTAGAGGTCCAGTAAGGATAATCTCTTATTGATCCAGTGTTACTACAGGAGGAAACCTAAACTAAACTAACTTGATTTATACTGGATAGCTCTATCATTTCTAAACTGTTCTTCCTAGAGGTCCAGTAAGGATCATCTCTTATTGATCCAGTGTTACTACAGGAGGAAACCTAAACTATTAAACTAACTTTATTTATACTCAATAGCTCTATCATTTCTAAAGTGTTACTACAGGGGGAAACCAACGCGATACTGTACAAAAAAGCCATACCAGTTGTAATGCAATGGGCTGGTAAAGGAAATTTCTTCACAGAATGCTCCACATTTCCTTTGCCCAGAGTCACCAAAGTTCGGCCATATAAACCAGTTTTCTGACTAAATAGAACCATTTTTCTCAAGCAAACACCTTTATTTTCCAAGGTTGCGTTATCGGAATTTTGGTAAAATGCTTTAGATTCGTTTATTTCAGCTTGCCTTTCCAAATTTAACAATTCTATCATTTTTTCAACAAACTGATTTAAATCCGCCATCTTGACTGACATGACAAAAAAAACGGGGGAGAATTTACCGGAAAAAATGGACGGTGTTCAGTATTCTCCACTGAGCTATATATAATTATAGTATAGTTCAGTGGTATTCTCCCCGTGATTAAGTAAGTGGTAACCGCCCTGGTGGTGATTAAGTTATATAGTTATATCCACTGAGCTATATTTAAATTCCTGGAGGATTTGCTCCACTGAGCTACATAATAATTCCTGGAGGACTTGCTCATATATATTACAAATAACACATGATCCGGTGGCCTATTGGTTAAAAGCTACGGCCCTACCACGTGGCAAAGGTGCTATAAAAATATATATTTCTGTCGTTACACCAGTCTCGCATGTTTGATTCTTTTACGCCAGTGTTCTGGGAATTCAACCCAGAAGCCAAACACGCGTGTTTTTTTAACAGTTCATGTGCAAATAGGATTTCTCCATTTTGTAAATTGTGAATGAAATCTTCTCACTATCAACGAACACGTTTTGGTTTGGCCCCAGACATGGACACTGTTTTTTACAGCCAAAAGAAAAGGAGGGAAACCGGAGTGCCCGGAGAAAAACCCTCCAATGTAACCTGAATTTCAGGTTACCTGACCGGCGGTCCGAATTTGGTATTTTTCATTTAGAAATCGTCCGCAATCACAGTCCACCTTTTACCTATAGTTCATCGTTTCATGATCAATTTGCGCTCATGCCATGCAATGGTTCTGAATTGCCATGCAATATTTGAGCTTCGCCAATTTTATTTCATTTCATCCTGATGGTGGTCTAACGTGCGCGCTCTGTTTAAAATTCTAACGAAACTGCGCTTTGCTCGACAGTGGCAAAAAATTATTTCAATTTTTTAAATGCTCATTTTATGATCATGCTTTTTTTGGAAATCGGCATTTTTGAAAGAAATTCTTCATATTCACGACTTGCATGCTTTTTCATCTCAAACCGATGTAGACAACAACACTCTTCAACCGGCTACCCCTTCTTAAGACATGTACCTCATGCATCATTTATTTTTTTTATAAACCTAATCGGGTTCAACATGCAAGATACTCAAATATGGCTGATCGATGTCCCTTACCTTTCTCACCTTTGGTAAACAGTATAGGCCGAATTTCACTTGCTTCTCTGCTCCATTTCAAACAGTCGCGTTCTTCTTCAACAACATCTCGACGGTGGGGCGTGTAAGGAAATAAACAACATAGTAAGTGTGTCAAAATGCAAAAGGTTTTCTTTTAAGAGTTGGCTTTTCAGGCATAGGGTACTGTACAATATTAACCTACAGTTCAACACTATACCCCAAGATAACCCCATTACAAGTCCAGTTATCATGCAGTGTAATATATCATGTCATATAGAAGGTATATATATCCTTTTTATACAAACTTTATTTCTTTCATGTGTCATGCAAAATTTAATATTTCATTAAAAGTAATAGGGAACAGAAGAGTGTTAGTGTCTAAACATCAAATAGTCATTTTTTCTTCATTTCAAATTTGATAATAATTCGAATTTAAATGTTGAAAGGCTAAAGTATAATTTTTGATGCCACTGACGAACAATCCTTCGAAACGGTCGCATTTTAATTAACAGGCTGGACAGAGAACTTATATAATCATATAAGTACTCGCGATTACCTTCGTATTAAACTAAAATTAGGTCAATACGAATTTGATTTGATTTTCTCTTTGCGCGCGCGTCGCCCATGCTAGTTGCATTCTGTCAGCATCATTTCAACGCTTTAAAGCCATCATGCATCTGCCGCAGCTGTTAAGTCGTTCACACACAAGTGACAAAACTAACATGCAAAACTAGGAATGTTTCATTGAGAAACCTCGAAAACACCCTCATAAGGGCTGTGAGAAATTTTCTATTATCATGCATTGTCGAAAAGGGTAAATGTCACTTGATGTGTGAATATACTAGGTTAGACCACCAGGAGGAATCAATCCGAGAATAAGTCATGCACATACATTAATCACATGCACAAACATTAATCATGCACAAATATTAATCATGCACATGCATTAATCATACACAAACATTAATCATGCACAAATATTAATCATGCACATGCATTAATCATACACAAACATTAATCATGCATTACTCTAATTAGTATACCTATAGTATATACCTCAACCAGCTTCTACTTGTACACCCGTCTCGTCGTCCATCATCTGATCCTGCGACGATCCTTAATCATCTGATCCTGCGACGATCCTTCAACATCTGATCCTGCGACGATCCTTCAACATCGGATCCTGCGATGATCCTTCAACATCTGATCCTGCGACGATCCTTTATCACAAAAATATGAAATCATTAATTTCCAAGTCAGAAATGTCACTGACATATAAAGCATACAGTTTATAATGATCACTCAAAACCCGATTGTACACACCTTCAACATCTCCTACGCCACTCGTAAGGCCTTCGCATTGCGCACGCGAATACAAAATGTCATGCAAGTTTTGTAGGAAATATTTATTGTTTTCTTCATGCTCCCGAGTAAACTGAAACACTCGACTATTATCTCCTTCAAGAAATACAATTTCTCATGCATTTTTATGATTTAGGCGCTCTGTGAGCGATATTTTTTATCCGGACTATTGTCGTTCAAGATGGAAAAAATACAAGTGATGGGGCCCCAGATCACCTGTATTTACTCCGCATGCGCTTGACACGACCAGACTCATGCAAAAACCGCAATCCGAAAAGTTGAAAATCAAAGAGGTAAACAGAAGAGTGTTCAGTATATCTCAGTCAAAAAGCCAAATCCCATGCAATTTTACTCATGCATATTTTCATGCACCGAAATCAAATTAAGTTTTGTATTTGCGTGCATAAATGTCGCCCAAGGCAGCTCCGACATCTCTCCACCCCGACGTTGCTTCCATTCTAGAAAAAGAAAACCTCGGTAAAACAAAAAAATCACGGGCTGGACATATAAAGCCTAGTTAGAGTGACTTGCTTTCCGACTTTTTTTGTTTTGTGACAAATTCACATTGGAAGCAAAGGATCACTACAAGATACTTTGGAAGTAGAAAACACGCTCCAAACATTGAACTGCAATAGACAGGCTGAAATAACTCAGCACGTGTCAAGTCTAGCATGAAGTACACACATGCATATACCAACACGGACAATACGGATTTCCCTGTACAAAATTAACATGAAGTGCCGACGGACGGGCATTCACGATACGACAACCGTGTCCGAAAAAAGCATTGCGCCAGATGGGACTGAAGTTTTAGCCCTTTCTTGAGAAAAACTAAGGATAAAGTCGGCCGAAAAGTCGATTAAACTATACTCTAGTTACGCTTTTTGTGTACAAACGGGTTATTTTGAATATAAAAATACATATATTAATATAACAATACCTATTATTCGCTGCAAGCAAGCGTTTGTGTTTCGATTTCCCCATCTTTCGGCGCCGTTGTTCGTTCTGAAATAAAATAAGGAAGGAAAAACAAAATCAAGTTAATAGCTCACTTGCATTTCATGTTTTCAATCGAAAATACAAGATATAGCTCTGAAATATCAACAAGAATATGCCACCATGCAGTCGCTAATGTCTTGGCTATTCAAATCATCACGATGATGAATTAATTTGCAAAGCCAAAGATCAAGCCAACAGTGAACACATTCTTTAAACAAACTATGAAAATGTACCTGAGTGAGATTCTTCCAACTTTTCCCTAAACTTCTTCGAGTAATCCTTCCTTCTCCGTCGCTACAAAGTATGAGTTTATCTCGAATTCGACCGCTTTTTATTACCTCGAAGAACATTCCAACGAACATTGCACTCTATGCATCGATCACAATTAACAATAAGGCCTGTTTCAAACGACGTGCTTCTCATGTACCGAATGTATTAACAAGTTAATGAGGCACCTGTGCGAAGGCTGTTTCTTGTTGTACATATGTTTTTATATTTCATTTAACCCCACATCCCAGTGCAGTTGCTATTTTGTTTGGTATTTACTTATTAAGATCTTTGTTCGGTGATCTAAACCTTTGAGACAGGGACCGCGGAGCAGGGTGGCTCGCTGGGCTTTAGCCCCACCAATAATTTTTCCGTAATTAGTCTTTAATTTCGAGTTCGCTCAAATTAACAATACAAGCGCCAAAATGCTGGAAACTTTACATAGGGCAAGCATTTGACCATTAAAACAGCGTGGTTATCCATTTCAAAAAATTTGACATCATAACCAAAGCATGCATGGTTATATTGGTTAATGTTTGTATATGAGCGCCAAACATACTGGAAACTTTACATAGGACAAGCATTTGACCATTAAAACAGCGTGGTTATTCATGCCAAAATATTTGACATCATAACCAAAGCAAGGTTATATTGTTTAATGTTTGTTATGAGAGCCTTAAATTGAGAGGCATTTGCAGCGATTTCAGAGACCTATATTTCAAAATTTTCCCGGACTCTCCTAGCAGGCGCGCGGTTCTGAGCCCCAGCAATACGAAAAACGCTCTGCGGTCCCTGTGAGTTAAGTTTACCATGCATTGTAGTGGCTTTGGCCCCGTTTACACTGTTCAGTTAATTGAATGGCATGCTTTTGACACATTTTTCAAGTTAAGATTTAAACCTTAAACCACTATTTCTTTGTGTTCCAACTATGGAAATTTTAATGAATTTTTAGTATCAAATTTAAATCAAATGCTTCAATTACATATCATAAAAGAATCTTAAAACTTTCCACAGTTTATTTCACAATTTCAGGCATAATTCCCTCACATAACTCAAAGATTTTTGCGGTCAACAGGATTGCCTGATAAAATTATTTCATCGCCACGCGCCAATACTGCGGCAGCATCTATGCAAGCTTTTTTAAACAGCTCAATGTTCAAAAACACGACGAATATTGTGCCTTCCAGGCCAGCTATAAAATGGAGAAATGGAATGCGTTTCCACAAGCTGATAACAAAATACACGGACCAAAATGACAGCAGAGTACGCAGAACTATTGTTAAGACGACCATGATAGTATTCGTCCGAAACACAAAGCTGGTTTGCTTCGGGCGTCAACGGCACGGAGAAATCGATCGACGTACAAAAATATTGAATATACTTCCATTAAAAGAATTATCGTGCAAAAAGAGATGTATTTCTGGTTGACAATACAGATGACTGCCGGGATTATGAACTAAAAAAAATGAGTTCAAGCTGGTGGTTAATTTTATGCTCATTTTATATTCACTTCTTTAACTAAATCAAACTTCTTAATCCTAAATCGTTTGCTCTCGTTCGCGTAAAAGATCTCGAAACGGTCATGGATTATCCTGGAGGAATGACTAGAGACAACGCAGGAGTTATTTGCTACCACTTAAGGCCCTGTTACACGGTGCAATTTCAGTCCATGCAACTTGCAATACAATTCCACTTTTGAGAGATATAAGTGTGGAAACTATAAGTTTGTGTTTTATATTTCACTACATGGACGTTTCTTACACTTGCGTTTTGAAGACTCTTCACTAATTTACATCTCTTTAAAGTAAAATTGCATTACAAGTTGCAAGAAAAATTGCACCTTGTAACATGGCCTACTGCTTCAGTTAACTTCTATCTTTCGGTGTTGGCGTTTCACAACTAAAGTGAATAACACTTACAGACAAATGGTGATAAATGCACTTTTGAAAGAACCACCTTGGGGCAAAATAGAAGACATCAACAATCTCAACAGCAAAGTAACCTATAAAATTAAATATACCGTTAGAAGCAAGTTAAGGATGGATTGTGTTGGATTCAGGATTTCCAGGGGCCCAGGCCGCATTTTTTGACGCGGCAAATTTGTTCACATTGATAAATTGGAGTGTATCATCCTCGTCCCCAGGGCCTAGCTCCGTTGCTCTCTTTTGTGGAGAGCAACGGAGCTAGGCCCTGGGGACGAGGATGGGATGGGAGTGTATATGCATGCCTCAATTAGCCCCCACAACCTCTGAAGTCAGGGTTCTACCACCCTCCGCGGCCTGGCTTGCGAGGTTGGTCAAGGCACAGACATTATACAAACATTGGTCAGTGGACGTGTCTCAACTCACCCACAGCAATTGCCAATAAATTGTACGACGCATTGCTCCAAGAGTCTATCAAATCATCCAACATTTCTGGTTTGTCGAAGAAGCTTAATAACGAAAAAAATTAATAGCAGAGAGTTGGCAAAATATCTCAGTTTATTGCACAAAAGAGAGAATAATAGTGACTAACGATCGATGTTGCACGATTTCACATGCAATAATCATTATCATGAAGTATTTTTTCATTGATGACAACCGTAATTCTTCAGCAACGAATTCTTAATTTATACGTAAATACGTGCATAGGACATTTCGTACCAGTAAATGGCACCAATGGACATCACAATCGCAAAAATTTGACCGGTGATCACATATCTCCACCACCACGATTTATTTTTCTCTTTCAACGCAAGTGGCGCCGGCCAAACGATTTCTATAGTATGAATGAAAACCCAAATGACCAACATGGTTGTTGCCGAAATGTACATCCACCTGTGGCTGTGTTCATCCATTTCACGAGGCGAAACTAACACGGTATTGATTATAGTCTTAAAGAGTACGTTTCCTCAAGCTCCAAGGTCTTTGCTCTTTATCTGCCCCTTGCTGTCTTTTATATTCAGGTTTGTGAAGTGGTTATATTTTTGACGATAACCATCTAATCTTTAGGACATATACTATTATAACAAAGGATGACAATTAGTCGCAATATTAATGTATAACGATGCTTTGATGAATCAAATTAGTGTTGTTAGCTGGATCACGATCTTTGAAATAGGTAAAAACTTATCCTTACCTCAAATACGTCAAAATCCACCAGGAGCATTCGTGTATAACTAATGACTTGAATATGTATAAATAAAACAAAATGAACTTTTTAATTGAGCTTGTATTAGCTCGATTGGACCCTGATTATTGCAATCATAAATGACCACTTATTACATTCACTGACACTGGTCACGAAATCTTCTTCAATTTTCGTTTGCCGTAAGAAACTTTGCTGCAGTTAGGGTAAGGCCTAAGGGTTGTTTTCCAATTCACCGTAGCGACACGTAGCCTATATCATTCTACCCTGGGCATTCGGATAGAACTAATGGCCATGAAACAAAGAAATATACGTGCGCTACGATGCGATACGGTTGAAGTAAGACATACATCCATGACCATATTCCCGAGCAAAGATTCTCCCAACTTTTCCCTAAAACTTCTTCGAGTGATCCTTCCTTTTGCGACACTACAAAATCTGAGTTTATACAATTATACTCGAATTCAACCGCATTTTATTACCCCAAAGAACATTCCAACGGACATTCGAAAATTCGAAAAAATAAAACCTATTATTTGCATCGAATTAGTAGAATAAGATGAGGAAAAACCAACCCAGGTATACACGTTCTGGGCAACAGCAACGGATGCATCATCCAGTTAGAATTTCCAGATCAGTGTCACTTTACCAGCTGGCCCACAATGCACTGGTCCACAATGCATTGCGATCGTATCGATATTGGTAAACGGTCTATTAATCAAAAACCGGAAGTAGACCGGTCAAACCGGAAATGCAGAGTGTAATGACGTATTAATTTTGCAAAAAATCAACAAAAGTGGCAAATTTCACAACAAAAGGCAAATTGAACAATTTCATTATTTTTTGTACCCAAAAAGCCAAAAATTTCGCCGATTTTCGCATCGCATAAATGGGGAAACCGGACGAATTTAAGATCACGTTCACGAACAACAAACGTGTGTATTATGCGGGGGATATGGTCACGGGAAATGTCATCACGAAGTCGCGAAAAAAATTGAAATTTCGCTCCATTCGCATGGAGTTTTTGGGCGAAGCGAAAGTGGCCAGGGCAAACAGCAAAGACTGGGCGACTGTACAAAATTACTTCGATGAAAAAGTTGAAATTTACGACAAAGGTTTGTATTTAGTTGCTGGCAGACGAAACAAATTTCTGTCGCGATATAAAGAGATTGCTACACGGGGGAAATATAATTTGGGCATTTAAAGATTGCCTTTGTCACTTTCTGTCTGAATAACCCGTAAAGTGACTGTGTAATTTTTCTCTGATTATTTAAATAGTATTAAATTTACTAACGGCTTGCTTTAGAATAGGTTTCACCCAAAGCTTGCTTACCGCAATTTTGGAGAGAAATATTATATTATTGACATTATTGTATTTGGTATATCGGGACGACTTGACGATTGATATATTTCTGAATACTTTTCTTCAAGTTACCAAATTTATACCTTTGACATTTCAATTTATTAGAGACGGTTATGTAACTAAAAACCTATGACAGGGTTTATATAAGGAATCGTCTTTGTATCCACTAGATTTATATGCTATCATAAACATCAGACAGGAAATACAGCATATCAACTATGAATTTTTTATAAGCGTCGGCGGGTCGTTTCGACAGATTTTCATGTGGCAGATATAAAAGGATGTTTCCAAATTTATATTGACTGCACTAGATAAGGAATTGTGTGTTTATCTGGGGAGATATAATCAATAACTTCAAGTCCTTGCAGACGATCAAGATAGCCGAAAGTGACGGGGGGTGCTAGAGAAAATACCCAATATATATCCATTTGCAGCTGATACATAATAATTGTAACGAATTACTGTTGCATAATAAATAACGTCAAGTCCTTGCAGACGTTTGAGACAGACGAAAGAGTTGTGCAAGAGAAAATACCATTTGCAGCTGATACAGAAAAGAGCTAAAGAGGGGGAAAAAAGCTAGATTTCATAATGAACCTCCTTATTTGTAGGGACTGGCCAAAATGGTTCTTATCCAACCATCGAGGCTGGCGACCACGCCTTTCCATTTCATTTTGAAATACCACAACGCCGCTTGCCGTCCTCATTTGAAGGAAAGTTCGGATGCATTCGTTACACCTTGAAGGCAACAATGGATCGGCCATGGAAGTCAAATTACAACTCCAAATGTGCAATAACGATCTTGGAGGTTGTTGATATTAACGAATCATGGGCCTTGGTAGGTGACCTCATTAAATACACATTTTTTCTGACAATGAAATTGTGTGCGAGTATTAAGAGGAATGTAACAATTTGCAGGAGCCGGTGATCAGAGAACTGGAAATGCACGCACAATTCATGTGTTTCAACCGTGGTTCAGTTGTTGCGCAGATAAAGACAGATCGCCGAGGTTACTGCCCCGGTGAGGCTATAGCAATAACTGGCGGGTTTTATAACAATACCTCATTGGTGACCAGACCAATCACTGTTAGTTTGTATCAGAAAACTGTATATGGACAAGGTTGGTCAAAGTTTAGTGAATAAAAATTACTGGTAATTCTAGGAATTTGTAGGGGTTCTGCCCCCTTTCTTAACTCAGACAGAAAGTATTGCTTTCATGCAATAACTGGTAGTAATCAGCCTTGTACCCAGATGCTATAGAGATAACTAAACATAGGCACGCTGCAGCTAGGACTTTACATATGGCAGTGGCTATACTGATCTATGTAAAGGCCTGTAGCGTGCCTATTTTTAGTTATGGCAGGCTTTAGCAGCTGGTACAAAGGCTGTGTAATCGTGCAAACAATGGTCAACTGCTGGTCAATTAACACAATTAGATAATTTTAAATTTTTTTGCAGCAAGCAAGAAAAGTGAGATAAACAAGTGTGTGAAAGTCAGCAAAGACAAACGGCTTCGTCCTCATGAGCCAGTCCAGTGGGAGAATCAAATGTTTAGTTTACCAGCCATTCCACCAACTATAAATAATTGTAAATTTATTAAAGTTTCCTATTCACTTGAGGTAAAATCTTTCATAAGATTTTCACATTTTCAAATGTAGAAGTACCATAGAAAAAAATTAATGTTACAGGTAGTTGAAAAGAACTTGCAAAGCTGTTAAGAACTAGCAAGATTGCAGCTGAATTGCAACTTGTTTATTTTAGATATGCGTTGAATCAAGACGAGGCTCTCTTGTTATTAGTCTTCCAATCACAGTAGGGACAGTCCCCTATAGGGCACCAGTTATTGCCAGTGCCCCACCGATGACATCACCAGTTTACCCCTTACCCTCAGCACCCCCATCGGACCTTGCCCCACCTGGTTATCAAGTAAATCTACCAAGCTATTCTGAGACCATGGCAATGTCACAGCTTGGACGTAAGTGAAACTGAGATTTGCAATCTAACTTGCTTCTCCTGATGTATGTGATTTACAGGATCTACCAATAAGGGGAAGCCTATTGGCTTACATATTGCAACATGTATGCTTTTTACTGCAATGTATCAAATCACATACGTGAAAAGGAGGACTGGCGTAAACATGCACACATTAACATGAAATTTAAAACACTTTTTAGCACCACCAGCTTATGCAGAATGTGTACTTGGGTCTGCGCGCATTTGGGACGCAAACGACGCGGCATCAGGCGCGGTACTTGGCGATACTTCATTTACGCCCATGTATGCGTTTGTATCGAATTACGAGTTCAGGCCGGCAACGGCCAGTGCTTTCACGGAGGAAGAGATAACGGTTGAGCGCGAACCAAGACTGGATGCTGTCGATGATGGCTTATCTGACAGCATGGACGAACAAAGTGACTGATGACTTTGAGAAGAAACACAATGAAATTTGTTGCGAGGAGCCCAGAGTCCTTACGACCTGCCCAAAGGCATTATTTCAACGGAAAATGGAAGCAATCCAAGCTTCAAAATCTGGGGGAGGTAGTATAAGACAGTTTACTTTACTTAGTGACACTATTAGCCAATGTTTGGCTGTTTACTGAAGGTTTGTATCGCGCGTTTTGGAGTTACAAAAATTCACGGACGTAAATTGTAGTTACAGGGTTTTCAGCCGCGGTATAAGATTAGTTTGTTTCCCCAAGGCATTAACACTCGTTGTGATTTTAAAAATGATAGAAAATAATGGACGTTAGTTACACATCGTGGAAAATATTTATATAGAATTGATATGGCAGTTTTGCTCCTACATGGGCATGTCAGAGTTGCAAAAGAATTCAAACTTCCAGGAGGATTTCAAGTTTTGAAAACCTTCCTGAAAATGACGTCAAGTGCCAAACAGGATAATGTAGTATTGCATTTTTGGTACATAATATACATGCATGTGATTGATTAGAGTGTTCAACTTTGAACCTTCCTCACAAAAGTCATTCAAAGTAAACCTTCCTCACGGGTGGCATCCCCGCAGATTTTTTACAACTCTGACAAATGTGAGCTTTTCCGACAAAAGGAAAAAGAACAAATCATCACATTACAGTAGGCGACATCAAAAATACCCTTTTTTGAATGTGGCAGTGAACAAATATTGCATTGTCAACATATATTAAATTATTTCATCGATTATTTGGGTAATATGTGTATTTAATGGACAGAATATGGTCCCGTTTGTAGAATTGCGATGTCTTTCAGATGTCAAAAATGAACTGAACCTGCATGTTGGTAGCTAGTTATAGACATTTGGAGTCCGATTTGATTGAATGATATACGATTTTTTTTGTAGAAATGAATGGACTTTTGTACATATATATATAAATTAAATCTAAATCTAAACGAGTATTTAAATTAAATCGATGTTGATATCATGTTTTCAGTGTGTCATGCAGTTTTTTTCCTTGTCGCATGGATATGATTGGAAATAGGAAACGAAATTGTGAAAATATAAGTGAAACGTCAAACGTATCGTTTGCCACATGATCAAAACTATTGGAGAAAGGGATTATTATCGTTTATATTCCTTTCAAACCTAACACTCTCACAACGCGACACTAAAGAAAATGCAACCAAATCCGAAATTTGCCGGTTTTGTGCAAAACAGCGGTATGAAGGTATTTCTTGGCGAACACAAATGTACAATGCAAAATTTCAAGTTAAAATGAGTTGCATTTATATACAAAGGGAAAACATTTTCGCCTTACTTTTGTTGTGTATATTTACTCAAGGTAGGTTAGTCTTATATCTTCTACTACTGCCAACCTAGCTTCCTCCTGTAGTTCATAGTCTTCTACACTAACGTAGTATCTTTCAATATGCTCGGTGAGTTTCCTCTCCATTACCTGACATGCGTATAGCATGATCTATTTCTTTCGTCCACCACGTTCCTTGACTTGTAATTGAACGACGCTCGCAGGTGAGAAGTTGTAGTAGGCCAATGTGTTGGAATCTTTGATAAACATACTCTGCAAGAAAGATTGATAAATACACCGATTATCTCAAAAACCTTTTGCCTCAATAACTGCACAATGTGAGATTGCCTCGTTTCAAAGATCACATCGTAAGAGATACGTACGACTCAAGGGGTATTAATTTTCACAGTTTCCACAGTGTATTTGACTTACCTCAAGTTGAAGTTTCTGTTTTCCTGCAGGCATTCCAATCTCTTCGTGTAGCTTGGCTTTGATAACAGAAACCTTCAAAAAGGATTAAATATAATTCAGTGGCTGTGATGCGAGGGGAATTATGGGCAACGGGGGATAGGTGAAGACTAGGATGATGGATAGATGGAGATGATATGGCGAGGTGGTGGGTGATAGATGGGAGTGATTATGATAAAAGAACAGATTAATATAGATGATGTATAGATGCATATGATGGATAAATTGCAGATATAATGGATAAATGGAGATTAAGCTTGATGCAGATGTTGATAGATATGGATAACAATGAATCGATGCAGATTCCTATGGATCAGTTACAGACAAACAACATTCTCACCGGATCCGTCCAAGGTAGAGTCAAGGAGATCTTCTGTCCCTGACATTTCCATTCAGTTTTGTCGGGAATATCAGGCACTTGCACTTGGAACCTGACGGAGCCTTGATGTTTTTGTAAGAAGATGTTCTCTGGAATAAGATTAGCTTCTGGTCCAGCGTCGACCTTCGACTTCTTAGCCGCGGGCTCGTCGGGTTGGATGACTGGGGGTGCAGCCTGCACATCCGGGCGGATGAATGGTGGAGGTTGCATTGGAGGAGGAATACCTAAAAGCACATCAAAAGTCAGCGATGTTACGAGAGATTTTCTTCTTTTGACAGATGTGAACGAGCGGGCAAGTTACAGATTCGCGAACAAAAGCATCTATACATCAGAGCATTCAGAGTAGCATTCATAACTATTAACTCGTTTCCATCCATGAAAAGAAGACAATAGCAAAGAAAAACCGCCCATGCCTAAAACTTAGTAACTTCCACCGCTTCCACGTGGCTGCCATGCGCCTCACACGTGGCTACCTATCTGAATTACTTACCCATAAATCTTTGTGGGGGAGGTACGGGTGGTCTCATCATTTGAGGTGGTGGTGGTTGGTTTCTTTGTTCCAGCGGTGGCATACGAGGCATGTTTGGCATGGATGGGAATCCCGGGGGAGGGGGTGGTCTGGCTAAAGATTGATTGAGAGGTGGGGGACGTGGCAGTTGCATATGAGGAGGAGGTGGTGGGGGGTTATTTGAAGGCTTTGGACCAATCGCTTCTTTTTCTTTGTCAGGTCTGAAAGGGGGAAATACCATCAGCAACGCGAAAATTATTTACACAACCATCTTCTTAGAGGTCCAGTAAGAAACCTAACTTTAACTATATTTATACCGAATTGCTCTATTAGCCCTAAACTGTTCTTTCTAATTTACAAAAAAGAAGCCATCTCTTACACCATGCCAATTTGTTTGTGAATCTGCTCGATCTGTTCCTCCAATGAAATGCCAGCCGCAGCTTTCTGCGCAGTCGCACTAATCGATGCAGTATGTCCATCCCACGTGACCTTTTCGGGCTGTTTGACATCCTCTTCCCCAAACTTCTGACCGATGAATGTCTCAACATCGCCCTTACCGAAAATGTCAGTACGGCGCTCTGCGATATGTTTCAAATTGCTCTCCATCGAGGAACCTGGTCACGTGAAAATATTACTCACTTAACATTATCTTAATTTGACCCCAATTACAACCGCAGGTGTACACATACATCCATAGGGGTACACGTACATTTACGAGGTTGGCACATCCATGGATGTACACATCCATCCATAGGCGTACACTTAGATCCATATGTGTACACTTAGATCCATAGGTGTATACGTAGATCCATAGGTGTACACACAGATCCATAGGTGTACACTTATATCCATAGGTGTACACCTCAATTTATTTCCGTATCCCAACCCCTCCCCACCTACCTGATGCAAAGACAGTCTCCTGTTGTTTCTTCTCGGCTTCAAATCTATCCCTTTGTTCCTTCCATTTGGGATCCAACAAACTAATCTTCATGTGTTCATCAAACTCCTGAGGTGGTACGCGCTCCCCGGTTATCGGTGAAATGAGGTAGTTATCAGGGGGGACCGTTCCAGGTGCTCTGACTTGTTTCGGGTTGTAGTCTTTACGAATCTGGATGTTTGTACCAGGTGCCATGGGTGGAAGGGGAGGTTGGGGTGGTGGAGGCTCTTGTGGGCGAGGGGGCGACGGGGGACGGTTGTCTCTTTGAGTGTCCTGAACAAATGAATGTAAAGTATAATTTTTTTAAGGTGAACTATACAAAACCATCTCTATTAAACTAAACTATTTTTTTCTATTGGATACAATCCAAACCACATGTACAGTACCTTAGGGGGTGGTGGTGGTTGTGATTCGTCTTCGTCTTCCATCTCAATATCCATCATATCGTACTCATCATCTTTGCCTTTGGTCTCTCCTTCCATGTCTTTCCCCTGAGAATTCAAATAATTCAAACAGAAAATGTTTAAGGCATGATTACATTATTCCTCCGTGAAAACCCAGCAGCGTAGAGAAAAAATTGACAAAGAGATGGAACCTTCAATGCTACACAACTGACACATGCCCCTATGTACCTTATCAGTTCCTGATCTTTCTTGATCTAAGATCCTTGCCCCAAGCTGTTCCAGTGTTACAGGCGGAGGTAGATTACCTGACAAGAAGAAGCAGACATTGAAGCATTGATTGGAAAATTATGGAGCAGTTGACTTGCATTCTTCGAGCAACAACACTTACCCATTTCATTGTCTTTGAACTCAACAGTTTCGACGACAACAAAATCGTGCCAGTCAATTTGAGCAAATGATACTACGAAGAAAATTTGAAAATCGACATTTGAAAATTGACACTTCAATCACACAAACAAAACCCAACTATTATTTATTTCTTTATCAGCTAACCTCTTTCCTTTTCTTTCTCATCTTCTACTTTCTGTTTCTCCTGTTCCCTGTGTCTGGCCCATCTGACGCGATAATTAACATTCTCCAGAATCTAACAAGAAAACAAGAATAGATATTACCAATAATGACTCAAAGCCTGACGTTATGAAAAGTTGAATTGGCTTGTTGTTTTGCAAAGCGAATCAAACATCGTGTAACATTAGGCTTCCCGTGCTTGATGCCATTACGAGAAAGGTTGGTATTCACAGAGTAAGGGCATAGTCAGTACAGAACCAGCAAGAGATATTGTTACGTTTATGCTTTTAGTAAAAACTATAGGTTAATAAACGATTGACAACAAGTTAGAGTACCTTAAAAGGATCTTCAGTTTTCTCTTTCAATCTCTCCTTAATATTTCCTGGTGGAATCAATACCTGCAAAAATTGTTTTTAAATAATAATTTATATTAGTCAATTAATTATTTTAGAATATAAATACTGCATGTAAATCATTGAATTTTCTCTGTACCTTTGTGTACTGCTCCACTAATTTTGTGAAATAATTAAACAGGCTGTGTTGGGGTCGCAGGAAATCAAACTGATAATTCCTCTAAAAAGATAGAAATCTAGTTTATTTCTCAGTTTTATTCTCCAACTTTGAGAGACTAACATGAAGAACAATGTGAAATTTTTAATTGCAAAAGTGGATTGGATTCAAACCTGTTCTCGGTTCATGAGGTTTGTTAGAAATTGTCGTCCGTTTCTTGCCACAAACTGAGCAGTCAGCTTCACAATGTCCCTACAGAGTTAAAAGCAATCCAAGAATGTTATTGAATGATGGTTGAAAGTGTTTCTCTGGGGATTCTAGACAACTTACAAGTCCAAGGATGATATGCTGGGAGGATCTGCAAGAAATTCATATTCTGGTGGTGGTTCAGTGGGGACTTCTGGTTCAACAATGGTCATTTGGGGTCCTGTAACTGCAGGCTTGATCTATAGGATAAAGAATATCATTGACAAATATGACTAGGAGGGGGCTAAGATAGGGGGCTAAGGTAGGGGGCTAGGGCAGGATATAGGAGGCGGTGAATTGATGTGGTGACTAGCGAGAGTATGGTGGGAAGGGGTTGGGAATGTGGGGCAAGTATGAGATAAGTTAAAGGGGAAGGGTGGTAGAAGGGCTAATGTAGGAAGGAATGCATAAAGGGATAAATGCTAGATAAAGGGTAAAGAAATGAAGGTGAGGTAAAAAATAAATTTGGCAAAGAAGTTTGAATATTGAATATACCTTAGTTGTTGGTATGGACATGAGTGGTTGAATGACTGGTTCAGGAACTAAAGAAGTACAAAACAAATAATTTTACAGTGCAATGTGGAAATAATATTGGTAAATGTGTTTAGAACTTCTATTCATGATATTCAGACAATCTCCATACATTTCTAGATTTTTTATTGATTCAATCAAACTACTTACTTTTGCCCTCATTCTCCTTAAATTCTTTGACTTTGTGTTGGTAATAAGCATGGTATGGATCACCCGTGTTCAAGAAGTTGAATTTTGGGTTATTTTGTTCATTTTGCCTGATCCTTGTCTGAAACTCAGGACCTAAAAAATGAGAGAAATTCCAAATATTTGTAAAAACATTGGACTGGACGGTGGTGGAATGCTGCAGTAATACATGTGAATTCATTTTTATGTCTAACATACCATTTCTTGCAACAAAGCTTGCAGTTTTGTCAACAATATCTGAATACCGTGGTTAAGATTTTTAGCGATCATTTCCTTTATTCTGCCATCCATTCCTCTATTTAGTCCTTTGGACATGGACTCAAGGTGTACATATATAACTGTAATGCTCTTACTGAAAATATTTTCCATCATTCCTAATGACCTAATCTACCTTTGACATGGAATTCTATTGTGTGTGAAAAACTGATTATACTCTGTGGTGACTACACAAGAACTATCAGCAAAAATCTATCAGCAAACTGCGGCATTTACCACTACATACATTTATTACAAAGCTGCTGTTTAGCTTAATGTTTGCGGTTTGCGCAACATTACTTATTATAAAGTTGATGATTTATAATACAGCCCAGACAACGTGTTTATAAAGCATAATTTTCAAGGATACTCCTCACTTCTGGCGGCGGATAAATAATACCAATAGTTGGTTTTGATGGCGCTGGTTCGCTTCCATCTTTATTTTCTTCTGTAGTTGCACTAACGGGAGGCATTTTGTCGTTTGAAGAACAACTTTTCACGTTTTTTACGTTTCAAAAGACCCTCTCTCCGCCACCATTGATATCCCAGCATTCAGTGCGGACGGATAGGTTGTAGAATACTTTATGTAGCATACACATAATAGCTTAACATTTACTTTGTACACGCTGGACTGCATATAATCACTGAGCTTAAACTGGAGTGTTCTTTAACAACTGGATGGATAATTTTTGGCAACATTATTTTAGTAAGTCACAAAAATTTAGTAACATTTGGCAACATTCAGTAAGTCATTACCTCGTACCTAGGGTTTTTAAGTAAGTAACTGAACTTCGTTTGGCCCAGGTAAAAGTTTTCTATCCTAACAAGGGCTAACGTCAGACAAAAAGCGAGCCATTCAATTCACTATTTTCTTTCATACAATGTTATCAAAACCTCAAATCATAAAAACTTTGCTGTGGTCTCACTTAGCCTCTTAAAATGCAGGTGGTTTGATTCAAGACACAACACGTCAAGTTATGGAGGAATATTTATTTTTTCTCAACAGGAGCCAACAACACCAAGGCTCACCCTCAACTTCAACATCACTACAATTGATGTGGCAGCTACAACTGGATTTGGTTTGGATAAAAAAGCACCATATATAACACATAGCATTTTCAAATGTTTAAATGCAAACAAAAATAATATCCTCAAATCATCAATTGGAGCTGTCATATCACTCACTAGTATATTCATACAAGATGCAGTTTTTTTTACAAAACAGAACTTTTTCAGTCTGACATTAAAATTTACATGCAATTGCAGAAAGCATATTATTTGCAAGTACCCTGCAAAATGCAGTAAATTTGATTCTGGCTGTAAATCCTCCACTGAGCACTTGACCTGGTGGTTCCTAATCTCAAGAAAGTATGTAGCAATGTTTATAAAAGGTTGGCATCGAAAGGGAGCAAAGCTTAGGTATTTACCCAAAGCAACGTACAGCACTGACTACAATGTTTGATGGATAAATTGTCAAGCATCTAAACAGAGGATTTATGTGAAAGTAAAACACACACACACGTCTGAAAACTTGAACATTATTGAACAGTCCTTCATGCTGTTTGAAATTTGCAAACCCTAATTATTTCAAAATAACTTGGGTATTCCGAACATACAAAACACCCAACACCATCATATAAATTATAATAGAGCACGACAGCATGTTTTATCTGTCTCTGTCTTGTGTCTGCGAATGCTTTACGTCAAAGCAGTATATATATTTACATATTTGTACATAGGGATGTTGCAGTAGCAACAACTGCTATCACATACGCTTCGGACTAGGCGTCGTCTTTACTCTTTGAGACCTTCTCATTGTATGTCTTGCATCTCGACACTTTTGACACACAAAAACTTCGGGGACATTCGATTTTCGGATTTTCGCACACGAAAGATGTATCCATACTAGACACTCTGAACATTCGATCATTGGTCGACCTACACAAAGTAGAAAAATCATGTGACATACGTTTTTGTACTTCGATGACACACACAGAACCTTTGTGACCCTTGTTACAGGAAAAACGGATTGCAGCAGCCTCTGATCTGCTGATAATTTCTGCTCATAACAAATATAGGCCGATCTCAAACTCAATGCCGCAACCTTCTCAGGGACACAAATTTCAGTCCACATTCATTTAAAGTGTAGCTGACAGTGGTTGTATTTTAAAGACTATAGCAGTTGAAAATGTAAACAAGACACTTATTTACATCACTGGCCACAATCCTCTTTTCAACATGGACTATTGTTTGTACAGGGCTTGGGATACATAGATAGATAGGTTTACTAATCCAGGAGGAATGTGTTGGGTCACCGGGGTATTTTATATAATAAATATGGATAATCTTCTGCAATTCTTCCCTAATGTTGTTAGGATGGGGGGAAAACTTAAACTTTAAGGAAGGGATTGAAAATGGCTTCCCCCCTTGTTGTTGAAGGATGTTAACTATAAACACATGTGTCAGATTGTACAAGGAAACGATAAATAAGATTTTTTAACAAGAACTAGATAAGATTTTTTAACAAGAACTAAAAACACTCGACAATTTAACTGTTTTAATCTTCAATTTTAACCGTTTAAAGTACAGGAGATAAGCTTGTTCCTTCCCATTTTTTACACTAAACATCAAATAACACTTTAATGATAGAATAATAAAACTATTTTTAGTCGCTTTTTATGATTTGAAACCAACGAATTCGACTACATTCACCGACAACGTTATATCATGTCTCCTATACGACCCGCATCACGAATATATCAGAAATTAGTGCTGCTCAAAATATCTTTATACGCAAGTAGGTAAATAACGAAGTGGGCTCGTTTTCATTCAATGACATGGAGATTTTTCGAGTCGATACAGTGACAACGTTCTCGTTTAAAAAAAACAATACTCCATACAATGAAATAACACAAACGTTAATGTTAAACACAACTCTTTGCTTGTACTAGTAATTGTCAATCAAGTTGCACGGGCTAAGCTAAGCATGCCTGAGTTTTGCTTTAAAATATTTTAGAGGTTTATTTATATATTATAGGACAACGTAGAAATAACATTTAAACATTGTTTATGCGGAGATCAAAACGACTATTTAAAACAGAACACAGTTGAAACTTAGCAAAGGAATGGCACCAGCAGGAAATAGAAATTTGACGCAAATTGTATATCAATCTTGCAACCCGTTCGTTTCACATTTGCCAGAAATAGCCAGGAATGAAGTTCGTCGTTCAAATGAGGGAATATATTTTGATATCGAAAATATTTTGTAACAATGGTGCAATGTTGAACAAGAAAAAGTAAATAATTATTTCATACCTGCGAAAGGCTTTTCGCAAAAACACGTTACTTTATTCCACGATTCATCGCCTGTAAAAGAGGTCGAATATGTCAAAGTTAACAAAAGCAAAAAGAAAATACACATAGCCAGTAAAAGGATTGTTCTTGAGCATTATTTTGCTCAATCCTAGCGCAGAAAATCAAAATTTTAAGCATCACATAGATAGCATGACATACGAGGTTTGAAAATGTAGTCAAGTGCTAGAGTTTTAATCGTATGAAAACATGAAAGAAAGCACATCTTTGGTGTAAAAACGATACGGAAGATGTAAGATCCTTCTAAATATAGTTCGTTAGCCCCATTCTAGGATACAAGACAGAGTTGTAAAGTGTTGGGAAAGGTCTGCATGCGGCCATACATGTGATGAACGTCGTGAAAACGTTCCAAGTGTTTACAATTTGTATGTTATACCTGAATCGTATTCTTCGTCGACGTTATCCAACAGTCGTTCATCTGAACTGTCTGGAGACGATATGCTTTCGCTGTAAGCCGAGTCTGTACTTGAACTTGTGCTTTCTTCTCCGGATGATTTCGGACTTTGTCTTCTCCGCCGTTCGACCTATAGTAGGACAACGAGACACAAAGGGATGACACGAACGCCATCTTGCAAATGGCCATAAATCGCAGCCCCGAAGCAATCGCACGAAAATTTTGCGTTACGATTGAAATTCAACGCTAAAATGATTTGGTAACGTAGAACAAGAAGCAAGGTTGGTCGGGGTATAATATTTAAACTAAAAAGAGAAGGTTTTACAGGAATTTCACTACACAGAAGTATATACGACAACACATAAGTATTCAAATTCGCATAGTCGAAGTTATTGGAGAGTACGTTGATCTCCTTTTCAGATTTCTAGCTCGATCGGCGTCAACACAAACGAGAAAGGGTAGGGTAGAAGACAGTGTGAATATAAAGGCATATGGATGTGGTTTTGCTGGGTTTTTATGGCACAGAACACATAACATAACGAGCACTTCAGTTGTACACACCTCTTGTAATCGAGCTTCGTAAGCTAAAACATAACTGCAAAACGAGTTGAATTCCTCTAGACTTTTCCGTAGTTTCTTCGGTTCTGGTGCGGGCTAGAATGGATAATTCAGAGGAGAATTTTGTGAGGAAAGCTACGTTGGCACGAAACAGCAGAAATATGTCAAAGCCATTCAAACATTTGAGCGTGGTAAATCAAATGTCGGCTTTCGCCGTAAGATAGTGTAAAATCATACCATGCTATTCATGCCATCGTCGGAGAACCTCCTTGGGGCAACTAGAACGCAAAAGGAAAGAAAGTTTAGAGAAAGTTGCATAAAAAAATACAAGAAACTGACCAAAACAAGGCAACACTCAAATAGACGAACGGCCAACTATCGTCGCTGCACACGGCTTGGATTTTTATAAATTTTAAAATCTAATACCTCTAAGAGAGCCGTCGTTCATTCTGAAAGCCAGTTTCGCAAATAAAAGCGAAGATTCTCAAGTAAAACTAGCAAAATTCAGCAATTTTCTTAGCACTTTACAACCAACGATTCTTTCGAACAAGAGTGTTGTTCACAAATGATCATTGTGGCATCCCACAAAGCAACGCGAGTTCACCATTGCTAAACGCTGATTGGCTCGCTTTAGATAAAAGACCCAAATATATGACGTCACGTCAAGCTGCAATATGTTGCGATATTACCCCATCTTACATGTATTTATCGAAATTGTAACTCATTTAAATATTCTTATTTTAAGCAAAAATGCTTAGATTTCAAAAATACAAACAGCAGTGCATACCATAGCCTTTCTCGCATCCAAAAAAAATACAACCCATTGATTTAGGCGCTACAAACTCTACAAATTTAGCTAACAGATATCGGCTATGAATTCATGACGAAACCCTCCCCATTCCGATAATTCGCTCTCGTATTGTCTAGGGAACCGAAAGTATAGACATAAAATTCGCCCAGAAATCATCGCTATTTCCCAGTGATCTTCACAGACGTACTTACCGACGACTTACCGGAATCAAAGGTTTACGTTATAGGCGAAAAGTAGGCGAAATATTCACTTTTGGGCATGATTCTTCAAGGCCTTTCTTTCGGTCTGAGAGTTCCGCTTATCGCTCTGGCATAACGATATGTCGCAGCTGTCAATCAAGTGTGCCACGTCAGCACTGCATTATGGGAACGTCACAAGTTAGTTTATCGCAATCATATTGTGCAACATTTGCATCACAAAAGTATTTTTTGTGGATCAAGAATTTCCTAGCAACAGTGGTATAAAAATATTTTTCATAGTGATCATGTCATGATCTCTCAGTGACGAGAGCATTGCCTCAGAACCTCTAGAATTTACCTGCTTCGAGTGAAGTGATTTACCCTCAACTTTATGTATACCAAACAGTTCTTTGATTTCTTTCTAGAGGTCAAGTAGGGATCGTCTATTCTTGTTCCAGTGTTAATACAGGAGGAAACCTAAACTAAACTAACTTTATTTATACTGGATAGCTCTATCAGTTCTAAACTGTTCTTCCTAGAGATCCAGTAAGGATCATCTCTTATTGATCCAGTCTTACTACAGGAGGAAACCTAAACTAAACTAACTTTATTTATACTGGATAGCTCTATCAGTTCTAAACTGTTCTTCCTAGAGATCCAGTAAGGATCATCTCTTATTGATCCAGTCTTACTACAGGAGGAAACCTAAACTAAACTGGATAGCTCTATCAGTTCTAAAATGTTCTTCCAAAAGATCGATTTTAGTATCCCATTTTTTAATTTGTTACAATAACCTGCTGATCAAACACGAATCTGATTCTCTCTGGAATTAATATATTACAACATTTCCATTACAATGTAAGGTTTTCGCAAAGACAATCACATTTAATGCTCGAGGATTAAAGCAGCCCGCGGATAAATTTAAAGTCTTGCCGCCATCGAAATCCCCATCTAAACAACGCACAATTTTTAGTACGGTACGGAGAAAATTGGTACGAATGAAATTTTTACTCCCTAATGGTTAGTCAAACTTCATGCGTACAAATTTTAACCGTTTACATTATATTCAATTTTAGGTCTGAAAGGTCGGATAAAATTGAGATTAATGAAATTAGCTTAAAATTTTATGCCTGAATAGATGGTCCAAATCTCATTCGTACCAAACCTAAATTGTGGAGTGTAAATGGGGCTGAAGAGCCGTTTTCAATTCCTTGTAAAACATGGTTGGTTTTGTAGAAGGTGCGTAAAACTTGTATGACTATAAGGTGAAGCTGTGAAGAGTGGTTTAGCCGTAATCCAGTGACAAAACAAACAGACATCGTCAAAAATAACTTTGACTATATCCCAGGGCCAAGGGTGAAAACAATGCGTGCGGTCTAACGTGATTTCCTTTCTTTTTTTTAGATCTTCGTTTCATAAATTTTAAAGAAAAATTTTTCTAAAGAGTAAGGTTTGAAAATCGGCATTATCGTTCCTTTGGCATACGCTTTCGCTGACAACGAAAACCTTACTATATATTATGGTCTTTACCAGAATTATTCTTACATTTAAGATGTCCCATACACATTTGTCTTTTTATAATTTTTTCAATTCCTAAAGAGTTACCGCTTAAATTCGCGAGAAATATATAATATTTACTTCAGCTAACCAGGCAGCAATGAGGCACAGGAAAGCACCAATGATCTGTTACCAACCGAAAACATATTCCATTGCTTTCGACACCAAGTTGTTACTCTTCTGGGGAGTGTTCGACGTGCTTCCAGAGACCTTGAACATGAAAATATCGATTAGTGTTACCACGAGTAAAGGATTACCTTTATTTCATTACAGTTTGGAAGAGTCGCCTCTTCTATTTTGAGTTTCCTCGTGTAGTAACACTGGATCAATAAGAGATGATCCTTACTGGGCCTCTAGGAAGAACAGTTTAGAACTGATAGAGCTATCCAGTATAAATAAAGTTAGTTTAGTTTAGGTTTCCTCCTGTAGTAATACTGGATCAATAAGAGATGATCCTTACTGGACCTCTAGGAAGAACAGTTTAGAACTGATAGAGCTATCCAGTATAAATAAAGTTAGTTTAGTTTAGGTTTCCTCCTGTAGTAATACTGGATCAATAAGAGATGATCCTTACTGGACCTCTAGGAAGAACAGTTTAGAACTGATAGAGCTATCCAGTATAAATAAAGTTAGTTTAGTTTAGGTTTCCTCCTGTAGTATCACTGGATCAATAAGAGATGATCCTTACTGGACCTCTAGGAAGAACAGTTTAGAACTGATAGAGCTATCCAGTATAAATAAAGTTAGTTTAGTTTAGGTTTCCTCCTGTAGTAACACTGGATCAATAAGAGATGATCCTTACTGGACCTCTAGGAAGAACAGTTTAGAACTGATAGAGCTATCCAGTGTAAAGAAGGTTAGTTTAAGTTAAGTTTCTTTCGGTGGAAAATTATGTTATATGTGTTATATGTTTGTCTCAATACCTCAAGATCACTGCTGGCAGCGTGATAAGCAGCAGTCAAAGGTCGTATTGGAGTCTTTCTGGAAGGTGAGGAGACAGCAACATCACTTGATATTGTCGACTTTGTGATGGATGATGGAAGATTCTCTTTGCCCGTTTCAAACATAAAATTCTGTGTATGAACAAAAAAGAGAAAGGATGAAATGATAATGAATCTAGACAAATAAAGAATGTTAAAATATTTCTGAGACAAATTATGATGCTGACCTTATCGATACATTGCTTCACCCCAACCATCATATTGTTTCCAAATATTTTACCATTTTTACTCAATGCCTTGTAATGAAAATAAAAGATATATAACAGTTACACCACATTTCTTGTTGTGAATTATAAATTTTCTTTCATCCCACCTTTTTTGCTTGAAGTTTTGATTGATATTTAACATGCATCCAATTCCCATTTGAAGCAACCTGTTAAGATGGTTTACATAATGGTAGAATAACTTTTCAGAAATGATGTCTGCATCTTTTGAAAGACCGAAGTTGATCGAAGGTTCAGGGCTAACATTGATACCAGCGACTACCCTGATTATATAAAGTTGATTTGATTTGAAAATAAATAAACTGTACATACTTCATGCTTTAATATGCTTCCATATTGAGAAAATTGTTGAAGTAAAAAAGAACTTGCTGATGGTGGGAACCTTAAGGAAGAAAACAAAGTGTCTTATATCTTCCCAAACAGACATACAAAACACGAAGATCTAGAAAAGGCATCAAGACAGACAAAAATGATCATACCCAAAAGCTGTGATGGAGCATTCATCAAGCACTTCATTTGTTGTTATGTTTTCACTAAAATAAATATTATTAACAATCTAAATTCAACTGATTTGTTCTCATAATTTGAAAAAAAAACCTCAGTACAAGTTAACCACAGTACAGGGCAAGTACGAATTAGTTACAATTTCTTTACCCTTGAGAATAGAATGGATCAATTTGAGCCGGCGATGAAATATGTTTCCTGGAAGGACTCAACAAGTGTTCTCTGAAGTCTGTTGTGTTTTGTTGTGGTGTGCGACCTTCAAAAGAAGATGAAAGTATTGGTTCTAAAGATCACACAATCGGAGAAATATGTCTGCCTACTTACTGGGAGAATTTGTCTGTGATTGAAGGGTCATCATATGAACATCCATCTGAAAATATAAACAATACAGTAATTTCAGTAATAACTCGCTTCATTAGCTATCCAACTTCATCTGGTGCATTTGCATTTTAAGATACTCAATCATATATTTACATTATGGTTGTCTCTTCTTAATGGACTTCCTGTTTGAACTACGCTTGTATTCTCACTAAATAGATCTGCGACAGGAGGGGCCTTTCCTCTTAAACTCTTCGGAGTATTGCTTTCACTTGAACAAAAAAATGAACTTAGCAGTCAGCAAATGGTTTATGGTTTATGAATATGTGTTACATCTCAATACATACAATGTGTTTCGAACATCTCTGGAATCTTTCCTGTCTCTGTTGGTGCTGGTTTTGCTGTGACTGCTATAACTTGGTCCTCCTGATCTGGATGGTGACCAGGATTTCATCTTTCCCGGACTTTTACGGGTACTTTGCACGTATGACATGTCATGTGAATGAGACTAAAAAAGGAATTATTCATAGTTTAAGACAGCTAGAACAGCATCTGGTTCTCTCTATGCTGGCAAAGATCTCGGCGAACAAAGCATTAAATTCAACCAGGTTACAAGTTCTGTATGGTATTATATGGTAAAGGAATTGAATGGTGGTGAAACTGGTTTACTTCTCTTTACCATTTGGGATGGTGTATGTCCACCCAGCAAATATCCAGGAAGATAACTGCTCGTGTTTTGACCGTGAGTTGGTGTGCCAAAACTCATCGAACCAGTTTGGCTTACCATACCACCACCTCTTAGTAATGGTGACTGCTGTAAACCGGTTGAGGGAACGCGGGAAAAGCCTGGAATCACAAACAGAAATGAACAAGAAACACCAAAATATATCGCTTAACATTGCGATTAGCGTTAAAAGCAAATATACTAAAGGTTACTCACTTGAATCCATTGTTTTTCGTAAGAATTACAATTTGTTTACAGATGTACAATTTTTCTTTTCAAAATTGGCACTTCGAATCTATGGAATTTATGGTGTCGGTCCCAGTCCAAACTCCAAACTCTAGGTTTTAAGCAGAAAAAAAAACATCGCCGAAATGCAGAAAGTGCTAAAATGTGGATACGAAGATATGCAGAATATCGTGCCTAAATTGCCTAAATGAGTGTTCTTTGTAAAATTTTAACGTCCACAAAAGCATCTCATTGAAAACTGTTTACTGTCATTTTAGATTATGCAAAATGCATCATTATAATTGTTTTTGATAATTGAATATTACACTGTTCGTACAATTGCCAAAATATTGTACAAAGTTAAATAAAGTCCTAAGGCAGGTCTTTATGCCTATAATAATAAACGTCTTCATAAGTGGGATAAAACTGCAAAAAAATAAATACATAAATGAATTATGCTTTATTTTCGTTATAATTTCGTCCCTAGAACGATGGTATTTAATATTCACTGCTGTCTAAACGTACCGCATGTTCATTTTTTCGAAGCCATGTGGAAATTTTTTAAAATTTTTGTACCCAAAAAATTGCTCGAATAAGTGTCGAAAATCGAGCAGTTATGCTCGTAGGAAATCGTTTTAGACAAAGTCTTCTCACTCACACAAGACTATGGTACCTGATAAATGCAAAGGACCAAATAAACGGGCGTTTAGCGGCGTATATTGCAACGATTTTGCAAGGCAAGACCAAACCAATATGGCACCCTAAGGCCGATGTTGGTGATTTTGTCGTCGTGGTTAACACGAAAGACATTGCATTTAGCGGGCGAAAATGGGATAGGAAAGTGTATAGGCATCACACAGGTATGCCATGTACGATTTAGGGTACTGATTTCTCGTCTCGTTTTACATCAATGACAATGTTAAAACACATCGTTTTAACATACTGACCCTGAATGATAATGATTATCACACATAGTTTACACAATATTTACAATGAAGTAAATGTGTTACAGGCTATCCTGGGGGACTGAAAGAAACAAACGCAATATCTCTGCACCGGAAAGATCCAACTCGGGTGCTCTGGCGAGCAGTAAATGGCATGCTCCCTAAAAATAATTCAAGAAAGGTTTTCATGTCAAGATTGTTTTTGTTTGAAGGAGAAGAACATCCTTATGCCGAGAACATTTATGCTCAATTAGAAGCACCTGCTTCAATGCCGAAGAGAGTTGATGAATTTACAAAGGAGGAGTTTGAAAAATACCCTAAACTATTTTGACAATGTTGTCATGTGAATATATTGAAATGTAAATATTAAATTATATAGAAATACAATATGCAGTTGCAATGTAAGATTAGAATACATTCTTATCAATTGATTTGGTTTGAAGTCATTTTTTTTCCTAATTTTGGGCCAATTTATATTGGTGGTTTAGTGAATTTCCCAGTGCATAACTATTGCCAGCTGGCATTATGAATTGAGCTACAAAATGAACAAGACCATGGCCTATGAGATCATAATTTATTTCACAATCATTTTGTACAAAATCTAACGATATCGCCGCAATGAGAGTGAGTTGTGCTTCTTCCAGTTGGCACGATGGGAACCACCTTGAACCTTGTTGTACAGATGGCCCTTTCGGATGCCACGATTCTTGCGTCCGACAGCAGTGAGACCTCTGAGCTCTCTATGCTTATGGACTGCTTTGCATATCCAGTTGATCCTTGGGTCACGACGGATGGCGTTGTGGGCTGGGTCAACCAGGATGACCTCAAAGAATTTGAACGTGGAATCCTGGGCTATCCAGTAGGAATTGAGAACACGAAGTCCACCACAGTATCGTCCAGCTCTTTCCTACAGAGTAGAAAAGGTTTCAATGAAGACGACAAAATTCTAAGCTACTGTGACAATCAAGACTTTTTTGATAGAACCATCATGGTTTATCGAGTAGGCTGCATTTAAACTTGTATTCAGGACTTATTTCTGATCACAGTGTCAAGTATAAGCCATAGGTGTAGAGCTTGTTTTGGGGTATCACCACTGATCTGACAAATATATACCGACCAAAATAAACCTAGGTTATCCAGTCTACTTATCAGATCAGTGGGTAGAATGATCAACATCAACATCACAACCATTGTTTCAAGACTAGTGCTAAAACCAGTGCTATACTGGACATTAATACCAGGCAACTAGTCTAGATGCTGCTTTGATAGAGAAATTAAACCCTCCACCCACATCATAACCTACCTCAGCTACAGAGCGAAGACTTCTTTGGAACTTCAGTTTGTTAACACCCTGTCGGACAGGTTTTCCATGTGTGTTACCCTTAGGCACTTTCCTCTTGCGACCACCACGGCGTATCCGAACCCGGTAGACAACATAACCCTGCTTAGCTTTGTACCCAAGCCGTCTGGCTTTGTCTGGTCGAGTGGGCCTGGATGCTCGATGGATAGCATTGAGCTGGCGGTATTGCCAACATCGTACACGCAGAAGAAAACGAAGAAGGTCCGACTGCTTCTTTTTGTACAGTTCTTCAAGATATTTGTATGCTCCCATGGTACTTACTATATCAAAACAGGTTGGAGAACATTGTCATGACCAAGCAGGGATCACATGCATATCCAGAAAACCCTCCATCGTATATAACCATCTCCTATTTATACATTATTTTTAGCTAAAATTTATGGCCAGAATCATAGCTGATTGACAGACGAGTTACGCGTCTGATTTAGAAGACGTTTTACTATAAAACTACTACTTCGAATTCTTTCAAACTTTGTAGGAAGGAAGAGTGATATCCATTTTATGCATATAAAGTAATAAAACTACACGATGCCTTGAAAATATAGTAGATTTTTAAGGATTTTAAACGCTTACCTTTTATTATTTGGCACCTTCGATAAAGAGCAGAAAGAGAGAGAAATGAAGAGAGCCTGCAATACTGTGACACAATTCACGTGCGGTTAAAAACAATAACTCAGGCGCAGATAACTGAAGTTTGGCGGAGCGGAAAATCATTGAGAAAAAAAAACTCAATTTGTGTACTATGTAATTTTTTAATTAATTATTAGGGTTAAATTGGCGATAATGACAACCTATACGATGCACCCCGTTATCTCAAATTATAGATAACTAGAAATTCACCTATTTATTCCAAATTCAAGTTGAAGTTTGATCCAAATTAGTGAAAAGACCTGAGTACTAGAGTAATCCAAACTCGCACCAGTCTATACTCGGCTGCCAAATTTCCCAAAATTTTTCACTTCTTTTTGTTCGAAATAGATACACTTTTCTCTCATTTCTTTGACAAAAAAACTATATTTTTATATATATTGCAAGCCAGATGAGTTCTCCAGAGAAAGTAGAAGAAATAAGCAAGGAGGAATGGCTTGAAAAGATACAAGAACTACGCATACCAAGGAATGAAATGAATTCTTTAGTTATGGACTATCTAGTCACTGAAGGTTTTAAACAAGCCGCAGAGAAATTCAAACTTGAAGCTAAACTACAATCAGAAATTCCTTTGACGGGCATGGACGAGAGAATACAAATAAGAGAGGCAGTTCAGAACGGTGATATCGTTAAAGCTATTTGTCTGACAAATAATTTCAACCCAGAAATATTGGATAGTAGACCACATCTATTTTTTCATTTACAACAACAGAGACTAATCGAACTTATTCGAAACAAAGACATCGACGGTGCGGTTGAGTTTGCACAGAATCAAATGTCAGAGCAAGGGAAAGATAACCCACAATTTCTTGAAGAATTAGAAAGGACCATGGCATTACTGGCTTTTGATAATGCAGAGGAGTCGCCATTTGGGGAACTACTTCTGTTATCTCAAAGGCAAAAGGTTGCAAGTGAACTGAATGCAGCACTTCTGGAGGAGGAAAACCAGTCAACAACACCCAGGTTGGCGAAGATGGTGAAACTCCTTGAATGGTCCCAGAGTGAACTCGATCATAGCAAAGCCAAGTATCCGAAAATGATGAACCTTTCGACAGCCGAAATAGAGATGACTAAATGATATTGGAGCAAAAACATGTATGGTTGAAGAAGGGATTGTAGGCTTTCAACAGCATTGACAAAACTTTCTAGGTGAAGAACTTGTGGATATGTCAGGAAGAACTTTTCAAAATGTGCAACTAAAGACACTCATATACTATTTACAGAATTTTATTTTTGTAGTTTTAATGTATGTCAGTTGTGTTTGAATATTACCAAAGAATTCGATGCTAGAGATGTCAAAATAACAGACCAGTTACGTGATTGTTGTTGTATTGTTTTGAATTTTGGTTTATGTTGGTTTTTTTTTGAAGTAACATAACTCCAGTTATAGAGGCCAGTGTTTAGGCAGAATCCAGTAGATTGCAGTACAAATAAATGTACAGCTTTACATTAAGTACATCTTCAATTTATTCGACATTTCACCAACCCAAGATTGAAATCGATTATTTACAATAATACAATGAAATAAAATAAATCTATGATAGAATCTTCATTTGTTCAAATGGTAGGCTAGAGCTAGAACCGAGGCCATGTTTTCAGACAGAATGATGTTTTTAGAAAACATATATTTACAGTTCCCAGCTTCCCTGAAGTTCCCCATTCAAATTCATGTTCCTCACAGCAATCCTGATAGTGAAATAGAATCAAATAAATGCACTAACATGTCCACAGTTTCACATACATACAAAACTTGCAGAAGGTCAAAAGTTTCCAAAAATTTGTTTACCTCAATTTTCCTTTTAAATCCAACACCCTCACATTCCTAGCTGTTTCTCATGTGAGCGATGATGAAACACGAATGTGACACCATCTTCCCATGCTCCTTTGAGGGCCTGGTCTTCCACTCCCTTCTTACTGTTGCAATGATTCCATTCCGACAAATCAGAGTTGCAACTCGACCCTTCAGGGGGAAGGGGCGGACTTGAATCCCGTTAACACACCTGCGGTACATACAAATATCTTGGTATGAGCACGCGCCGGTGAAGTCTGTCTGGAAGGGACCAGGGTGGGAGAAGAGTGGCAACTCTCACACCCTCGTTACAAGCCTTGGCCGCGTTTATAAAAGTTGTCAATCTTTCCACTGCCATTCGTGGTAATATCTAGTCAACACACATGCAACTATAAATTTTCTCATTTGACCAGGGTATGAGGTTTCTCCAGAGTTTTCCTGTTTCGAGACTACGCGTCACGCGTGTACGTACTATCAAGAACAACTTTCAAAACCTTTGGCACGAATGCTGATTAAACTAGTCTCAATGCTGAAAGCTTCTCTCCATTCTTATTGACGTCAATCAAATGCTACATACAAACCTGCGACATTTAAACTTGTCGTGGGTCTCGCTTGATGTGCTCTCGTTTAGTTTGAAGAGATCTCTCAAATCCTCCATTGAGAAATGTCTGGCAACATCCTCTTCTTCATCTACAACGCAACTACTTAACGCTTTCTTGTGTGTCTGTCGCTGGAATATTTTCTCTTCAATTGTGCCGGTCGACAAAAGCCTGGAAAAGTTATGAAATATCGTCAGTTGTGGATTAATAAGAGATGATCCATACTGCTAGGTTAGAACTGATATAGAGCTATTCAGTGTAAATAAAGTAAGTTTAGTTTAGGTTTCCTCCTGTAGTAACACTGGATCAATAAGAGATGATCCTTACTGGACCTCTAGGAAGAACAGTTCAGAACTGATATAGAGCTATCCAGTATAAATAAAATTAGTTTAGTTCCTGCTTTCTCTGGATTGTTGGGTAGTTGAAAACCAGCCTGGTCCTATAAACTTAAGGGATCACAAGACCTGTAGATGTAGACTTTCTTCTTCTGACCATCTCTCCAAACCCTTGCCATTGCTTGCTCGTCATTGGCTGGATTCCAATCAGGATCGAACATCACTAAACGATTTGCACCAATCAGATTCAAGCCGCATCCACCAGCCTTGCTGCTCAGCATGAAGATAAAGTCCCCTCCCGAAGGATCATTGAAACGGTCCACGATCTTCTGTCGTTTTTTAATAGTCATGGACCCATCCAAACGAACGAACTGGTAACGTCTCAAGCGACAAAGCTTCTCAAACAGATCTAGTGTTTGCGTGTAGTTGGACACTAAAACAACTTTGTCGTTTGACATCGACTTGGTCATGGCTAGAATATAGTCGAGGACTTTCATTTTGCCGGATAGATCTGGCTGGAAGTGTTTGGATTTTTGTCCATCTGTATGTAATAAGAAAGAATTGCATCTCATACATATGTCTGAACTACCAGAAAAAGATATCTCAAACGTGGTGGTCTAGTGTAGGTAGTATTCTACAATAAGTTGTCGTGGTTTGTGTCTGAACTACCTGAAAAAGATATCTCAAACGTGGTGGTCTAGTGTAGGTAGTATTCTACCATAAGCTGTCGTAGTTTGTGTCTGAACTACCTGAGAAAGATATCTCAAACGTGGTGGTCTAGTGTAGGTAGTATTCTACAATAAGCTGTCGTAGTTTGTGTCTGAACTACCTGAAAAAGATCTAAAATCATGATGTTCACACGTGAACTACCTGAAAACAATTCCTTAAGCCCCTTAACTTCGCTCTTTTTCCCCTCTTTATCATCACTCAACAGTAACTCCGGATGGTTGCAAAGTTTCTTAAGCTGGGTAATAAACGCCAGAGACGAAAACGAAATACCACCACCAGACTTTCCAAGTTCTATTTTAGCGGCTTTGCTGGAAACCAAACGCTGGTAGAGTTCCTTTTGCACCGGCGTGAGAGCACAGCAGACAACCTGCTCGACTTTAACCGGCAAGTACTTTGACAAAATAGCCTGGGTTCGTCTGATAATACATTTGTTAACAAGAGAAACGAGTTCGTTTAACTTTTCGGTGCCTTTGTGGCGGTCTGACTCGCTGGCGTCCGCATCACGACCTCGAAGAATAATATTTTCATATTTTCTCTTAAACTCTGAAGCCGTTCCTAGCATACCGCTGTTTACAAAATGAACCAAACTGAAGTATTCAAGCAAGTCGTTCTGGATTGGCGTTCCTGAAGAAAGAAAACAACAATAACAGCTTGTGAAAGATGCTTTTACTAGCTGTTGAATTAAAGGGTCTTAATTTCGAGTGGAATTATACACACTTCAAATTTAAGCCAGGAACAGTTGATGGAAAAATGAGTCAACTATCAGTCCTCCGGCAGGAATCGAACCTACGCTTTTGCGATGCCGGTGCAATGCTCTTGCCTGCCATTACCTCTAGAATTTACCTACATTGAGTGATTAGTGCCAAAAATCATAATTGATCTTTCTAGCTGTGTTTCAATTGGATTTCATAGTTCTTGCATGGCTAGATATGATAGGATTATTGCCATCCTACCTGATAGAAGAATTCGTCTTTGTGTCTTCAACTTATCCAACGCCTGGTAAGTCTGGCTTTCAAGATTTTTTAATCTATGTCCTTCGTCGCAGATGAGGAGACCCACTGGACTGCTTGTTAGCTTCTCATAATGACATCTGAATGTTTCGTAGGAAATAATCAGAATGGAATTATGGACTCTGTTGCCACATTGGGCCATGAAACTTGTAAGATTTGAATCAATTTCTTTCTTGGAGCCAGAGTCTATTGCCAATGCATGAAGTTTCCCTGTTTCAGAATGAATGTTCACTGCATTAGATATTGTTTGATAGTAAAGATAGGGAGTTGGTTTGCATGCAAAATGGTAGACAGTTTAATCTAAATTTAATATGCACTAGCTGGGTCAATATATTCTAAACTTAATTGAAATAATGAAATGATACTTAAATACAGAATCAATCCAGCAAAATTCACAAATGCCCAGTTTACCTGCTAGCCATTTATTGATCTCATTATACCAGTTCTTAACGAGGCTTGATGGTGCAACTATAATAGCCTTATCAATCAGCTTCTTTCCTGATGGACTCTGCTTCAGTAAGGTCCAAAGAAGAGTGATACATTGTAAAGTTTTGCCAAGTCCCATCTCATCTGCCATTATACAACCAAAACTATCTGAAATTTTTTCCCCTGTGACACAATCGTACAAAAACCTCACTCCTTCTCGCTGATGAGGTCGCAAAACCTTTGAAAGAATCGGATCAACGACTACATGAACCTCATAGTCCTGATTTGATTTTAGTTTGTCATGCTCCGTCTGAGGAGGTGGTACATACAAGACGAGGGCATCAGGGTCATCTGGATCATGGAGGGATCGACGGGGACCTTGTCGCTTTACCCCCAGGGTACGACCATTGGATGAGCCTTGTAAAAAAGCACTGAATCAGGAAACAAGCCTCCTCAATGCAAAATACACAAAACTTTACTCTATAAGTACCCTGTAATCAATTTTCTGCGTAATTGTAATTTAAACTTTAATACAATTCTTAGCTGTAAATTCAATCAAACCTTGATAATTCGGTATTGGGACTCTAAAAGGCTTTGATAAAATGTTTTTGATGCGAGCTTCGTGTTCAGATAGCTGGCCAGACCCATTTAAACATAATGACGTGAATGGCTGCCTGAATAGATGTTGAGAAAATTTGCTCAAAACTTTTGACTTTTCCTGGTCGATTTTCTGCATCTTTTGCCGTGGCGAAGTCACCTCTCCTTCGCTGTCGCTATCATCGTCAACCCATGATGAAGTCTTGCGTTTTAAAAGTTGACTAGGAGCTAGCGATCGCCTCATATTTGAAATACTTTCGACAATAATTTTAAATTTCGCGCTTCGCCTCGGCCGCCATTAACGAGACCCGCGAACAGGGTATTTACTTCCAAGAGCCTTAAATTCTGCAGGCGACAAAGAAGACATCCTTCAAAAGTGCTACGATCGTTGCCTGGCGTGATGTACACGAGCGTCGTTTGAAGGATGGTTTTTAAATGACATGGACATATTAAATCGAAGGAGTGCCGAATTGTCACAAATATTCGAACGTTGAAATTTACAACCAGAAATCGAAAATATTTTGAAAGCCAACGAAACTTTTTTAAAAAATGAACCGAGGGCTATCTGCCGGCGAGCAGAAGCTTGCGGAAAAGCTTATCATTTTAAATGAACGAGGAAAAGGCATGTTGACGCGAATTTATAACATCAAAAAAGTAAGTTGTATATACTATATATATGTATCAAATATTGCATATTTGTTTACATTTTAGTTAGAATGCGCTAGCTACTTTGTCAACGAAATGCTTTATTTATAAAGGTTGTGTAGTTTCTACGCAGCTGTAAAATTGTAATGAGATAAGGCTTTGTTTACCTTTGAAATAGCTGTTTTGCAAGCGTTAAATATGCAATATTCGGAATAGGAAATCACTCCAGTATTCCAAGCTAGAGCTTTTCTATATGACAACATACCCACTTGTTGCAATATATTACACGTGTTACAATATGAACAGTTTCGTATTTCCCTAGTGTTTCGTTGAGGTATTCATGTAATTGATTTCATAGTTTGTGATCCACTAAAGCTCTAATTATTCCAAATATTTTCTATTGTGAATGTGGGAGCTTGCAACGTATTTGTGCACTGCACATGCTCAGTAAGGTTTAAATGAATTTGCTCCCACAAGCAATAGGCCGATATTTTGTGTCAAAACTGGTTACTGCTATTTTCTACATTAAATATAAGTCTAAGGACTGCTTTCCACTGTTGTGTTTTCATACGCACAGCTGGTGTTCCGTGTTTGTTCTGTCTTCCTCTAATCCCTAACATGTACAGCACTGCATCAATTGTATTACAGTATTTTTAAATATAGGAATTTACACTATCCATTGTAGTACAATAATAAAGCCATAATTTCTTACAATGTTTTTCAATGGTGTAGCAATGTTCAGACCCAAAATCCAGGCCTGCATTCCTCAGTGACAAACCGTTGGAAGGTACAATAAAGACTATTGTCCGGAAGTTTCCCAACTTTGAGAGCCATTTGAAGGTAAATTAATCTGTCTAAATGAACCACATTTGCTGATATCGTCTATGGTGTACTAGTCTATACAATACTCTATACATTACAGTAGACCTTTGGAGACAAATTATGGAAGCATTTAGACAAGTGGTCTCTTTCTTGCAGGGTCAGACCCAACCAATTCAAGGCCAAGAGAAAGACATTGTCAAAGGATTATCAAATTATTATTACACATTTGTGGATGTGATGCAGTTCAAAGTATGATATAAGATGAATAAATAATGTTGAATATTAGCAATGGTTGCACTTATTTACCACTATCATGACTATCATCACAACTGTTGGTCTTCAGGACTACTATTACCATGACACTCACCATCATTATCTTCACTCTTTATCACAAAAACAATCACCATCAACCATGATATACCATAGTCACAATCAACCATGACTACCACAGTCATTACCATGATCATCATGATCAATATCATCAATCATGATCATAATCACTCATCATCATCACTACCATTACCACAATCAATCATCATTACCATGATCACCATCATATATCTACCACCATCATCAACCATAATCATCATCATCACTATGACAATCATTCGTATCCGATCACCATCATAATTATCACAATCAATATAGTAACCGATGTAATCACCTCAATTCCTAAGGCTATTTCAATATTTGATTCTAGGATCACACCAGTGAACTACTCACAATGATTGATGCAAGTTTTGTTCACTTTGATATTGTAAGTCAATGCAAAATGTGTTTTACCCTCGTGAAATAAAGTTATTCATCCATTCATTCACTCAATCCTTTTGTTTAGGCATTAAATTTCGACCTAACAAGAGCATATCTTGATCTTATTGTTACCTACGTATCTCTGATGTTATTAATCGCTCGTGTTGACGATCGCAAAGCTGTTTTAGGATTGTTTAATTATGCCTACGAAGCTCAGAATGGCCGCAGGTACTGTTTACTGTTTTGTACTTTTTATTCAGCGATGAATAATTCGCTATAAAGCACTGAGCAAGAGTTAAAACTACAGTCACATGACAATTTCGTTCCTCCTTTGGTCGAAACATTAAGACGTTTTCGAGTACGATCTTAGGCATTTAAATCCCAGCCGAATCTTACACATAATTCCTTTAATGCAATCCATTTTAGCGACGAGTACTTTCCAAGATTGGGGCAACTTATTATCGACTATGAATATCCACTCAAACGATTATCAGAAGATTTCACAACACATCAGCAGGTAAGTTGATCTCAGGTTCTCAGGTACAACTCCGAGTTTCTTTTCAAATGCAGCTGCTGTGTTTTACCAACTCAATGTATCCACCTTAATTTATCATAAACAGCGGGTCTCTCAAGCTCTTCAATCTGTTCATAACATTTACCACAGACGGAACCACACCGGAGCACAGGTGAGGAAACTTCCCAAGAGCAAGAGGTTGGATCGTTGAGGCTACAATGATAAACATGTAATAATCACGTCGTTTAAAATGTGCTACATGAGCTTTTAAGCGTTCTGTCTTTTCATTTAGTGGAGGCAATCCCAGTTGTTGAGTATCATCAGCGCTCCCGCTACGATGCTTGAACCAGCTCAAAGTGAAGTGGTCAGTCGGATTTGTTATTGTAACCACAACCAGCTTTTAGTTCAAACTAGTTACATATGTGTACTTTGTCTCTCTCTATATATATAGGTTGCCTGCGAATACCTTCCGCTATCTACCATGAATAAATGGATTTTATGTAAGCATCTGTAAAGTACTTTATACATGAAATGTCAGGATTACCACAACTTAATCAGCAAGTTTGAGATTTAAGACGCAAACCTAGGCATCTATACTTTAAGACTTTATACGCAAGATTCCTACGTGTCTTAAGGCAACTATTTTTTAACCATTTCTGCCACAAATTGGGTTAGTTTAGTTTCAGATTGCTTCTGTCGTACATAACGTAATGCTTGACCAACAAAGATGAGCAATTCAGTTAATTTTTTCTCAATTTTCAGTCTGTTACTGCTTGTGCTATAATCACATCAATGATCCCGGTGCAATTGAAGTCTGGAAGGCAGCTTTAGGAGATGGATTTTGTTTGTCTTTGTGTCGAGACGAAGTTTATATGGTCCACAAAGAGTTTCATAGTTTTTTTGATGCTTTGAAAGGGTAAGCTGTAAATGCAGTGCAATTTGTAGAGGTCAATCCGGGTAATCCTTCCAAAATCTTTAGAAATTGTTGATGGGTAAAGTTGGCGGTTATTTGTGTATTTTAGCCAAAGCAAAAGAGCGAAAGAAATTCAGGAATGTGGTTCGCTTGCTCTTAGCAACAGGTAAAAACGTCTATAGGAGAGTGTCACCGAAAACTGTCACCGATTCGACAACATTTGGACGTTTAATAGAAGATCTATGATACATGACAGGCCTGAACAACGAAACAATTTGTTTATTTTCAGTCCAGGAATACATCGAGAAAGAAGGAACTACTTGAGAGCAGCGATGCAGGAACTGTCTCATATTATTAGCGATCAGCCCGGCTTGTTTGGTCCAAAGGTAAAATCATAGAAAAATGCAGTACTTGCAGATTTGCGATTCTCAGGTCTTCGTCAACAATATTTACTGTTTTTTCCAGGCTCTTGTCGTAGTACAAGCTCTGTCTTTGGCTTCAGATGAAGTTCATTGGCTCGTCAGACACAAGGAACACAATCCTCCAAAAGGAAAGAAAAATCCTGATGATTATACTGACACGTGAGTTTACCCGAAAAATTTACTGCATAGTAAAACTCTTCCATGTTGTCTATATTTGTTTTTCTCTTCTTTTAAAACAGGAGACTATCCCATATGCTGTTTTTAATCGAAGAACTACACGGTAATATTAATAATACCAATTTCAACGCGCCATGAACGTTTAGAAGTTATTTCAAACCTCTTTTTTTAAGGCTTTAGGATAAGTGATGAAAATTCGGACCAAGAATCTATTGTATCTTTTAATGAACATGCTGTCGATTAACTTTGAATGTGTTTTGCAATTTTAGCCATGATGTTAAAATATTCGTCTGTTTTGCAACGTTATTACATACAATACATGTCAGGGTTTGATAACAGCCTTTTGAAGGACATTCTCCAGGTATTGTTAAATTATGGTTGTGTATTTTATGCTTGATAACTATTGAAATGGCGGAGTTTGGAATGAACTATCAAGTGGAAGGAATTCCTTATTTTGGGTTTATCATTTTGTAGAAAATTGCCATTGTTCCTGAAGATGTTTCATTATTGATGACTTCGTTTACCACTACCCTGGCAAGCTTGAGTGTTAAGCAAGGTAAGCCATGGAAAGGTCGGTGATCATCATCATCATCACGGCAACTAATCTTTACAGCAAAGATTGTTGCAAAATGTGTCAGGTCAAAAACGAGAATTTTTTCATAGTAAAACGATGGAAGGAGATATGAAAATAGATGAAGTAAAATAAGAAAGGAAAGGGGAAGTAATATCATAGAAATTAACAAGAAATTTCTTTTCTTAGTTGAAAGTAATACAGAATTCGACTTCGATGGCTTAAGACTGGATTGGATTCGACTTCAGGTACTTGTCCAGACCAATTCAGGCAAAAGATAGATCATTAAGACAAGAATATGCACGTCTTTAGTTTAGTTATTTCCCGGCAGGATAAACAAAACCCGCACTGACATATCTTCGGCTATTCTTCAAGGACTACTGTAACTATATACAGCATAGTAATGGCATTTCCCCGCCATCCAGGATAAACTATATATCCACTGTCATATATAGAGCACAGTTAATATTCATGATATTTCATAATCTCTGATGTCTTTACAACAAGGCATACACAAGTATCCGAGGCGCTGCGCCCGAAATCAAAGACATTCGCGACATGGCAATGTTATTAAACACAATATCATTTCATTCAAAACTCGTCGACAATCAGGAAGGCTTACTCAGCGAGGTGGCTGACCTAACACTTTTCTGGTAAGGAATATTGCTGTCACATTCCTATCTTTCGTCTTAGCATTCTTGCATGCATTTAGACTGGCTTTAGTTTCGTTAAATTCTGTGAAAGTCTTAACTAAGAAAGGCAATTTCTCCCGGGCAACTTGTTTCGTAACATAATAACGTCGAAAATTTTTAATTATACTTTTTTTTTTAGTTTTTATCCGAACTCTTTGGTAGAAGAGGCTTTCCATCAATGTCTAACCAGTTTAGGTCAACAGAAATTCTCCATCGCTTTCCCACTTCTTTGCAGTCATTTCATGTCAGCCACGAACCCCTTTTGCCCCGAAGAGGTCAGTTTAATGCATATTTCATCCGATGCGAAAAGATTCCCAAAACTGCGTCAGACATTTCGTTATTTCACCCACTTGAATATTGTGTACTTGTTTCGTTCTGCCTGTTGCGTGAATGTGGCAATGATGAAGTTTTCTTTTCATGTTTTAGCGTCATCTTTTGGGCGAGAGAAGTCTCTCTGCGGTAAACATGTTCCTCGACGCCATTGCGAAACAGGCCAAGGAGGTCGTACAACTATATTGCAAGGAACATCTGAAACTGTTTTACCAGGTACATATACGTTGACTCAGAAATTCAGAAGTTTTTTGTATAAGGAATATTCTTTATGACATGCTATATTGCCCTTGTAAAAGCTCGCTCAAAACGTCAGAAAATCTTCTTACATGCACGTTTTTTCGCTTGGCAAGGTTTACCATTTTACCAATGCAGTGTGTGATGTTTTTTCCAAACTTCTTCAATGCTGCATTGAGCGCTTGCAAATGGTATATTTACTCATGCACATCTTCAGCACTCGTTTAACTGCGTTTCTTAACTCTCAGCTTGATCCACTCAACGCGTTACATCTTCTGGAAGACGCCGCTGCCGCCAAGAAAAAGGATAAAAACAAAAAAAATCAACAACCACAAATGCCGAAGCCAGGGGAAGAGAGTTTTAGGAAAACACGAGAGTCATTAACACAGTAAGACCTTGCTTTCATTTCCAACGAAGTAAAATATCTTCGAGTGAAAATTTGTCTTCATTTCCTGTTTTCTCAAATTAACATTGTTGCATGGCTGCACATAAATAGTCTAAAATACATCGACCATACAACTTGACATGCATGCACCGCTTCAAAACTAATTTTCCTATCGCATTTTCAAGGCTTGATGCAAAGTTACTAGCGCTCTCTGATCTCTCTGTTGCACTGAACTACGTTTCCCATATTCAAGTTTGGGAACACAACTTCGCCCCGAAGGAGTTCCTCGCTGTTCATCTCGAAGATTTCTTTAGCAAGTAGGTGTGGGGGGAACGTGTAAGACTGAATGGGCAAGATATAGGTATAAGTCTAAGTGGGGAGTGGGTTTAAGACTGGGTTGATTTTTGTTTTAGGTCTGTCGTGAAATTGACCGGTTACGACTCCGATAAACAAGAAATAAATCGTCCGTCGGAATTACTAAATAACGTGAAAGTAAGACTGATATATATCCTCAAAAAACTGGACCATATAATCGTTTGCCAATATATCATCTAATCTCATATGTATCATCCTGTTTTACCAGGTTCTCATGGGAGTTTTGCGATGCGTGGAGAATTATGGTACTCAATTTTAGGAACATTAGTTTTACTGGTATTATAAGCATAGAGGTTTTGAAGCTAATCGTATTGTGATGTACGAATTGTCGGTTATTTTTCAGCAAATGTGGACATGTCTAGGATATGTAATCACGCAATGTTACAACAGACACAACCAGTGGATAGCCATGGAGGCATTACCGTGTGTGGGATGTACTCTCAATGGTAAGCTGGACTGCGCTGCGGTGAACTCCCGTAATGGTCAATCTGAACTAACTCTATTTATACTGGATACATCTCTATCATAATGGGGTATCATTTCCGGGTAATTGCTTCAGCGATATTACAATGCATTATCTGCAATTTTCTAGGTATGTGGACATTTTACTTCGTCAAGTCTCGACGGGTAATTTGCTGTACTCGCCAAACAGAAAGTCGTTTATAACCAAAACAGCGACAACGAACTTCAAAGCAGATGAGTTTACCGATCCTGTTGGTAAGTCGTGTTTATGGCACTGCATGCATTTGGCCTGGCCTGGTATCGTATGGTAAAACTGTGCATGTAATATATGTTAGGGCAAGGCATTAACCTTCAATAAGAGATTTCTGTAACTGTATTCATTTTAATACAGAACTGAGAGCTCTAGCGACACTTCTTGGTCCGTATGGCATGAAGTATCTGGGCGATCGAATGCTACAACAGATAGCGAGTCAAATGGGTGAAGTGAAAGTATGTTTACGTGCGTGTACTTCTTAAGTAAAATAATTTAGGGATACAATTATGGGTACATCTATATACAGTTATGTACATATGTGGAGGTAAAGTGCTTTCCCTGATCTCAATAACCACGTGTGTCTTCTTTTTCCTTAGAAACTAGTCAAAAACAACAAGGATGTTCTGGCGAGTTTGAGGAATTCTTTCGACAAACACGAACAGAGCTTAGAGCTTGTTCGACGATTAAAAAGTAAGCAGAAAAACAGCGATATTGCAACACCTTGACGTTGTTTTTGCATTGAGGATTTAAATTTTGATCCATACACGCCGTGAAGATTATCCATACACGCCGATCCTGAAGCAGGCGATTTAACCGCTTATAATTATAGCTTGTATAGTCTTTTATTGCCTCAAGCCGAGATTTTGATATTGTGTCTGTCTCTAACGTACAAAACTTGTTGACAGATCAATAAAACAAATGATGTAATCGCATCATATATTTACACATAGACACAGATGATCTTCTCATCCGTATGACAATTGTCGGAGTGATTTTGGCTTTCAGAGAACTGACACAGGAGGCCTTACGTGATGTAAGTATATCTGGGTTTCCAGGCATTCCAGCGTAAACGATTGTAAAATAAAGACTACACTCTCTCTCTCTCTCTTGTTACTTTGTTAGTCAGATAGTAATACTGGGCATGACAAGTAAATTTGAAAGAAATTTTGGCCAAAAATTGAAGGGATTGGAAAGACATGCATGGCAGATATCATAAAGGTTTTAGACGACCATTTAAAATTTCCCTTTAGCTCGTTATTTCTGTCTTTGTCAGGTTCTCGAGAAGCGAGTTCCATTCCTAGTTTGTTACGTGAATGACTTTCAGGAAAACTACCGAAAGGAAAATGAGCATCGTGTTGTAAGTACAATAAAGTTAAGCTTTGTTTACCTGAAGTCTGTTTTAAAGCCCGTAGCAATTTCTGCAGCGAACTTCGGTGCGATTTTCTTCTTTTGACAGATGGAAACGAGAAGAAAGTTATATAAATGCTCTAATATATGTACATATAAGATTCCTTATTTGTACATCCATAACTTATTCACTCATTCGCATCTATCAAAAGGAGAAAATCGCAGCATAAAACCGCAATAAAAATTGCAAGTGTAAACGGGTATTTTTGCTACAACGTTAATGTTATTTTGTGGCTTTTTCTCGCAGTTGGTAGATGATATGGCAATATCCGCTGGCTACAAATGTGACATAGATCGTCCACTATGCAACGCTATGAGGCAGCACAAAGGTTTGGAATTAAGTTTAGTTCACTTCATCCACCTTTGTCCTGATGTTTGTTTATCTTTCTAAACGCGCTTATTTATGTTTTTTCTTCAGAGAAAAAACTCGAAGAGGATATTCAGATTTGGTCACTTTTACTGGTACGAGTCTTGTTCAGCCATTGCAAAATCCAAACCGCTTTTGAACTTCGTAATCTGAACCATCTCAAGAAATACGATGTTTGAAATACACATAATCTAACACTGTAGACGACAATGAATATTTGTTGCCTCCAGCCCAATGTTAACTTAGTCGTTTTGATATAAGTTCAGTGATGTACACTCCCCCAAGGACGACGGTCAGTTTTATATGGCATGATACCGTAGCAAGGTTAATTCTGTATGAAATACCTTTGCTTTGTTTCAGGTGTTCCTTGGAGTTTGCATTCCATTTCAAGCCAACAAAGACGAATGCGAATATAACCCAAACCTTGAAGGTAAAAACAATACGATTTAAGCGAACTACGATTTAACAACTAAACCAATGTATATTGAATAGTTCTATAGCAGGGGTAGTGTCGCAGCTCCACGCAAGAATGATTCTCATTGGCTGAACTCTACAATACATTTCTGTTTCAACCAACAGCATAGCTTCGTTCTATAGAAAGCATAGAAAAGCATTATCCAATTGGACGAAAACTTCCGAGAGCTGCGACATGTCCCTATAGCAGTTGTACACGTTTTTATTCGCAGACGCCTGGCGAAACTTAACTGCTTTAAGATTGTCATACTGATGAATATTTCGCCACGCACCATTACGATAATGAGCTAACATGAAATACTTCACCGTAGCTATACATGCATGGTATGTTTTTTAGCTCACGAGAATAATTTCCACTGTTTGGCAAAAGCAATTGATCGCATTTCAGTGGCCTTGTGCTCGAACAACGGAGATAACATCGAAGTGAGATTGAGAGAATTCCTTGTGGTAGGTGACCTAAACTAAACTAACTTTAGTTATACTGGATAGTTACTAAACTAACCGTTTATTTTTAGGAATAGAACTATTAAAACTAATTGTGAATACTTCAATATTTAGATTGCCTCTTCAAGTCTGTTAAAACTTGGTTTAGAGAGTGAAAAAGATATGCCCAAGAACAGGGAATCAGTCTATCTATTACTTGATATGGTACAACATTGACACTTTCCAATGAACATTTCCAAATAGCATTGAGTTTTTTCCAAAATTTTCTATTTTCGTTACAGATAATCCAAGAGTCACCTTTCCTAACCATGGACATACTGGAGTCTTGTTTTCCATACAGTTTACTACGCAATGCTTATCACCAAGTTTATAAGGTATGTCTTTCTTTTTAAAACGTTTTAGGTTTCCATGTTTGATTTTGAGCTGTATAAAACTGCTCTTCCTGCATGGAGGTCCAGTAAGGATCATCTCTTATTGATCCAGCGTTACTACTGGAGGAAACCTAAACTAAACTAACTTTATTTATACTGGATAGCTCTATCAGTTCTAAACTATTCTTCTTAGAGGTCCAGTAAGGATCATCTCTTATTGATCCAGTGTTACTACAGGAAGAAACCTAAACTAAACTAACTTTATTTAAACTGGATATAGCTCTATCAGTTCTAAACTGTTTTTCCTTGAGTTTCAGACTTCACTGGAAGAGTCTCTTTGACTCTTTCTATAATCATTTTCCTGATTTTCTAGAAACCTCGTGCTGGTAAGAAAGCTCGTTCAGCCGTGACAACAGCTGTTGAAGATTCTAGCGTCCTATAAGAGGATTACTCCTCCTGTAACATTAGCGAGTTTAAGATACACGAAATCTACGACGGGACGTGAAATAAAACTGCTCTAATTTCCACAGTTTCCCAACAGGAGTGAAAATTATAGACTCTTTTTGATAAACGATGTCAAACCTGTAAGTAAAACAAATTAATACTGGTTTCCTAACGCTAGTATAGCATTTTCATGTCACGTCCGCGTCGTACATAGATTTAGTGCATCTAAAACTCGCTATTATTATCATCCGACGAATGCAAAGACTGTGGAAAACATGTATGGCAAGAATCATGTGTATACAACCGCCGCAATTAATGGCAGCATTTTGGAATAAAAACAATAAATTAATTTCATGTATCTGTAAAAGAATGTAATTGATATAGCGTGTAAATGTGCAACCAATTTTGTACATCTATATATTTTTTATATGAATTTGTAATGTTCCATTTTTTCACGATCCAGTGAAATATACAGAATATAAACAACAAATATTGGGGCTGTTTGTACGAAAGCTCGAACAACTGTTGAAAAATCACTATCCGGTCATTTCCGGTGGATAGCACTAGCTTTGCGAGATCGTTGGTTCTTGGCCTCGTAAAACATCGTATGACGTTCGTCAATGTTCGTGCTTGCGTCATTTAAAAATTTTTGGCCATTTAAATTTAAAAAAAAATTTGAGGAAAATTATTTTAAAAATTATATGATACAAAAAACACTGAATTTTGTTAGAAACTCGTTACTAGAAGGTAAGCAAACACAGTTGAACACACACATCTATTTCAGCATTTTATAGCTGTATTTCACATAAAATCATCGAGAAATATGTTGAAAAAAATTAGTGCGGTATGAACCATTTGACGTTGTATTTATTCAAAAGTGTTTATAAAAGTCTTTTAAAAGTCGCCTTTATCTGTAGATAGTTTTAGTGTGAACAATTATGCGACTTGAAGTGGTTTTTCTGTACCTCGCTACTGGGAACATCATGTTACACTTTGCAAGTACGTTTTCAATTAAGAAATTTGTTTTGAATTGAATTGTAAAATTTACATAGTTTCATTTTTATATATAAATATTCTTTGGTTTTGCATGTTTAGATGCTATTCGTGAACATCTAAAATACCGTGAACTTGATATGGGTTAGTATAAATGTATAGCTTTGTTACACAAATTGTCGAAGATCTTTACTAAAGGCATCTGTATTAAAAAACCCAATTTATAATAAATTACCGTTTGATATATTGTAGAAAGAATTAAAGATAAGCTCAAAAGGTATTATATATTTACGCTGGATTGTTTTTTTCTTAATTTATACAATTCGTATAAACACAACTTAGAGTTTTGTTGTCCTTTTCTCTTGTTCATCGTGACGAGGAAATAACGGGAAATAATTTCAAACTAAATGCTTACTGTTTTTGTATGCAAAAATTTGCACATGCAGGATTCCGTGCAGTATTTATACATGCTAAGCTATTTTCATATAGTGTGTTTGCTTTTTGTTTACCCAGATCAGGTATTTCCTCGGATGTCAGAGCAAAGATTGAAAGGAAAGATCCCAAGGTGTTTCAAGACGTTGCTGATAGTGAATTCATGAAACTAACACCTGATATGATAGCTGCAGCTGGGGTGGGTATATTGCCACAATAGAAAAATCAAATAAGGTCTGGGGCCGGTTGTATCAAGCCCGTTTAGCTTAAACGGCGGATAAGTTCAAAATAGAAAGCAAGTCTATCGTTTTATTCGTTAAAGCTACTGTTTATAACTACATATTCAGTGCATAATATTAAAGTTGACTCATTCAAGAGAGATGTAAGAGTGATATTTAATTTTGACTTATCCACCGTTTAAGCTGAACGGGCTTGATACAACCGGCCCCTGGTAGAGATTGGTGGAGTTGTTGTGCCGGTCTAAAGTGATGAAATTATTGGATGTAGGTTGATTCCATCAAGAACTTGCAACTCGACCAGGTCGCAATAATGTCGGAGAAATTATTCCAAGGAGATGAGAAAAATCTAATGAAAATATTTGGTTCAATGATGGAAGATCAATTGAGCGTTGCGATTGATAAAATATCGGTGAGTCAACAGTGAACTACATTGAAAACTCCCAAGACGAGATTTAAAACATATACTACCACATATAACAATTCGTACACGTATTGCTACCAAATTACGAATCCATCTTTTATACATACAAAACAAATACATTGATTCGCCAGATGAGCCGAATGTAACAACCAGCAAAGCTATAACATATTCTAACGAGTAGAAATGTTCTATTGACTATTGTGTCCCTTCTTGTAGGAGATGACGAACAAAAGTGGTGGGGAACATTTGAACTGTGTGCAGTTCGAGCCCTTGAACCTAGCAATGAAGAGGGTGTTTGGTAAGCCACAGGAGTGGGACAAACAAGTGTTTAAGAAGATGGGCAAAGAATTCGTTCAATGTCTACCACCAGATGATCTCATGAATATAGCAGGAAGCAAAGACGTTTTCAGATCAGTGTATGTAAACACATCTGTAGCAAATGATTGAGAAGCCATGAAGTCAGTACTTTGCTGTCTATATACGAGAAAGTGCCTATCTTCGGGGGTAACGCCCCCCCCCCCGCCTCGCTTCCTAAATTGTTTTGCAGCCCTTGTTTGCTCGTACTATAAAACCAGCCAAATCATCCTTCCTCCATCCCGGATCCTTCTCGCCAGGTTGGATAACATGAACGACAAGAAGACGGACAAACACAAAGCAACAAAGTTTGAAAAAAGATCAATGCTTGCTGCGGCAACCACAGCATTTGGCGATGTCAAGGACTGGCGCATGGAAGACTTGAAAAGTGCGAGGTCTTTGGTGACAATGTTGAAGCCGAAGGATCTTCAGAAACTTGACACGGGCGCGGTGAGTTCATGATCTTGGTAGAAATTAGCAACAAGTCAAGCGCCGTATTTCTTAATCATTTTATTTCGGTTATGGCTCAGCTAAAAGATGCCTTGGATGATCTCGGTCAGGAAGAATGGGACGAGAAACGTGGAAAGAAGTTGGTCGACAAGTTGAAGAATGCAACGAATGGCATTGGAGCAGTGAATACCTGGACCTCTGATACTGTTAAAAAGTTAGAGAAGTTGTTTCGTATGGACCTCTAGGAAGAACAGTTTAGAACTGACAGGCTATCTAGTATAAATAAAGTTAGTTTAGTTTAGGTTTCCTCCTGTAGTAACAATGGATCAATAAGAGATGATCCTTACTGGACCTCTATGAAGAACAGTTTAGAACTGATAGAGCTATCCAGGATAGATAAAGTTAGTTTAGTTTAGGTTTCCTCCTGTAGTAACGCTGGATCAATAAGAAATGATCCTTACTGGACCTCTAGGAAGAACAGTTTAGAACTGATAGAGCTATCCAGGATAGATAAAGTTAGTTTAGTTTAGGTTTCCTCCTGTAGTAACACTAGGAAGAACAGTTCAGAACAGAAGAGTTGATCCTATACGGCTAACATTGATTCTGGTTAAACGAGAATTTCTAGCATGTTTTATGTTCTGTTTCAAACAAAGGCTTGGTAATTTACGAGCTTCGCTATCGAAGAAAGAACTGAACGAGCTTCCTGAAGAAACACTTCGAGATTCCGTGCGAGAGTTTGGTCGGACTGTTTTACCTCCCTACAAGGTTTGTATGTTTCGTTAGAATATTTGTAACAGAATGACAAGTGTAGCAAGAAAATACTCGATATACTCTCACAAATCTAAGACAGCAATCGCTCTAATCTGTGCTTCAGAAACGAGCTCTGGGGAAACGACTCAAGACGCTGTATGGCCATCCAAGACAATGGACACGGGATCAGATCACGGACGCCAGCAATTTGCTGGGAGGAATTGAAACAAACGAACTGCTAGAAATTGACAGCGATGCTCTTCTTGACGCGTTGCCTTCAGTAAAGGATGTCAAACTTCCCAAACACAAAGGACGGATATTGGCTAAGAAATTGCAACAGAAGATGGGAAATATGGAAGACTGGAATACAGAGTAAGACATCACCAAAACCTTGAACAAAAACACCATCACCACTAAGTACCATCACAAGCAACCCCCATTACCAACAAAAACCACCACCTTCATTACAAACACCACGAACACCAACAGGACCCATAGGATATCAACAATAATACAACTATACTAACCACCACTACCATCACCATAACAACCACTACCTTCACCACACAAACCACTACACAACCATATTATCACCATACTAACCATCACAAATCACTGCCATCATACTACCGCCACCAACCTCTATTATCACCATACCAACCAGCACCACCACCATACTGACCACCACCTACCACCGACACTACCACTCCGCCACCACTAACAACACCATGCACCGCCACCATCTACCCACCACCACCCAGTCACCTCCCTTCACGATGACCCGATCCCAAACCTTTTCAATTTACCATTCCAGTACCGTGAAAAAAATGGGGCCATTATTGCGAGACCTGCCATCATCCATGTTGAAGATGCTCAAACCAGATGAAGCCGAGGAAGCTGTCAAGATACTAAGAAAAGAAGGAGATGTTCCCAAATCTAAGAAACGAATTCTCATAAAACAGGTTTGAAAGAAAGTTTCCACACATACACAAATATGAATCCATCCGATTCAATTGCAACTTCTAAAGTTAGTGAGTGTCATGACTATTACTTTCTACATGAATAAACCTTGGTTAATGTTGATTGATGTTCACACTATAACTGCAGCATGCTTCAGCCAAACTTGTAAACCAAGTTAAACCAGTAATTTTGTTACTGTTAAAGTTAGTTGGATTACATTTAGTCGCGTACGTTTCGAAAAATAGCTTCGAACGATTGAACGACTGAATGATTAAATTCGCTTAAATGCGATTAGAACGGTCAGCGGTCAGCAGGATTTTTGCCATGCGCATGGAATCCTGAACGTGTGCTTATTTTTCAGCTTATGAGTGGAGGAAACAATTCGGAACTTCGAATCAGAGAATTTGGCGATTTCGTATCGGAGTTCCCTATTAGACAGTTGAAGAAGATAAACAACGTTGAGGAAATCCTACCTGTCGATAGCTCGAATAACTCCACTGATAGCGATAATGAAACGGACGCAGGAGCGCCTCATTGGCGGGCTGTGCAGGCTAGAGCTCTGCTCGGTGACATCGTCATGAAGCAAGAGAACTGGGGACCAGTGTCGGAGTTGTCTGGAAATTGGGAACTAAAAAACATAAAGTACAATTCCATATCAAGAATCAAATACTAATTTCATAGAGATGGGCTACAGTACGGCAATTAAATGAGGGCATTCATATATGTGTATACTTAATTTTTAGGAAACTTGGAAGGTTGGCATTGGGACTGAAAAGATCGGATATTGAGAAACTCAGTATTGATTCATTCACAGATTTTGTTGCGGAATTCAGTCAGATTTCCAATTGGACGCTTGGTCAGGTAAATTATAGTATGAGATGATCCTTACTGGACCTCTAGGAAGAACAGTTTAGAACTGATAGAGCTATCCAGTATAAATAAAGTTAGTTTAGTTTAGGTTTCCTCCTGTAGTAAGACTAGATCAATAAGAGATGATCCTTACTGGACCTCTAGGAAGAACAGTTTAGAACTGATAGAGCTATCCAGTATAAATAAAGTTAGTTTAGTTTAGGTTTCCTCCTGTAGTAACACTGCATCAATAAGAGATGATCCTTACTGGATCTCTAGGAAGAACAGTTTAGAACTGATAGAGCTATCCAGTATAAATAAAGTTAATTTAGTTTAGGCTTCCTCCTGTAGTAACACTGGATCAATAAGAGATGATCTTTACTGGACCTCTAGGAAGAACAGTTTAAAACTGATAGAGCTATCCAGTATAAATAAAGTTAGTTTAGTTTAGGTTTCCTCCTGTAGTAACACTGGATCAATAAGAGATGATCCTTACTGGACCTCTAGGAAGAACTAGAGCTATCCAGCAAACGTAATTTCCGCCATTGTTTCAGGCTAAGATCATAGCAAAGAGATTTATTAAAGCCCATCGAGACAATGACATGACTGTCACAGATATGGCGTCGCTTGGAGATTTTGTGATTCATATCATTGATGAACTCTTTGCCAGTCTCTCTGAGGGGACACTGAGAGAGGCAGCGAGGGTCATAGGAACTAGCCGGCAGTCGCGAAGATTACCGAAACCCGCTCGTCGAAGAAAAGCTCAAATTGTTTTAGCTATTTTGGTAAGAGAAAACTGTTACTTTGGTAACGTGGAGAATGTTAATTAAACAACTGTTGCAGTGTTGCTCTTCGACTAAACATCTAAACGATCGTTCTTCCGTATTAAATAAAGGGTAAAAAGGCATCTACTATAAATAGCGAGGAATTAGAAGAACTTGGTTACTTAGTCAGTGGTTTCACACCAGATGAGATAAAACAGATTGAGCCGACTGTTTTCATCGATGCCGTAGCTACACTGGGCGATATAGAAGAGCTGGATGAAGAAACCAGTATTGCACTTGCAAATAAAGCTGTGGAGGTTTTTGGGTAAAGAGCTACCGTACTTAGCTACTTTTGTTTCGCATGTTTGGAAACTGTTATTATTACACTTTAATGATAAGCTTTGTGGACAACTAAACCAGTCTTTCTCGAACAGCGGTGCAGATCAGTTCGACGGGGATGTACTTCATGATTTGGGGCATATCGTGGAAGGACTGGACGGCAGCGATATCGCAAAAATCCCAGCGAATGTGGTTCAGGAAAACATTCATGTTTTTGCTGAAGCTGATCTGGATTCCCAGAAAGCTGCTGCTGTCTTGGAGAAAACAGAGTCGGCAAGCCGTAAACGACGTGCAGTAGGTGGGTTTCGGCCCGGGTGCATCTCTGCCTCTCTCCCCCCTCCTAAGCATCACCAAGCCTTGATCTGGACATCACCTCGTTAGATGTAAAATTGTGCCATAACATAAAAAATATTTTGGCAAAACCTACCATCTAGATATGTCCTCGAAGACTGCTTCAGAACTGATTGCAATGGGGTCCACTTTGCTCGCTTTAACTCCAAACGAGATTCTTTCCATCGCCAACGACACTTTCTTGGACGCAGTTGCTGAGATAAGCGAGATAAAAGGATTCAGTACCGATCAGCTTCAAGCCTGGGCCAGCAAAGCTACTTGGGTTAGTTTTGCTCTTTTAAGAAAAAAACAGTTTAGAACTGATAGAGCTATATCCAGTATAAATAAAGTTAGTTTAGTTTAGGTTTCCTCCTGTAGTAATACTGGATTGATAAGAGATGATCCTTACTGGACCTCTAGGAAGAACAGTTTAGAACTGATAGAGCTATCCAGTATAAATAAAGTTAGTTTAGTTTAGGTTTCCTCCTGTAGTAACACTGGATCAATAAGAGATGATCCTTACTGAACCTCTAGGAAGAGCAGTTTAGAACTGATAGAGCTATCCAGTATAAATAAAGCTAGTTTAGTTTAGGGTTCCTCCTGTAGTAACGCTGGATCAATAAGAGATGATCTTTACTGAACCTCTAGAAAGAATAGTTTAGAACTGATAGAGTTATCCAGTATAAATAAAGTTAATTTAGTTTAGGTTTTCTCCAGTAGTAACACTGGATCAATAAGAGATGATCCGTCTAGGAAGAACAGTTTAGAAATATTAGAGTGATCTTGTATGTACTATAATTTGATAGAGTAATTAGGGATTGTACTCTCTGTATCTCTGGGAAAAGGTCGGCTCAGTTTAGGTTTATTCAATCTTATTGCAGGCTATGGGTACCCCCTCTCAGATGACAGAGGACCAGTTACTGACGCTGAATGAATTCGCAAAGGGCTTCAGCTCAGATGAGCTCAGCCAAATGTCATTCACATCAAACGACGTGATAGAAAGTTTTGGAAATGTCCGCGGTTATACGTCGGAACAAGTTGCAAAACTTTGGGAAACAATCAAGGGAGGAAAATCGATGGCTTCATTCACTGGAGATGATCTTGTTGCATTGGGAGTGATTGCAAGTGGTATGACGAGCGTTGAAATAAAAGATTTAGATGTTGTTGCTTACCAGTAAGTATATTTAATTCTGCTTTTCGTTTCAACAAGAGATTAGGCTTGTTGGATCTCTAGAAAGAATAAAGTCAGTTTAGTTTAGGTTTCCTCCTGTACTAACACTGGATCAATAAGATATGATCTTTACTGGACCTCTAGGAAGAACAGTTTAGAACTGATAGAGCTATCCAGTATAAATAAAGTTAGTTTAGTTTAGGTTTCCTCCTGTAGTAACACTGGATCAATAAGAGATTATCGTTACTGGAACTTTAGGATACAGCTATCCGCTGTAGCGTGAAGTGTTAATATTTTCTTTCATCTACACAAAGGGATGCAGCCTTGGAACTGGGGCAGTTGGATGAATGGTCAACAGAACAGTTGGTGGCAATCAAGGAGAAGGCAGTAGCCTCATTTGGTGCGACATCGTCGTGGACACCAACTGAAATATCCCAGGTCGGCGCTGTCATAGGTAAGAACAGGAAGGTGAAAGAAAGAGTGTGTCCTGGTTTGTTATAATGTAATCTTGGTTGAAACTCACTATTAATTCCTCTCAATATCCAAGGGAGCTTCACAGCCGATGAAATCAAAAGCATTACGGCTGATCAACTCGACGCAATCACTGCAGCCTCACTGAAACACATTCCACCCGAGATTTTCAAGGAGTTCTCGGTAGAACAACTGACCGCGATGAGTGGGGAGCAAGTAGCCGCGATTAGCGACGAACAGAAGGCGGGACTTACGTCATCCCAGAGGAACGTGATCAATGCAATAGAAAACGCTACACTGGGGTACACTTCCGGTATGAATAAAGAAACCACTAGTTAACTAGGAACTAATATAAACTAATAGCTCAATCAAAAACGAATTAATGTGACATGATTATGTCCCCCCCTCAGAGGTCGTTAAACTCCACCTTGGATGAACTTTGGTTCTGACTGGCGTCTCAGTGTTACTACAGGTGCAAACCTGAACTAAACTAATTTTATTTACGCTGGATAACTCTATCAGTTCTAAACTGTTCTTCCTAGAGGTCCAGTAAGGATCATCTCTTATTGATCCAGTGTTACTACAGGAGGAAACCTAAACTAAACTAACTTTATTTATACTGGATAGCTCCATCAGTTCTAAACTGTTCTTCCTAGAGGTCCTGTAAGGATGATCTCTCTCAATTCAATACCAAATCATGTTTTTTCTCTATTTTCTAGGCTCCTCATCAGTGAAATGGAGCATCATTATTACTGTTACGTTTCTTGTTAGTCAGTTTATTCGACAGTTCGTGTAGTTTCAACTGAAAAAACGTGTCGTTCACTGCCCTGTCATAATCAATGTAGTACGTATTATAATAGCTTTTCTTGACATTTGCTTGAAGCGGTACAAACATACTTATAAAAATATATGTTAAATTATTTATAATGGCATTCACGTCTTTATATTTGTTTTCGTTTGTTATTTTTGTTTCCTTGCACAGGAAAACATCGACAAATTTTAAATATCGTTTAATTTCCATGCGCGATTGAAATATTTCAGTTGTATCATAATACACCAAGATGTTTCTTCATACAACAAATCTAACCTTGTTTTTTAGTATATTCAAGCTATAACAATAGCAAGCGGTTTCTGATTATAGTGGATATTTGAAGCAGCAATAGCTACGTGCACTCAAATTATTTTCGTGAAAAGCAGCTGTCGCTCATCGCTGTGTGTTAACTTCATAACAACCTGGGCGGGAATATTAAATGAATTATGCAGCAATTTAGGTTATGTTGCCGCTCGAACTACAGTGTCGTTCACTTCAGCGATGCTATACACATATCTGGGGCAGGTTGTAGGAAGGCTGCATGGTTCTAAAAATGCTCGAGAAGCGATAGAATTTCATCTTTGGAACCAAGAAATATTAAAGAGGATCCTCCATTTCGGAATATGAAGATTTGTTCAAAGCAAAGTAACAGGCGAGTTTTAAGCGATTGAAAAAAACACTATCCGGTGGATAGCGCTATCTAGCCTTCGTACGACAGGCCCCTGATATATAATTGTTCAGAAATTGTTTAACTGTTGAAAACATTTCATATAATCCCGTATACCTTAATCAAAACTTTTGTGGCATTTCAACTTTTCATTAACTCTCCACAGGCACAACCATCTCAATACATCATCGTAATTATTATTTTTTTTATTTAATATTTACAATCTTTTAATATTTTTTCACAATATACTAGTTTTGTAACAAAAAAAAAACGTTGGGCTAAAAAAACGAATATTTAAAAAAAAAAACATTAAAACCAAGGATTATAAACTAAGGAAATTCGTAGGATGTTATACACGGAAATATATTTATAATTAGGAAATATAAATATATTCCCAAATGCACGGGAGATGTCTTAAATCACACCATGATTTGCATATTCAGAGTGAACTAAAATAATTTAGTCTCACAGAAATTGCAGGGTACATAAAATATATATAGCCTATATATGTTGAATATATCCTTACAATTTATTAAACCGTTTAAAGTAGTTTATTGTGAAACGTAAATTCTGTATTTTGGACCGAAATTCAGCCAACTTTTATTTCGTGATAAAATCATATATGAAATATTGGACCGATTCAAGTTGAGTGCAATGTCCCCGGCACCGGCATGCTTATATAAAAAATTGGCTAGTCTAGACATGCTTGCAGGAAGTTGATCATTTTAAGAGCTCTTTCGTAGGTAAATAATTTAAGTTACTATGTCGTACATATAATATATATATATATATATATATATATATATATATATATATATATATATATATATATATATATATATATCGTACATGGTAGAAGTACGTGAAACACAGTGTAGCGAAATAAAAATTTTAAGATTGTAATTTGTTGATTTATTTGCTCTACTATTGTATTGGTATTGAGCACTCTGATTTACTACGCACAGATCCAAATTTGTGTATATATATATATATATATATATATATATATATATATATATATATATATATATATATATATATATATATATAAATATCTTATGATGATGTTTATCGCCAAGACTTTGGTCGTTAATTTATAATGGCAAAGTGTAATCAGTTGACCTGCTATCGGAAGATATTGCTAGGTTACTGCATGACTGTGAATGCAAAAAAATTTCATTAGCCTTTAATTCACACCTAACTCTGTTTTTTTCACTCGACATGGTAACCTTGTAAACTCACTTTAATGCGCATTTAATTAACTTGCAATTTGCAAACAAGTTAGGACAGTATCCATAACAGAAACCACAGACGCGCTTAAGGAAATTTCCATGGCAAAAAAATACCATCACATTAAGAGGGAGAGGTCAATTTTCGTGGCAAATTCTTTGTCTCTAATTTTTCCAATTCTTTCCCCCATCATAAGACATATTTGACTTGCAATTTTTTGAGCCAATATTGTAATGCGATTTTCTGCATTTGACAGGCGTGAACGAGTGAGTTGTGAAAGTTCAGAAAGAGAACACCAAAAAATCATATAACAAGCTATTCGTTTGTTTGCATCTATCGAAAGAAAAATATCGCAACGAATTGAAGCCGCAACAAACATTGCGAGCATAAACAGACGTGTTATGTCGTATTTACAAAGGTTGTCATAAATAACGATGACATACAGGTCAACCACAACTACCACATAAGCCATACACATACACGTTTTTGTCTTAAGAAACTCATGAAAAAAGAGTCGATGTGTTATGGGAACTCTATATGTATGATTCCAATATTTCTAATCACCGCAGTCCGGATCTGTTCGGGTCATTATTAATGCAGGGGGAACGTGTTAACCATGAAATGAATTTATATTATTGAAAAAAATCAGCTGCCCCCTCACCTCATATCACATAGAAACAATGTTTGTTTTTTAATATATGCAAAAATAAAATATCTGCATTAATAAATATAAATATAAATTCTACACGCCCGGGCTTCCAGTGAGGCAGTGACAGTTCACGGTGAATGTTTCTTGGGCTTCCAAAAGAAGTTCTCAAAATTGTGACGAAGATGAGACCTCGCTATTTAGTCTGCTCGATATTTTTTACAGGTGAGGCATGGAGCAGTTATTCCAATAGTTTTATACATAGATTTTCCTTTCGATAAATAATTTTAAGTAAACTAACCGAGAACCGAAACTTTTCGCTGACAAGTCCCCAAGGGAAGCATCGTGGAACTACATAAGTAACTCCTCGTTTTTGAAAGACAGTAGAAATGAATGCTTAGTTTGGGAAACTTAGGCGAAGAAAGGCCTGGTCTGATATCAAGCTATCTGTATCACCGCGAGTCAGTTATATCTTTATCAGAGTTTGTCCGATTTGTTTATCTTCTTTGTCAAAATTTGTCCGGAAGAGACTATAGTGATCTGTTTCTAGGGCCAATGGAAAACTCGTTGACTGTTGTTACACTAGAGAGTTCAATTCAGTTGATATCACTCGTTTTGATCGACTAAGAGTAGCGTAATGCTCGTCAAAATTCGAAGCAGGCAGAACGCTCAAGAGTTTCGATTAATTCAGACAGCTGAAAATGATAGTTATCTTTTTTTTCTTCTCTTTTGTAGTTCTAATTTCACATGAAGTACTATCCGCCGGTGAGTAGAAATGTAGAATATAACTAACTATTGCTCATCCCATTCGAAGAAATATATATTTAAACAACTGCACTTAGTTTAACTGTTTAAACGATGAAGCCAATTTCGTGCAGGTTTGATTGTGTCATTTTGCGATAAGCCGCGAGCATCTCTTGACAACAAGTGCATGTCTCTGTAGTGAAGAACAAGCATTATCATCCATCTGCACGCGCTTCTATAGTGTGCAATATATACTAAGCAAGCGATTTCCTGCAGATTTTCGGTATCTGTTAAAAAAGCGAAAACGAAATAAGCAAATGCTAGCACTTGTACTCTATCGCGGCAGGTTATCTGAGCGGTTTGAACCTTGTTATACAGGATAAATTAAAAGGCTGTACACTCGCTTTTATTCGCCAGTGACTGTGCCAAAATATAATCTAAACAAATATACGTCAATTATATGTACTGTCAAAATGACTGAAGCGTTAACAACTTTAACTCTTCGTCACGAGGATGTTTGTATAACGAGCAAATCTAGTCCGATGTTAGCGCAGTATATATATATAATGCATGCATTTCTGGGCATAGATCTCTTAGTTGCTTAGATATTTAGCATTTTTCGATATGACTTCAAATGAAAACAACGAAATTTTAACAGCTAATTTCTGGTTCAGCCACCAACTTTCCTCTATACCACAAAAGAGGACTTTTATGTAAAGAGCTAACGAACGGTGTGTTCAAAAACGACTTTGAAATGTTTGAAAATTCCGCATCATCCAGCATCGCCATCTGTAATTACCGACTTTGTTCAACGAGCTCCTGCCGTTCTGCAAATGTCGGCCAATACATGTTCAACGATTTTTACCTTAAGATACGCGAGTTTTCACCTACAACGCCGGAGGGCACACAACATCGATTAAGGCTCGTTCATTGTCTGAATCCTGAACAATTTGCGATAGCGGCAAAAATCAAACATACCTAATTTCACACGAGTTTTGTTATTATAAAAATACAATGGAGAAATGTTTTCATATGACAGAAGGCAAAAAAAGTCGCAATATTCAGCACTGCGTGTCGGGATTAAGGACTCGGACCAACTGCTATTCGTATTATTAACTAACATTTTCAATGAAATACAGTTTATGGCTGGCTGACGAACGTGCAGATGCAAATCCTTCATTCTTTGAGTGTCTCAACTATGCGCGCTTGCCATTAAGCGGCCAAAATGGTCAGACCGAACCTATTTTGAATTGAATTAAAGTATTTCTTTAAAAATATAGCGGTGAAACTGCTATATTTTCCGTGCTATAGGCGGACTGATGTAAAAATAAATATCGATAAACTCAAATGCAGATTACTTTTAAGAAACTCTAAAATACCAGTAATTTGTCCGTATACTGAAACCGCACAACAGGACCGTTCTGCCCGCCTTCACCGCATAAAGGAAAGTGCCCAAAGTTTCCCATTGAGGTTTGAATGCATGCATGCACATCACACATGCAGCGTTTCATCCCACTAACATCAGTCACATGCAGTAGAACAACAATAAAGCAATATACAGGGGGTTTCTATTTTAAGCCGGTAATCTTGGGAAATTGTATGGGAGATTATATCTACAACGTCAACGGAACGATGTTCACTGAAGTTGAACGATCTCGTTCATTCGCGGCACTGACAGAATCGCCTAAACTAGCGACATGCAGTTTGCTGACTTCGAAATTAAAAACGACAGCATGCAATATTGTGGGAAAAAATAAACAACTAAAGAGTAAAGTCTAAACCACATACGACTGAAGACTCACTAAACAATCGTCCAAGCCTGCCTGTTAACTCTCACTCAAACATTCCGACTTGAATAAATAAGAAAAAACAAAGCATGAAATATTTTCTTTTCAAATTTTATTCGTCTTGTCTAATTGGCTTGTTCTTGAAGTCTTGTGCTAATATTTTTGTGTAATAAATGCCGGTCATGCATGCACGCTTGACGCTTGTGTCACGCGATTCATGTGTTTTATTATTTTTGCCCTCCTATATATCAGTCCTATGCTTTGTAGCGAGTGAAAACCAGGCTATAGTCCACTGTAAGCCATACAACTTTGATACGGTTTGATTTGGTAAAATCCGGTATATATTGTGATGAATATTATACGGTAAAAACGGCCAGACCAGTCTTGTGAATTTTAGTATACATGCACAGACTGGCATTTTAGAGTGTTTCAAGCACCCAGCACTCACGTATATCGTTATTTAACGTATGCAGTTTACATTATTATTTACAAATGCAGTTTCACTGCTTTATTTTTAACGAACTACTCTATTTCAATACAAAATATATATGCTCCATTAAAGGAAGCGGCTTATAAGTTCCTTATTTCTTGCGCAAATCGATAAATATATATAGAACATATTAACTGCCATATAGAACATGTTATTCAAAGTGAAAGTCAAACACATTTGACACAACCTTCACTTTTGTTTGACTAAGCAAGCTAAGGAAAATAGATCATGCAGAGCCTCAGCCCTCAGGCTCAGAGGCTGAATTTATGCGAGGCTGAATATACTAGCTACACTACATTCAAGTTTGCGACAAAAAATCGCATGTACAGTAAACTCCTAAAACTAGGTGAAAAGCTACATACACGAATGCATGACCCATGATATCTGTTATTGTGTATATCTACTCGTTGCTATAGCGCTCAGCGTACAAAAAGCTGTGTATATATTATTATATAGTTGCTAAGACAGGTTTAAGAATTAAGATAAATTTATTCAAGTTGAACGACTTTCGTCTCGTTAATTCTTAATTAACAGAGTCTATAGTATCAACGATTACAGTGTTTGTGTCAGTCAAAGAAGAAATTCCCCTCAAAACTGCCCAAAAAAGGATTCATCGTGTTGCAACTTAGTTATGACACGCTTAAGAGTTACAAAAAGCTGATAACCAACGTACAACACATCACAAAAATCAAAAATCAAGATATTTGTCGAATCATGCATGCATCCACAATTACAGTGACACTGCACGTTAAGCAAATATCTTGAGCACCTTAAAGTAAAAAAAAATTATCACTACAAACCTTTCGAAAGCTGATATACCAGTTCATCCATCACTAAACGCTAAGACGGCTGAGAATCAACAGCATTAAGCCGCCATGTCTTGAATCTTTGTTAAAACAGTCGAGAATCTTTACGGAGTAATTGTCGGGTCTGAAAGGCAGAATGCAAATGTTAACTTTCGACAGATCCTAAATGCGAAAACAAAAGTGCATTCCTTTGTTTCGCATAGCTCTCAATTGTGTGGGGCCACATTGAAGCAAGGGAGAACGATTTTTTACCGCGAAAAACCAGAAGTGTTTATCGTTTCTTCTCTAAAAACCTCTCCATGTTTGTCATGAAAGTGTATGTGTGTTTCCAGCAATGTCCGTTATCATATCGACTGCTTTCCAGTTTCCACTTATTTATTTAAAGTTTTATTATTTAACACATGTAACACATGGGTGAACAAATGCATACTAAAAGGAAAGTTGCGGTAAACTAATTTCTTTCAATTTATTCACCTATACCTTTTTCAAATATGACATGACATGCATGGGGATTTAGACTTTCACGTGCGTGTACGTGCGTATGAAAAACGCGTAAGTGGAAAGCAGCCTTAAATTTACTTTGGAAAACGGCGCTGCATCAAAAGGAAGGGTCTGGGAAATTCATATAATAAATATTCATAAAATACCCTATTCAAATATAGAATGCCTTTTCTTCCTCTATATTCATCAAATGCCAATATTTATGGAATGTTTCTATCCTGGGGGGGGAGACTTTCCAATCAAATTGTAAACAACTCATTTTGCATCTCAGCAAAAAAACGGAAGCCGGGTGGTCTCACCGATAAAAAGAAGTTGGATCTAAAGGATGGCAAATTTGACAAACTCTCAGACCAAGACTGGAAGAAAACAAGACCGGATGACATTGATAAAATACCCGTGAGTTTTTTATCCCATTTCCCATTCAGAAATCTTCTCTAGTCTCCATTCCATAAAATGCGACTGTCCTTGAACTTTTTCATATGACATGTCCATATATCATCTTAACCTTGCTCCCGTTATCTTCTCTGCAATGTCTACAACCTCGAATCTTCTTCTGATCTCTTCATTTCATAATATCTCTGACCAACTCTCCTTCATCTCTTCTTATTACGTGTCCATATCATCTCAACCTTGCTTCCTTCATTTTCTCTGCATGTCTACCACCTCACATCTTCTTCTGATCTCTTTATTCCATAATATTTCTGACCAGCTCTCCTTTATCTCTTCTTATTGCCTCTACACCTTTGCTCTCCTCGTTTCTTCTCCAATGTCTACCTTCTTTATACATTTAACCACCTCAATCTTCTTGTTTCTCCATTTCATAAAGTATTTCATCAGCTTCATCTTTTCATGAATGTCTACCACTTCGCATCCTGTGATTTCATCATGATATTCCTGGGTAGTTGCCTTAATGTCAAGATTGCTTCCCTCGTTTTCTTTGGAAAGCTAACCACAAGTATTTTTTTTCTATTCGCACAGTTGTATCCTTCCTCTTTCATTGTATTATGAATGATTAGAAAATGTCACGATTGCTTTTTAGAAAGACAAACTGAAAGGTGCTGGACGCGAGGCAGTGAAAAACCTGAGTAAAATAGCTGTCAAAGGAGGGAAGGAAGTTGTGGAAAAACTGGCCGAAAAATTGAATTGTTCCCAGCTTGCTGATTTCCTTAATGCGGTAAGAATGTTGAAGGGAAACATATTGGTCCAGTGTTATAGTTACTCCTGTAGCAGATCATCTAGACCTCTAGGAAGAACAGTTTAGAACTGATAGAGCTATCCAGTATAAATAAAGTTAGTTTAGTTTAGGTTTCCTCCTGTAGTAACACTGGATCAATAAGAGATGATCCTTACTGGACCTCTAGGAAGAACAGTTTAGAACTGATAGAGCTATCCAGTATAAATAAAGTTAGTTTAGTTTAGGTTTCCTCCTGTAGTAACACTGGATCAATAAGAGATGATCCTTGCTGAACCTCTAGGAAGAACAGTTTAGAACTGATAGAGCTATCTAGTGTAAATAAAGTTAGTTTAGTTTAGGTTTCCGCCTGTAGTAACACTCGATCAATAAGAGATGATCCTTACTGGACCTCTAGGAAGAACAGCTTTGAACTGATAGAGCTATCCAGTATAAATAAACTTAGTTTAGTTTAGATTTCCTCCTGTAGTAACACTGAATAGAACAGATTAATTTCATTTTATTAGTAACACTAGATTAGTAGGGAGGATGTCCATCACACAGAATCTCTACGAGGACTAAAAGGACTAAAGTTTAACCACTCAAATTCTGCTACATCGGTTTCAACTTGGATTTTTTAGACATCAAAATCGGATTGTGCAGTGTTGAAAGGTCTGTCTGGCGCGATTAAGAAATGCCGAGGAAAACACACAAAGGAAAATATGTTCGACCTCGGGGTCCTGGTGCGATGTGGTTTAGTGAAAAATATCAGCAAAGAGGAGTTTAGAAAGGCGTAAGTAGTGAAGAGAACAGAAGAACGAAGAAGAAACTTGAAACTGAGGTTACTTGTTTGATATTTTAGGGGTAAAGAGGGAAAATTTAGGGATGCTTCTAAAAAAGATAGGGAGGAATTTGCTAGAGAATCTGAAAAAAAACTTGGCAATGCAACAAAATGGGGGAAGAAAGATCTGGATGTCGTGAAAGATGTTCTTGAGGAAATACCGTCAAAAGTCCTTAAAAAAGTTCCGAAAGATGTGGTAGGTTGTTGGACGTTGTGGCATTTCTTCTCTACAAAAGATGAAAAAAAATCTTGCTTAACATCACGTATTTGTATATTCTTTACATGCAAGCTGAAAGAGACTTTGAAAGATGGCGGTGGAAAGGGTGGTCTGAAACTGAAGAAACAGAAGAAAAGTGACCTGTTCCGTCATCTTTTCAAAGGACAAAAGAATTTAACACGGGAAAACATCACTTGGTAAACAATCTTATGTGTTCACTTATAAGTATTCTAGTTTTAAGCCATTTTCTTAGACGTCAAGAAACTGAAAGATTATCCGGAATTTATCCCCAATCTGTCTAGATTGTCTATAGCTTAGTATATGTTTCCCGAGATATGAACATAGATGGTAGTAAATATAATTAGCCTTTCTCACGATGACGAATTTTCCGCCATTTTTGGGGTACTTTTTCTCCAAACTGTAAGCGTGAGACCTCATAACGGCCACAGTCTTTAATTTTAGGCTGGAGTTATTCTTCCAACGGTCTGTTCATTCTAAAAAAAATGCTTTTCATGTTGTTATAACTTTTAAAACCCGTTTGAAAAAATTGAAAGTACCCCAAAACGTCATCGTGAGAAAGGCTAATTGTGAAGCGGGCTACTGTGGTCAGAGATAATTAAGGAGATGCCATGCAGTTCTATCCATTACGTCGCTTAGTTAACCATTTTTATTCATTCTGCAACATGTTTCTGCTTTCTTTAGGATCTGCGAAGCTGGATTTGAGTCCCAATTACGCCTGAAAGACTTAAAGGATCTTCCAAAAGATTTCCTTAAGGGAAAATCAAAATGTTTTGGATCTGATAAAGCTCATCCGTCCGTTGTGAGTAAAATACGAATCTGAATTAAAACGCAGTCATACATTATAATGAGCTTGGTGCCAATGGTAAAATCCTTGGAAAACTTGGAATTATTATTTTTTGTCAATTTCTCAACCGCTCAATTGCCTGACCTCTTCATGTTGACAAATCTTGATTTTCATTTGAACCAATAACCAGAAGATCATGCTATAGAATCACACTTGGAAAATCTGAAAATACTTAGAAAACCCTTTCGTTCCTCATAGAAAATGTTTTGCAACGACATTTTCAATGTTGTGGCCCTACAAAGGATGCTTTGCTCTGTCCTCAACTACCAAATCTGTTTTGATAAAATTGATTACGCGTCCATCTATCCACGCACATTACACCTTTAATACTATTTTCTTTTAGAGGAAATCGTTCACAAAGAAACTATGTTCTGGACAAACCCACTTCACCAACGAAACGGCTAAAGTGTGTGTGTACGCCTTGGGAGATATGAAACCAAGTGATATGAAAAACGAGACAATTGCGAGACTCCTGTTGAAAAAATACCTTGAACTGCCAAAAAATAAGAGACCCAAAGTTGAGGGAGAAATTTGTCGAAGGCTTGCTGCGGCGTTCATAAGGAAGTACGGGCGAAACGATACAGTTAAGGCTGGCGCCTTGGTAAAGTGTATGTCTCTGAAATCTGTGAAAGATATTGTCAAAAGTAAGCCAGTTTTGAGAGAAATGGCCAAATCGAAGGACAAAGGATTAAAACGAGATATTGTGAAAGAAATGGTGAGTAATCAATGAAAAATAACACATGTGATATCCAACTGTAATTGAACTTTCTCGTAATGTCGTGAAACGCGGGATGCAAATGTTAAACGAAGTTTTTGATTGGTTCCTCAAAATAATACTAACGAGCCAATCAAACGTTGCGTAGTATCAGGCTTTTCGCGTTTGACGTCATTATGAGAAAGGCCAGCTATCGTCGTGCTTTCGTCCGAGGTACCTGTGGTTTACAAATTGAAATTATTTGCAGCTCAAGAATAAGGTCGAATTCGGCAAGTCACTTCTTCAGTTCATTGGCGAGATGAAAATTTCGGAAGTTCGGGGATTACCGAACACAACGTTTGACTTGGGTGATGATGATGAAAATGAAGATGTTAATTTGGAAGAGGATGAGTCTAAAGGCGATTGCAAAAAAGATGATGATGATGCTGATGATGATGATGATGATAATAATGATGATGATAATGATGATGATGATGACAGTAAAGATGAGATCTGTGAAAAAGAGAAAAAATTCATTATCATGCGAGGAATTGGCAAGATCTCAGAACTCACGTTGCGAAAAATCATGTAAGTACAAACTTTCTGATGGATGGAAGAAAGGATTTGTCAATTTCTAAGTTTAAGCGGTCAAAATGGTCAAACGGTCATAATATTTTGAATCAAATTAAAGTATGAAACATGTTGAGAACGATATACATATATTTCATATATAAACCTGAGTTTTTGCACTATTACTAAATAGAGTATTTCGTTTAAAATAAGGCGGAGAGACCGAATTGTCCGTGCTAGTGCCAGGAACATGTAAAAATCGATATACTTAAATGCAGAGTTCTCAAAACACTCTAAAATACCAGGCCCGGCGGTTCTTGCCGTAGAAAGAAAAGCGTTTCAAGATTGCTTTGCAGTTTTGGTCATTACAGCTAACTTGCAGAGGTTGACAGTCTTGTCAAAAATATCCGGTAAGACTATCCACCCACAAAAATCCTAATTAGAATGATTTTCCGTTTAGCAAAATCGTAAAGTTGTTAATTCACGGCGGTTTTACTGAGAAGGACATTGAAGATTTGAACCCTGAGGAGTTCTCAACAATAGTTGCAATTCTAACGAAAAGAGAGAACGCGTTCTCGTGCAGACAAGTAAGAAATATATTACATGTATTGCTACACAATGCAATTTCCTTGATACTTTCATTGCAAACGACTCTACTCTTGAGGCATCTAAAGTTGTCGAATACGAACATTTCTTACGATCTGGTACCGTTTTCTTAGCATTATGAACACTCTTTAAAAATTAACATCCCTCAAAATCATAATTGCATTGCAAGTTGCAAGCCGGAAAATTGCATAGTGTTGTTACAACGCCTAAAACTACAGTGAAATGTGTTGTATATATGAATAGTTTCATCATTGCGTTATACTCTAGGCTAAAAAAGCCGTAAAAAGATATAGAATGTTGTACAGAAATATTTCCGATGCTCTTGATGATATGGAAGGTATGATTGCATTCCTGAACGAAACAGAACTAGATTCCATGCTTCCTCACCGCTGCGATGACGTCATCAGAAAGTTGAGGGGGAGCGGATTTCTGTGGAAATGTCTGCAGGCAAAAACCAGAACGAACCGTACCAAATTCATCATTAAAAAATGCGTAAGTATGGCAAAGTGTTTAAACTGACCTCTCAAATTCAAAACAGCGACCTACCAACCTATGTGATACGCGTCTAGGGCTTCAAAACTCAGTCCTCGGACTTTCAAAACTCAATTTGTATTATTTCAACCGAAGCTGAATCGCCTGTGACATAATCTTTGCGTGTTTCTCATTTCCTAGCACGTTTTTGTAAGTTAACACTTACTTTTATATCCACAAATCAAGATTAACAACCATACTTTTTCTCAAGTCTCTGTTTCATTCCATTTTTCTAACCGGCATATTTTCCTTAGAACGCAGACCTAACGAAAATATCGGGCGATGAGCTGGTCAACAATGGACATCTCTTGACCTGGCTGGATCAAAGTGAATTCGATAAAATCCCAGGCAAACTATTCTTGGACAATTTAGATGAACTCAGAGATAAGTTAGAAGAACAGAAGGATAAAAAAGGTTTTGAAGACAGTATCAAAATCATTACGGACAAAATCGTTGGCGAACTAGGGTAAGCACAAAAATTTCTTGTAAAGCGCTTCCACTATTTCAACTGAGTTTCTTTTATAGCGATTAAAAAGTAAGAAGATTTTAGATTTTGTGCACAGTTTTCTCGCTTAGATACAGACTAATTCTTTCTTTTCATTGAATAAAGTGGGGCAGCAAATTTGGACAGCGACGACATTGCAAACCTTGGTGTTGGGCGAAGAGGACTCAAAAAGGACGATGTAAAAGTTTTAAAAAAAGAACCTTTGGATGAGTTACAGTTGAACGTTGATGAATTAGATAGTGAAATCGCAAAGCAAGTCTTCAAATCGAGGGAATCTGTGAGAAGTCGCAGACGACGGCGACGACGGAATACAGGTTAGTGTGCTGCGATTTCTCATCATCCATATACTGTTTCCTTCTGCGATTTCGCAGGGAAAATGGAATCCGATGGCTGAACATACTCTGTCAACCCATGTAAAAATAGAAATCCTAAATTTTGACGCGGAACTAACCCTGGCTTCACTCCTGCTCAGAAATATCTTCTATCATCGCTAAATAAATTGTTAAAGCGAGAAAGTCTATTTCGCTTCAGCTTGTCATGCGCAGAAACTAGTTCCTTGGCCTAGTTATTTGTGTGCGAAACCTTATATACAAACATTAATCTTTTAGACTATTCGACAAAAGATGCTGACTATTTCCTGAATTTGGGGCAATCTATTCTTGGGTTACCTGCAGGTGAGATTTCCCAGATTACTGACTCAGTCTTCAAAGATATTGTCGGGCAAGTCAGCCAGGTCACAGGATGGGAGAAAGAACAGCTCACTGAATGGGCTAAAAAGGCAGTTACTGTAAGTAGTTACTGTAAGTTTGTACATCGCTGACATGTAATGCTGAATTGCTCTAGAAAATATGAATTCTCTTCCATATATACAAAATACGATGTCCCTAATGGACCCAGCATTATTTTTCATACTGAACAGCTCTATCAGTTCCAAACAGCTCCTCCAAAGTGAAAGAGGTCCAGTAAGGATCATCTCTTATTCGTCCAGTGTTACTACAGGAGGAAACCTATACTAAACTAGCTTTATTTATACTTGATATAGCTCTATCAGTTCTAAACTGTTCTTCCTAGAGGTCCAGTAAGGATCATCTCTTATTGATCAAGTGTTACTACAGGAGGAAACCTAAACTAAACTAACTTTATTTATGCTGAATAGCTCTATCAGTTCTAAACTGTTCTTCCTAGAGGTCCAGTAAGGATCATCTCTTATTGATCCAGTGTTACTACAGGAGGAAACCTTAACTAAACTAACTTTATTTATACTGGATAGCTCTATCAGTTCTAAACTGTTCTTCCTAGAGGTTCAGTAAGGATCATCTCTTATTGATCCAGTGTTACTACAGGAGGAAACCTAAACTAAACTATCTTTATTTATACTGGATAGCTCTATCAGTTCTAAACTGTTCTTCCTAGAGGTCCATGCAGTAAGGATCATCTCTTATTGATCCAGTGTTACTGCAGGAGGAAATCTAAACTAAACTAACTTTATTAATACTGGATAGCTCTATCAGTTTTAAACTGTTCTTTTAAGAGATCTTCCCTTTATTGATCTAGCAGTAAGGATCATCCCTTTATTGATCTAGCACTTTGTATTAGAATGTTCTTTTTTATTGGTTCAATAATGTTCTTTTTTATTGGTTCAATAATCCAAGAACGACAATCATATTATGCAAAGCATTAAAAGCAAGTCTCAACATTTTTAAGGTTTGGGGTGCCGCGAATACTTTTGGAACGGACCAATTGTTACTCCTTAACAACTTTGCGAAAGGATTTAGCGCCTCGGAACTGAAGAGTATGAACTTTAGTTCTGATGACGTGATCAGCAGTTTTGGTCAGGTGACAGGCTACACTGATGAACAAGCCGAAGAAATATTTGCCAAGATAAAGATGAGTAAGGCTGTGTCAGCCATGACTGGGGCAGATCTCCTTCGACTGGGAACCATCGCACATGGAATGACACCAGATGACATCAAAGCAATCACTCAAGAGGCATTTGAGTATGTTTATGTCCCGACAGTTTATCGGCTTATCAAAATTGACGAAAACTAACGAAAACTAACATAGTTGAGCGAGTTCGAAGGCCTTGACTTGTGTCGCTGATAAAAACATTGCATGCGTAAATATGTTGGCTAATCATCTTTCACGTTTCACAACAGGGTTGCTGTTTCTCAGTTGGGTAAAATGACGGGATGGACAAATGAACAATTGGTGGAACTTAAAAACGAAGCGAAGGTGGCGTATGGTGAGACAAACACATGGGATGGTGGTGTATTGTCTACAGTCAATGTGATCATTGGTACGTGGACTGCGGCAATATTTAGCGGATGTTTAGGAGAAAAGCTATTCCAACAGCATTTATTCCTAGTAGTTTAGATTCATGCAGGAACACGACAGCAAGATGATAGAAAGAACAGTTTAGAACTGATAGAACTATCCAGTATAAATAAAGTTAGTTTAGTTTAGGTTTCCTCCTGTAGTAACACTGGATCAACCAGAGATGATCCTTACTGGACCTCTAGGAAGAACAGTTTAGAACTGATAGAGCTATCCAGTATAAATAAAGTTAGTTCAGTTTAGGTTTCCTCCTGTAGTAACACTGGATCAATAAGAGATAATCTTTATAATCATGTGATAGAGCTATCTAGTGTAATGTGAAAGTGTAATGTGAAATTACAATGTGAAATTCGGTTTAGGTGGTTTCACCGACGACGAGGTAAAAAATCTGGAGTCTGATGACCTTCAGTACATCTCAAAAGAAGCAATCGCCGCTTTACCCCCAAGCAAATTCAAGCTTCTTTCCGCTGACCTTATTCGAGAACTGGATGGGGAACAAGCTCAAAGCGTGACTGACGCTCAGATATCGGAGTTATCCGAGGAACAGAAGAACGCTTTGGACAGCGCGAAATCTGGTGCTGGTGGCAATAATACCATTGGTGGCACAACAGCCAAGCCAGGCACATCGAAACCATCCATCCCGGACACAGGTAATGGTGGTAGTAATGGTGTAACGCCAACTAACCAAATATCAACTAAAGATAAAACTAATCAGAAATCTGGTAATGGCAATGCCGGTAATGGTAAGTGGATAAAATAAGATTCGCCATAATAAAATGAATGGCCGCTAATCGATCTTAAAGCGATTAAATTGGCATATTCTTAGCTAGAATTTTGGAATCGTTGTCAACTTCGCTATTGAACTGAATCGTTTTTAATATCGAAAAGTTGTCATGGGTTTTATTGTGGTGAATTGTAAAATAAAATTAAATAACGATAATACTATGATAACAAATAGGGGAAGGATATAAAACACAATGAACAAGGGGAAGGATTTAAAACGCAGTAAATAAAACGAAAGGGAATGTGGATAAAACAATGAAATAAAAAGGAAAGAAAATAAAGCAAATAAAGCAAATAAAATGAATTAAACTTGAGATACTCTAACAGTATGTCTTGGGTAAAAAACATTCACCGCCAAAAATTGTGATGAAATATAAAAAAAAGCTCCAAAAACAACATCTTGTAAACTCAAGAGATGAGCCAGTGTGCACACAAGCGTCGCTTTCGAGCGTTTTCAAAATCGTGTTTTGATGCCCTGTCAACACGAGGTATAAGGAACAATACGCGCAATATGTAAAATTAGCTTCAACTTCTATTGTACATTTGACGGTGTCTGAAACCGTTTTGGCATAAAAACGCTGGAAATGTTACCTAGTCTGACTTAGACAAAACAAGACAAATTGAAGTGTTGTCGTGTTTTTAAGTAACCAATACCTTGAGTTTTCAAGATGATGTCAAGATGATAATGAATTCCTTTACATGCATAATCAATATTAGCTACCTTGAAAGACATCAAGATTCTGATCAATCTCTTCTCCTCACGACAGGTTCTGGTTCAACAGAAATCGTTTTTGGCTTCATCTCTCTTCTCCTGCCATTCCTGGCCTCTCAAATCTTCACCTAAGAAGACACAAAGATTTTTAGCTTTTAGTTCTAAATCATATAATTTTTTTTCGAGAACTTCATATATCATATTGTGTTTATGACTTTTGTTAAATCGTATTGCAGTGCACTCTAAATAGGTCAGCGTAAGATAGTACATCGTATATACAAGGATTTCAAGTGGGATTTTAGAACGAACATTCATAATACATCACAAGTAATCCTAATGCTAGGGCAGGGGTTTTTCGGTAAAAATGAGTGTATTGATTATTCTAAGCACAAAATCTATTATAGCAGTATTATAATTGCATGTAGTGGTAGGTGAATTAAGACGTCGGAATATCGATTCGTATCCAGTAAGATATTCCCGGGCACAAACCAAAGTTGTTTGTCGAGGACTATACAGCGTGACATTGTCGCTTTTTAGTCTGTTCCGGCATTACATGAGCAAGCTGGGTTACAAACTGGTGTCTATATTTTAGTGCGAGTTCATTTCTACGTGTGTATTTGTATTTGATAACTGATAAACTTGCATATAATTATATTTATTATGCATTACTAATGCAATCTCGATTGTGATTGGCTAAAAACCTACAGATAATTCTCAATATCTTGCCACCTACACGACATTGAAAATTATCCGCAGGTGACGTATTTTTTTGCCGCTAGTTTGTTGTCAATAATGGCGCAGGCTTCCTCTCTAAAAAGGAAATACATAATAAAACATATTGAATTCGGTTTTCGCATGATATCGAGAATTATCAAGCCTCAGTTTGCGTTATCCGCCTCAGCGAATACTGACCCACACTTCGGCTTGATAATTCTCGATATCACACTCCATCGCATCCAATAATTGTTAAATATCTAACAAAAAAATCTTAACACAACAGATAATCATCTCCCACGAATATTTCGCGCCCACATGCAAACACAGGGTTTGCATAAAACGAAAAATTCCTCAGTTGGCGCAATTACGTAACTTCTTTAGTTCCAGAATTGTCGAATCGTTGTCTCTCCCTGACGTATGCTTTTTCTCACGGTACAGCAATAAGTACACTTTCGGTAAGTTTTCAGCCAATAGCCTTGCTCTTGCCAGCAAATCAACTAAATCGCATTTGTCAGAAGGAGGACATCCGAAGCGAGATATCGCAGCAAGCGCGTCATTCGTCCTTAGTTGAATCTTTGCTCACTTCATCAGTGCACTTGTCAAGATGGCTAATGATTACTTAATACTGTCGATCTTTTTTTCAGGTAGGCACAGGACTTCTATGTATAGAACTCGTTTGATTTTGATCGAGGAAGTAAACGTAGACACAATTAAACAACTCCTAAACCAGTTGTTAAATGATTTATAAGACCCAGCTAGGATTAAATTTTAACTCGCCATCTTTCTCATCTGAAAAGCTCGCCGTCTTTAAGATATTAATTTTACGCTTGCATCCTTCGAGAAAAGGTCACAAAAAGAAAGGATATTCAAATTTCTAAACAGAGAATTAGAATGGTAAATATAGTTGCTGGCTCAGAGGTTTTTCCAGCCGTTCAAGGGGGAGAATCCCACTAGGTTGGCAACAAACATTCTGCAAGAATCCACATTTCAATGCGGGCATTTAATTCACACTAACCTATACAGGTCAATCTATATTTTCTAGCTCTTGCCGTGCAAGTCCTGGGTCAAACGTATCCACCTACAACCGAAGAAGGTAAGGAAAGTTGACATGATTTAGCTTTACATGTGAGTGAACAAATGCCTCGATAAATGCCTGAAATACAAGCATACGATTGTACTCCTCCATGCGTTTATTAATCCCGATTTGTGTGCCGCGTGTACTAGCTGCTTGTAAAGCCTGTTAAGATCTTGATATGCACATGAAATGAGCCTAGTGAGGGCGGTCAGAACGGGAATTTACAATATTTGATGCTTCACTGTGAAATTTAGCATAATCACAACTTAATTGGAATTTCTCATTTACGACGCATATATACAACGACTGTCGTCTATCATTCGGTGCCGGATCATGCACAGACATTTCCATGCAACATTCAAACAAAATCCAGCGGGTATTAGATATATCAAACGGTAATACACATTATTTAAATCATTATGTCGAATAATATTATGCGGATTTATGGGCGCAAAGTCGCTGCACTAGACAAAAGAGAGATATTTGTTAACAGTGCCATAATCCGTTTTTTTATGGTGTATAGCGCTACCGTAAACATTGAATATCTGACACTGCATGAGACGAGTTACCGTGAATTTAACAGTTTCCGAATCAGGTTATTTTGTTAGTTGAAATATTATCAACAAGTTACGAGCAAAAACTGAATGGAATGCAAATAAGTTACTTGCATTTAATAACATCCCTTTTGCGTCAGCAAATTGTTTTAAAACGTTTTCATGCTGTGAGCGGACTATATGTAGCATTGTGAGATGTATTCAGTTATTTCAAATATGAATGTTGACAAAACATACATGCAAATATAAGGAATAACATACGTTAAAGTGACCGTGCAATAAAAATAACTCTTAAAAAGTACAAGAAGTAATGTATATAACCTATATATATCGTTTTGACATGACTGAATGGTATTTGTTCTACAAGGACCGGTTGTTTTTCAAAAGCCGTTAGCTTAACCCTGGATTAAAGCAAATCTTTACATGAATTTTTATAAGTTGAATATCTTTTTTTTACAGCGGTTCAGAAACACATAAATTAAAATTGGAAATTAATGTAATCCAGTGTTAGCGCTAACCAGCCTAGCTTTAAACCTTAGAGATCAATGAAGTATGTTTTGTTCGCTGCATGCTTAAACACCAGCACCAACACCAGCGCATGTTCACCTTTTTTACGCAACACACGGTGAGAATAAGCTTAATGAAGTAATCATATTAGAAAAAATGGCTCACAACCACAAAAGCATCACACGAAAAATCGCACAAACGATTATTTTCTGAGCTAGAACACATTATTTTGAAAGCCCCAAGATGTGCTCTATTTATCAAATCATATAAGACAAGACATAGAACACACGAACATTCGTTTCAAAGCGCTTCCAACAAAACCCTAGACGAGAAATCGCTTGCCTCGAATGCAAAAAAGTCAACTGGCCATATCGAAGTAGATTTATTGTTAATCTCCTTGTCTTTTCTGTTGTTGTCTTTAAAATCAGAAACGTTCATTTTCACTGGTTTCGGAAGAACATCTGTCCGAACAGCTGATAGAACCCCAACCTACAGACCAAGTATTCGAACAGCAACCGGACCAATCTCCAGGACATCTTACTACAGAACCCCAACCAGATTGCCATACAGGACATCTTACTATAGAACCCCAACCAGATTGCCATACAGGACATCTTACTATAGAGCCCCAACCAGATTGCCATACAGGACATCTTACTATAGAACCCCAACCAGATTGCCATACAGGACATCTTACTATAGAACCCCAACCAGATTGCCATCCAGGACATCTTACTATAGAACCCCAACCAGATTGCCATACAGGACATCTTACTACAGAACCCCAACCAGATTGCCATACAGGACATCTTACTATAGAACCCCAACCTACAGACAAAGTATTAGGACAGCAACCGGACCAATCTCCAGGACATCTTACTATAGAACACCAACCAGATTGTCATACAGGACATCTTACTACAGAACCCCAACCTTTAGACCAAGTATTAGAACAGGAACCGGACATATCTCCAGAACATCTTACTACAGAACACCAACGTCATTCAGACCAACATTTAAGCCGTTCAGACCTAGCGGCCTCTCGGAAACGGCTTGGAAGAACTTCAAAGATGGACGACTCGATAAACTTTCGGAGGAAGAAAGGAAAAAATTGAAACCAAGATACGTCGTTTATATTAGCGTGAGTTCAAAGAAATTAAATCACTTCATTCCATAATATCTCTGACCAGCTCTCCTTCATCTCTTCTTACTGCCAGTCCATATTATTTCAGCCATGCTTCCTCACCTTCTCTGCAATGTCTCCCACGCCTAAGATTTTCTTTTGACCTCTTCATTTCATAATATCTCTAAATCTGACAAGCTCTCCTTCATTTCTTATTACGGCATGTCATATTGTCTTCACTTTGCTTTCCCTTTCTTCTCTGCAAAGGTTACCAACTTACGTCTTCTTTGATCATTCCATTATATCTCTCCTCGTTTCCTTCGTCAACTTTTTTCATTCCGTGTTTTTACCATCGGCTAATCGAAGGCTATCGAAGCCTTACTTTGTGACCTTTAAAATATGGCTACAACTGGCTACAACGCCCTTTCTGCCTTCTTCATAAAATAACTGAACAGGTTCATTGCATCGTCATCTCAAATAATTTTTTCCTCAATTCGTGTATATATAGAAAGGGGCACTGGAGTACGCAGGTGAAGAACTGGTGAGGAATCTGACAAAATTGGTTGGAAGAGGAGGCAAAGATGATGTTGAAAAATTGGCAAATAAATTGAATTGTTCACAACTTGCTTATGTCCTCGATGAGGTGGGAATACTTCGTTCTTATAAAGCTAAGAACATACAAGAGTTAGTTCGATGAGAGATGAACCTTACTGGACCTCTAGGAAGAACAGTTTGAAGCTGATAGAACTATCCAGTATAAATAAAGTTAGTTTGGTTTGGATTTCCTCCTGCATGTGGTAATTCTGAATCAATAAGAGATTATCATTACTGGACCTCTAAGAAGAACAGTTTAGAACTGATAGAGCTATCCAGTAGGAAGAACAGTTTAGAACTGATAGAGCTATCAGTATAAATAAAGTTAGTTTAGTTCAGGTTTCCTCCTGTAGTAACACTTGATCAATAAGAGATGATCCTTACTGGACCTCTAGGAAGAACAGTTTAAAACTGATAGAGCTATCCAGTATAAAGTTAGCAATATACCTAACAATTCTGTCACATCGGTGCATACTTTGATCCTTCAGGCAACGAAATGGGATTGTTCCTTGCTGAAAGGCTTGGAATCACCGGTGAAAAGATGCAGAAAAGAAAAGGGAAAGATGGCTCATAAGTATAACCTTGAAGCTCTGTCAAGATGTGTTTCGTTTAAGGACTTAGACAAACACGAGTTCAAAGAGCTGTAAGTGACTGGAGGGAACAAAAGCCAAAAGGACAGAAAATGTTTAAGAAGAAGAGGCTTGAACTGAGTTTACTGTTAAAATGTTTTCTAGGGGCGATAAAGGAGCATTCAAAGATGCCTCAAATGAACAGAAGAAAAAGTACGCAAAACAAGCGAAGAAGGTTAATGGTGACCCTGAATACTGGACAAAAGATGATTTAAAAGTTATGGAAGATCTTTTACCTTTTCTACCTTTAAAAGACTTGAAAAAGGTTCAGAAGCACGTGGTAAGTGATAAGATCGAGTTTGGAATGACTATACGTTCATGCACTCGGCACTCGATTATCAATTCGAATGCCGGTGTAGTGAGAGGTAGCAACACGAATGCTTCTTACTGGAATGTCGTGATATCGAAGATTTTAGACTCACAATACCTTTGTCGATTCCTTAACAGCTAAAAGAATTTTTAAAGGATGGCGGTGGAAAGACATTGAGCAAGCAAAGAAAGAGCGATATTTTCCGTGAACTCTTCAAAGGAGAAAAGAGCTTGACAGCAGAGAACATTACTTGGTAAATAAGACTGAAATATAATCTTTATTTTTCTGAGTAAACAGTACTGATGTGAAACATATGTCTCTATTCTAATTTCTTCAGGATTTGCGAGGCTGGGTTTGAATCGGAATTAAGGTCCAAAGATATCAAATCTCTTTCAGACAAGTCGCTTGAAATGTACGCAAAATGTTTCGGATCACATGAAGCACACGCGTCTGTTGTAAGTAGGCTGTTTACATCAATTTGTACATGCAAATGGATAAAATATTGATCGAACCGTATACACTGTAATGACATATGAGATAATGTTCTTAGAAAAGAGGTTGAACTTAGAGTAATTCTGGAATGGAAAAGCTTTGCATTAAGGCCCAAGGGTATGATAGAGTTCTAGACCTATATATCAATAACTTTATACACATTTTTCCTTTAGAGGAGAGAGTTCACAAAACGAGTGTGTTCAAATCCTTTGAACTTTGACAATTACACTGCCGAAATATGCGTGCACTCGCTGGCAGATATGAAGCCGAGTGTTTTGACAAACGAGACAATTGTTGAGCTGTTGTTGCAACAATACCTCAAGCTGCCGAAGAAACCGGAAGTGAAAGGAGAAATATGTCGAAAACTTGCTCGAGCTTTCACAAGAAAGTTCGGTCGAAATTCCACCATGAGAGCAGGTCCATTGGTGAAGTGCATGGATAGATCACCTGAAGAAATAGCCGATGATATGGAAAGTTTGAAGGAAATTGCCAATTCTAAGGGAAACAAAGCACTGAAACGACGTCTTTTTGATGTAATAAAAATGGTAAGTAAACTACCAGAGCTCAGACGATTACTCGTGACTCGTTTGAACGAGTTATCTTGGATGATGCGAAAGAACCTGACCGGTTTTTAGCTTCTAGAGGAAAAATTATGCCACTGCTGGACTCGCAGGCTGATATAAAAAAGCGATTGTTCAAATAATTTTATAATGTCTTTAGTGTTGTGTTCCACAATGAACAACCCGAATATTATACAGTTCGATGTTCCGGGATAAAAATCTCGATTGTTATATTCATTTCTGGTTGCAGAATCGGACGAAATATGGCGGCGTACTACTCGAGTTTAATTTATTGATTGATTGATGAAATGAATAGAAGCTCAAAAATCTGGATAACAAAACTCTGGGATTGGATGATGACGAAGACGTAATTTTGAATTTCGACGTGAGCAAAGGCAGTGAGTGCAGTGAAGAAGATAAAAATGAGAAACGGGTCTGTAAGAAGTTAGCCCAGTTTGCTCTTGCTGGAGGAGTTGGACAAATTTCACAACTCCCTGTGCAAAAAATAATGTAAGTAATACAGGTGAACGATTTATCGTGACTTTTTTAACGACAAATGCGAATGAATTTCTTGATTGTCTACAACTCAAGTTCAGCGAAAAACCCACAAATTCCTGATATTATCCTTTTTAGCAAAATTACCAAACTGTTAATACATGGAGGCTTCACTGTGAAGAATATTGACGATTTGATCAATGAAGAATACTCCACCATCATTTCCATTTTATCGAAAAGGGAAAATGTCTTCTCGCAAAGACAGGTAAGGATGATAGAAAGTTTACAAAAAGCCTTGTAGTACATATAATACAAGGATTTTGATTCACGTTTAACCTTAATCTTAAAGTCGATGGTCTATTAGACGTTTCAAAAGGTGATAAATTTTGCAATGTGTGATGAAAAGTCTAATGGTCTGACTTGGATGCAAACGATAAACATTTAGACAATAGGCAACATTTAAAGCTAACATTTGAGATAACATTTAGAGAAACAAGGAGCAATATTTAAACAAGCATGACACTTCACTGACGACACTAAATAAGAAACTAGTGCATCGATCTAGGGATAAAGCAGGAAAAACAGATCTGGCTTAGGGGGAATACTCGAGTGCCAATGCTAAGAAAATTTTATCAAACAAGTTCTGCAAAATCTGTCAAACAGATTAAGGGTCCCTCTATAAAAGAAAATGGGCTAAACATCCATAATGGTCTCTTAATAGGTTCAAAAATTATTGGGAAAATACAGGATGTTGTACCGAAATAGTTCCGATGCTGTCGACGATATGGAAGGAATGGTCGCGTTCCTAAACAAAACAGAACTAGATTCCATTCTCCCGCGTCGCTGCGATGACGTCATCGAGAAACTGAGGCAGAGTGGATTCTTGTGGAAATTCCCTCCAAAATTCAGAACGGATCACATTAAATTTGTTGTCTCTAAATGCGTAAGTTGGAAATTGAAAACAAGCGGAGTTTTGGCGAAGGCAAATAACATTTTTAGGCCGATGCCTAAATTCTTAATATTTCATATAAACTAGTATATAATAATCTACCTTTACCGGAAGTAGTGAATATTCACACATTCTGAATGGGTTACTGAAAATGTAACAAATTTTCTGATTGGCCTAAAAGGGAACTCCCCCTTGTCGAAATTAAATAGTTTTAAGTTGACCATCCAGTAATCGTGAGCATATATCAGCCCATTTTCATGTCTCAAACTTTCCCCAGAATGAAAACTTAACGGAAATGTCGGGTGATGAACTGGTAAACCATGGACACCTCGTAGCCTGGCTGGATCCGGATCAACTTGATGAGATTCCAGGAAAACTCTTCGTGGAAAACCTTGAAGATTTCAGGGATAATTTGGAGGAACAACAGCGCCACAAAGGATTCAGACGTCTTATTAGAAATATCACAAAAAAGATTATCGACCATCTTGGGTAAGTGCGAGTTTACTCCCACTTGTGCAACAATATTCCTAGTTCGTCGCTTGCAAATCTCATACGGATTGTCTTAACAATATAGCGAGACAACCTCGGTTTCTGCATGTTCCTTTCGTAAACATCTCTTTTCAACTCTAACGGCCTGTGCAATGGCAATAATTTTTTTCCTGACCATTCATTGTTTAATTAATTAAATACTCTTACTATGTTTGCGTTCCCTCCATTTGGACCCGACCTGTCAATCAATCATCGTCTTTCCCAAATTCAAGTGTATTCGCCTTTTTATACATCCTGTATGTCCCCATTTCACCTTCTGCTTCCCAATGGATGCTACCTCAGCATCCGCCTAATGTCTCTCCGGCTAATACATAGACTTTTCCCCATCATCCCACAGGGGCGCATCGGCTCTGACGGCAGATCTCATTGCACAACTTGGCGTACTTCGCAAAGGTTTGGACAAAGACGATATTAAAAAAATGAATTCAGAAGCCTTGGACGCGTTACAGTTGTACGAAGACGACCTGGACAAAGACACCGCAAAACAACTCTTTAAATCACGAGAAGAACGCGTGACCAGCAGGCGAAAACGAGCCGATCCAGGTCAGGATATAAACCTTGTGAAAAGCCTTGTTCAAACAAAACACGTTTGAAATAAATTCACAGAATGAGTTGTTAACCAAATTCACTGCTAAGGTCAAACTTCTATTAAGTTGTCTTAAAAACTTTTATTAAGCAGTATGGTCGCACCACACAACTAAAACGATAAGTCGAACAGATTGGGGGGTGGGGAGAGGGGTTAGAGCCACTATTAACCTTTAGGTTTCTCTATGTTTCTAAGTTCAGCCGAATGAAAGATGTTTTGTAACCTTAAAACATTATCCCTTCGCCGAAGTTCTGAAACTCTTACACCAACTAGATATTATCACTTCAGTTTCATAAAAAGTCAATACATTTAATCTCACAGACACCAGGCTGCAGGATGTTGATTTCTTTTTGATATCGGGTCAAACTATTCTGGGCTTACCTGCATCTGACATCGCCAAGATTCAAGGCTCCGTTTTCGAAGATATTGTTGGTAGTGTCAGCCAGATCTCAGGATGGGAACAAGACCAGCTCGATAAATGGGCTGAAAAGGCAAAAGATGTAAGTCAAGCATTTAAACAATACTGAATGGATATCTATCAACTATTTTTCCTGTAAATGTGTCCTCGTAATAAGGATCATCTCTTATTGATTCAGTGTTACTACAGGAGGAAACCTGAACTAAATTAACTCTATTTATACTGGATAGCTCTATCAGTTCTAAACTGTTCTTTCCTAGAGGTCCAGTAAGGATCATCTCTTATTGATCCAGTGTTACTACAGGAGGAAACCTAAACTAAACTAACTTTATTTATACTGGATAGCTCTGTCAATTCTGAACTGGATAATCTCTTATTGAACCAGCAGCATGTTGTACTAGAATGTTCTATTTTATTGGCCCAATAATCTCAGAACGACAATGCTATAATTTAAAGCAAATTTCAACTTTTTTAAGGTTTGGGGTGCCGCGAATACTTTCAAAACGGACGAGTTGTTACTCCTTAACAACTTTGTCAAGGGATTTAGCGCGTCAGAACTTAACAGTATGGACCTTTCTTCTGATGATGTGATCAACAGTTTTGGTCAGGTTACAGGCTACAGTGCAGAAAAAGCCCAACAATTATTTGCAAAGATTAAGACCAATACGCTAGTGTCAGCCATGACTGGGGCAGATTTGCTTCGACTGGGAACCATCGCGCATGGAATGACCGCAGATGACATCACGAAAATCAATGAAAACGCATTCAGGCATGTTATTGTACGGTTCTTTTTTCCAATAAAGTTAACCAAGGTATAAAAAAGAGGCGTCAGGGTCACAGGGGCGGCAACTACCCCAACTGTCCTCTACTTATGGGGGCCAATCAGGGGCAGCCCTGTGGACCTCTTATATAGCAATTTCATATGTCAACATTTGGTCTTTATTTTTATTATAAACGGCTATTGACAATTAGCCATTTCCAAATCGAGCAGGGTACTGGGTCTATAGTCGCGGACTGCTAAGCATCTATGGACTGTTTGGAGGGACAAATGATTTCAGACTTACATTTCCTGTCCCTCCAAACAGTCCATAGATGCTTTGCGGTTCGCGACTAGACCGATTGCACCGTGTAACAGGGCCTTAAGATATTAAGTAAGTTGGTTATCCAAGCAATGATATTAAAGCTTTGTGGCTGGTTTATAAAAATATATACTATACGGTTTTAATTATTCCGCAGGGAAGCTTTATCTCAGTTGGGTAAAATGACGGGATGGTCAAACGAACAATTGATGGAACTTAAAAACAAAGCGGTGGCGGTGTATGGTGAGACCAGCTCCTGGGAGGGTGTCGTATTGTCTACAGTCAATGTGATCATTGGTAAGACAATGCTGCGGATGAGTTTAACGTGGAAACATGAGAGATCAACCATACGATATACATGGATAATTCACAACCAATTTAAGACCACGATAAACGTGAAACTACTGTTGCCTGTTTCATTGTAATTCAGTTACTGCCAGATTCAGGCGTGAGGGGAGCTACTGCCAGATTCAGGCGTGAGGGGGGTACTGCCAGATTCAGGCGGGGGGGGAGCTACTGCCAGATTCAGGCGTGAGGGGGGTACTGCCAGATTCAGACGTGAGGGGGTACTGCCAGATTCAGGCGTGAGGGGGGGGGTACTGCCAGATTCAGGCGTGAGGGGGGAGCTACTGCCAGATTCAGGCGTGAGGGGGTACTGGCAGATTCAGGCGTGAGGGGGGTACTGCCAGATTCAGGCGTGAGGGGTACTGCCAGATTCAGGTGTGAGGGGGGTACTGCCAGATTCAGGCGTGAGGGGGGTACTGCCAGATTCAGGCGTGAGGGGGGTACTGCCAGATTCAGGCGGGGAGAGGGGTACTGCCCTACCAATTTAATGCAACATTATTTACACTCCAACATTAAACTGTCCAGGTGGTTTCAATGACAAAGAGGTTAAAGCATTGGAAGCCGAAGATCTTCAGTACATTTCAACAGAAGCAATCGCCGCGTTACCTCCAAACAAGTTCAACCAACTGTCCGCTGACCTTATTAGACAACTGGATGGGGAACAAGCGCAAAGTGTAACCGATGAACAGATATCGCAGTTAACGGTAGAACAGAAGAACGCACTGACAAGCGCACAGTATGGTGATGGTGATGGTGGTGATGATGGTGGTACAATAACAAAAGCGAACAAAAATACACAAAACCCAACAACTAACGGTACATCGACCCCAATCAAGGAAACACCAGACAGTGGTAAGCGCATTGTCTTAGTAACAGACCTTCAAAGAAAACTGGATAGGTCAACGCGTTTTAATGAATGACATGCAGAAAACGAAGCCCCTAACATTCCTAATTGTTCCTCCTTTACCATCATTATATCCCTACTTATCGCCAGTTTATTTACTTTTTACATGATTCCGCTAAGCCGAGATTCAACGAAGTGCGAGAAGACGTATTGAGGTATTGGAATGAGTAAATAACATGATTCTGGCAGTAATGTGGTCATCCTGACAATAGCATGTGCTTGTTTGGTTTCATAAAGACTAATTTCAATACCTCAAAAGTCCTCTCACGCTTCGTTGAATCTCGGGTAAGCAGGATCATGTAAACAGCCCCTTAGTTAGTATCTGAATACCGGGTATATCGGTAATAATCCATGATTATCCATTGTCTACCACAGTTATCCCTCGTCGTTCCTAAATTATCCTAGTACTAACCTATAATTTGCCATACAATTCCCAGTTAACCTAAACGACTCCTTGTTTCACATAATACCCATACGTTGATTTCTTTCTCGTTTATGCAGGTTCAACAGAAGTTGTCTTTGGCCTAATCTCTCTACTTTTACCGTTCTTGTGTTCTCAAAGTTTCATCTAAGAGCAAGACACAACGATTGCGAATCCTTACAACACTTAATCATCGATTTACACATCTTAACTATAGTTGCCATTTCGTAATTCGTATATAAGTAGTGATAGCTATATATATATAAGATTTAAACATAGCGAGAAACTTATGCCTAGTCTATATGTAATATGATACTGAAATTTGTGCACAAAACTTCAAACTATCATTCTGATTCCTTATCTGCATATATAACCTTATGTAACCTATTCAAATATCAAATGCACTAGTTTAAGGCTCGAAATTTAAAGTGAAACATCTCATATCTGGCAAGTATTCCGGCGACCTCTCGTAGGGAGATGACAGTGGAGATTTCGACATATGCCAGATTTCTGGGACTCCTCCAGGACACCTCGTTCATGATAGGCCACTATAATATCAATCCTAATATTAATCCTATTTTGAAAGTTAAAGTATATCAACTGATCACCTTCAACGATCCAAGCAGATCAACCGAAAATAGTTAAAGTTAATTACGTTAAACTACTCTTGACCTCCTCCGATATTTCTATTTTACCAATCAAATTGCTACTCGTATTACGGACATTTTATTCGCTTTGTTTGAGAATTTCAACACAAACAACCCTCGTTCCCAAAACGTTTCTAATTCATATTACACTTCTATACAATCGATGATCTTGTATGCTTCGAGGATGCTGATGCTTAGAAGCGAAAGTGACGAAGCCTAAGTTTAAGGTAACGAGATCCTGCATGCTATAGCATTTATTTTCAACAGTATATCACGCATTCATCCTAGCTGACCAGGTCTGATTTAACAAAGCTGTCAATCTTGACATCGTGCGATCTTGATCTGTCAAAATATTCCGTGCAGATATTAGCCACTGCGTTCGTTCGTGACTGTTTTTTATTTATTTACAGAATTTCAGGTAGGAATTTCCTGCATAGTTGGCTAATCGTCGTCTGTGATTTAATAGCCAAAATATGCGAGATTGGAATTTCCTTGAAAGCACAGTGGGTGACAGTGCTAAAGTTCAGTACAGTTTTCATCGTTCCACGAATAACGAATGAAATCCCTCGATCGTTCCAGAGCTGTTTTACTGTACGAAACGAAAACTTGTTCATCACCACTTGAGTTTCGGGTAAGTGCGAGGCGCGCGTGATTCGGAAGTTTGGTTCATGTCTATTTCCTCATTCTGAAAACACGCAATTTCACGCTTATTAAACCGGGCGATCGAAATGTCAGAGATTTACAGATGAAGTTTAAGATCAACACCAAATATAGAACACTCGCGTATGTAAACACGGAACACCCTGAATTCCTGTCGGCTGTTCGCCCACTTTTGGTGCAAAGGTTCTTCCCTATAGAATTACGACATGGGAAGACGATTATATAAGCAAGCAAATACATCACCGTTTTCTACATTGCTTTTATTGTTAGGAGAATTCGGTTTTCAGTAAGTTCTCCCCTTGAATACAGTCCCATTACCATTAATATTGAAATAGACATGCTGCAAGGCAAGTTTTTAGAATTCATGGAATATTGGCCCTGTTTATAGGCATAGCCAGCTGTTTACACAAGCGATTTCTGGTAGGATTTCCGGTGCGAGTTTGCTTATTTTGACAAATGTAAATAGATGGATAAATTAGAGATTTTAGAAAAAAAAACCACTTATTACAAAGAGGATTCACAAGTATTCACTCGTTTGCATTTGTGAAAACAATTAAAAATTGATTCTGTAGTATATAGCGTACAGGAGTCGGTTGTATCGAGCCCGTTAAGCTTAAACAGTGGTTAAGTTCAAATCGTTTTATTCAAGAACCAAACTAAATGTTTTTGACCTTAATACAATGATACTGTTTACAACTACATATTCAGTGGATAATATTCAACTTGACTCACTCAAGAGAGATGTAAGAGTGTTATTTAATTTTGACTTATCCACCGTTTAAGCTAAACGGGCTTGATACAACCGGCACAACTCCAGTGCTGTACTTGACAGAAAAGTACGAATCTGACAGCTCTTTCGCCTTCTTACACCCTGACATACGAACTATTGGGAAATAATCTCAGATATGCTGGCAATTACTTAAAAAAAGACTAGAAATTAGTAGCTTTAGCAATGGTTGCGAGCACGATAGCCATGCATTGAACAAGATTCGTCATTAGGGAGATTAATAACATGGACGTGAAAATCGCAAAGAAATCGCGTGGCATGCATGTTCATATATAGACGCACCACGCCATTTATTCGCCATTTTTACGTCCTCTTTGACTTTTACGCTCTCCTCGACCGCTCGACGGCATTCAAGCTTTAGAAACTCTAATTCCAGTTAGTCTGGAAAGTTAATTCTACAAATACCCGGGAATAATTGAGGATTATCATATACAGTTCAAAGCAGTATATCACACGACTTTCAAAGCTATGGAGTATGGTAAAAACATGCATGATCATTTACATAAGCCGGATTCTAGAACACTCTCATTTCTGTTTATATATTGTTCATTTAAAAAAAGACATGTGCCATGATCTTAATTCACACGTTGGCAGGGTTCCCAACAATGGAAAAAGCTTGCTATATTTTATATTCGATACAATACAATGTAAAGGTGACCGGAACGGAACCGGCATTGTTGAATGCACTTTAACATAAATAAAACTGTTGGTATATATATAGCACATATTCCGAAAACCATTAATAAACCAACATCCTGTGAATCTAGGATTTAAAACGACCCCATTTTTGGAACCAAAGTCATGACTTTGGTTGAAATGAACCAGAAAGGCAGGTAGAACTACTTTCAAACGAGATCTTATAAGTACAATCCCAGACATTCACTGCACTCATAAATATTTTCATCCTAAAAGCTCTTATTATTTCAAAGCTGTATAAAAGAGGGGTGAACAAACAAATTTTGATAGCATCGTCGCGATATCGTGTAGACAAAACGCGATAACTATCTAAACTAGTCTTCACTCTGATGTAAGCACAACAATGTCCACTTGAAATGGCGGACGTTAATATGTTTTCGGCCTAATGATTAAAGCTAAAATTACGGCTCTCTTGCATTCCTTGTTGTTTTAAAAAAGATCAAACAATATGCACACAACGCCATGCTGTCTAAATTTTTCTATAACCCTTGCTGCGTAATTCGGGTAGAACTAAAACAAAAATATATACAATGAACATCCACGTGAGATAAACCAGTCGACGAAATCATTACACAGATGAGGACAAAGAAGAATTTTACTTCTCAGTTAAATGAAAAATATACAAAGAAGCCTGTATATATAGTGTATGCTATCTTATATATGATATCTTTAAGCCATCATCTTTATTTGGTTCTTATGTATGCATTTATGGGAGATGTCTCTACGGTATATTGCATGATAGTGTTGCTGAATTTACGAGATTCCAACTTAACTCTGGCTAAAACTATAAAAAAATACTTCACAAGGAATTATGGAATGTTACTCTAAATGAGGGAACCCAAACTAAACTAACTTTATTTATACTGGATATCTGTATCAGTTCCAAACTGTTCTTCCTAGAGGTCCAGTAAGGATCATCTCTTATTGATCCAGTGTTGCTACAGGAGGAAACCTAAACTAAACTAACTTTATTTATACTGGATAGCTCTATCAGTTCTAAACTGTTCTTCCCAGAGGTCCAGCAACGATCATGTCTTATTGATCCAGTGTTACCACAGGAAAAACCCTTTATAACGAATAGCTGAGTATAATTTAATCTATATTTATCGCGGAAATTGAGCAGACATTACCCTGGGTATATATTGGACCATTTCCCCATATCAAAAATAAATGCTGCTGATTTAGGAATGTGCAGCTATAGAACACGCGTCCGAATCCCTAATTTAGTAAAATCGGAAAGTTTTGTTGCAAAAATGTTGAGAAAAACGAAAAATATCGCCGAAAATTCGCGGGGAAACTTTTCACTTCCGCTAAGATTGGGAATGCTCCGAACCGTACTGCTGTAGTAATGAATTTCCTGAGCTTCGATTTAGTTGAATAGGGAAATAGTCGTTTCAAGAGAGTGTGCGTGGCAAGCTACGACTATAGCTACAACAAGGTTAGCTTTTGTTAACAGTTTTAAGCGAAGGATGGGTAATGGGTGAATATTTCCACCATGCATTCGACGGATCACATGCATTCTCATATGATCAACGACAAAGGCTACCTCACGAGGATAACCTGTCATTTTTTTTCTTCTTTTTCTAGTGCGTAAACACAGGTTACGTGACAGAGACGCAGCCGCCTGCATACATGGCAACGAGAAGTTCAAGTCGCCCGCATGCACACATATCGTGCACGAACTAACGCGAGACTCGGGCGAGGCATGTTGCAATTCAAGGGTAACTCTCTCCCTCAACTGTCAGTGAAGTTTAGCAATGAATTGATACGAATATTTTTGTCTTTAAGTTAAGCAATTTTGTTTTATTTCAATCCGGTACATGCACCAACTCAGCCCTATAGAACATCTTTCCCGAATTTTCATGCTATCTACTGGCCAACGTAATGCAGCACAAGCCAAATTCAGCGTGTTAATTGGTCTGAACGCTATGATCAACATGTTATAGACAACCAGAGTAATGCCTGACAATGATAGGTAATGAAATAGCTTAGATTGCATGAGATTTAAGCATTTTTCAGTGCATGTTCTTTTATATTCTGTGATATATTCTTTTATGTTCTTTTATATTTTCTGACACGGGCAAAAAGTAACCAAGCGCTCAAGAAAAACAATTAACTTTTTATAATGTCAAAAGTTTTCGATGGTATATACCAATATACCAATATTCACTGCCGGGGTCTTGTTTACAATTTCAACTCGTTCTTTTATCAAACTGTAAACATGTTGCCTTTGTTTAATTTCACGCCTGACGCGAAGTGCATCTGCAAAACTGAGACACATGTACTAATTACACTGCAGCGGAAACACAATGTAGTAGCATTAAAGGATTTTTTTCCATGCGCCTGCACGGGATGTTATAGTCACGGGTAGCTGCATGCATAGACCTAAACCACGCGTTTCCATTAATGCCCTCGGTGTCACCAAAGAGCAGCCCAATTTTTTTTTAAAAAACTATATAACCTCACCTTTCTCCTATGCACACAATAACAAGTGATCTATAATAAAAGAGAGTTCACCTCGTGCCTAAACTAAGTTAAACCGAGGTCATAAACAATGCTTCACCAGCATGCCTTTTTACCGCAAAAACTCCAAGTTTAAAAGGATATAAGACACAAAGGGATGGTAGGTAAATAGATATTCATGACACTAATTTAATATCACCTGATCCGACAAAGACGGTTTAAATCCTTTGTAGGAATTCCAAAGAATATTTTTATGGCAAGTTTGTTTTAAGGAATTCTGGTTAATAATTTTTGTACCATCTAAAGGATAACTCAGTTATAAGTTCAGATAATACGAGTCCTCATATTTGATTTCATGATATATATCAAATCTTAATATCTGGCCGTAAGTTATCTCTGCGATTTTTACAGTTGCATGAAGAGTTGGAAAGTCAAAGAACGTATTCCCAAATCCTGTCTAAGGATATAGGAAGGCAATAATACTGTTGCATGCACAGCCACGCGCTAACCAGCGTATCACGACGACACAAGAAAATACAATCATGCAAGCACACATCGACAGTGAATACGAGTAAGGGCTGATTTGTGTTCCATGCATTTACGAACATTGCGACTTTATTTGGACGGCGTGCTATCCGCTGCCGCTGTCGATGGGATTACTAAACTCCGCAGGGTAAAAAACGGAATAACAAATCGCTATTGTGAGCAGAAACATCAGGTTGATATATTAATATTTAAGGTTCTTTTACAACAAGACAAATACTGTTTAACGGGGCGTAGAGAGCAACAAAGACCACACATTTAAAGTGACCTTTGTATGCGATTTGTAGGCAATGGGGATCAAATAGTTTCCTCTGAAAGTTGTGTAGGGATTTATCAAACAAATAAAATAGCATTAAATATTTACGCATTTAATAGACCCTGTTGTGATATTTCAACTCAAATATACATTAGGCGAAATATTTTTCCATGCTCACAGTGCACAGGTTTAAGAAATAAAGGCAATGTTTTGTTATATGCATAAGAAAATATGCTACTGACAAACGTTTAAAGGAGCAAAATGTTTTTTGTTGAATAGCGACAGGACATATTCTGATGTAACCCTTGATGTATACCTACCTATACGATATATATATATATGTCGCACATACCAAACGTGGTAAAACAACAGGTTAAATTGAGGGAAAGGGGGCGGTTGTTCGAAAGGCGTTTAGCTTAAACGGTGGATAAGTTCAAAATGAAAAACAAAATTATACATTTATTGAACAACTGAGCTGAAATATTTCCGTTGTAAATAGTTTCATTTTCAATGGAAGAACACATTTAATGTAGAAGATCTAGTTTCATTCATCAGTTCACAAGATGTTTCAGAGTATTCTCAGTTAAACTTTGGCTTATCTACCGTGTAAGCTAAACGCCTTTCGAACAACCGAACAACCCAGAGTTTTAGTTCGCCGGGCGAAGACATGGAGGGTTTTTTGTTTATTTTAGCGGTCATGCTCATGAATGGCTATTATACAGAGTCAATCTTTGTATCGTAGCTAAACCTTTTTGACTCTTGTCTATAGCAGCATAGCAATTAGGCTATCGATTCGTTAGGGATGTATATTTAACTATTGAGTATGCAGGAAGTGTCTCTCGTCCAAAATGACAGGAACTTTAATTTCGAAACTATATCGGTGAGATCTTTGTCGGCTATAATCATTATCAAAATAATCATACTATTTAAGAATGCACAAAGGAAAAAAAAAGGAAATTGCTCAATTGTCGAGGCAGAATGTCTTGTTTCTGGCAAAACCATGCATACCAACAAATTTTAATCATTTTAATAGAGCTCCAGGAACGCGGAAAAACTAGCCGAAAAATTTAATCTCACAATAAGATTTTAAGGTATCGTTCTAACTATATATGTGTCATATATATATACATATGCTTCTTTGTATTGAATCCTGTATGTCAGAATTTCGCCAGAGGCCATGCACCATATTATTTGAAATTATATATTTGTCAATACCACGTGGCTGGTAAGCACCTATAGAATATGGAGATGGTTGGATGAACGGTGCATCGCTCTTGAAGTTTAATTAAGAAATTGCAACACATTGCTTTTAAACACGTGATGATTTTAGTGAATAGAATAATTATAGGATAGTTCATGTCGTGTTCGCCTACTTAAAATTATAATTTGTTCACTTATAAAACACGCCTATGCAAGCAATATTTAGTAAACTATCCTTCGAGGACTATGATAAGTTCCGATTCCATCACAAGTATACTTGGTATAGCATATAGAACACTTGTTTTGAGTGCTAAATTTCTGCGCGTTGTTTTTCAACTTTTTTTTGTTTGCGAAATAAGCCCGGAGGAAAATTGCATGTAATCTGATCGTAAAATATCCTCTGATACTGTTTTACTAAAAGCAAAAAAAAACCAAAGTTAAAAATCCACAACAAACGTATAATTGAAATATCCAGACCCGGAAATGATCTGTTGCTCTCAGCGCGGTTCAGTGCTCCAGTCACAGCCCAGGAAGCTAACACTCCAGTGCTTTAAAAGAGAGATCAGCTAGAGTTACGTCGCTACGTGTTATCAGCATTCGCCCAGTTAGCTATATAAAAGACTCAGCATTTTAAGCTCCGCCCCGTCACGTTCGCTGTCAAAGTTTGCATATAAATGTGTAAGATGTATAGCCAGTCTTATTGTTCCAAGGAAGCGCGACTATGTGCAGTGTGTAGATTAACCGCAAAAGAAATGCATTATACTGAATGAGCTGGAAGAGCGAACTGAAGAGAGGTCTGTATGTCTTTAAGTAAAGCATTACTCAAAATAATTGACATCGTCTTAACCTCCGTGCGTATATTAAAATACAGTAGCGTTTAGGCATAAATAACTGTAATATTGTAAGCCATATAGAGCGGTCGAATGTACATATATACATTTGGGATTAATATATGAAGTCGTTCTTTTAAATTTCATAGAATAAACCAGCATAAATTCGGCCGTACACAGAAGTTTATGGTTCCTATACGTATAATAATTTAAAATTTTCCATCTCAAGTTTATTGTATATAATGTGTATTGTGAATTTATATATTGCAGACTTCATCGCTAGAATTTAAACGCAGGAGTTAGTTTAATTCAACTGGGATACCGGTGTAACTGGGGAAAGAAATAGCAACTGTAGACCTCCTCAAAGCAGGAGTCCTAACGGAGAAAGCTCGTATATATCTGAGGTAGGTGATACACGATTATTTTTTAGAAATTATAAAAGCATAACATGAGACCTTTCAAAATAATTCGCATAACAATCGCCGTCGTGGAGAGCGAGAAATATTCGAGGAAAAGGTTTCGAAGAATGGAGTCGTCAGTAAACCGCGATTTGCAGAAAACAATGTGCAACTCATTTCAAGTCCAATATGTCCGTATGAAAGAAATAGAGTTTGCAATATTAGCAGCAGCGCGGCCTGTGTGTCGCAGGCATGCAAGAGCAGTTTGCTAGAAAATTATTCAACCCTCCAGCCAAAAAGCAGAAGACACATGACGTATGTTTTCTCCAATATAGAAAGTTGTTAGCGTGCGCACCTCGAGATTTGCTCAACTTTTAAGGAACCTCCAAAAAACGTTGTTCGACATGATCAGGCCTCTGTTAGGAGCACTGCATGTCGGTATACGAGAAGCATTCTGATAACCAGGCAGCCTTTTTCGTGGAGAGATTTGCGATGACTATAGTCTGTACTATGATATAGCATAGCAAGTATAATGGCAATGCTTTCTTTTTGTATTACACAGCCTATTATATTAGAATTTCCCTAATTCGTGAATCAGCGACACTTAAATGCCTCGTTTAAGGAGAGTCGAATTGTCGATTTTGAGTGATTCAATTCATTTTATCGCCGTAAATGCATTAATACATTTTGCTTTGCATGCACGCGGGGTTTTTTGCGACTTACATGCAATTTTTTTTCGTAGAATCCAATTTCATACAAAAGTTATTGATTATAGCAGCCACGGTAATTCAAGGCGCGTTTCTGTGAAAAAAAAGGAAAGCGATCTAAAATGCTGTAATGCGGTTATTGTCCGCAGATTAAATCAAACACAAGTATAGGCCTACTTGGATAATTCAGATCTTTTTTGTAATTGACTCCTGAAGTCGGAGCTCCGTACTTTGGTGATCCCATACGAATCATTACAGGCCGATTTTCATGACGCTTTTATTGACAACGCGCGGTTATTTAGTTTAAACATCTTGTGATCTTAAATTGTTTAGTCAAAGCATCATGCGTGCCTGCCTGCTAGGTTCCTATTACTTGTGGTGAGATGATGCGACAGGAGACTTTCCGCTTCTGACGTGAAAAACGCAAAAAATGGCCAAAGAAAGATATTTCGTGAGAGGAAAGGCAAACGCAATTACGTATTTCTATGTATTTATATACCTCAGCGCAATTGGGTTTGAAAAAAAGTACATGGAATGTAAACCAATTTATTGAAAAATTCCCGAAACGCAGATATACAAAAGGCAAGTCAGCAAGTATTGATGATTGATCTTTTTAAAAGCTATTAGCGCGTATTTAGAATTTTATATTAAAAGACTAATATAATGTGAAGAAAATCAGACAAGAAATCTTATTCAAACTTGCTATTCTGAACTTTAGAATGAGTTATAAATATTAGTGACTATAACCTTGTTCTTTTTCTTCCTACAACCGCAAAACCATGCATCGTTTCCAGCACAAATAATATATTCTTGGTTGTCGGCGGACAAATTTGAACTTCTATATCGTTACTAACAAGAAATAGAAGTAAATCAAAATTTTTCGACGTCAGCATGCACGCGGCTATTTTATATTTCTTCTAGCTCAGTGCACATCTATACAAATCTACATTCTCAGAATCTACATTCAAATGTAAACATATACAAATCTACATTCTCTACATTCTCACATTATACAATAAGACCGATTTTTGTCCAGGCTTTTGCATGCTATATGGCAAAGAATGAAAGGCTTCCTATAGTGTTTAGTAATAGGGGGCGAGGGAGGTGTTGCCAACTGCATGAAAAGCATTTGACGGAATTTGCCGGCCATGAAGTCTGAACGATGCATTAGAAAAAGGATTGAAACATGTCAATCCTTTCTAATGAAAGACAATGCAAGTCCAAGCACTAATATGTCTATTTGTTCTGGGGATCCACAGATTATGCGATAATCAATGTAAGCACGTACGATGATGCTATTTCTGCCAAGCATCACGTGTCCACGCGGCGCCCATGCAACGCCCACGCATTGCTAAGGCAAGCTACGTGCAGTAAGAGGTATTTATAGGCTCCCCTTTAAAAACCTGCTGAACAAAAAATAAGGCACATGTATCTCCAATTGTGACACACAAAAGAATGACAGAAAGAGAACCTTTTGTTGGCACCTGTTTCCAACACGTTATTCAAGAACGCATTGGGGTGGAAAATTTAGATTTGATAAAAACTAACGGCATTTAAAACCAAGATCGTTTCAAAAGATCTCAACAACCATTATGGCCAATGCATGTTGTGAAGTGATGTTTTTGATGATATGTGTGAGAAAGACCTGCATAGCAAATCCGGCGTGGGATGAACTGGAAATACGAACTGCAAATGAGAAGTAATATACACGGGTGTTTTGCTTTGATAAATATTATTGACGAAATCCGTTCAACAAAACCTTCAGCGATTCAGCGACAATCCACCGAAAACACCAAAATATTTGTAAAACGCTAATGAGAATCGGTCACTCAAACGTTTCGTGACAATCTATTTGAACTTGAGAATTGGTTTGAAAAATATTTCAGCAAAACCTGCGATTTTATATAAACATTTAACTTTGCGTAGTTGCGTTTATCGTCACCGAACTCCCAGATTTTCTACGTTTGCCCGCATTCAGTTTCGACAGTTCCTAAGCTCATATTTTCAGCCGAACAAAGCGAATACTGAGATATCTCTACACACAGCACATTAACAATAAAGCCTCGACATCAGCCCACGAGTTAATTAACCTCAAAACCATATTGTATTGTTGGAGGGGAGGGGAGGGGAAGAGGGAGATTACGTAATTCGAGATACGATTGTGTTCCATGCTGCTAATGTATTACAATGTAAATCCCATGTCCAACTTCTCTTTTGTCCTATTAAGTTTGATTTGACTATAAACGTATTTTATTAGGGCCATTGTGGCAGGCATGAATCAGGTTATTATGCAGTCATAATATCAAGAATAAGGTTGTTATGGCGCCTTTCGTTTTGTTTTGTTATTACGCAACGTCGATACGTGATATACAAAGGAAGAGCTAAACTAAACTAACCTTATTCATCTCCGGATATAGCATTTCCAACTGTACATCTAGGAAAAAGTATTGTAAAACTGGTTTTCATTATAACTGAATAAGCAAGTACTAGTTATGTTAAAATTTTCTTCTATAGAAACACTAGATCAAAATTAAAGAAGTGAATCTTACATGCATGCATCGGCATAAACATCTAATCAGAGAAGTATGCATCCTATAAGTTTAAGAAAGACACACAGACGGCTATCCTAATAAAATGATTTGATATACGGATAGATTACGGACAAACCTATGCACCCTTGAGAATCACTGCATGCAAAGACACAATTTGAAAGTGCACTCAAGGTGTCTGCGAAAAAAACAAGGAGCTCAGTGTCCCTGCCTTTTCAGGAGAAGGCACTTCATCCCAAGTTTACTAATTAATTATACGTAAGTCTGCAACTGTGTAGTAACATGATGGACCAGAAACACTTGACTTGACACAAATTTAATCTGTTGCCATGCACGGCGACATCAAAGGGGCCAAGCAAGTATGCGCTGGCAATCTTACAGAGTTTTGAGGACTTTTCTGATCAACGTTTCGACGACATCGCTTAAAACGCTTTAGCATAAACAGTTATATACAGAGTTCACAGTTATATAAAGTAACCGAGGTTTATATAAGACGCACGTATATTCTTCGTGAGTGTCGGTAAAAGAGAAAATAAAACAACATGTAATATAAACAAGCCGTTCCTCACGAAAATAACAAAACCATGCATACCTGCAGTCTATATACGAGGACTTACTGCAGGTACATGCTGGTGACTTTCAAATTATCTAAATATTTAACTAGTATATAATTCTATGATAACTGCACGATAAGTTCCACATCTCTGAAGGCGCTGTTATCCAGTTGTGAAAATGATAAAATCTTGATTAATAATGAAATAGCTAGGGAATGAAGTAAATTTACATGACTACACAATGCATATCGTATAAATGTATAGGAGGAATTTGTATTATCCCGTGCGGTTGCATGGATAGTTCATTCTGTCGAAGTATCTCGTAGTTAAGCTTCAGTGGATGCGATGCCGAAATGCATCATAACAGGAAAATGAGACATCCTGCATGCATATGACGAATTGCGTTTATTTTGAACATTTTGCATGCATCCGTTACCGGTACCCGACAGGCGCCGACAAAGGGAAACAGCTTTTCAGTGCATGGTATTTCAAACCGCTAAATGCTTCATTCTCTTCTGAACACAGAAGAGAGCAGTGTTGCATGGGAATAAGACATCTCAATTTATATTGCAGGGAATTAAGTGATCTGGAAATAATTGCTAGGTCGGTCGTTTATAGCGAGGATCATTTTCTGTTGGTCGTACTTTGCATTGCAATGCCATTCAATATTAGGTCATCCGAAACATCAGGACGAGCTGTCTATAAGCAATTCATCTGCTGACAACACAAGCCGACAAAAAGCTCTTGTTTAAATCGGAGTAACAAACATAACTATAAAGGGGTTTTTGAGGACTTAAAATTGGACAAAAGGGAGATGTCACTTTGAGATAACAAAGAAGACAAAGTTCTCAGCTATTTTTCAATCCTGTTCAACGACTTAAGTGTTTTAAAAGGAGAACAAGACCTCCCGAGGTGATTATCTGACTATTGCTATACAAAATAAATCATGCCATGGCATTATATAAAATCTGACGTATCAGCGTGTTCTGAGGACATAAGGCATGCACGTATTCTCCAAACAAGGATCTTTAGAATTGCAGATCTTCAGGCTTCTTTGTCATACATGCAACAGCAGGCGCACTCCTTTGTACTGTATACAACCAATATTAGCCTTTCAAACACTATAAGCTTCTGAGAAATCTTACACATTGATGCCACACAGCATGCATCGCACAGGCCCATTGCGAATATTATACAAGAGAGTTCAGTTATATGAGGTAAGTGAGCCTATAGGATATTTTCGTGAGTGTTAGTAAAAGTGAAAATGAAACAGAACGTGATATAAACAACGAGATGTTTCTCACGAAAACCACATTACCATGCATACATGTCTATATGATGCATGAGGACTTAATTGCAGCAGGGCCGGATCCTGGTTATTCTTATCAAATTTTCCAAATATTAACTGAACTACATGCAGTATAGGCCTATAATTCTATAATTCTCAATGATATATTCAACATCTCTGCGTGAAGACATTGTTATCCAGTGTGCATGTTTTATCATGCATGATTTAGTGATAGAGATCTTGATTAATCAATGAATGGCAGTGCTTTAAAATTACATGAAGACACAATGCGTAATCATTTCGCAAGATTTCAACTATTACGTGCAGTTGGATAGTACATTCTGTACGAAGGTAGCTCCTTGTTTAACCTTCTTTGTATTTGTCAAAAATAAATGCGACCAATTTTTTAAACACGACATGCTAAATTGTCTCCATTTTCAACCGGTTGCATCAAGGGCAGGGTTTAGGGTCAAGGTGCTCTTGTTACATTATGCAACTATCTTTGCAACTTGCAATGCAATTATAAATCTGAAGGATGTCAATTTGTAAAGAGTGTTCTTCAAGATGCTAAGAAAACGTTAGCAGATCGTAAGAAATGTTCGTATTGGATGCCTCAGAAGTGGAATTGCATTGCACAAGAAAAGTTGCATAGTGTAACACCGTCTTTAGGGTGAATCGTCACAAACGACTGAATGACTATATATACATAAACTAGTCTACATTCGCTGCGAAACAGAGAGGAAAAACAATCTTAGTAAATATATATATTTTGCGAGGCATACTAGCTAATATCAGTGTATTCGAAACACCCAATCAACTGCTTAAACAACTCATGCACGCATCTGCTGACAAAACAACTTGACAAATGAAATGGGAAGGGAGACAGAGTTCTCAATTTATTTTCCAACCCTGTTCAAACAACTTAAGTGTTTTAAAAGGAACGCGAGACCTCCTGAGGTGATTATTTGTTATTGATATACAAAATAAACTTAACCGCCATCATTTGTATCTCTGGAGTATTTTGAACTCAAGAGGTTTGGGGAAAATTGTGACACGCTTGGTATACACCCCCCGTAGTTAATACTTCCCGTGGGTGGATAGGGCTTAAGTAACTGGGAATAAAACAATTTAGTATACGAGGGTACGGCCACCCATGAACGTGACCTAGTTCAGATTACATCTTGCTACACCGCGACGCAGACTGTTTAAAATCACTTTGTTGATTAGACGTAGCTACGTGAGCCGACACACGATATATATCAGCAAGACTAACTGTCATGCCATGCCAAGGTGGGTAAACTTTCAAGCCAGCTAGCAGCACCAACTCGCTAGAGTCAGACAGAATATAGTACATAAAATCATAAACAAAAGACAGTAAAAGATAAGGTATGGCTTTCTATTTCTGGTATTTGCATGGAGCATATTTCAACGGATAAAGAGTTGACAATTTTTATCTACTGCATGGCTAGTTTTCTGGGTAGTCTTTTCAACCTTTGATTTTTATCAGCAAGATTTCAACTCAGTAGCTTATGTCGATATATAAACACAGTATAACTCTAGAGGCCCTTTATATAAATCTGGTAGGAGTTCTCCCTATTTTTTACACTGATTGAGGTATGTCAGACGGTTCTGGCAAAGGAAATGTCACCAGAGGAAAAAAATTGTCAAAAAAAATTGTTTCGTCAAAATTACGTTAAATATTCTCCTTTTTAAATGTCAAATTTGTCTGAACTTATTCGAAAGTAGTATTCATTATTATAATTCAACCAAACCCATGGATAGAGTAACGTGGGCTAACGGGAAAAAACGTTGAAATGAAAGCCAATTGAAAATAAACATGCAGAGATCTTTAGAGTTGCAATATATTACTCAAAACAACACGTAACACGACAACAATTTCATTTTCAAAGTCATCTTCAAACAGTTAGACTTCGTTGTTTAATGTTTATATTCGAAAGATAAACTACCTATATGCATAGCATTCTCAAAATGGCGTCTTGAGTTTATTCCGAATTCATGTTTGTTTGTTTTTAAATCTGACTGGTTAAGGGAGTGAAAAAACTCGTCAATTGCAGCTTAAAACTAGTACGTGATGTTTTGATATTTTGTGCTATAGTTGTGGTCGTGATGAAATGATAACAATGCACATTAGCGAAGAGGTCAAGTTCAACTTGACAAAAATGCAAGGGTGTGTGTAGAGAAAAAAAATTACGCTAGAAACAATATCATTTATATAATATCAAGGTGCATATGGACTAAAGCTATATAGGCAGACGTTGTCAACTGAAACTTCGTCAGCCCAATTGCTTTAAAGTTTTGCTGAGGAAAAAAGTTGAATTACGATATATATAATGATATTCATTAATCCAGTTCACAGTCATTGAGACACAACGAGGGGAAAATTATATATGACCTTAGAAAAGCGGGTATAATATATATTAATTAATTTCAACCAATGTTTGCGGAAAATTGCTTCCTAAGACGGATCATTCCGGAATACCGTAATACAGTTTTAAAAATAAATCAGAATTAAAAATACTCTGTTCTCGCAATATGGCTTCGACTGCGGTTGACGGCGCACTGAGTGTTGACCGCATGCAACTTCTAATTCATGCAAATGCCTCTGCACGGGATACGGAATTCATTGAAATTTAAGAGAAAATATGATCACACGGAACGATTATGTGTATATCTGAGTCGGTTCATTAGCTATAGTAGCCAGTCAACAGAATTTTGTGACAGAATTGGCCAAAGAGAAACGTGTAAATTTCTGAGTTAACTTTAAGTTTCACAACTCAATCACGCAAATGTAGCGGTAAAGATTTTGATACAAATGGCTGCACTTGGAACGATTCCGATGGTATAGTAGTTCGGACGCTGAAAAATGCACTGACAAACAGGCCATTTTGAAGATACAGTCTTACTCTTCTACACAACGTTGGTTTCAATATATACGACATTATTTTTCGATCATAAAGTGTCTTGCCACCTTTTATTTCATTTTCACTTTATGTATTTCGCTTCCTCAAGCTTGTTGTCTGTTGAGCGACTTTGTTAGGTATATTACAGAGCGAGCACAAACGAAAGGCTATATTTACATGAACTTATCACTCGATCCTAAACCCCGAGCAACAAAGAAAACACTGTTTCATTTTCTTAGAAAGAGCTCTGACTTCTGAAATGCATGTGTGAGTTTCCTATACCGTCTCACTGACGCACGAACGATATTGTCTCCTCCAGTTGGATATCCAAGGGAAAGGTCGATAATCAAGTGGAAAACACAATTAGAGACCCCGACGGAGCCTTTTTGATCAGTGAAAGCGATTCGATAAAGACACTTAGGCTTATATTAAGCCTATATTTAAGCCTATATTATATTAAACTTTTTTCACAACAAAGAATTCAGAGATCACGTTCAAGTAAACGCCTATCTATTGTGCAATGATATTTTTAGAAAAGCCATACAGTAATTCTTTTGGTAACTATTGTGCAATTTGAAAGGTATTTCCGTTCAAAAGCTAGTGAGTCGGTTATGATCCTCATTGAACCCTCCATTAAGCATGCACAATACATATGATCTGCACTGTTATGTAACACTGTATTATTCGTACACCACACGAACATGCAGAGCGATTTTGGCTGCCATGCAATTAATTTAGCAAAAACATCTAAATATTATCTGTGTCGTATGCTAATGTTTCACTTGGCAAACGTCAGCAAGAGCTGACGTCATAGCCACTCTAAGAAATACTAAGGAATGCTATAAAAACCACAGGCTTACATAAAGTCGGTTCATTTTGAGAGATGTGCTATTATTGTATTGCTTGTCTGCATGGTAAGGTACAACTTGAGCAAGAGCAACATACGCTATATATTAAAAACTATTCGGTGCTCTGGCGAGGAACTGATCGACACATGCAGAGAGGTAAATCACAATAACATTACTCAAGCTGATATTTCGTTACCACTTTTCATTACACGACACGCTCGCAAAAAAGTCATTTTCGACGATGGGAAATAGTGTAACGTACTGGTCTGGTGTATGCGTGTTGCATATAAGTATAGGTCTTGAAAGTGATATTATGTGACTAGGCTAGAACTAACGCGTAAGCGGCACTGCGAAAATTTATTGAATGAACAGTTTTGCCTGTAAAGATAGTATAATTAAAGTCTAGAGACGCTGAAATGATACGAACGGAAGCGAGGGGGGGGGGTTAGGGGCAGATTTTGGCGCAAGAGAAGGGTGTTTCATTATAAAACATCAGCGGTTGACTTTCTCTCGTGTTTTCTCTTTGTGAAGTGATATCGCTCTCAGAGAATTATTAAACTATTGCGAAATTCTTGGACCTCATTGCCTGTAGTTCTACCGAGTGCCAAAAACAGTTTGGTGGTGTCTGCATGCATGCCTTCCCCTCCCCTCCCCTCTCCCCAAGCCCCGTTATACACATACCCTTGCATAGCGTGTAATAGCAATATATTTCCTAAAAAAATAACACAAGATACGACACGATTATATAAGATTCGCGGTCACTTAACGTGTAAACGACAGCATAGACATTAAAAAAAACTGATGGTTGGCTTGCAAAAAGTTGGTTTGATCCAATCTCTACTGCTGTCTGGAGAAAAAAAACTGTTTAATGAGCACCTTGCTTCAATAACGGATAACAAATCAATTCTTATCATTCTCGCCACGATTACATCATTTACATCGATAACACCGCAGCAAATTGAATTTTCAAATTCTCTTAAAATCAAATTTGCTTAAAATCAACTTCCTGTATCATCGTAATTGTAAATAATGTTCCGCACTGTTTTTTTTCAGTGAAAATTGCCAAGATATACGGCCGTGTTCATTGACTAAAAGTTCGTATAAACCACGGCTTGTTCTTGAAGATGGAAAAATATGAAAAGTGCGACACGCCACCGAGCCCGCAATACGACATGTACACGGCAGAATACATCCGTACCATCTTTTCCCTCTTCCATCCCTCCCAATCCTACCGATATTCCCCAAATGACATGAGCACTCGCTATTTTCCTGGATGGAAAAGTCAGGTTTGTGCCAACCGCTATGAACTGAACAGAATGCACAGGTTTTAAAAATAGCTAAAACTCGGTTGTTTACAACGGTATAAACCACAGAATAAACAACTACTTTTTTCATCTGCCAATACGTCTGAGACTTTTCATTCAATGAAACTCACAAAGTGACGAATTTTAGACTAACTAGTGGTAGTGTGAAGATGATCTTGTCCAACATGATATTCGTAACGTTAATAACGTTCAAATAAACGCACTACGTCATCCAAACCATAAAGATTATAACACAATCCGCAAAAAACAACAATCATTCATGAATATATATGTGGGAAGGAATCGTTTATTCATGAAGCGGGCATAACAATCCCGAAATTTCTAATTTACTAATAATCGTAAGGAAATCGCGGATTTCGTAGCATTTCCAAATTCTAAGTAGAATTTCATGGTATTTTGTTGAGAGGAAAGCGTTTACCGTCCATTAGCTAGCGAACCCATCAACTGTTATTCTTATAGTTGAAATATGACAGACTAATGTAAAAACTTGTTTATTATTCCTTTCACAGGTGTTACACGCAGAACCGGATTTTCAAGTACGCCAAAATGCCGTTCGAAATTACTTCAACCTCCGACAAGCCTATGCTCAGAATTCCTCGCTGCATCCGTTCGAAACGTTGAGAAATTTGCCCAGGCATCGGCGCACAATCAGAGGCTATAATCTTGCGCATAAACGGCGTCTGCAGTCGAGAACACCCGACTACCAGGAACTCAATCGAACTCGTCCCAGTGTCATTAGACGCAGCATTGAAAACGGAAACGGCAGGAAATTTTCCGCCCCAAGAGAAGCCATCTTGCAACCAAGTTATGAAAGTGACCAGGAAATGTACCCTGGACCCATTATACCATTTACTCCTACTCGTCGACATTCTGAAACACCCGTTATCCACAATGATCCAGGGTTACCCCCAAAAGTTCCCCAGGTTATCCAACGTGGTCCACGGTTGCCCCCAAAAGATCAACAGATTATCCACAGAGATCCGCTGTTGTCGATAAAAGCTCAACAGATTATCCACAGAGGTCCACAGTCTGAACACAGCATATCCCATGTAATCCCGAACAATCATTCAGTGGACCACAACAGGACACATTTTTTACCCAAGTATCCAGAACCAGGACATCCAACATCATCAAATAAGGTGATACAGAATATCGTTGTGCACGAGGAACCAGATGCTCACTTCATCAGATCAAGGAATACCAGAATCTATTATGAAGATCCGAAGAAAAGGGCATCCGACTTTCCTGTTGACGATGTAATACCAAATACAGCTATCGACAATGACGAGGACTTGACGCGGCCCAACACTGGACGAAATGTCAAAACTGGACCGCGAAATGTCAAAACTGGAGATGCAAGCTCACCATCCCTTACCATGAATTCCGAGGGTATGCAAGAAGACACCAGCATACCCAAACCCCCCACACAGTTGAATGAAGAAATTCCTGTCACAAACTCGAATTCGACACGTTTTTTGGACGAGAATACTGTGTCCGAGGCCACAAACACGGCAAAACCCGATCAGAAACATTCCGAAAACCTCCAAAACGGTAAAAAAGATAAGAAATACAAGTTCTGTTGTTTCTACTGTAAAAAGAAATTTAGATGGTTTTCGCATTGGCAAGCTCACGAGCGCATACACACTGGGGTTAGACCATACAAATGTACCCAGTGTGAACGCTGTTTCACACGTGGTGATGGACTGCAGGCTCACATGGTGATTCACAGCACAAAGCAGGCTCATAAATGTAGCAGCTGTTCAAAGGTGTTTTCACGAAAGGCCATGTTGGATAGGCACATTTTGGAACACACGGGAATTATTCCGTACAAGTGTGAAATTTGCGACGTGGAAGTACTGGACCCAGAAACGATCGAGGAACATTTGAACAAGCACCCGGGTCAGAAGAAATTCGCTTGTCAGTATTGTAAGAGATGTTTTCTCAATGGACGAAGATTGGTCAGGCATATCAGAGCTCATACTGGTAAGAGGATGCTTAGGGTTGGGTGGGCTATGGAGAGGGGAAGGGCGATAGGGAGGGGAAGGGGGATAGGGAGGGGAAGGGGGAGGCGGGGAAAGGTAGATGGGGTGAAGGAGATAAGGGGAAGAAAAGAGAGGAGGAAGGCATGTGACAGAGTGGGGTGATGACAATAAAAGATAGAGAGGAAGCCATGGAGAGTGATAACAGAGATGAAAAGAGAGGAGGTAGAGATGAAAGATAGGGACACGGAGGAAAAGAAGGTAGAGGAAATTCATACGAAAGTGACTGGTAGGGAGATATGACAGATGGAGGATAGTCTGGTTATATATAAGGGAGGTAGGACAAGGGAACACGGGGGTGCCGGGTGGTGATTAGGGGTAGCGAGGATGAGAATATGAAGGAATTCGTGGGGATATCTTGAAGACGAGACGGATGGCAGGACAGTCGTGGAAGTTGGTTACGAGAGAAATGAAGCACAGTGAGGGAAGGGGAAAGATAGTTACCGGGGGGGACAGGGAGGAGACAGGGGGGTGGGGAAGTAGTGACAGAGAGCAGAGTGATACAGAGGCAACCATTGAGTGGATGACAGGGGATGAGGCAGGTTGAAGAGGGAAAGTGAAGTGGATTGAGACGTGAAACACTGATATATAATGGGAAGAGGTTTAAAAATTCATTTTAATCGTATATTTCAGGTGAGAAACCGTTTCCATGTGCTCAATGCAAGATGAGATTCAGCAAGAAAAGTGCGCTGCTGATTCACCACCGAGTCCACTCCGGAGTGAAACCATTTCGCTGTCCGGATTGCGGCAAGGCCTTCTCGATATCAGGAAATTTACGACGCCATTTACTCATCCACACGGGAGAACGACCATTTCCTTGCACAAAGTGTAAGAGAAAGTTTAATAACAAGAGTCACCTTGCCAGGCACCTGTCAACCCAGCATTAGAGCGAGCCCTTGGTCAATCAAAACTGTACTGTTTTGGTAACCAGGGAAACGTCATGTACGCACTGCTGAAATGCAGGCTAATTTCACACCACGACTAAACAGATTAGAGCAAATTGCCAAGATACTAAGCAATTAAACTGCACATGTAATATCCATTGTCCAACAGAAGAGATCTAAACGCTATTGCACACAGGGACACTTGTTTTAAACTAGTTGACACACAGAATTATAGACCTAGTACGAGGGGTTAGAAATTATGCAAACCATAAAATACAGTATGTTAAAAGGCTCAGGGAGATCATTATTTTTGGGATTTACAACAAGCATAATTTGTCGCCTATAATGAAACACTCATAGACAAATAGTACAATCGTATTTAACATTGCTGCTCACCTAGAGGGAAAAATTTTTAAAGTGGGATGAAAATAAAATTGACATTGTAAAGTGAATGGACAAGCTTTCTCAAAATAAGAAACACAACTTCGGCTTTACCATTGAAGACCTTTCTCCAAAAGTTGATAAGCATTTGGACCAAGGATCTTCACTTTAAACTTTTAAATTATTTTTACATTTAACTCAAGCAGTTAATAGCATTAATCTAAAGTTCATATCTGTTTACAATATATTGGCCAGGTTTACTGGTTAGTCAACTTGGTTATGAAACACAGGCATAGTGCTGTAATGATATATTGTAGTGTATAAATTAGGAGCAGCAGTGTACTCTTTGGAAGTTTCTTAGTTGTAAATTTTGAAATTAAATAAACCTTTGGGATGCTAAAGTGTTGATTTGTCTATGCTATCAAGTTTATATTCAAATACACCATGTAAAAAACATGTTTTATATCCCATAAATGCATGAGAATTGGTACTCAGATAAAGCAGAGACTGCAAGCGGTCAAGGTAATTTGCCAGCCACTTTTGCTATGCTCATTGCTACTTTTTTTTGGTACATGCAAAATGTGATCAGCCTAAAGAAACAGCAGTGTAATGGGTGTGACCAGAGAATCACCCATCATCGAAACATACAATAAAATTGATTCTACCACGACAAGATTTTACCATGAGTAAGGGACTGGTCATAATTTAGCAGGGGGGGTGGGGAGGTGGAAATAGTGGGGGGGTCACATATTTTTTAGCCAGAAAAAAGGGGGGTTCATAAAATGTTAGACAGTTATAAGGGGGGGGGGTTGCTTATTTCTGGTTGTAATTATTTCTTTTATACATGCTTAGACTTTGAGTTGCACTGCATAAGCTTTGCTTAGAACATTAAACAAAATTAGTTATAGAATTTAAAATGAAAAGTTATATAAGTCACTGTGTTAAAATATTTATATTTTAAATAGCAGGGTCTTTCACTAGAAATAACTAACATATTATGTTTAAAACCAAATTTTAACATATGAATATGTCAAGGGTGGGTAGTATCGGAGTTGTTGGAGTTTGCAACTGTAGCGAACTACAATTTGCGAGTAACTGTATAGACTACTTTTTAAAACTGGTAGTTTGAAGTTGTCGCGAACTATAATTTCTATATTAAAAGTAGCGAAGTAGTTGATTACTTTTTCAACAACAATCGCTATTCGCCACTTTTCGATTTTTTAATATCCCTCGACTATATACTCTATAGTTCATACACTATAATACAAAACTAGTCATTTAATATACCATGTCAAATCTCGTTTGGACCCACATTTTGTTCTAGAATTCTTTGGCTCATCCGCCATTAATCCATAGTATCAGAATATATGAGCATATTATGCTTAACATTTCATATGTTTAAAACATGTGAAATCAATATAAATTACAAACGGATACCAGGAATTTTGTTGTAGCGAAGTAGCGAATACTTCGCTACATTTTTCTAGCGATATAGCTGTACACGTAGTCAAAAGAACCAAACTACATATTTTTGACAATAGCAGTAGTTGTAGGTGACTACATTATTTTAAAATAGCAGTAGTTGTAGCGAACTACACAAAACTTGTAGTCTACCCACCCTTGGAATATATATAAGTGGACGTATATAAATTAATTTTATTACTTTATATAAACGTTGTCAGAAAAATTTTTGAAGGTGTAATTACTATTTTGAATTGACGGTGCAGATTACAGTAGTTTCTCATTTTGAAGCAGTGTTTATCAAAACGTTGACGGATGGGGGGGGGGCATTTTTACCGTCTCGAACAAGGGGAGGGGGCATGATTTTTTGTGGATAAGGCAAGACAGGGTTGCAAAATATCATTCCTTAAAATATTGAATTACACCTCCCCACCCCCCCTGCTAAATTATGACCAGTCCCTAAGTTAAACAAACATAAATAATGTGATCTTGAATTGCTAAAAACATTCGCTGATTAAAAATCTCGAGGGATAACAGGTAGTCAACTCACAGACTACAACCTATATCCATTTCGCAGTTTAACCGCAGTAAACTCTAAAACCAATATGGTGATATTGTCAGCAGCTAGACCCTAAACTTTGCCTCATTTTGCAATAGAATTCATGCTCAAAGGCGGAGCATTATATTACCTAAACTGCTTTTTAAGCCACCAGCTATTACCAAAGACACTAAAGGCTCTTAAATATACAGTATAATAAGCATATCACATATATAACTTTGGTCGAAGGAACACTTACATGTTTGCCACTTGTCAGGAGCAATAATAATGTCGGTGAATGTTCATATAGTATTTGATAAATGATAATCTTTTGCCAATTTCCATTCAAGCAGCTGATATTTTATGCCATGTCGCTCGAATCAAACTTCCTCCGTTATTTTAGCTTGGTTTATACGGTATTAGGGTGTTTAAAGAGGATTTCTTTCAATTTTTTTTCGAATAATACGCACATGTACAGCTTTTGCTGCAAGAAAATGAAAATTTGCAGCATTGACTTTTCGCGTGGGCATTTAAATCAATACTGCGATCTGATTGGTTAACGAAAGCTGTGCTTTAAACCTGTCAAACGTTGTCAAACGTAATTTATGCTAATCACACTACGCAAACTCTGGGTTCTGAGTTCTATTTTTGAGGCATCTAAAGTTGTCAAATACGAACATATCTCTCGATCTGCTAACGTTTTCTTAGCATTTTGGACACTCTTTACAAATTAACATCCCTCAAAATTATCATTGCATTGCAAGTTGCAAGGAAAGTTGCATCGAGTAACAACGCCTTTAGACGCGCAATTTTTCAATACAATTCTCCTTTTGCAAGATGATAATTTGGTAAATTCGAAACGCTGACATGTTGAAGACTCTTCACTCATTTGCATCTCTTAAATAAAAGTGGAGTCCTAATGCAAGTTACATGAAAATTGAAAGGAGTAGCAAGGCCTTAAAATGACAATATAATGGATAAATAGCATCGGGGTGTTTTCAAATTTAAAAATTTACAAAAAATGTTTGTGGATCGGGCCAGGGGGCCGCTTGTTGGAAACACACTAATGTACTGTAGTTTGGGCAGCACTAATGTGCTGTTGTAATTTTCTAACCCCACCCTCCATTGCCATTTTATTTACGCTGCATTTTAAAAGCCATTACTTAGTGCCCAGGCCCCAACTTTAGGTGACAACTTGCAAAGTTCAAACACTTCAACTTTATAACAACATTTGTGTTAAGGTGGAATTAAACTCCACTTGAAAACACGTATTATTCACTCTTTAAAGCATGCACTATTTACTTTGAATTTTAAATTCAAGTAGTACTCTATACGTAATTTCCTTGGTAATCGCCTTTCAACTCGTTAGCCACATGCAATATCACTTGTATGATATTAGATCGTTTGACGTCTGAGCTGACTGGAACGTGATATGGAATATTATAGTATTTTTATAATACCACGGAACTTCGTCATTGGCATATAATTGTTAGATGTTTTAAGATAATCGTATTATTTTTAGACGTTGTTATTTCTGTTAATAATTACATAGTTATTGGGGAAATGATGCATCTCTTAAGACTTTTCCAGAATCTTTTGCAAAGCATAACTCTGAATTCGAACAACATTTTTTTATATTTTGGATTGTTTACACGACGTTAGGATGATAAATATTAAGACTACAGTCAAGTCATACTTATTTTAAGTGTGCTATTGTTTTCTCCTTGATTTCCATCGGTTGCGTGACGATCTATCATCATAAATTATTACCGATATGTATATGCATTGTAATATTGCCTGTCTGGGCGTCGAACTTTCAATGGATTGATTTGCCTTCTCGTTGGAATTAATGGATTGGAATGACTTCGTTTTTCCACGACGGAAAAGTAAAAACGATGAATGATGCCTGTTAAGAAATAAATATATTAGCAGATTAAAAAACATCAAGGTTATTTTTGCTCGGTTATTTCCTGAGTATTAAAGCATATAGGCTTGAAACAGCCTGATCGTATGACAAGGCGATGAAATGAATTTCATATTGAACTCAAAATTCGAGGAAAATCTATTCTTAATAATATACGATTGAATCAGACTCAGTTCAGCTAATCAACTCTGGTATTTATACTAAGTATATTTTATTTTCAAAACATAAACCGCTTAAATGGCCATGGAGACACACTTATATTGTTTATCTATTAGCATAAATATCCCCCGTGCAGAAACGCGTCATTTTCGGAGAAAGTGCGTCATGATGGCATGTCCACAGATATTAAAAAAAAAACACGAAAGATATCTGTGTGATTATAGATACAAATAAATAGATAGCGTTAAAACAAAGGCTAGGTATAACAGGGAAAATTACTAAGTACACATTTGCACAAAACGTTCAAGTCACACATGCAACAACAAGGCTCTATATACAAGGTTGACGCAAAACGCCAGGTGGCTGGCTGTTGTACGAAACTGGATAGCGCGATATCGAAAGGAGAACTAATACTTGGACAAGAACGCTTTCAAACTGCTTGCAGTTATAATAAATAATAATAACTGTGCGCATGTTCCATTTGGTATAGGTTCACATGCGCATAACAATTGATATAAATTATACAGTTCAGTTTTGTTCAGAATTAATAAACCTCAAACTCAATGTAGTTCTTCTTTCTTCACAACTGTATGTATATGAGCTAGTTAATATCATAATATGATACTTGATTATAATATAATAAAACGTGGCTAGTGCTTGAAAATGGTAATTATATGGTTAGCTAGTAGTGCATGATCATGACAATGCAAAGTCTGCCGGGTGTTCAAGTCCATATATTAGGAAAGTTGTTGGCTTAAAATTGGAACAATAATATCCGGTATTTGTGTCGAATAAACGCCTCGTAAGCCTTGCGGAATTTTTACACGTTCTATTCTGAAAAATATATCCTGGAATGAAGGTGAACGGTATAATAACGTAACAGAAAGCAACAACAGAACATGCACCCGTTTTCCGAATTCCAGTTGCCTCGCATAGTCTGAATACACCTTACTCACTTGCTATTAGAGCTATAACCGAAACGTCTGGTCGGGTGTTAAAATGAAAAAGAAACGGTTATCTCAAAATCTATATGAAACAGACTGCTCTCTGCTTGGCACCTACGTGCGTTTTCAAGAGGCAAATATTACTTCACAATAGCACAAATTATATATTGATTGCCAAGTTATGTCACCAGGCATTAGAATGACGCTCTTTGATCCCGCAGAAATGTACCCGGCTCGTAGCAAACGGCGAATTAATGATGCATTAATAAAGAGCGAACAGCCTTTTGTTAATCTGGCTTGATGACTCAGCTTATATTTTGATTCTAAGTTTCATGACAACCGTCAGGATATACGCCATACTTTTT